TGCTCTTGGTAAATCGAAAAATGGTCAATAATTTGAGAATTTTAGAGTTAAAGTCTAATCCCTCAAAAGAGGATATTAAACAAATTGTGAGAGACGAATTAAATGTGTGGTCTGAAACTTCCAAAAATAATGAAAAATATGGTATTTATCCGAAATTTCGATCATGCAATTTCCCTGTCCGTTGTGGAGGCAGTACATTTAGTAAAAAGCCGAAATTCGGCAGATTTAGAAATTTCAAAGCTGATTCTAAACGCCCGCGTCGAAGAAGCAATATGCACAATTTTTGTAACCAGGGAAAAATTGGCACTCAGTTAAAATGGCTGGCGCCCCTATCATGTGTGGTAGTGAACCCGTGATGGGGGCGCTTGAAAATTCTACAATAACCATTCTTCCGTCGGATCTAGTTCTGATAAATGTGCTTTCAGTAACTATGGAAATTCAGCCAAAAGTGTTACCAAAAAGAATGTTCAAGAGTTTAGTCATGTTTTGTCTAATCCCTGTGAGCCTGTTATCTCGTCAGACTCTAAAATGTTTGAACCTCAAGTTACCGTCACATATCAAAATGGGTGCTCTCAATAAGGCCAGCCTCAAAACGTCCATAATGAAAATATTTTGTTTGGAGCTAGTAAGTGTCTTTCTCAGGTCATAACAAAATTTGATAGTGTATTCGCCGGGTCATCGCCTAATGAAAACGAAAATGCTCTTTCGCCAAATGTTCCTATGTTTTCTCCTAAAAGTGAAGTCATTTATGAGAAGTCTTCAAGAGAAAATTTATCTCGAGAAGTCAGTATAAAAGAAATTAAAAAAGAAGAACAGTTGACACCTGAGTCTAAAAATGAAGAAAATTTGGAAGTAAATATCGTTGGAGCTAAAAATAATGTTTGTAGTGAGTGTCGTGGCTTATCTGTAGCAAGTAGCCCAGTAACAAGGGCATATGTGACTGACGTGACTGACAGGGTTTCTTTGCCTGCCACATCCAGTAAAATTGACTCTATTCATCCTTTCGAGAGTGACAATTTTAAAGTAAGTCTAACAATAAAAGGAAATAGTTATCGTGCACTCTTTGACACAGGAGCAGCTGTAAAAGCAATTAGTTCTCAAGTCTGCGACAATTATCTTAGTCAAAAAATATGTTGTTTAGATTCCTCGTCGACCAGTTGTGTGACGACTGTAAATGGTTCTCCTCTTAGCGTTCTTGGTAAAGTATGGCTCAGTTTTGTTATTAAGTTGGATGTTTTTCCTTTGTCAAAGATTTAACTCATGACTTTGTTTTGGGCAGAGATTGTCTTCAAAAATATTGTTCGAGAATTGATTTTATGGAGAACATCATTGAATTTTCCCACCCGAGGATCCCCTCCCCTTTGCTGATAGTTTTGGTGATGATTTGGATGCTGAAGTTTTTGATAATTGTATTTTGTCAGTGCATGCTGATAATTCTTTTGCTATTCTCGCTCTTTCAGAAGTCGTTGTCGTTGGTAGATTAAGTTCAATGCCGAAAGGTGTAAACACCAGTGCCAGTGAAATTTATGGACTGGTCACGCCTAAGTCTGATTTGCCTCACAGTTACTCAGTTTTTGGAGCGTCAGAGCTCGTAAAGGTTTCTAGTGATGCAACTATTCCTGTTAGGATGGTAAACCCTTCCGCTCAACCAGTTAAAATTTTTCGTAGGACTAAATTGGCAGATTTTGAGCGTGTTGATAATGATTTATTGGCAAGTATTCCTCTTCTTCGGATGCTCAACATAATTCTTCAGATGATCGGCAACAGCCAAACTATTATTCAGAGTTTCCTGATTTGTCGAATAGTATTTTGAATGATGATGAAAAAGTAAAATTTAAGAATTTGTTTAATAAATATCGTAATGTTTTTGCTTTTCCTAGGGATCAGTTGGGTAGAACATCCCTTGCACAGCATATCACTGATACTGGTAATGCTATGCCTATTGAGCAAAGGCCGTATAGAGTGTCTCCTGATGTTAAGAAAGAGATTGACCGTCAGGTGGATGAAATGCTTGAAAAAGAATAATTCAAGAGTCTGTCTCTCCTTGGAGTTCTCGAGTTGTTTTGGTAAAAAAAGAAGGATAGGTGATATAGATTTTGTGTTGATTTTCGTCAAGTGGATAACTTTCCAATGCCTTTAGTTGCTAATGCACTGGATTCTTTAGCTGGTGCAAGCGTGTTTTCCACGTTGGATCTCAAAAGTAGTTTTTGGCAGATACAAATGCACCAGGATTCGCATCAAATGACAGCTTTTGCTAAGCACAATGGCCTTTACGAATTTCTGACAATGCCGTTTGGATTAGTGAATTCAGGAGCAAATTTTCAAAGACTTATGGGTTATATTTTGAGAGGCTTAGAATACCGTTTTGCTTTGATTTACATCGTTGATACAATCATTTTCTCTAAGTCTGTAGAAGAGCATTTAGTCCATTTGGAGGAAGTTTTTAAAAGATTGCGTGACGCCAATGTTAAGTTGAATCCAGAGAAGTGCAGTTTCGTTAGACAAAGAGTAGAGTATCTTTGTCACGTAGTTACGCCAGAAGGAAGTAAGGGTGGTTCAGGAATTTCCCACCCTCACAAATTTGAAGGAATTGAGGAGTTTCTTAGGTCTTGCTAATTATTACAGACGTTTTGTTAAAGGTTTTTCATATATTGCCAACCCTTTGAATGCTTTGAAAAAGAAAAACGCTCCTTTTGTTTGGACTGTAACTTGTGCCGACGCTTTTGACAAGCTTAAGCGTGCTTTGGTTTCTGCACCCATTTTGGCATATCCTAATTTTGGGGAACCATTTTTGCTATTTGTAGATGCTAGCAACACTGGTATTGGTTTTGCCTTAGCAAAAATTCAAAATGGAAAAGAAGTAGTCATTGCCTACCGTCATGGTCGCGGTTTGAGTCATGCAGAGCAAAATTATCTGAGTACCTCAGAAAGAGAAGCTCTCGCATTAGTTGAGGGTATTAAGAAATTTCAGCCTTATAAGTTTACTGTTGTTACTGATCATAGCTCTCTTCGTTGGTTAATGAATGTTAAAGATGCTTCTGATCGTCTTGCAAGATGGGCCTTACTTTTGCAACAATATGACTTTAATATTGTTCATCTCCCTGGTAGAATCCATGGTAATGCTTATTATTTGTCTAGACGTCCGTATGATTCTTGTGAAATAAGTTCGCTCAACAAAGAAGAACCTCAAACGCCCCACACTTAAGAAATGCAAAGAAGAGATCCTGAATTAGCTGCAGTGACTGATTTTCTAGAGAATGATATCCTACCTACTAACAGTAAAGATGCACGCAAGATTTTACTCACAAGCGATAATTTTTATATTGGTCAAGATGGTTTGCTTTACCACATTGATTTTAATCGAAGGCGAAATGCTCGTGAATCTTTTTCTCAGCTTGTTGTCCCAGCTGCATTACGTTTTGAAATCCTCTCTAATGTACATGATCATGTTGCCGGTTCTCATTTTGGCTTCAACAAAACTTTCAGTAAACTTAAGCAAACATACTGGTGGAAAGGTATGTTTAAAGAGGTAGAACATTGGGTTAAGTCTTGCGTTGAGTGTTCAATGAGAAAGCCTCCACGAAATTCGGAAAAGGCACCTTTACTTCCGATTCCAGTCGGTGCATTTGACAGAGTGGCTGTTGATGTTTTAGGTCCTTTTCCACCTTCTAGTAAAGGCAGTAGGTTTCTAGTTTTTAGTGATTATTTGACTCGTTGGGTCGAAGCATTCCCAGTGCCTAGTTTCGAAGCAACTGTTATTGCACGTCTTTTGATTGATGAAATTATTCAACTTTGGGCTTGCGAACTCGCATAATTAACTGACTAACAGTGCGTGAAGTTACAAGTCTTAAATAGTTTTTCATTTCCTCGAGATAGAACGGAAAAAAGGGCTTTGTAATAGTCAGACAAAATTGAAATAAAGAGTGTTCTGTTCTACTTTGTGTATGTGTGTGTGTTTTGTTTATGTACATCCGATTTTCTAGCGCTAAATAGAAGACATAGGCCGTTAATCGCGTTGCTAGGTGATCGCTCCTATTTTCCTTTCTGAATAGACGTTTCAGTAAACCGGGCTCACGTTACTTACCAGGCAAGCCTATTGTTCCTATTGTGTTCTTTCAAGAAATGACTATCCATTTAATTAGATATGGAGGAAGATACTTATTACGTATGGAGGAATCCACTTTTTGCCGAGTATCCTTATTAGTTATGGAGGAAGTCAAAAATTAGTATGCAGGAAGTTAACGGAACTCCAGGGAAGTCCAAAACGGGGGTAATTATAATGAAAGATGATTACTTTTGTGCTGTTGCATAAATCATCTTGTACTCCTTAAAACGATTTCAAGCGGTTCTCTAGTCAAGTCCTTCACAAGAATACTGTCATCAATTTATTTAGCTCCAGTTTTCAAGTCACAGGATTCAACTGTTGTCATTCAACAGTTGAGCTTGTTTTAATTAATATTGTGTAGTGTGATAGTTTTGTTTTGATATTTAACGCACTTATCTACCATTTATATGTATTACGTCCTTTTGCAACGAGGACGATGCTTTTTCTAAGGGGAGAGGAATGTTGTGAAGTATTTTGAAAGTTATTTTTAAGACGGATCTATCTTATCTTGTAAGTTTAATTCTTGTTTCATTAAGTCTTGTTTTTGTCCATCCACTCTTTTCCTGTTTTGATCTTTTGCTTTCACTTGTACCTGAATTTATGCTTAGCTCGCGAATTTACTTTTTTTTGCCATGTTAGGAATGTTATTTGCTTAGCATTGTCAGATGTTGGTTTTTTACAGGTGGTTGTGTTTGTAGTGTTGGAGCTGACCTTGGTTCTTGGTACTTGTCAGTTGCAGCTGTGCGTAGGCTAATCTATTCCCTAACTATAGCAAACCTGTTGCAATATAAGCGATAAGATATTCAGTAGAACTCTCCTGGTCAGCTAACCCAAACATGTCCAACTTTGGCTATAAAAATCATATAATCAACTATGCTGTTTTCGTTCTCAGGAAATGTATAAGGCAAAGCGTGTATGTGTGATTGGTGCAGGACCCAGTGGAATGTCCGCTTTATATCAATTCAAGCAATTGGAAATGAAGGGACAGGAAATTCCAGAGATTGTGTGCTTTGAAAAACAGTCTGATTGGGGTGGTCTCTGGAACTATTCATGGCGAACAGGTAGGAGATTATTTTGCTGGACTTGCATAAATCTCAGGGGCGGATCCAGGATTTTTTTAGGAGGGGGTGCCCTCGTCTCTTGCTCTACTCCAACACCAATAAACCACATAGTTTTTTTTTTTTCAGAATACCAGTTGTATTAGAAAACCGTAGGTCATCTCAGAGGGGGGGTACGCACCCCCTGCACCCTCCCCCTAGATCCGCCCCTGAATGTCGAGAATTCTCCCGACCCCTCTCGTGTTTATATCAGGCTAAGCAAATACAGGAAAAAAGTTTTCTATTGCTTTAACTTAAATTAACTTTCCCGCGAAAAAACGCAAAACGCTTAGTTATGGCATTGATTAAAAGAGAAATTGTTACCGGCCGCGAAGACTTGTTCACGAAGTCTTGCACGCGTAATCTTGTTCTGCAAAGAAAAAAGGCTTTCCAATCAAAGCGCGTACTATCTTAATTATTTTTATAAAGTTTATTATTCTCATCGTAAAAGACTAAGTAAGTTACAGGGAACACGAAGAAGATGGGACTGAGGGGTGTGGCCCACCATTTTATTTTCGTTCACCAGGCCTCCGTTCTTCAAAAGGTGGAGAGCGCTACCCACCACTATCCAACGGACAAGTGTTAGGGAAACCAATTGCGTTATGCAGTGGATAGTGATTTACTCGATGGATTGCATTATCCATCTTTTGAACAACTGGGGCCAGATAAATCTCTATCCAGCTGATAGTGCAATTAGTTTCCCCAATACTTGTCCGCTGGATAGCGCTATCCAACGTTTGAGTGACCGGGGCCAGATTCAATACTCACGGAAATTACTTCATACTTCATACTTCATTACTTTACTCTGTTGATTTAAAATTGCGAAGTCTTTAATTTGCTTGTTGTGATCCAAAGTTGTTTTTTGGGTGTATTTTTAGAACTAAGGCGGGGGATGAGGGAAGAGAATGAAAGTGTGGTATTGATGAAGAGAACGGCATTAGAATTATGATGGCGGTAGATAGAAAACAGTAGAAATGTAGGGGTGGTGATGGTGGTGGTGGAGGGAAAACCAATTTAATGTAATTGTGATAGATGGAAAACAATAAAATGTAGGGGTTTTATTAATGCCGGTGGACAGGAGATAAATGAAATGCGATGGTGGTGGGAGGAGGGCAATAGAAATGTACTGGAGAGGAGAAACTATTAAGTGGTTGTTGGGTGAACAAGAATGATTAACCGGTAAGTAAGTAAGACCAGGTCAGGGGCGGATCTAGGGGGAGGATGCAGGGAGTGCCCCCCACACCACCCTGAGATGACCTGCGGTTTCCTATTATAAACAATTATTGGATGAGGTTTTGTGATATTCGGAATAATCAAGGTCGAGGTAAGAGTTATCAGCCGAGCCGAAGGCCGAGGCTGATAACACTTACCTAGACTTTGATTATTCTGGATATCACAAAAACCAAATCTAATAATTGTTTTAATTATTATACACTGTTTTGAAGAAATAACGGCAAACACGTCGTCGCAAAGAACCTGAATTGATATTGTTATTGGAAATCAGGCATTGCGCGTGCAACCTACAGATTAGTCAGTTATGGCTAGCATGCAGGTCTCAGTTGTTCAAAAGTTGGATAGCACTATCCAGCGGATAAATCACTATCCAGCGAATAAGTACTAGGGAAACCAATTGTGTTATCCAGTGGATAGATTTTTATCCGGTGGATAGTGCTATCCAACGTTCGAACAACTGGGGCCAGATGACTAACTAATCTGTTACTCTGCAAAAAAAATCTTTGTGGTTTATTGGTGTTGAAGTAAAACATGAGACTAGGCTGAAGAATTTGTGTTAAATGCCGTAGTTTGGCACAAGAGTCTGCTGTATCGTTTGATATGTAATCTCAGCAGTTCCTATTATGTTATTTCCTGGTCAAAAGCCTTCTTCTTCGTATTCGCTTTTAAAATTTGTTTACGTCAGCAGTCAGTTGTACCATTCCTTTGTGGTGCACCCACTCCTAAGAAAAATCCTGGATCCGCCCTGTAGATTCAATGCAAATCTATCATGTTTGTTTGTTGAATGTGATGGTAGTGGTATCTGTGAATGGCAGGCAAGAGAAATATGGTGATGGTGCACTCTTCATGAAGTAGTTGAGTTGATAGATGACCTGAGCACGTAGAACGTAGAACAAAAGATGTATCTGCTTTGTTCACAGATACCGATGAATACGGAGAACCTATACATGGAAGTATGTACCAGGGTCTGTGGACAAATGGTCCAAAGGAATGTTATGAATTTCCAGACTATACATTTGAAGATCATTTTGGAAAACCTATTCCATCGTATCCACCAAGGGAGGTCTTTCGTGATTATCTGACAGTTAAGTATTTTTGAATATTTTTTAAAGTATTTGTCCTTAATTAAATCTAATGTTTTGCTAAAGCTTTAGTAAAAAAGATCCACGTATCTACTCCAATTAAACCCCGGCCACGGCTGCAACTAACGCCACAAAATCGAAAAAAAAAAAAGAAATATACAAGATAAAGTTAGTCTCCTCTTGGGAACCAATACAACTTTGATAAGGAGCCAAAATACCAATACTGTTAGTTTTAAAAATAGAAGAAGTTTGCAATGCAACATAACGCTGATAGAAACAGTAAAACAATCCTGTTATGGGTTACAAGGCGACGAAAGGGAGGAACATAAAAACTGTATTTCTGACAAAACCCAGGGGTAGGGAAACTCCCTCATCGGAGGGAATGCGGGTTTTCTGTAACCTCTATTTGGTATGTGTATCACAGAAATTCAAAAATAAAAACTAATAAAACTCATTTAAGATTCTTTTCAACCAGGGGCTATTCAAATTTCTTGGCTTTAAGATTAAGAGTTTAACAAACGTTTTCTTTCACAGGCCGATGGTCAAAAAACAAACTTCGCCCTTGGGTTCACTTCAGTCATGTTGTACGTCAAGTAACCTACAACGATTCTACCGACGACTTCACTGTAGTCGTCAAAAATCTTTCAGAAGATGAGGTCCTTCCGGCTGAGAGATTTGACTACGTCATTGTAGCAACTGGGCACTTCTCCGTACCGAACATACCTTCCTTTCCTGGAATTGACCAATTTCCTGGTCGAGTTCTTCATTCACACAGCTTCAGAAATGCCTCTCACTTCAAAGGCAAAAGAGTTCTTGTCATTGGTTCCAGCTACTCAGCAGAAGACATTGCTCTCCAGTGTCTTAAGTACGGCGCTGAACATATCACCTGCTGTTGGCGAACTCGACCGATGGGATTCAAATGGCCCCCACAGATAACAGAAAAGCCACTACTATCCAAGATAGAAGGAAGCACAGTCCATTTTAAAGATGGCACCAGGGCGGAGGTTGATGACGTCATAATTTGCACAGGCTACCATTATTCCTTTCCTTTTTTGGAAGAGCGCTTGCGTCTCAAGACAACCAATGTCTTTTACCTAGAGGGCCTCTACAAATCGATTCTCTGGACCCGGGGCGGAAATGACAAAGTTCTGTACATAGGTATGTTGGACCAAGAATACACATTCACCATGTTTGATGCACAAGCAAAGTGGGTGGTAAATTACATTATGGGGGAACTAAAACTTCCTGATAAGGAAGAAATGGAAAGCGACTGCAGAAACTGGATAGCAAGGTAATGATTGTTGTTGTTGTTGTTGTTTTATCTTCAGGAAAAATACGGTGTCATACAGGAGCAAAACACAAATCAATATTATGTCGAAAACGCAACAAACTTCTCGATACAAAACCAAATTTTTCTGTTACAAAACATTTATTTCTGAAACAAAACAAAGTTTCGTGACACACAACAATGTTTTGATACACATAACAGTTTCGGGCTAACAACAATAATAATAATAATAATAATAATAATAAGAAGAAGAAGAAGAAGAAGAAGAAGAAGAACACTTGTATAGATTGTGCTTCACAGAACTTCTAAAAACAGTAAAAATAATTCTAAATTGAAGTAAAAATTAAGAACCTAAATATAAGTATATACAAGTTAAAACAAGAACCTAGTCATGAAAAAACTTGGGAAAATTAAACTGTTTTCAGTTTCATTTTAAAAGTTGATGGATTCATGTTGGACCGTTGGCTGTTCCACAACTTTGGGGCCGCGAACATAAAAGCGCGATCCCCAAGGGTCTTTGGTGACTTCTTTGGTGGAAAGCAGAGTAAGGTTCCATCACAAGAACTACGAAGACTGTAACGTGAAGGTTTCGCAACACAAACAAGAGACGAAAGACTATAAAAAGAGCCATATTATTTAAAATCTTAAAAAGTAATTAAAATGATCTTAAAATCAATGCGTTGTCTCACGGTTAGCCAGTACAATTCCCGTAAAAGGGAACTTAAGATAGAGACGTTTTCGGGGCGACGGCAACTTCAACCGGACGTGACATCATCATTTGTTGGATATTGCGCATGCTCGTGCTCACCACCTAGCCGTCGTGGTCCCGTCGGCGACGTGAAACTGGTCTGTTTGGCGTTGTGGCGAAAACGTGAGTATTTAACTTTCATTTCAATCAGGTTTGTTGCGTTTAGCAACCAACATTTTGCAGATTATCGTTTTTAAATTGTCCTTGTTTTCTTTGAGGCACATTTCAAGCTCGATTTCCAAGCTCTGTTATCTAAACTTACATCTTTATAATGTCTCTATGTTTTCATGTCACAGGGTCAAGATCCAACTTGGCAAACAGCCAACCGTAAGTGAGCTTGACATGGACAAAATTTTCCTACGAGCCAAATAAAAGTATCCAGACAAAAAATATGAACTCCGATATTTCAATTGTGTGTTTTTAGCTCGCTCTTTTCGTTAGAATATCGTATAAGTGAAACGCATTGAAAATTATATAGAATAGTAGGTAATACCATGTACTAACTCGGCGTGGGAATACTGAAGTAAAGTTGTTGCCGTTGTTGTTGTTGTTGCATGCAAGAATTTCCCGGGAATTATTTCAATACCAAACTAAGAATACGGTTCCTTGGTAGCATTTTAATGTTCCTGTAATCTGCAAGGCTTCGGCAAGCGTGTGGAGATGTTTTTTTTTTCAACACGAAATTCTGCCTTGAACTCAGCTACATCCCGCACATTTTCTAGCGTGAACGGATCGTAACTGTCCCGAGGAAAATCGGGATTTTTGGACTCATAATTTTCCCACAAAACGAGAAACTCTTCATCCGATACATGTTGTCTGCATAGTAAATATTTATTCTTTTAATTCTTTATGTGAAGCCATATTTTCCTCTTCGGTATTCTTCTAATTAAAGGCGCCGTCCTTCTGAGTTCACTGCGATGACGGGAAGCGACGGCTGCCTTAGTTCCAGGCTTTCTCTGCCAGTCCGGTCGCCGTCGCCCCGAAAACGTCTCCATCTTAAGTTCCCTAATATTGGCCTAACGTGACAGATTTGAAGGCACTCAATAAACCAAGCAAGCACATGCGTTTTGAGTTGGCTGGAGCTTTAAGATAAGACTGTTAGGCAAAACATAAAGTAAACTGTTGCAGTAATCAAGCCCGCTAGTAACGAACACGCAAATAAGGGTCTCAGTGCTTTCTTTAGATACGAATTTTATGGTGAGGTGAATATTGTAAAGTTAGAAAAATGCTGCTCCACACGTCTTATTAATGTGAGTAGACACTGTAAGCTTTGAATCAAGCCAGCTTCGCCAGCCGATGAAACATCCACAGATGCAACGGTAATTGAGTTAATAGAAACTTTAGCTCAACCTCGTCCCCAGGGCGCTTTTGCCTGGCGGAAAAGCGCCCTGGGGACGAGGTTGATGATGATATCGACGAGTACTCTGGAATCGAAGTTTTCTCCATTTTGAATGACAATGACTTCATCTTCAGGTATACCAACTGGGGATGAAAGGAAACTTATTACATACTATTTTACGAGAGGATACTAATATGATGTGCATTTTTTTGCCACGTTTCATCAAATAACCTTTATTATTAAAAACTGAATCATTTGATAATGCAGTTCTAGCATTTTGATTGGCTTAGCCGTTATGGTATATGAGCTATTATACCATGCTCTCCATATACGGTCAGTGTACGCGTCAGTTTAAAATTGAAAGCTAGCTGAGATTTTTTTTCGCGAAGGATAGAACGGCGCCCGAAGCATATCGTTTTAATTCATTTCTTAGAATACTAGAAATGCAATTTCATCGAAAGAAAAAAGACAAAAACAAACAAAAAAACCATAAGAGGTTGTTTAAAAGTTTGTCGAAAAATGCATGAAAACACATGGAACTAAAGTGCCTTGACCAGCTACGAAAGAAGACAAGTGTTGTTTCTTCATGATCGCGAAGCCATTCGCCGATCGAGTCACTCGTCGATAGATAACTGCGGTTTGTTTATCCGACATCAAGAATATAAATCACAAGTGACCAGCTACAAATACAGGCTAGAGCAATCGAGGCGGCAGTATAGCTTCTTTCATCGTTCAGCAAAACCAGCTTGTGGCTTCAAACAACTTCATAACAAGCGACCGAGGTAATAGTTTTTCTCCGTTTTTCTTACTTTTATAACTGCACCGAAAATTCAAATTCACAGTAATTTCGACGGCTGTCACTTAAAAATTCTTTCCCTTCACATTATCTGCCAGGTTTTTTTTAGCTGTTCTGCTGTGTAAAATCCTAGAGTCCCGATGAGTTTTTAAAAAACTATAAATGTTCATCGCTACAATGTTTTGATTTTTCATTCATGCAGTCCAGGCGAGTCTGTTCGCGCGTTGACAGTTTTGATAGACGTGTGACATGTGAATAGCGAAAGTCCCTTGTCTTTTCCGGTTTGTTCTAGTCGGAGAGATTCAACGAGATTTTTTGGGCGTTTTTAATAAAACAATTATTCCACTCGCGCTTGTTGGATATGAGATGATTATAGCCAACTCGGCGCTACGCGCCTCGTTGGCTATCTAGCATCTCATATCCAACGCGCCCAGTATCAGGATGCGACAGTATCAGCTACGAAGAAGGACACTTTCATATGATTTACTCTTGGTGCGTAACACAATTTTAAGGGAGCTGAGTGGTCGGTTCTGGTTGCAATGGCGCGGAAGCATGTGGCATACTCTACGCTTGCAGACTATTCAAGTACCAATGCACAGCAAAATTAAAAAGTGCAAGCAAAGGTACATCAAACCTAAATGAAATGCGACTACGCAAAGTAAAATGCGTAATATATAACTTTCGTGGGCGGGGGGGTTGTGCAGTGGACCCATTTGACAGCAACATAGAGGGATGGTTGAAAGACTCGCACCCCTATACCCGGGGAATACCAGAGCGGTAGACCCGTTCCCGTACCACGCCTATTCAAGATGTTGGCAAGGGCGAATCCTCGACTAAGTACCGTTAATGGCCTTCTCTCTTTGACACTTGCATCTTCGTAATGCTGTCGTAAACCCCGCATATCGTGGCCAAAGTGACAGTCTAAAACCGCTGAAATTTTCCGCTCATGCCCCGCATTCTCTGGGTATGGAGTTGACCAGTGCACAAAGTTTTATAAATATTAGGTTAAAAGTCGCGGCTGAAATCGAGTTGTAAGAATAATTTAATGGCAATTTCGTGCCTTCTTCATGTACGGGTAGAGAGGAAAGACCTTGGCCAAGCTGTGTGTCGTCAATATTTCTTAACTTTCTTTGCCATGAAAGTCATTGGGTTAGGAACATTTGACCTACTACAGTACTATTAATAACCAATACTTTTGGGCCACGAGTTGGGAATTTTAACAACTTTAATAGCGGTAGGTGGCCCAGTATATTATTTTATTTTAGAAAATATCTAAGATAGTACGCGCGATCTGAGCTTTTCGCGCGCTAATCACGCCAGCACAAATTGATAAGCAATGAAGAAATGCATGCATAAAATCAAGAACATGCCTTTGCAAACCTCTTCAATTTTTCCTGTCCTTGACAGATGAGCCAATCTGCTTTCTTTCCCAGTAAAATCCTCTGTGTAGTTATTTTCTGATAGCAAACTGCGTGCGTGTCAAAAGCTCAGGAATGGCCCAGGGGTTGGCCAATGCCCGGCCCCCAGGCAGCGCAAAATTTGCAAATGCCCCACCCCCGGGACTGACAAGGCGGGCAAATGCCCCGCAGTAGCCCGGGGGGGTGCTGGGCGCAGCTGGAATTGACTGATGCATAATGCTGGATTTTTTTGTTCCAAGATGTTATGTGAAAAAGTTAAATTAGTTTAATAAGTCAAGCACTCATTGTGATGTACTTTCACCACCAGGATGGGAGAACTAAAAGACGGACATGACGCAGTCGACTTCCAGACTGCTTATGTGGCTGATCTTGTCAAAGAATCCAATTACAGCTACGATTTAGATGTATCCGAAATGCTTCACGCTTGCGAAGAGACCAAACATGATAACATTACAACTTACAGAGACCAAAGTTTTACAAGCAAGTTTACCGGTCACAAGGCCTCGCAATCGCACACTCCATTTATGGAAGAGTTTGATGATTCCATGGAACACTTTCTGCTTAATTAAGCAAAGAAACCTGTAAAATGCCAAAACTACCAAGAAAAACATTTAATATATATTTACAAATGCAAGACTTTTTTTTTTGTAGATCAATGTGATGTGATTGTTTGAAGGCCACCGGCCATTACCTGGTAAAATTTAATCCTCGTCGATGTGGGGCCGCGTGATTGTAGTTCAAAATTATCGCTTATTTAACCTGGTTCCTTTAGGCCACCAAACTACCTACAATTCTGCTCCAACACAAGAGAACATATTTTCTCGACAACAGAAAAAAACGCAGCTCTTTGCCGTTGGCAAAGCTGCACAGTACTTTTTAGGGAGTTGTTATAACTCCAAAAATGGAGTAAAAATTTTAGGTACAGGATAACAGTTTGGGCTCATTTTTACTCCTGAAAAAGAGATCTCCCAGTCTGGAGATAAAATAACTTTGAAATGGGGTTACTTTTACTCCTTACATGGGTTGTTTTTACTCTCTGGATTCACTTTAACTCTGAAAGTGGAGTCAAAGTTTTAGGTACGGTATTCGCCTGAAAAATAGTTTTTTGAAAACTCCTTTTACGGAGTTAAAATAACTCCAGTGTAAGGAGTTAAATTAACCTTACTAGGGGAGTTATTATGACTCCTTGAAAATTACCGTGTGCGAAATTAGACTGAGCAGTGAAACAGGCTATGCCAAATCAAGAATGATCACATGTCGTATATATTTACTGCTGCACAGTTTGTAAAACAGCCGCAACGAAAATTGTTGAAGGTAGAATTCCTTTTGTTAGGAGTTAAAAAGGTGACACATCACAAAGCTTATTGAAACGCTTGTTAAAGTTTTTAGGGTATAGTTTCAAAGCGTTTTTGAGGTTCCAAACTGATAATTAGATTAGACTGGTAGCTACTGATAGCTAACATAGTGTTCGCGAAATATTGGTATCAGTTATAGTTATGAAATTTTTAAATAATTTAACTATAGTTGTTATTTATTCATGAGCATTGTAGTGCAGTTCTTACGTTAGATTCCTTAAGTAAACGGTAAACCAATTATATATTGAAATCAACTAACGTGTAATAAAATTAAAGTTTTCCTTGTTAAGAAAAAAAATTGCTCGTGTCCGACCACTTTTAAGTTCCAACAAGAGAGGATAAGAGAGAGGATTATGATAAGGAAAATAAAATAAGAAAGAACCTACCAAAACGTCTGATGCCCTCGAAGAGTTTTCTTTTTAATTAAAGTGGTTCTGAGTATCATTAAGGCTGCTTAATACTGACGATTTTACCGCCGTGCGAAACAACAGCAGCGACATTTAAGGTGCATGCAGTTAGCATGCTATTTTTGCAACGGTTTCATGAGAACTGCATTTTTCATGGGGCAGTATAATCCTCATTATAATTTAACCCTTTAAGTCCCAATAGTGATTAACATCAATTTTCTCCTAACAATATCCATACATAGTCAAGAGAAATGGTTATGAGAGTTAATAAAATGATCACTAAAGAGAAAATGTTTTGATATGTTATCAAATTCTCTCAACTATGTCTTTAAATAATTGAATGAAGATCGGTATAGAGAATTTATGTCTGGACAGTGGGCTTAAAGGGTTAATACACATTTCGACGTATCCCAAACTGAAAGCGCAGAAGTGTGCAATAGTTTGAATTGAGTTTCCAGTGAAGGTACAGGTGAGCGTTACACAAAATAGGGATAGCAACCGGAAGCCAGCCACGTTGTGCTTGCTATCAAGTTCTGCACTATAGCAAAGGAAAAAAAACACATTTACTTCATAATGATTTGTCATAACACCATAAAAGGAGACTTTATTGATCATACAATGCGCACGCGTAAAATAACGAATTGACCATATTTAGTCTCCATGTGACGTCATAAAGGTAACTAAGCATTCGCTGAGAAGTAAAATTCTTTGACAGACCTGCTTAAACAAGTGCATTAATAAACGCTTTTTTTGTTCTAAAGCTACAAAAGTTGATTATCAGAATGAGCGAACACAGTAAAGGTGAGTTGATAGCTTCACTGATTTGCCTTTTAGTCTTTGTGTTAAAAAGTACAGTAAACTTGTTATATTACTCGAGTTAAGCCAATACCCTTCACTACTTGCGAGCCAGGTTATGTAAGGCATTCGGGCAAAAATGATTTGGTACGCTTTCGACATTAATACAAGAACTTCAAATTCAAGTAATGTTAACTAAAGAGATACTTTTCGTGCAGGAGAAACTAATGGAAACTGAATTTTTATGATGGAGAAGCTTCATTATAATTTTCTTTTTTAAGCTGTTTTCTGCCTATGCGCGCGCACTACTGAAAACTAAGGGAAGCAAAACAAAAAGTTAGATAGTGGAAAATATTTCTTTAAACTAGCCAAAAAGCGCGAATTACTGTGAGAAAAGTTGATGCAGGAAAGCATAACTATTCCGTAAATATTTACAGTCTTTTCAGAGTTGGCATAATTTACAATAAGAACGAGAGTTCGATTTGACGTCATAAACGCGAAGAAAAAACTTGCGTCTTTTGATGAGTGATTGAAAAGGTTGAAACATAATCCTTTTTCACTTGTATTAAACTGAAATTTTTCTGGGAAATATTAAAAATTGCCGACTGTTAATTATCCAGCTCAAACTGAAAATGAAAAGAAGAGTACGCCGAAATTTAAAGTTTGTCGTATTAAAGGTAGATCAGATAACAGTTACAAAGCCACGCGCAGTTCTTAAAAACTGACATGACCAATGGCAGAGCTGGAAAATGAGCACCGGAAGTCCTGTGCAAACCATTTGCGCGCGCTTTTGCGTTTTCATTGGACGCTGCGTTGTCTTCAAAGGCGCTACAAATAATAAGCATCGCCTATACGACAAACAGCAAACTTGAGATTCAAGTTGATAAATTTTCAAAATGTGAATTGAGCAGATAAAAACAGCTTAAAAGCATTCTTGTGGATAGAATTTTCCTGTAGTGTATAATGAACGATGAACAGTAAACAACAAGTAAAGGGGAAACTTGGTTACGTGGCGCAAATTCAAGTTTGCCGTTTGCCGTAAACGCGATGCTTTAACGATGATGTTGAATTCGAAATTTATGTCGCCGCGCTCCGACAAAAATTTAAACGGTGCCAGACCACGTAGTTCACAAACATGGGAACCAAAACTCTTAAATCCAGAAGGCTTCTTTTAGAAAAGTGACCCAGCCTTTCGCATGAACTTACAGATCGCTTCCTTTAGCCTATACTAGATGTGATATCGCCCCGGCAGTCAATTTTATTGCTTCTGGTTTTGTTTATCTGTCCAATCGTCAGGTTCTTTCCACGTTGCGTGGAGGGTATTTCCATTTGGTCAGCCTTGTTATCAATTGCTCGCATAAACAGAATTCTGTTTAAAGCGACTCGGTAGAGTGAGGCGGGCCTGATTTTTAAATGGAATCACGCTTTAAGTTAACCGACAGAGAAAGAAACTCTGTAATTTTTCGCAGTTGCAGCTGAAAGCTCCGTGGATGAATACCTCCAGCAGGAAGGATTGCGTCGAGAGCCAGTCCCAAAGGACGGCCATTGCTTGATACACGCGTGGCATAGGGTAAGTGAAAAACCAGTTCATAACCTTTTTCAAAAGCAATTGATCTGATTCTGATGACTAAACAGAAAAAAAGACATCTTAGGCTGGATGCCAGCTATAATATTAGTTTACGGCTTTTTTCAGAGGGGAAGTGTTACCCCCGGGCACCTGGCCGATGTGGGAAAAGAGATGGGGACCTTCATATTATTTGTCCTAGGATTTAGTCTTGGGGAGGTGGGGGCCCACTTTACTCTTAGACCACATTAAGGCCCGTAGGGTTAAGAAAAAATACCCTGTTTCCTCGAATAATAGCCGTCCCTCGATTAATCTCCTCCCTCGAGTAATCGTCCCCCTTTGACGGAAATATTTGAAATAATCGCCTCCCTCGAATAATCGCCACCTTTTGGTGGGAAAAAAGAAATAATCGCACCCGGCTATTATTCGAGGAAGTACGGTATTATCGCGTCGTGTTGGGAGGCTGCCAAACTTCGGGATGACTGAGAGAAGATTGGGAACGACTTATGTGTTTTCAACATGGCGATAATGTATCGGTCAAATCGAAGCTTCAACATGCCCCCCCACCGGGCATACCTCGGGCATTTGACACCTTTGCCGTCCCGGGGAGGAGGGAATTTGATTATCAGAGTCTTCCAGGGGGTGGGGAATTTGATCCCCATGCTTTAGGGGTGGGGAATTTGAACTGCACCCTCGATTTCATGTAACATCTTTGGCGTGGCGAGCTATGGGGGACGCGGTGTTAGAGGATTTTCGTGGAAAAGATTGTGCCTTTGTGGCCAATTGGTTACGAGGAAAGGGTTTAAACAAGCTTTGTGGCGTATCTGAAGTATTTAAATTTTAAAATTTTTAATATTGGATTCAGGCTTTGAATGTATGAATGTATTTTATTGTTGTGTTAAAAATACAAATACAATACCTATACCGGCGATTCAATACAACAACATAAAATAAAATAAAATAAAAAGCTCAGGTGAACTTCTTTGACCTACTGCAAGTATGTTAATTAATAAGGTGAGCGATGATGCATGTCAGTGAAATGGTCATGATGTAGTAATCTCAATAGGTGGGATCTTTTTTATAGAACGCTTTGTATGTTGCATGACGAAGAAAAGCTGAGCATTCAGTGACCTTGTAGCAGCGATTTCCGCCGCTTTACACGAGACTTTTGTTATATTTATAAAGATTTTGTTCGACAATTGAAGGCGTTTCCTCCGTCCTTCTGTCATTGTTGTGCCTGTGAAATGTCCCCGGGGTGGGGGCATTTGATCACCTGAATGGACCCCAGTGTGGGGCATTTGAATAGCCTGAGTATCAGGCGTTTCTGGGGAAAAGGGGAAAAATGGAAGCGAAAAAGGAAGAGAGGTGAAGGAAAGAAACGCCTGACACAGATGCTTTTACTGGAGCCTTCCACCCTCACACAGCATGATTCGATACCATCCTTTCTCTTCTCCCCCTTCCCCCTCCCCCATCTAAAATCTCCTCTCCCCTAGCCCCGTAGGAAGGCCTGATACTCAGGCTAGCATTTGAACGGCATTTTGGCCCGGGTAGGGGGGAATTTGAACAATAATTTTCGAAAAAGTCAAATGCCCGGGGGATTGCCCGGGGGGGGGGGCATGTTGAAGCTTCGATTTGACCGATACATAATTCATGGCGATCAAACATGGCGATCAACATGGCGCGAATGTAGCGCACAACTTGACAAGTCGCACAAGGCGCGCAGCTTCAGCGGGGGCGGGGAAAAGAAAGGTATGCGTCAAAATCCAGTCTTTTGCCTATCACACAGACTCTTGTTAAGTTATTTGTAAGTAGTGACAGACACTAGAAGGTTAAATATTCTAGAGTAAGTAAAATTCGTTAGAAGTAACTCAAAAAGTCATCTTTAATTAGTACGCCGGTTTTTCATCCTGGAAGACCAAGAGAAAAACCTGGAAATTTCGTTTCCTTGTGGCGCAGGCAATCTTCAGAATGGATAAGAGACAGAAAAATGTTGCCCTTGTCTAGAATTCCCCCTCCAATTAACCCAGCCTGATGACTGAGTTTTGTTTTTAACGCCTCGGACGTTCACCATTCACTCTGGCCCTTCCTGAAAGTGGAAAGCAGAATTCACTGGATTTCATGTGCATAAAATTAGATCTGCTTGTTGCCACAAACCATAAGAAGATGGAGTTTAGGGAATTTTCAACTGACTAATATGATATATTGCATATTGTTTTCCCATTAGGCCATGCAGATGCAGGAAGAGGGAGCTCACACGTTCCCAACCTACAAAGCTCTTCTAAATGCTGTTGTAGCCGAGTTATACGATCATGAATGGTTTTATGCTGCATTTATGCCAGAAAACTGGGAAAACCAACTGAGTGCCTACTATTATGAAGGTGCATTTAACTGCGACATCGTAGACCTCATTATTTATGCATTAACCAACCTTACAGAGAAAGCCTGCAAAGTGATTACAGTAGCCTCTGATAAGGTGGCCTTCATACACAATATCACACCCAACAGGGAGGAGAAGAAATGTCTCCAACCTGGGATCATGTTCATGCTCAAAGACTTGCACTATGAGCCCCTGGTTAAAATAGTAAGTGAATCCATATTTTTTTGTGAATAAGAAGATTTTCTGATGTGAAATTCCCTACCGAGCTCTTTCTTAATGCTCTGGTAGATGAGTTACCGTTTTCCTGAAAGTCCTGATGTTTCCACTCGAGGGAAACAAATCTAACTGTTTCCCCACTTTCACTTCAACAGTAATAACCGGAGCAATAGCCGGAATGATTCAAAACAGTTGAGACCTGGCACTTTTGGGAATTAAATTTGTGTCAACACAAATTTAATTCTCAAAACCACTGAATGAATGATTTACAAAGTACTTTCCTTTTATTATTTGCATCTTTTTCCTCCACTAGCTGCTGTTTCTCTTCTGGGATAACATTGAAAATCGCTGCTCTTTAGCTTGAGGCTTCATATTATTGTGCTGTTGTGTTCATTCACGAAAAAGAAAACTGGCGATGTTTTTTGCGCTTTCTGTCACACCACTTTCCACCATGCTTTGATCACATGCTGTAATGTAGCCTAGCCTGAGCGGGGTACAATAAATATTAATTTGATTGCTCAAATGTATCATGATCGGGATACATTTGATTTTAGTCAAGGCCATGTGACTAAGAATAAACCAGTGGCAGTCGTTGTTTAGTTGAGAGAAAGTTTAGGAATATAATGTATGGTCTTATTCCCGATCCATACCTGAGAGTTGGGAAAGCCAGTCAGGCATGGACTATTTTCATGGCAGATTAAATATGCCATGAATATCCTAAGCACTTGACTGGGTTAAATTTCAACAACAACATTGTGTGTTTATTTACTTATTTATTTAACATAATTCAACATACAATGTAACATAACAATGAACTTTATAATAACAGGGCAAAAAAAGGAGGCAAAACAGTAAAATAAAAAGACAGCAAAATACAAAAGTTCAATAGTTTAACAACAACAACTGAAAACGAGAAAACATCCACTTTTGTCCACAGTGATTTTCATAATATCAGCGTTTAGGGAAGGCTTAAACAATATCATTATGTCTTTACTGTGTTTGGAACCATGCGCAAACAGGATTTCACCACCCCATTCTGCACGCCACACATTCTCTAAGCTAGGATCGCCATAGGTTTCTTGTAAAAACAATTATATACAATCTATTCAGATAGAGCCACCGAAAGAGCTTTCGCCATTAATGCACAAATAATGTATAAATTAAGTTAGTTATTTATGCATTATTTGTTCGTTATGTTATTCCCCATTTATGCCTAAGATTATTTATTTTCAGTGTCTGCTACCAATTACAAATCTACAGATCAGCTTCTGTTTTGTTATGTTAGCTCATTTTCATTTCAATACAATTTCTTTTCCGTGCCTCGAATAGCATTTCTTTGCTAATTTGTGGGGCAATTGTATTTAGGTTTAAAGTTTCTGTTTTGTTTGAATTTAAAATGAAAAAATAGCGTCAGTTAATTGGCGACTACTGTTTTTATGGTGCATTTTAAAAAAGTACCATCAATGCAGCGGTCTCCAACTGGTTTGATTTAACAGTCACATTGTGGATTTAACCAGCATCAATAAGTACTACATGATGCTATTTATACCCATGAGTGTAAAATAATATTCATGAGCATAAGAATTGCAAAGATGAAGACAGCCTTGGCATAAGCATAAGTGTAAATACAAGCTAGAGCTTTGTATTCTTTTTATGGTTAATTGGTAGACATTTGCATCCTCACCAGTGCAAAAGCTTCTCCTGTGCCTATGATAACATCGCATTAAGTAAGGAGGGCTTTAAACTCTAAATACGACAGTTAAAGTCATAGTCTTTTCTCTTCTTTTAGGAACAGCATCAAAGTTATCACGAAAATCTAGAGACTTGGACAGCTTGCCCAAATGAAGTGCTTACATCAAAGGCAAGAGGTATTGAAAATTTAAAAGAGAAATTGATTGACCTGAGGAATGCAAAGACTATGGCAGATGAGAAGATGAAAACATCTGATGATACAACTTCAAGCACTATGCAAATTTTGAAATTTGTGAGGCACTTGAAGTTGTATCATTGATCTTAAAAGATCATTGAAGATAAGTTCTCATGGCATCTTATACAAGACCGTCTATGTTCAGTTCGAATTACAATTATCCTAGAACAGTTAAGGTTTCCTGTTAACATGTGCATTGTTTTGGAATGGGTGTCAGGGGCGTAGCCAGCAATTTGGCATACAAGGGTTCTTAGGATGTGTTGTTGCAAGAGGCATTGGTTGTGGCTGCATGTCCTCATAATGTCGATTTCTTGATTCTGGCCACAAATTTCTAATAGCGTCAGTGTCAAATGTAGCTGGAATTTCTAAGAGGTAGTTGCAGATCACTCTTCCTGTAGAAATGGTTAAAAGTGTGCCATTCAGTAGTTGTTGAATACATAACATACTTTATCAAGGACTGTGGTCTTGTAATAGACTGTTCACTCAGCTAGCATATTAGCAAGAAGGTGGTGCCTTGTATGCTTCCGTGCAAAAATGTTGATTGTTGAACTTACATCAAGAGCTTACTGTAATGGTTGTTTATTAGAGTAGCCTGCGTAGCAGGTGCTCAGTTTATGAGCCAAGCAAGGCTGAATGGGGCTTGTCTGCAAAGCGAGAAACCAGTGCAGAGGGTTAGACGAGGGGAGAGCAAAGAATAAAGCAAGTCCAGACAATCGTTCCCAGGGCATGGCAACTTTTGAGTGTGTTCTCCTGCTCATGTATATTTGGTGACATAAAATACACACAGACTTGTCTATGTTTCAGTGGAAAGAATTCACAGCAGTCCACCTGGTCCCACTGGGGAAGCAGGTTTAATAGGAGAACCAGGACCAGAGGGAGCACTGGGTGATAATGAAAAGAAAGGTGCAAAGATCCAGCCTGGACCTTCGGGTGATCAAGGGCCTCAAGGCGGTGATGGAGACCAGGGTGCTCAAGGTGAGTGTGCGGACTTAGGGTGTGTAAGGGGTGGAGGCTTGGGGGGGGGGGTATTCCTCCCCATGGTCCAGGTCGTAGACCTTCCATGGACGAATCATACTCCTTTCACCTACCTACTTAAATCCGAACTTTACATCCCTTTTGATTACTGGGGGACGGGGGGCCTTAAGAAAGCTTTATAGGCGGGGGAGTCCACTTTGAGCTCCTGGTCATACACCTTCCATTGACAAATCGCACCCCTTTTACATACCTTTACTTTAGAACTTTTCATCCCTTTTAATTTATTACTGTAGATGCACTGTCTTCAAAATTTGAATAGATCACAAAACTAGAAGGTTTCCTTGACTTCTTCACAGTTCATTTGTTAGCACTTTTAGGCCTTTTACAGATGAAAATGACAAATTTCCCTATTTCAAACTTAAGGCTAAACAGATTCGTGTTTAAAGGGGGTCTAAGTGGCAAATTTTAGCCTAACAGTTTCTTAGTCGCAGGTTTTACTGTAATGCTCTTACATCTGTGAGGTGCTCATCTTCTGGTATTTGTTGCAGGACCCAAAGGTGAACCTGGACAAGCGGCAACTGGGGTGAAAGGTGAGAAGGGAGACCAGGGTGCAGATGGGGATGTTGGAAACAGAGATCCCCAGGGACACAAAGGAGAGAGAGGAGTGGATGGTTCACCGGGAAGTCCTGGAGATCCCAGTCCCTCTGTTGAAAGAGGTAAGTTTTTATATCACTAGAGACTTCCTTCTCTAGTGATCTTGACTACGGGGACTAGAAAAACTCCAAATCTCCTACTTTTTTAATAACTCCGAAAGTTCTCCACTAGCTCCTTACAGTGTGATAGACTCCTTACAACTAGGTAAACCTGCTAGAGCGGTTTTCACTTGACTGTCGTAAAACCAAAACCAAAGTAAATACACTAGCCAACCAAAGGGCGTAGTAAAACCAAAACCAAAACCAATCCCTTTCGACAGTCAAGTGAAAACCGCTCTAGTTACGGATCGCAAATTGACCAATCGGATGGCGAAAACAGACTCAGCCATATAATAATGATTCGTTATTGATTTTTTTGTATTACGTTAAATCACAAGATGACGTTATTCCTTGTCCATTAGGGACGTGATTACTTAAGTTTCGCTCAAACCACACTTTTGTTAGTTGGCTTTGTTTGTATTGTATTTGTATTTTATTTTTACTCCATCCTATAGATAATACATTAATTGTACAATATCAATTAGTACCAGGTTGATTAAAGTTAGAATGGAGAAGGGCACATTATAGAAAACTAATTATGGCCCTTTAACAGGATTGACTTTATTCTAATATAGCTTTGTTATTCATTAAAACACAAACACGCACCCACGCACACACACACGCACACAAGTCAATATTGAGCAAGACAATATGTTTTAAGTGCCTTTTTGAACATATTCAAATAAAAGACACCAACACGAGAAACTAAATTATTTAAACACACAAAAAAGGAAACAAATAACACAGAACTATCCAGCTTCAAAAGACACGGCCATCATCATCGCTGACCTCTGACCGCTGACCTTTGTTTGGGCAAAACGATAAGTCGTGGACTAAGTCGTGTCGTTAGTACAGTTTGTCCAGTTTATCTTTGAAGTTGTTTGGTCAAGCTCTTACAAGCGGGACTGTTGTGTAAGTGTTTAAGTTTCTTTTTTATACCTAACCTTTTCGATAAGACTCCTTTAGCTTACACCAGTTTTTTCATCGCATGTTTTCCTCAACTATGTTACCACGTGGCATAGGTTAGTTGATGTTACTTAAAATGTTACTCACCTTTCACTTGGTTATTAGTACGTTTTAGAGTTTGTTTTTCAGAATCTTTTCAGTAGTTTGTCTCTTTTGCTTTTATATAGTTTCATTATTTGTTTGTATTTAATTTCGACCTTATGGTTCTACGGATCTTTATAGTACATCGAACTGTTTTCGCCTTGTTATTAGATGTATCTTTTTGTAATCTCGAATTTTGTATTTGTTAATTCGTTTTCGATTATTTTCTCAAGTCTTGATTCGTTTACCTTCTTCGGCTTAGGCTTAGTGTAACTTGCAACTTTGCAATGGAATGATTGGAATGTAGTTTGTATGTCGTTAGAAATCAGCTTAGCCTTTTTTGTATTGCATGTTTCAGTTTACGATAAGGACTTGGATCCTATGATCACGTTGAATAAACGATTCAAGACTCCTGTCGGTAAAATATTTCCTCGCTTTATAGTGTGTCGTCGCTCGCAAACTCAAGGTCGTTGTCGTAAATTACTTCGCTTGTGTTGGCCGCTACATATGGGCTCTTGTTGTGCGCATATATATGCGCGTCTGAGAAGAAAATGGTCACATACTTGGGAAAAAAACCCACAAAGCAGGAAAGATCGCAAGTATACGAGTCAAAAAACCGCACGTATATCGTGTCGTAATTTTGAAACAAATGGCCGACCATAAATGTTATCACTGCTGTTGTTATGGAGTGTGGAATGTGATAATATAAGCTCAAATTTATAAAGCTTTCTTGAATAGACCTACTTCCGATAAATTTAATACTTTCTCTAGTAATTTTTATCAGCATCATAACTTCTATAATCTTCTGATGTCTTCGTCCGCAAAAACGATCTAACCTGTAAACTGGATCTATAGTCCAGAGCGTGTTGTTGCCGGTTAAGAATTTACAAGGTTGCTGTGACTGTCGCGACCATTTTGCAATTTCAGTAGCAAAGGACGAATACGATATGCGAAAAAAATAAAGAGGTATACTATTATTTTTTCAATTTAATGTTGAATTTTTTTTCTGTAAGTTCGCTTCTCGCTTCTAAAATATTACTTTGGGAAAAATACTGCAATAAATTATCCGCTGATCACCACGATAAGTGACCGCTTTGCAAGTTGGGAGAACATTCTCGATCCCAGACCTCGTTTCGTCCCCTCCCCCCATTCCCTACTGGGTGTCGCCTTTACCAGAACTAACCAGAACTAGGCTTGAATTCCATTGATTGTCAGAAGTTACCTTCGTTAACTGCATAACCAGTGTCAGAAAAAGTCCAGTGAAAGGACAGTATAAGGACAGCTTTTCTTTGGGATCAGGTAGGTACGAATGCATTGGAATGGATGATCCATTTGAAACTCGTTTTCCCATGTTTTGGGTACAGGTAGACTGGAATATTTTGTAGAATGGGGAAGGACTCTGAAACTTAGTGATTAGGGTCAGGAAACTGAGTGAATGAGTTTCAGGTTTGCTTACCATGGTATAATGAACCCAACAGGAACTTGATTTATTCAGTTTCTTAACTCTAATCATGAAACTTCAGGTCCTTCTGTGTGTATTGCGACGGTTCGGCGGTCAAGTATTGAATTCTGACTGGATTAATGAAGCATCAAACTTCGAAACGGCAAAAAGATGATCTACGCGGAGGAAAAAAGGTCAACTGACAAAAGTTAACGAAACGAAAAGCTCTTCACGTCCGAGATTTGTTGGACACAACTAAAGTTGGACAATTAATTCCTATCATTTTGATCATACTGACCAATAAACGCGTTAATTTATTCCGTCACAATCTATGAACCAAAAACAATCCGGCAACATAAATTGTATTATTACAGTCAATCCAGGTGAAGCGTACCCCGCAAGATACCATAAATGAATTTATTATTCAAAAGTTGAATCCGTTGGTACTTGTAGACTTCAATTCATCTCTGCATCCTTGCATGCGCAATGAGCCATGAATTCACACGCGAGGCACTTAGGAAATTTCTACCAGCTCAGTTTCCCTGAATTTGATGTAAATGTCTTCTAAGAAATTTCATCCATTCAAAGATTCTCAATCCGTCCAAATACAGAGAAGTTCTCGTAACATATTCACTGCTCATTACGCATGCAGAATGCCGAATTGAATTTGAATACGGGAACAACTGACGAATTCATTCTTTCAAATTATCAATTCATTATATAATATTTTTACACTGGGCTGTTAAGTAAGACTTAAGAGCGGCTAAGTTTTACTTAACCAAAAAATACGTGTGAAGGCCTAAGTAAAATCTCAAGTAACTTTACTGTGCATCTCATTAAAGTCGGAAAGTTGAGACGCTTTAAGAATGTTTCAAGTGACGTTGAGAAAGGCTAAGCATGTCAATCAATTCCAATTCTCGTATGGAAACTAGACCGAGACTGCGGTAATGTCGGAACAAAAGTTTCAACTGCGAATTGTGTCGTTCTGTTTATTTTCTTGACCCATTCACAGTAAAAACCGATCAAGCCTTCCTACGAAGGATAAATTAAAGCTGATTATTTTGCTGTTGAGCTCATTTTTTGGTTTAATATTGTTCTCTTCAGCTGAAAAATTATAAATTCAAACTATGCCTCGATTCAAAAATCGAATCAATGGTAGTCTTTAGACTAGAGCCTAAATAAGCTAAGAAATATTCAAGACAAGTAAATTTAAAAGAAAGCTTCACACACAACCTATCCTTTTTACTTCAGGTTTACTTAAGCCTATTTTCCCACGCAACGTAATTAACATTGTCGAAACACCCTAACAGGTCTAAGAGCAACACAGCATAACAACATTACTGCGACATTGGTTCAAAAGGTTGCAACATTCCCAGCTGTGTTGCGCTTAAAATCATCGTTGCGAATCGTCCCGTGACGGTGTAACATCAATGTAAGAAACCAATCATCTGAGAAACATGAATTTAAAAGCAACTGTCATTTTAGAAAGAAAAAGAAGTTGTTAATAACGCCATTTTGTTACAGTCTAAAATCTAACGTGAGTTTCAGCAACAGACTCTGAAACCAAGAGACGCAAGCATTAGTATTTAAGTCTTATTTTATTTTATTTTATTATTTTGCCACACACAATGAATTACAAGCAGAATAAAAACGATAATAAATAGGTTAATTAACATTAAATTTAAAATTTGTACATTACTTGGGAGGAGTGACAGTGGCGGGGAAAAAAAAGTCGTAAATGAAAGGAGTAAAATAGAACAAGAAAAAGTGTTGTAAAATTTACAGAGATCCGAGCATATGAATGACTGAAATCAGAAACTCATAATTCAACCCCTTATGCGTTTCTGCTGAAATAGATAGAGCCACATTTATTTTTGTTAGGTCCAATTAGGTCAGTTATATAAATAGCTTTTAAGAGCGAATGCACAGAAAAATCGAGCAAAATCGGCAAATCGTGGCCACAGCTCAAAACCTAACTTACTCTCATTTTCAGTCTGTAATAAGGTTTTAATGAGTTTATAACACTGCTGAGGTTTAAATTTCAAAATGCGGCCGAGTTTGGGAATTATTTGAGATTTTCGATTTCAACGATCTGCGGGCCTAAAATTAGCCGCCGAACAAGGCAATATAGCCTAGCGACAGAAATGAGCTGACTTTCATAAATGAGCGAATATATTGCCAATCTTCCACTTAAATCTCAAAAAGCAGATATCTAACAATTTCTGAATGCCTTATTTTTTAGATTTAGAGTATAAAATATCGACGAACCAGCAGAATTTTGAAACGTAATTTGCATAATGCTTATAAATACAACAATTTACCGCTAAAACCAAAATCGAATTTTCTATATGGGGGAATTCTCCAAATCACCCCAAATCCCGCTTACTAACTAATGAGATATAGTACTTCAACATTATCTGAAAGTTAGTCTGGTGTTCTTGCGAACGCTTGTAAAATAGATTGATTATTTTGAAGTTATTTTGCCCCAAACAACTGCTAATTGACCCCAGGGTCAATTGACACGTGCACGTCACCTTAGTTTTATGCATCGATTTGAGCTCGTTAAAAGGGAGAAACTAACAAGATTCTTTTAATATGTACCTGTTTTAATGAAATACACGCAATCCTCAAAGGAGAGGCCGTTCAATGGGTAATTTCTGTTCTTGAGATCTTGAAGATTGCAGCATGGCGTCTGCGAGTGGACCTGAGTCTAGGTCTGTTTTCCCGTGACTGCGAAATCAGAATAACATCAAGAAATAATTCTCCCTCGAATCTTCGTAAGTGAATCAGCTTTGCAATGCCTTACCTGAGATAAAAAGTGGGCCGAATAGCAAAACATTTCCAGCGTAATTTGGATCCTTTGTCGAACGCAGTGTATTGCCGAGCGAAAGGTCAGTAAACAAACGTGGGAAAATACGTTACCTTTGATTGCGTGACCAGCCAGTAAACGATAGTCTCCAGCGAAAAATAGGATTCGCAAAACTCTTGCTGATGTATATTTAACAGTTTGTTACTATAAATTTACACCTGGTTTGTCTAAAACTTTAAACAATGCATATCTGTCCAAGAGTATAAGAATGTTTCGAAAGATCCACCCCTAAATAACTGTGGGCTAGTCCTTTTCCCCCATCACCGATGTGTACTTCCTTCCCACTGTCTTTTGCATGGGGCTTGTATGCCTTTTTAACTGTTATCGATACTTAAAACTGGCCGTTTAAGGCCTGGTTTAAGAACTTGACTGACTTAAAAAACCGTCGCGAACATGCGCTATTATTGTTGGACTTTGGAAGCTTAAAAGCCCAAAATGATGGTGCAATCTCGAGAAATTTGCCCGGGTCTAATAAAAAGACAGGGAACGGGTACCAAGAAAGGGACGGTCTCATTTAGCAACCCGTGGACAATCTGGGCATGCTTGCCTTCTTTCGAAGGTGCCCCGCCCCCACCCGAGAGGATTGCATGGCATCCACCATTTCAGTCGCTTTTTCCACATCATGACCTTCAATTATCATGAATTATAATGCGGGCCTTGATCGTTGCCACCTTACCAGAAGTCTAATCTTCGCACTGTTAGACCATGAGAATCTCTATTATTATTCCATAAATGCACCATTGAATTTTCCTTGCTCAGCTTCCGGGAAACCGATACCCCGAAGCAAAAATAGCTTTACAACGACTCTATCCAGGCCAGAACTCCTGATATCAACAAATATACCCCCCTCACTAAAGAGAGCAAACGTTCCCCGAAATATTCACTTGACCCACCCCATCCCTTCGTTAAGAAAAACTACGCGCTCAGTTCACTGGACAAAACGCGCTCGTGAATATACCAAACTATAGCCGAATATCCTACAAGCAATCTCAGTTTCAGCAGGCGTGGCCACGTTTCCAGTTGCTGTAGGATTAATTCGACTCCTGCAACAGACACTGTAAATTAAATAGCAGCCACAACGCCCTTCTTTGAGACCGTCAGGACGAGAAAGTTTATAAAAGACTTTACAGGTGCGCGCGGCGGTTTTCTTTTCTTCCTTCCCTCCCATTGTAGCACTCAAATTCTGACCCTGGTATTTATTCTAGTAGTAATCAATCGTTCCTGAGCCGATAGGCACAAGGATACCAGTTTCTTGCAAAATATGCTGTGACATCCGTTTGCTCATCCCCTTTTCTGCCTTCGGCCGCTGATTAGGTTTGGTTCTGTGCTTTGAAATAACTTTAGGAACGAAACATGATACGTGAGGGGCGTGTCTGGCTAAGGGCAAGTGACTCTCGGTGGTGAAGACATATATTGAGCTTGTCAGTATTTCGTAACCTGTAGCACGTCGCGAAAATAGAACAAGCCAAAGAAAAATAAGACGCCTTTCTTTCCCCAGCCCCCGCAGGTTTTTCGCATTACTTTTTACTGCACAACTGATTCTACCTTTTCGAGCCGGAGCCAACATGGACGCCCTTAGGGTTAAGTTTTCACTTCATTTTCGGCACCTGACTAAACGCAAGCGCTGACTTGTGCGCCTATGCTTCGTTTGCACTGAAGTAGCAGTATATGACCACGACAGACTTGCTGCTATCCTTGGTTTGAAACCGCAATGGGCAAGAACAATTTCTTGAAAAGAGCAAACTATTTCCCCCTTAGCAGACATGGAGAAGAACTACTAGGACTTAAGCAATGCCATTGCTTAAGTCCTACTAGACTTGAAAAGAGAAAGCATGATGCTTTCTCTTTTTAATGATTTACGGCTAAACAGTACAATTTCATGTAGCTTTTACGTCGCAAAATTAAATACTTAGTTATTTGCAGATTTGCATTCAACAACAAATTACAGAAATTTAACTAAGTTTACATCTCATAGATAAGAATTGAACGAAAAAAACTTTTGGGGTAAAAAAGTAAAAAAATAATGTTTGATGGAAAATCACTTAATGGACATACGATAGCAGAGATATCATGCCTGTAATTTTCTGTTCAATGCACCTTATGACAAGTCTGACTAATCCACTGGTAACCCATGCCTTAAAACCGCCTTGAACCTTAAAATTCAATCCATTTGCCTTTCATGCGTAGTGCAAATATATCTTCTGAACACTCCGGGGTTAGGGGTAAAATCAGGAGAACAGAACATTCAGTTACTGTACCATTTTTAAAAGTGGGACAGTATGTTTGCTAATCATCTTAGTTAACCGCTTTTAAAATAGGACAAAAGGACACCTGGTCATACAGAAAAATGAATTTACTGTATCCCGAAAGCTTTGGTTTCACATGCACTTATTTTTCGCTGGAGACAATCTATAATTGCCTGGTCACGCAATCGGAGGTGAGTAACTAATTTTAATTAGTTACTCACCTGACTTTTAAAAAAGTCATTAATACCATCGCCGCTTAGCAAATACACTACGTGCTGCAAAGGATCCAAATTGCGCTAGAATGTTTTCCTATTCTGCCCACTTTTTATCTCAGGTAAGGCACTGCAAAGCTGATTCATTTACGAAGGTTCGAGAGAGAATTATTTCATGATGTTATTCTGATTTCGCAGTCACGGGAAAACAGACCTAGACTCAGGTCCACTCGCAGACGCCATGGTACAATCTACAAGATCTCAAGAACAGAAATTACCCATTGAACGGCCTCTCCTTTTGAAGATTGCGTGTATTTCATTAAAACAGGTACATATTAAAAGAATCTTGTTAGTTTCTCCCTTTTAACGAGCTCAAATCGATGCATAAAACTAAGGTGACGTGCACGTGTCAATTGACCCTGGGGTCAATTAGCAGTTGTTTGGGGCAAAATAACTTCAAAATAATCAATCTATTTCACAAGCGTTCGCAAGAACACCAGACTAACTTTCAGATAATGTTGAAGTACTATATCTCATTAGGTAGTAAGCGGGAGAATTCCCCCATATAGAAAATTCGATTTTGGTTTTAGCGGTAAATTGTTGTATTTATAAGCATTATGCGAATTACGTTTCAAAATTCTGCTGCGATATTTTATTCTCTAAATCTAAAAAATAAGGCATTCAGAAATTGTTAGATATCTGCTTTTTGAGATTTAAGTGGAAGATTGGCAATATATTCGCTCTTTTATGAAATTCAGCTCATTTCTGTCGCTAGGCTATATTGCCTTGTTCGGCGGTTAATTTTAGGCCCGCAGACCGTTGAAATCGAAAATCTCAAATAATTCCCAAACTCGGCCGCATTTTGAAAATTAAACCTCAGCAGTGTTATGAGTTCATTAAAACCTTATTACAGACTTAAAATGAGGGTAGGTTAGGTTTTGAGCTGTGGCCACGGTTTGCTCGATTTTTCTGTGCATTCGCTCTTAACACGAATCACTTTCAAACATGGCAAGTTTACTAATTCCAGTGAAGGCGAAGGATTTTCTCTCCCTGGTCCAAGTCAAAAAGTTAAAAAAACCGCGGAAGGGCCTTTGATCATTAAAGAGTCTTAAACCCCAACATCACCTTCAGAGTATACAGGTGAACTCAGGCACTGGTCGTTACCAGATCGTTACAGTCAACCCCCTGTTATTCCGAAAGCCCCTTAGGGACCTCAAGTCAGCGTCTTTTTTATATATAAACAATATTTATTGCAGCATTTGCTCTAAGAGCCTAAAGGGCTCATCTAGAGAGCTTACGCTAGCTGTTTACATTAAATATTTTAAAAATAATACATAGATTTAGCCAGGGCTAAAAACGAAGCTCTCGATAATATTTATATTTTTTTCAAACAAAATATAAAATCGTGTAATGCTAAGCGGCGAAGGCATGCAACGCCGGAAAACGGTGAAAAACAACAATAGATCTAATTAGCAAAAGCAACTTGGGACGTGCAGCACACTTTTTTTGCACATTTCTTTGGCGTTGTTTTGCACGACTACAACTTGAAACTTCTTAGTTACACGTTTTATGGAGGAAATGTCGTTTCCCGTTCACTTTTTTTCACTGCCGCTCATTTTCACCTTGCATTGGTGGCCGCTACCATTTCTCATTTTGTCACCGCCGCTACAAAATTTTCATGTTGTTCTTCCAACAAAAAAATGTCTCCTTTGTTTTTTATCTCTCGCTCTAAATCCCTGTCGCCCTTTTTCTCGTTGAGCTTCGCTGGCCTGCCGCCCACTTTCTCTTTTTCTCTGTCTTTCTCTTGCTCTATATTCCAAATTTGTGGACATGACAATTTATCTAAGCTTAATACTTTAGACAACACGGATACAGAAACAATTTCATCTTTATTAACTCTTTTGTTGTCTCTGCTTTACAAGACGCCGGTGGCTATGCAATTTTCCGCCAAAACAACCTCGAGTTGCATTTGTGTTACCATACCTGTTGATTGTGTTATTTTACATTGGTATGCCTGGGGTGCGAACGGACGGTCTCTCGGGGCGGGGGGGGGTCGGTCGGTCAGTATGGTCACGTGATTACCAAATTTTCTCGGATGGGTAGATTACTTCATTACCCATGGTGGTCCGCTGGCGCGTGTCGCGCGCAAGAGCTCCGCTACAAATGCACGTCAAGATCGAACACACACGCATAAGTTCTTGAAAAAAATTCATCAGGCTAGTAAAGTTAATATCTATATTAAATGTTCCCAAATCATAGCTAAGAAACGTCTTAATGATGCTGACAGTTTTGCGCTGCCTGTCAGCCATCTTTATCAAAACTAGAAAACTATAGTTTTGATGAAGATGGCTCACAGTCATTGAAACTGTCAGCATTATTAAGACTTTTCTTGGCTATGTTTTGAGAACATTTAAATAGACACACACATAGAAAAAGCGAAAGAATAAAAAGAAAAAAACAAAACAAACAAATAAATAAATAAATATAAAAAAAAAACACAGCAATTAACAGAAGCGATTTGATAGCAAACTAAACGACTGGACAAGCTGAAACAACTTTACGTTAATTTGAAAATCAGCAGTAGAAATACCATTTAACAGCCAATCGATTTTTTTTCTTATCTGAGGCAAAATGCGATCTATTTCCAAGTAACTGTGCAGCGGAGGTAAAAAACTTTTCACACAGAGCAGTAAAACTTGGGCAGTATAGGAAGTCAGCGTCTTTAATGGCGACAGTTTGTCTTAGCGACGCGCGGAACAAATTTTCTAGATTGTCTACAACTTTTGAGGTTGGATTTCCGTAAATCCTTTCACAATAATCTTACTTGAAAGAACTGACGGCCATTTGCATTGTCGAACGATGGAAGAAAAGTATAGTCTATCTACGGTTTTTTTTCCTGAGTGCAATCATGCACAGGAAAGTCATACATGTCAATTTTTCGTTTTTCCCTGCCATATTTGCAATACCAACCGCGGTTGTTGAGATCCAGAAATTTTGCTACAACAATGGCAACGCGACGTAACGGCTTCTCCCTAGTAGTTCATTATTTTCCATGCAACCCTGAAAACTGTACGCATAAGATATCCTAGCGGTCGATTTCTTCCAAATATTTCAAACTCAGCTTTACCCTTGGAAGAAGCTAGTTCGTTTTAGTCTGTTCACAACTACAAACAAAAGAGAACCAAAGATTGAGCCATGAGTCACTGCTGAAGAGAAGGCTACAGATCAGGTGAGTGCGATGAAAAGTACATAAAAATAATCAACTGTGCCGTTTTCTTTCTCAGGAAATGTATAAGGCAAAGCGCGTTTGTGTGATTGGTGCAGGACCTAGTGGAATGTCTGCTTTATATCAATTCAAGCAGTTGGAAATGAAGGGACAGGACATTCCAGAAATTGTGTGCTTTGAAAAACAGTCTGATTGGGGTGGTCTCTGGAACTATTCATGGCGAACAGGTAGGAGATTATTTTGCTGTACCTTCATAAATGTCGACAATTCTCTCGACCTAGCGTGCAAAGAAAGTAGTGTCCGATAGCCCGGGGCTAGTGAATTTTTCTATGGGGCTAGTGAATTCTGTTTTTAACTTGCCCGACGGATAAGTGATGTTTTTTTGAGGAATTTGAATAACAGAAGAACTGTGAAATCAATTCTGCTCGTCAAATGCTTTTGGGGCTAGTTGAAATGATGTCTGGGCTAGTAGATGCTAGCTTCAGCTTGCCCGAATGGTAAGCTGGAAAAATGATTTTCTTTGCACCCTGCGACCCCTCTCGTGTTTATATCAGGCTAAGCAAATACAGGAAAAAAGTTTTTTATCGTTTTAATAAATTAACTTTCCCGCGAAAAAAACGCAAAACGCTTAGTTATGGCACTGTTTAAAAGAGAAATTGTCACTAGTTGCGAAGACTTGTACACGAAGTTTTGCACGCGTAATCTTGTTTTGCAAAAAAAGACTTTCCAATCAGAGCACACGTACTATCTTAATTATTTTTATAAAGTTTATCATTCTCACCGTAAACGACTAAGTAAGTTACAGGGAACGCGGAGAAGATGGGGCTGAGGGGTGTGGTTCACCATTTTACTTTCGTTCACCAGGCCTCCGTTCTTCAAAAGGTGGAGAGCGCTACCCACCAGTATCCAACGGATAAGTGTTAGGGAAACCAATTGCGTTTTGCAGTGGATAGTGATTTACCCGATGGATTGCGTTATCCACCTTTCGAACAACTGGGGCCAGATAAATCTCTATCCAGCTGATAGTGCAATTAGTTTCCCCATGAATACTTATCCGCTGGATAGCGCTATCCAACGTTTGAGTGACCGGGGCCGGATTCAATACTCACAGAAATAGCTTCATATACGCCGAAATAAATCCAACAAAAAGGATGATCTCTGTTGAATTAAAATTGCGAAGTGTTTAATTTTGCTTGTTTTGATCCAAAGTTGTTTTTAGGGTGTACAGTCAACTCTCTCTAAGACGGACACTTTTGGGACCGGCACTAAGTGTCCATCTTAGAGAGGTGTCCGTCTTATAGAGAGTCAAATAAAGGGAGTACAGAAGGGCAAGGACCAACTCTAGGTGTCCGTTTTACAGAGGTGTCCGTTAAGAGACAGTCGACTGTATTCTTAGAACTGTGGCTGAGGATGAGGGAAGAGAATAAAAATGTGGTGTTGAATGAGGGAACAGCTTTAGAATTATGATAGCGGTAGATAGAAAACAGCAGAAATGTAGGGGTGGTGATGATGGTGGAGGAGGGAAAACCAATTTAATGTAATTGTGATAGATGGAAAACAATAAAATGTGGGGTTGTATTAATGACGGTCGAGAGGAGATAAATGAAATGAAGTGGAGAAGAGAAATTATTAAGTGGTTTTCAGGTGAACAAGAATGATTAACCGGTAAGTAAGTAAGACCAGGTCAGGGGCGGATCTAGGGGGAGGCTGCAGGGGGTGCCCCCCTCCTAAGATGACCTGCGGCTTCCTATTATAAACAATTAATGGATGAGGTTTTGTGATATCCGGAATAATCAAGGTCGAGGTAAGTGTTATTAGCCGAGCCGAACGCCTAGGCTGATAACACTTACCTAGACTTTGATTATTCCGGGTATTAGAAAAACCGAATCTAATAACTGTTTTAATTATGTGTGAAAGGTTTGAACCCAGGAGTCATTTCAAAAGTAGGTTGTGTTTGATCGTCCGGGTGAACGTAGTCCTGAATAGGGCTGTTGTTGTTGACAGTGACTGACGTTTCGACAACCTGTGCGGTACTCATCTTCAGAGTCAAAGTGAGTTGTATCACGTCAGTTGAGGGTATTATACTCTGGTTGTTGATCTGATTGGTCAATTACGTCGCGATGTTATTGGTCGTCTGTCAGTTAATCCGTGATGTTATTGGCTATGAAGACTCTTAATCAGTAATCGATGCGTTTCGATCCGTCTATTGTCACAGTTAAGTGTCTATTGTTCTCAGCAGTTCCTACTGTATGTTATTTCCTGGTCAAAATCCTTCTTCTTCGTATTCGCTTTAAAAATTTGTTGTCGTCAGCAGTCAGTTGTGCCATTCCTTAGTGGTGCACCCACTACTAAGAGAAGTCCTGGATCCGCCCATGTAGATTCAATGCAAATCTATTATGTTTGTTTGTTGAATGTGATGGTAGTGGTATCTGTGAATGGCAGGCAAGAGAAATATGGTGATGGTACACTCTTCATGAAGTAATTGAATCGATAGATGACCTGAGCACGTAGAACGTAGAACAAAAGATGTATCTGCTTTGTTCACAGATACCGATGAATACGGAGAACATGTACATGGAAGTATGTACCAGGGTCTGTGGACAAATGCTCCTAAGGAATGTTATGAACTTCCAGACTATACCTTTGAGGATCATTTTGGGAAACCTATTCCATCGTTTACACCAAGAGAGATCTTTCGTAATTATCTGACAGTTAAGTATTTTTAGATATTTTTTGAAGTATTTGTTTTGAATTAAATTTATTGTTTGGCTAAAGCCTTTTAGAAAAAGATCCAAGTATCTACTCCTATTAAACCCCCGCCAAGGCTGTAAATAAGTCGAAAAGAAAAGAAGTATACAAGATAAAGTTAGTCTCCTTTTGGGAACCAATACAACTTTGATAAGGAGCCAAAATACCAATACTGTTAGTTTTAAAAATAGAAGAAGTTTGGAATGCAACATAACGCTGATAGAAACAGTAAAAACAATCCCGTTATGGGTTACAGGGAGACAAAAGGGAGGAACATACATAAAAACTGTATGTCTGACAAAACCCAGATGGTGGGGAAACTCCCTCATGGGAGGGAATGCGAGTTTTCTGTAACCTCTATTTTGTATGTCTATCACAGAAATTCAAAAATAAAAACTAATAAAACTCACTTAAGATTCTTTTCAACCAAGGGCTATTCACATTTCTTAGCTTTAAGATTAAGAGTTTAACAAACGTTTTCTTTCACAGGCCGATGGTCAAAAAGCAAACTTCGCCCTTGGGTTCACTTCAGTCATGTTGTTCGTCATGTGACCTACAACGATTCTACCGACGACTTCACTGTAGTCGTCAAAAATCTTTCAGAAGACAAGGTCCTTCCGGCTGAGCGATTTGACTACGTCATTGTAGCAATTGGGCACTTCTCTGTAGCCAACATACCTTCCTTTCCGGGAATTGACCAATTTCCTGGTCGAGTTCTTCATTCACATAGCTTCAGAAATGCCTCTCACTTCAAAGGCAAAAGAGTTCTTGCCATTGGTTCCAGCTACTCAGCGGAAGACATCGCTGTCCAGTGTCTTAAGTACGGCGCTGAAAATATCATCTGCTGTTGGCGAACTCGACCTATGGGTTTCAAATGGCCCCCACAGATAACAGAAAAGCCACTACTATCCAAGATAGAAGGAAGCACAGTCCATTTTAAAGATGGCACCAGGGCGGAGGTTGATGACATCATACTTTGCACAGGCTACCACTACTCTTTTCCTTTTTTGGAAGAGCGCTTGCGTCTCAAGACGACCAATGTCTTGTACCCAGAGGGCCTCTACAAATCGATTCTCTGGACCCGGGGCGGAAATGGCAAAGTTCTGTACATAGGTATGTTGGACCAAGCATACACATTCACCATGTTTGACGCACAAGCAAAGTGGGTGGTCAAGTACATCATGGGGGAACTAAAACTTCCTGATAAAGATGAAATGGAAAGCGACAGCAGAAACTGGATGACAAAGTAATTATTTTTCTTGTTGTTGTTGTTGTTGTTGTTGTTTTATCTTCAGGAAAAAATACGGTAGCCCACAGGCCGGGGGCAAAACACGACTCAATATTATGTCGAAAACACAACAAACTTCCCGATACAAAACGAAATTTTTTCCGTTACAAAACAATTTTGCTTGAAACAAGACAAAGTTTCGTGACTCACAACGATGTTTTGAGACACAAAACAGTTTCGCGCTAATAATAATAATAATAATAATAATAATAATAATAATAATTGACACTTGTACAGATTGTGCTTCACAGAAGCTCTAAAAACAATAAAAATAATTATAAATGCAAGTAAAATTAAGAACCTACTGATGAATGCGCTTCACAGAAGTTCTAAAAATAGTAAAAATAATCCTAAATATAAGTATATACAAGTTAAAACAAGAACCTAGTCACGAAAAAACTTGGGAAAATAAAAATGTTTTCAGTTTCATTTTAAAAGTTGATGGATTCATCTTGGACCGTATGTCACGTGGTAGGCTGTTCCACAACTTTGGGGCCGCGAACATAAAAACGCGATCTCCAAGGGTCTTTGATGACTTCATTGGTGGAAAGCGGAGTAAGGTTCCATCACAAGAACTTCGAAAACTGTAACGTGAAGGTTTCGCAACACAAACAAGAGAAGAAAGACTATAAGAAAGAGCCACATTATTTTAAATCTTAAAAAGTAATTAAAATCATCTTAAAATCAGTGCGTTGCCTCACGGTTAGCCGGTGGAAATCCTGTAGTATTGGCGTAACGTGACAGAAATGAAGGCACTCAATAAACCAAGCGAGTGCATGCGTTTTGAATTCGCTGGAGCTTTACGATAAGACTGTTAGGTAAAACATAGAAAAAACTGTTGCAGTAATCAAGCCCGCTAGTAATGAACACGCAAATAAGGGTCTCAGTGCTTTCTTTAGATACGAATTTTATGGTGAGGTGAATATTGTAAAGGTAGAAAAATGCTGCTCCACACGTCTTATTAATGTGAGTAGACATTGTTTGCTTTGAATCAAGCCACATACCAAGGTCTCTGGCGTCGCCAGCCGATGAAACATCTACAGATCCAACGGTAATTGAGTTAACAGAAACTTTAGCTAATTGGTGACGTGTACCAATTAGTAAGGATTCAGTTTATTCATCGTTACGCTTTAGCTTATCATGATGCATCCAAGACCTAATGTCGCTGATGCAGTGTTCCATTGCAGCAAGAGCAGAAGTATGATCCTCAATACTGTTGGCACAAAATGAAATACACAGCTGAGTGTCATCAGCGTACGCATGCACGGATGGAAGATGCGATCGAATAACATCAAATATCTTGCTTGCGTAGATCGAAAACAGTAGAGGGCTAAGATAGGACCCTTGAGGAACTCTCGAAGTCAGATAAAAGACATCAGACATCACGCAACAATGTTTCATGATGCAAAACAAAATTTCACGATACGCAACCGTCAACTCACACAAAACAAAAATTTAGGGAGACTAGAAGCAATTTCAGATGATGATATCGACGAGCACTCTGGAATCGAAGTTTTCTCCATTTTGAATAACAATGGCTTCATCTTCAGGGATACCAACTGGGGGTGAAAGGAAACTTATTACATACTATTTTACGAGAGGATATGAATATGATGTGCATTTTTAGCCACGTTTCATCAAATAACCTTTAGTATCAGGACACTTAAGAACAGATAGCGACAGTATCAGCTACAAAGAAGGACACCTTCATATGATTTGCTCTTGGTGCGTCACACAATTTTGAGGGAGCTGAGTGGTCAGTTCTGGTTGCAGTGGCGCAGGAGCATATGGTATACTCTGCGCTTGTAAATTCAGTGCTCGAACTTAACTTTTAGCTCTGGTATTCCACTGGACCAGTAGGCTAAGAATTTACTGGTCCCAGGAGCAAAGTTACTGGTCACCCTTTACATTTTTTTTTGCACGTATTTAATTTGTGTGTGTAGGTAAAAACATGTAAATGCCACACTATGATCAAATAAACACAACAATTTACATGTATCTTTTTAGTGATACATAGCAACAATGATAAGTGTATTACAATTATAATTCTTCCCAGTTACAGGCCATAGTTGCAACATAAATAGAATAGCAGCAGTTTTATCAACTTCATTGCTGTCTTAGGCTTAAGTTAGGTCATCAATCCTTTAAGCAAGGCCTTCGCATTCTTTGTGATGCCTGGTTCCAATGCAAAATTGCCCTTTCAGCTGTAAAGTCCTCGGGACTTGAACCATTGAGGCAGATGTTCATGAGCATGTCAACAGTTTCAACATCAAGTGAGTTTCGATACTCTGATTTGAGTCGCCCCATACAAGAGAATCCCCTTTCACAGCAAGATGAGGACACTGCCATTGCCAGACAAATCTCAACCACCATCAACATGTGAGAGAGTTCAAGTTCATCTGGATGCACCTGATTGAACACTTCTACCCAGAACTCAGCCTGACTTAAGTTTGCAATGCGTTTGTGGTCATAACAGTACAGTTTTAGAGATAGCCACTGATCCTTTGATACTTCCAAGTCGAAAGCATTGCTTCTGAGGACTGCCTGAAAGTGCTGAGCCACAGTAACCAATTCTTCTTCTCCATACAAACCTAGATCATTTCTCTCCTTTGGCCAAGACTTATTGTTAGTGATAACACCGCAAGCTTTTAGTACTGGGGAAGTGAAGTCTTCAAATCTTGAGGCTAGAAATTGCTTAGCATCAGTGATGATTGATGCTTTACTTTGCTCAAACAATCTGTCATCTGTGTTGTTCCTTGTAAGACTGACCCCCTTGAACACTGTTCCAGCTCCTACTTCTTCTTGAAAGGCAGCAAGATGTTTCCCAGGTCGTCTTCGCATGTTCTCTAAGGCTTGACTAGCTCGCTCAATCTCAGCCTTCACTTGCGAAATAGAGATAGAATCCTTCTGAAAAATAAGTGAGATCTTTGACACTTCCTCTAGAATGTCCCACATTAAATGAAGGTGAAGCTGGAATTTGTAAGCCTTGAGCTTCTTTGACAAGTTCCTACCCCGTCCTTGCATTTCTGCTGAAGAATCTCTAGCTTCTGCCGTGTGCTCAAAGTGAGAAACAATTGCTTGAAAGTTTTTTTGAAGTAGAACAGTTAAAGCACGGAGCAAATGAGGCACCCAACGAGTTCCACTGGCCTTTGTTGGTTTTCCCACTTTTATTTCCATTGCCTCTGCCATTTCTCTTAGTTCTCTTAAAGCCTTTGGGGAATACTTATAGTGTTTCCAGCAGCCATTTAAAAGTTCCTTGATGCTCATCATTGTTTCATTGCACTTCAAAGTGTCACTAAATGCAAGTTCTAAATTGTGTGCTACACAATGAATTGGAATAACTTGAGGTGCTTGTTGTTTAATTAATGAAACCACACCACCAATCCTGCCCATCATAACTGATGCACCGTCTGTGCCAGTGCTGATCAGTTTTTGCATCCACTGAGGGTCGATCTTATCCATAACCGACTTGATTGCCTTTAGAATTCCTGGTGCCTTTGCACTTTCAACCTCAGCCAGCTCAACATAGCACGTTTTTGGAGCCCCACCTGATACAAATCTCACATACACTATTTCTTCTTCCAAACATGACACATCTGTTGCTCCATCTGCCATTATAGATATAAACTTAGCAGTGCTTAAAGAATCTATGAGATCTGCCCTCAAGGTATCAGATATATGTTTACAAAACTCTTTACAAGCATGATCATTCATGTACGTGTTTCCGAGGTTTAAGCCATTCTTTTTTTGCAATGAACACAACTGTGAGAATATAGAAAATGGAAGTTTCAAATAAGCTATATAATATGCTGTATTAAAAAGATACTCCATTTTCTTCAATGTTTCTTCATCAAGTCTGCTCAATGCAGCAGGCAAAGGTCTTTGCTCTCTTGGACGCTCGCTTGCACGTTTAGCTGCTAAACTCATAGCGTGTCCTTCACTGGCCTCGTGAGCCTTTAAGCTGTCAGTTTGAAAGTTATTTGTTCCGACCCTCAAGGAATAATGTGTGTTTTTCCCATTTGGAAATTCCTGCAAAACTCATAAAACATTTTGTTTTCTTTCTCATCAAAGTGGAGCCATCTGTACTTTTCTATCCACGATTCCTGAAACTTCCGTGTTTTCTTTATCGGAGTTGCAGCAGGCGGTGCTGGTGTTGTGTTGCTTTCTTGATTTTGCTTTCCTCCGAAGAAAGAACTCAGTGAGCATTGAACTTTTTTTCGTTTGGACATTTCAAGAAGTTGTGTTTTGAAAGAAAATAGAGATTCAATCAACATCGATCATTTGGCAAACGCGGGAAGCCGCCATATTGAATCCCACAATCCATTTAATCTCAGCGTAGAACCCAGACTCTTACCTGCCAGGCCAGAAACGCCTAGCGATTTTTGCTCGACGTTTTCGAAGCATTCGCTTTCAGAAATTCTTTATCTGCTTTGACACTTTTAGCCCCTTTCAGCAAGATACAAAAGCAATTATTTATCGGGGTACTGTAACTTTACTCGTCCACAGGACTAGTGGCAAAAAAACCTACTCGTTTTGGGCAATTTTTACTCGTTTTGGACGAGTGGACGACCGTTAAGTTCGAGCACTGAAATTATTCAAGTACCAATGCACAAAAAAATTAAAAAGTGCAAGCAAAGGTACATCAAACCTAAATGAAACGCGACAACGCGAAGTAAAACGCGTAATAACACCCCAATAATACCCGGGGAATACCAGAGCAGTAGACCAGGTCTGCCTCCTAACTTAAGCAAGCCCCTACTAAGAGGACCAATTTTAAAATTCGTACGTCATAACGTCAATTTTGTTCCCTGCCCCCGGGGAAATACCGTACTTCAAAAATCGCAAATGTACCCAAATTAATTTCAAGAATTTTTGCCTCGAATTGAAATTTTACAAATTAATAGTGAAATCAACAACACTGTCCATTTCTCAAACAGCCAAAATTGTAAAGATGCGCAATATTCTACCTTGAATTACTAAATTGGCATTTAAGATGGTGGCAAGGGCGAATCCTCGTCTAAGCACCGTTAATGGTCTTCGCTCGCTGATACTTGCATCTTAGTAATACTGTTGTAAACCCCGCATATCGTGGCCAAAATGACGGTCTAAATCCGCTGAAATCTTCCGCTTCTGCCCCGCATTCTCTGGGTAAGGAGTTGACCAGTGCAAGGAGTTTTATGAACATTACGTTAAAAGTCGCGGCTGAAATGGAGTTGTAAGAATAATTTAATGGTAATTACGTTCCTTCTTCATGTACGGATAGAGAGGAAAGGCCTTGGCCAAGTTGTGTGTCATCAATATTTCTTAAGTTTCTTTGCCATGAAAGTCACGGGCTTAGGAACATTTGACCTACTACAATACTATTAGCAACCAATACTTTTGGGCCCCGAGTTGGGAATTTTAACAACTTTAATAGCGGCAGGAGGCCCAGTATATTATTATATTATAATTTAGTTTGGCTTTGCCTTAGTGCAAAGATGCGCTTCTCGACACCTTTAATATCATTATTTATTAATAATATTGAATAAATTCAATCTTATTCATTAGTTTATAGCAACTTTTTAGGCAATCGGTAATGCTAGATTTTCTTGTTCCAAGATGTTTTGTAAAAAAATTAAAGGAAGTTTAATAAGTCAAGCACTCACTTTGATGTACTTTTCACCACCAGGATGGGAGAACTGAAAGGCGTACATGACGCAATCGACTTCCAGACTGCTTATGTGGTTGATCTTGTCAAAGAATCCAATTACAGCTACGATTTAGATGTATCAGAAATGCTTCACGCTTGGTACAAGAGCAAACTTGATAACATTACAGCTTACAGAGACCAAAGTTTTACAAGCAAGTTTACCGGTCACAAGGCCTCGCCATCGCACACTCCATTTATGGAAGAGTTTGATGATTCCATGGAACGCTTTCTGCTTAATTAAGCAAAGAAACCTGTAAAATGCCATACTAACAAGAAGCACATTTCATATATATTTTACAAATGGAAGACAATTTTTTTGTAGATCAGTGTGATGTGGTTGTTTGAAGGCTACCGGCCATTAGTACCGGGTAAAATTTAATCCTCGTCGAGGTGGGGCCGCGTGATTGTAGTTCAAAATTATCGCTAATTTAGCCTGGTTCCTTTAGGCCACCAAACTACCTGTCAATTCTGCTCCAACACAAGAGAACATATTTCCTTGACAACAGAAAAAAACGCAGCTCTTTGCGCTTGGCAAAGCTGCACAGTGATTTTTAGGGAGTTATTATAACTCCAAAAATGGATTAAAAATTTTCGGTACAGGATAACAGTTTGGAGTCATTTTTACTCCTGAAAAAGAGGTCTCCCAGTCTGGAGTTAAAATAACTTTGAAATGGGGTTATTTTTACTCCTTACATGGGTTGTTTTTACTCTCTGGATTCACTTTAACTCTGAAAGTGGAGTCAAAGTTTTAGGTACGGTATTCGCCTGAAAAATATTTTTTAAAAAACTCCTTTTATGGAGTTAAAATAACTCCACTGTACGGAGTTAAATTAACCTTACTAGAGGAGTTATTATGACTCCTTGAAAATTACTGTGTGCGAAATTAGACTGAGCAGTGAAACAGGCTATGCCAAATCAAGAATGATCACATGTCATATATATTTACTGCTGCACAGTTTGTAAAACAGCCGCAACGAAAATTGTTGAAGGTAGAATTCCTTTTGTTAGGAGTTAAAAAGGTGACACATCACAAAGCTTGTTGAAACGCTTGTTCAAGTTTTTAGGGTATAGTTTCAAAGCGTTTTTGAGGTTCCAAACTGATAATTAGATTAGACTGATAGCTAACATAGTGTTCGCGAAATTTTGGTATATCAAAGTTATGAAATTTTTAAATAATTTAAGTATAGTTGCTACTTCCTTATGAGCATTGAGTACAGTTCTTACATTAGACTCCATAAGTAAACGGTAAGCCAATTATATATTGAAATCAATTAACGTGTAATAAAATTAAAGTTTTCCTTGTTGAGAAAAAAAATTGCTCTTGTCAACCACTCTTAAGTTCCAACAATTAAGAGAGGATAAGAGAGAGGATTATGATAAGGAAAATAAAGGAAGAAAGAACCTACCAAAACGTCTAATGCCCTCGAAGAGTTTTTTTTTTAATTAAAGTGATTCTGAGTATCATTAAGGCTGCTTAATACTGACGATTTTGCCGCCGTGCGAAACAACAGCAGCGACATTTAAGGCGCAGTTAGCATGCTCGTTTTGCTACGGTTTCATGAGAACTGCACATTTCGTGGGGCATTATAATCCTCATTATAATTTAACCCTTTAAGTCCTAATAGTGATTAACATCAATTTTCTCCTAACAATATCCATACATAGTCAAGAGAAATGGTTATGAGAGTTAATAAAATGATCACTAAAGAGAAAATGCTTTGATCTGTTATCAAATTCTCTCAACTATGTCTTTGAATAATTGTATGAAGATCAGTATAGAGAATTTATGTCTGGACAATGGTCTTAAAGGGTTAATACACATTTCGACGTATCCCGAACTGAAAGCGCAGAAGTGTGCAATAGTTTGAATTGAGTTTCCGGTGAAGGTCCAGGTGAGCGTTACACAAAGTAGGGACAGAAACAGAAGCCAGCAACGTTGTGCTCGCTAAAACGTTCTGCACTATAGCAAAGGAAATAAAACACATTTAGTAAAATCCAACTAGTGGTCTATTATGAATGCTGTCGTTCTGATTAGTTGAGCTACTACTAGGCTATATGTTATAGCCCACTAGTGACGAAAAGCGCGAGCTTTTGGCGGTAAAAAGGATTTAAGTCTAGCTTAAACTAGCTAAACTTTTTTCATTCTCGATATTTTTTACCAACTAGTTGGATTTTACTAAAACAATTATTCCTCTCGCCCTCATGGCCTCTGAGTCAATAGCCCATTCGGCCTTCGGCCTCATGGGCTATTGACTCAAAGCCTATTCGGGCGCTAGGAATAATTGTTAATTACTTCATAAGATTTGTCATAACACCATAAAAGGAGTCTTTATTGATCATACAATGCGCACGCGTAAAATAACGAATTGACCATATTTAGTCTCCATGTGACGTCATAAAGGTAACTAAGCATTCGCTGAGAAGTAAAATTCTTTGACAGACCTGCTTAAACAAGTGCATTAATAAACGCGTTTTTTTTCTAAAGCTACAAAAGTTGATTATCAGAATGAGCGAACACAGTAAAGGTGAGTTGATAGCTTCACTGATTTTCCTTTTAGTTTTTGTGTTAAAAAGTACAGTAAACTTGTTATATTACTCGAGTTAAGCCAATACCCTTCCCGTCACTACTTGCGAGCCAGGTTATGTAAGATATTCGGGCAAAAATGATTTGGTACGCTTTCGACATTGATACAAGAACTTCAAATTCAAGTAATGTTAACTAAAGAGATACTTTTCGTGCAGGAGAAACTAATGGAAACTGAATTTTTATGATGGAGAAGCTTCATTATAATTTTCTTTTTTAAGCTGTTTTCTGCCTATGCGCGCGCACTACTGAAAACTAAGGGAAGCAAAACAAAAAGTTAGATGGTGGAAAATATTTCTTTAAATTAGCCAAAAAGCGCGAATTACTGTGAGAAAAGTTGGTGCAGGAAAGCATAACTATTCCGTAAATTGTTACAGTCTTTTCAGAGTTGGCATAATTTACAATAAGAACGAGAGTTCCATTTGACGTCATAAATGCGAAGAAAAAACTTGCATCTTTTGATGAGTGATTGTAAAGGGTAAAACATAATCCTTTTTCACTTGTATTAAACTGAAATTTTTGTGGGAAATATTAAAAATTGCCGACTGTTTAATTATCCAGCTCAAACTGAAAATGAGAAGAAGAATACGCCGGAATTTAAAGTTTGTTGTATTAAAGGTAGATGTTACAAAGCCACGCGCAGTTCTTAAAAACTGACTTGACCAATGGCAGAGCTGGAAAATGAGCACCGGAAGTCCTGTTCAATCCATTTCCGCGCGCTTTTGCGTTTTCATTGGACGCTGCGTTGTCTTCAAAGGCGCTACAAATAATAGAGACATTAAGCATCGCCTATACTACAAACGGCAAACTTGAGATTCAAGTTGAAAAATTTTCAAAATGTGAATTGAGCAGATAAATACAGCTTAAAAGCATTCTTTTGGATAGATTTTCCTGTAGTGTATAATGAACGATGAACAGTAAACAACAAGTAAAGGGGAAACTTGGTTACGTGGTGCAAATTCAAGTTTGCCGTTTGCCGTAAACGCGATGCTTTAACGATGATGTTGAATTCGAAATTTATGTCGCCGCGCTCCGACAAAAATTTAAACGGTGCCAGATCACGTAGTTCACAAACATTGGAACCAAAACTCTTAAATCCAGAAGGCTTCTTTTAGAAAAGTGACCCAGCCTTTCGCATGAACTTACAGATCGCTTCCTTTAGCCTATACTAGATGTGATATCGCCCCTCCAGTCAATTTTATTGCTTCTGGTTTTGTTTATCTGTCCAATCGGCAATCGTCAGGTTCTTTCCACGTTGTGTGGAGGGTATTTCCATTTGGCCAGCCTTGTTGTCAATTGCTCGCATAACCAGAATTCTGTTTAAAGCGACTAGGTAGAGTGAGGCGGGCCTGATTTTTAAATGGAATCACGCTTTAAGTTAACGGACAGAGAAAGAAACTCTTTAATTTTTCGCAGTTGCAGCTGAAAGCTCCGTGGATGAATACCTCCAGCAGGAAGGACTGCGTCGAGAGCCAGTCCCAAAGGACGGCCATTGCTTGATACATGCGTGGCATAGGGTAAGTGAAAAACCAGTTCATAACCTTTTTCAAAAGTAATTGATCTGATTCTGACGACTAAACAGAAAAAAAGACATCTTAGGCTGGATACCAGATATATTAGTTTACGGCTTTTTCCAGAGGAGAAGTGATACACCCGGGCATCTGGCCGATGTGGGTAAAGAGATGGGGACTTTCATGTTATTTGTCCTTGGGTTTAGTCTAGGGGAGGTGGGGGCCCACTTTACTCTTGGACCACATTAAGGCCCGCAGGGTTTAGGAAAAATACCCTGTTTCCTCGAATAACAGCCGTCCCTCGACAGGAGATGAGCTGAGATGGGCTCCTGTCCCTCGATTAATCTCCTCCCTCGAATAATCGTCCCCCTTTGACGGAAATATTTAAAATAATCGCCTCCCTCGAATAATCGCCCCCTTTTGTTGGGAAAAAAGAAATAATCGCACCCAGCTATTATTCGAGGAAGTACGGTATTATCGAGTCATGTTGGGAAGCAGCCAAACTTGGGGATGACTGAGAGAAGATTGGGAACGACTTGTCTGTTTTCAACATGGCGAAAACTTCAGGGCGGAAAAACGTTCTGCGCAAGCTTCTGCGCATCCCTTATCGCAGGCTCAAGGCGGGCTTTTCTGTGTGTTGACTGCGTTTGTTTGTTGCTGGAGTTCTGAGTGAAATGCACGAGGTGCGAACGTTTGCTCCTTGTAAAACATTTTTATTTGACATGTTTGCTTTTTTTTCGTCGCTTGAAAATTACTTTGGATTCAGAACAACCAATGTTAAACGAAAAACGGATCATTCCGTCAGTCTGAGGTGGAATAAAAGGTTTTGAACATTTCTTAAGAGGCGAGTATTTTTCTGATTGTGCATCCGATTAATTTATGAGTTAATTTCGCCGGGTTGAATTAAAACCCGCTTGTATTCTGTTATTAGTAGTTACGGTTACTTTTTTTACATGTCCAGATTTATTACCTTTGCAGAACCAGCTTTATCTTTGTCTTCAGTCAAAGAACCATATTGCTGTTACAACGCGTCAGAGTGAACAAACTTGTGCGCTTATTAAACTTTCTCAGAAATAGAAGGCCAGCAAGCGTACTCAAGATCATTTTTCTGTTCCTCAAGTAATAATAGTCAGAGTTTTTTTATTTTTCATTACATTTTTTTTTCCAGTGCACTGTGAAAGTTTCTGTTCTTTATAAGAATAACTTTCTGTACGCAAATTGTCCTTTTCACTCGCTGTGAAGTAGAGAACGACAACTGCCGGCAGTGACTTCAACTACAATTGACTCTTTTCCCGTAAACAATTGCTGCAGCTTGATTTGACTGAGGCGAGCAAAACAAACCCTTATGTACAATCTTCTGTATTTTCTAATGATCGGCTGAGTTTAATTTGCTTAAACGAAGACCCTTGCATGGACCAGTTAAGCGTATTGAAAATAGCTAAATGGTGAATCATGGCTTGGCTGCCAAGTTGCAACTGATCTTTTGCTTTTAAGATCTTTAGGTAGGTTGTTTTCGCACAGAAAATTCATTTCTTCATTGTCAGCAACAATTTTTTGAAATAATGTAACTTTAACTTTGTTTGAAGGAAAAATCCTTCTTACTTGTAGGTTTTTGACAGATGTTATGCGTGTTCAACTTGACAACACAAAGCAAAATTTATATATCTGTGCGAAACGAGCAAGTTTAAAAAACTATAGTTGCTTTGAAACCGATTTTTGGGAAGATTTTACTAGATAAAGATTGACCTTCCTTCTGTTCACATATCAACGCAATAACTTCTACATTGAGGATTTTGTTTATATTTTAGTGATCTACGAAACTACGAGTGTCCGATCGAGCGAGGGTTGTCAAGTAAAATATCCGCTCGACAAAGTTCAGTGACTTCAAACACATGGTGGGCAAGCGTTAATTTTTTGGGGCAAATCACTGTCCAAAGATATGTTGTTTTTGTGTCCACAGTGGAGCTCTGGACCTTATATATCCAGAAACTTCCTTATATGAGCACATTTTGTGAATGCATCTTGAAAAAAATCGGACCTACGCATGCACATTTCCAGTACAACGCAAGGAAATTAATGTCGTTAAAGTCCGTTTTACTATGAGGTATTCTTCGAGAAAACTAAGTAACGACAAGGTTATAACCACAGCTCGCAACTTTTGAAGACAAATTGCCTGTTCTTTCCAGGTTATGAGTGGAAACATTTTATTTTTAGGCAAGAAAATATTTGAAATCCCGCCATTTTTTCAAACCCGGCCAGGGGATCTGGGCAAAAAAGTTCACGCATGCTCATTACGTTTTTCCGCCCTGAAGGCGAAAACAGGCGATTCATGGCGATCAACATGGCGCGAATGTAGCGCTCAAGTCGCACTAGCCTGCGAAAACATCCGTTTCTCCTCGCTCTTCGCCGCTAGGGACGTTTCGCGCGGAGGAACGTCTGCGACTCAGTGACAGAAATTCCATACTGATGACGCAAATCAATGTTTACAAAATAAATCCGGTAGTCATGGGGTTCCAAATATAAATCTGTCTAATTTTACGTGTCTTCTGGTCGATTTTGGTGAAGTGTTTTGCTTATCTGCCAACGAGCTCCAGCAAAATTCAAATGCTTCTTCTAGAGAAGACTATATTCCACAGATATTGACTATTTTGTTAGAGATTCTTTGCGTTTACATTTGACCTTGTGGCCTTTTGTCTTTTGTCTGTCATTTGTAAACAATAGCTTAAACAATGTAACTACTCCGTCGACCAATCAGCGCTTCTGACCGGATTCCGGACAGATTTTACGTCATCAGTATGGAATTTCTGTCGCTGAGTCGCAAACGTTCCTCCGCGCGAAACGTCCCCAGCGGCGAAGAGCGAGGAGAAACGGATGTTTTCGCAGGCTAAAGTCGCACAAGGCGCGCAGCTTCAGCGGGGGCAGGGAAAAGAAAGGTATGCGTCAAAATCCAGTCTTTTGGCTATCACACAGACTCTTGTTAAGTTATTTGTAAGTAGTGGCAGACGCTAGAAGGTTAAATATTCTACAGTAAGTAAAATTCGTTTAGAACTAACTCAAAACGAATATTAGTACGCCGGTTTTTCATCCTGGAAGACCGAGAGAAAAACCTGGAAATTTCGTTTCCGTGTGGCGCAGGCAATCTTCAGAATGGATAAGAGACAGAAAAATGTTGCCCTTGTCTAGAATTCCCCCTTCCAATTAACCCAGCCTGAAGACTGAGTTTTGTTTACAACGCCTCGGACGTTCACCATTCACTTTGGCCCTTCCTGAAAGTGGAAAGCAGAATTCACTGGATTTCATTTGCATAAAATTAGATCTGCTTGTTGCCACAAACCATAAGAAGATGCAGTGTAGGGAATTTTCAACTGACTAACATGATATATTGCATATTGGTTTCCCATTAGGCCATGCAGATGCAGGAAGAGGGATCAGCTCACACGTTCCCAACCTACAAAGCTCTTTTAAATGCTGTTGTAGCCGAGTTATACGATCATAAATGGTTTTATGCTGCATTTATGCCGGAAAACTGGGAAAACCAACTGAGTGCCTACTATTATGAAGGCGCATTTAACTGCGACATCGTAGACCTCATTATTTATGCATTAACCAACCTTACAGAGAAAGCCTGCAAAGTGATTACAGTAGCCTCTGATAAGGTGGCCTTCACACACGATATCACACCCAACAGGGAGGAGAATAAATGTCTCCAACCTGGCCTCATGTTCATGCTCAAAGACTTGCACTATGAGCCCCTGGTTAAAATAGTAAGTGAATCCATATTTTTTTGTGAATAAGAAGATTTTCTGATGTGAAATTCCTTACCGAGCTCTTTCTTAATGCTCTGGTAGATGAGTTACCATTTCCCAAAAGTCCTGATGTTTCCACTTGAGGGAAACAAATCTAACTGTTTCCCCACTTTCACTTCAACAGTAGTAACCGAAGCAATAGCCGGAATGAATCAAAACAGTTGAGACCTGGTACTTTTTTCCTTTTATTATCTGCATCTTTTTCCCCCACTAGCTGCTGTTTCTCTTCTGGGATAACATTGAAAATCGCTGCTCTTTAGCTTGAGGCTTCATATTTGTGTTGTTGTGTTCATTCACAAAAAAGAAAACTGGCGTTGTTTTTTGCGCTTTCTGTCACACCACTTTCCACCATGCTTTGATCACATGCTGTAATGTAGCCTAGCCTGAGCGGGGTACAATAAATAATAATTTTATTGCTCAAATGTATCATGATCGGGATACATTTGATTTTAGTCAAGGCCATGTGACCAAGAATAAACCAATGGCAGTCGTTGTTTAGTTGAGAGAAAGTTTAGGAATATAACAAATGGTCTTATTCGCAATCCATACCTGAGAGATGGGAAAGCCAGTCAGGCATGGACTATTTTCATGGCAGATTAAATATGCCATGAATATCCTAAGCACTTGACTGGGTTAAATTTTAACAACAACATTGTGTGTTTATTTATTTATTTATTAAATTTATTTATTTAACATAATTCAACATACAATGTAACATAACAATAAACTTTATAATAACAGGGCAAAAAAGGAGGCAAAACAGTAAAATAAAAAGACAGCGAAATACAAAAGTTCAACAGTTTAACAACAACAACTGAAAACGAGAAAACATCCACTTTTGTCCACAGTGATTTTCATAATATCAGCGTTTAGGGAAGGCTTAAAGAATATCATTATGTCTTTACTGTGTAGGGAACCATGCGCAAACAGGATTTCACTGCCCCATACTGCACGCCACACATTCTCTAAGCTAGGATCGCTATAGGTTTCTTGTAAAAACAATTATGTAGAATCTATTCAGATGGAGCCACCGAAAGAGCTTTCTCCATTAATGCACAAATAATGCATAAATCACTAAGTCTTGTAGTGAGTTACTTATTTATGCATTATTTGTTCGTTATGTCATTCCCCATTTATGCCTAAGATTATTAATTCTATTTTCAGTGTCTGCTACCAATTACAAATCTACAGATCAGTTTCTGTTTTGTTATGTTAGCTCATTTTCATTTCAATACAATTTCTTTTCCATGCCTCAAATAGCATTTCTTTGCTAATTTGCGGGGCAATTGTATTTAGGTTTAAAGTTTCTGTTGGTTTGAATTTAAAATGAAAAAAAAGCGTCAGTTAATTGGCGACTACTGTTTTTATGGTGCGTTTTAAAAATGTACCATCAACACAGTGGTCTCCAACTGGTTTGATTTAACAGTCACATTGTGGATTTAACCAGCATCAATAAGTACTACATGGTGCTATTTATACCCATGAGTGTAAAATAATATTTATGAGCATAAGAATTGCACAGATGAAGACAGCCTTGGCATAAGCATAAGTGTAAATACAAGCTAGAGCTTTGTATTCTTTTTATGTTTAATTGGTAGACATTTGCATCCTCACCAGTGCAAAAGCTTCTCCTGCTCATGATCATTCTTATGCTTATTCATTATTCCTGTGCTTATGATAACATTGCATTAAGTAAGGAGGGCTTTAAACTCTTAATACGACAGTTAAAGTCATAGTCTTTTCTCTACTTTCAGGAACAGCATCAAAGTTATCATGAAACGCTAGAGACTTGGGCAGCTTGCCCAAATGAAGTGCTTACATCAAAGGCAAAAGGTATTGAAAATTTAAAAGAGAAATTGATTGATCTGAGGAATGCAAAGACTATGGCAGATGAGAAGATGAAAAGATACAACTTCAAGCACTATGCAAATTTTGAAATTTGTGAGGCACTTGAAGTTGTATCATTGATCTTAAAAGATCATTGAAGATAGATAAGTTCTCATGGCATCTTATACAAGACCGTCTATGTTCAGTTCTCCTAGAACAGTTAAGGTTTCCTGTTAACATGTGCATTGTTTTGGAATGGGTGTCAGGGGCGTAGCCAGCAATTTGGCATACAGGGTTTCTTAGGATGGTGTTGTTGCAAGAGGCATTGGTTGCGGGTGCATGTCCTCACATGTCGATTTCTTGATTCTGGCCACAAATTTCTAATAGTGTCAGTGTCAAATGTAGCTGGAATTTCGAAGAGGTAGTTGCAGATCACTGACTTCCTGTAGAGATGGTTAAAAGTGTGCCAGTCTGTAGTTGTTTAATACATGACATACTTTATCAAGGACTGTGGTCTTGTAATGGACTGTTCACTCAGCTAGCATATTAGCAAGAAGGTGGTGCCTTGTATGCTTCCGTGCAAAAATGTTGATTGTTGAACTTACGTCAAGAGGTTACTGTAACGGTTGTTTATTAGAGTAGCCTGGGTAGCAGGTGCTCAGTTTATGAGCCAAGCAAGGCTGAATGGGGCTTGTCTGCAAAGCGAGAAACCAGTGCAGAGGGTTAGACGAGGGGAGGGCAAAGAATAAAGCAAGTCCAGACAATCACTCCCAGGGCATGGCAACTTTGAGTGTGTTCTCCTGCTCATGTATATTTGGTGACATAAAATACACACAGACTTGTCTATGTTTCAGTGGAAAGAATTCACAGCAGTCCACCTGGTCCCACTGGGGAAGCAGGTTTAATAGGAGAACCAGGACCAGAGGGAGCACTGGGTGATAATGAAAAGAAAGGTGCAAAGATCCAGCCTGGACCTTCGGGTGATCAAGGGCCTCAAGGCGATGATGGAGACCAGGGTGCTCAAGGTGAGTGTGCGGACTTAGGATGTGTAAGGGGTGGAGGCTTGGAGGGGGGGGTATTCCTCCCCATGGTCCAGGTCGTACACCTTCCATGGACGAATCATACTCCTTTCACCTACCTACTTAAATCCGAACTTTACATCCCTTTTGATTACTGGGGGTGGGGGGCTTAAGAAAGCTTTATAGGCGGGGGAGTCCACTTTGAGCTCCTGGTCATACACCTTCCACTGACAAATCGCACCCCTTTTACATACCTTTACTTTAGAACTTTTCATCCCTTTTAATTTGTTACTGTTGATGCACTGTCTTCAAAATTTGAATAGATCACAAAACCAGAAGGTTTCCTTGACGTCTTCACAGTTCATTTGTTAGCACTTTTAGGCCTTTTACAGATGAAAATGACAAATTTCCCTATTTCAAACTTAAGGCTAAACAGGTTCGTGTTTAAAGGGGGTCTAAGTGGCAAATTTTAGCCTAACAGTTTCTTAGTCGCAGGTTTTACTGTAATGCTCTTACATCTGTGAGGTGCTCATCTTCCGGTATTTGTTGCAGGACCCAAAGGTGAACCTGGACAAGTGGCAACTGGGGTGAAAGGTGAGAAGGGAGACCAGAGTGCAGATGGGGATGTGGGAGACAGAGGTCCCCAGGGAGACAAAGGAGAGAGAGGAGTGGATGGTTCACCGGGAAGTCCTGGAGATCCCAGTCCCTCTGTTGAAAGAGGTAAGTTTTTATATCACTAGAGACTTCCTTCTCTAGTGATCTTGACTCCGGGGACTAGAAAAACTCCAAATCTCCTACTTTTTTAATAACTCCGAAAGTTCTCCACTAGCTCCTTACAGTGTGATAGACTCCTTACAACTAGGTAAACCTGGTATAAGAAAAACTATTCTAAATGCATGCCTTCTGACATAAAGGAAATAAAACTGAATAAAGCTTTGTATACCTTACCATGAGAACCGCAGACATATTTCCGTCATTGTTAGAGGCAGAGAAGCGACAACTGAAATACATCTGTGGTTTGCAGGGTATGTATGCCTAGCCAAAAAATGGATGTATGTTGATCATGCAAGAAAATAAAACAATGTTACAATTAACAAATAACAAGCAGTCCTTGAATATAACTAAAATAATGTCATTGCTTAGGCCTCACTGTTTACGAATAATGTGACAAAGGTGATGTTACACAGAACGATTTGCAACGACGATTTTTAGTGCAACGCAGCTTTGCAACTTTATTTCAACATTGTTTCGAATGGTTGTAACATTGTACCAACATTTCCAGGGTGTGTTGTGCTAAAAATTTGTTGTTGCAAATTGTTCCAAAACGTACATAACCATAATAAATTATTATTGTCACAATACGTTTCTTATAGAACTCATCCCCGCAAAGTGTGCAGAAGACAGCAATGAGACACATGGAGAGGCTCCAAGTAACAAAGGTAACGCCATCATTTCATTGCTGTGACAACTCCGATTTCATTGTAACCCTGATCTAATAAAGCCGTGGGAGAAATTTTTCCATATCTTTTTTTAGTGGCGACATAGTTTTTGTTCAAACTTGGGAAGTATTGGCCCTGAAAAACCTTATCGAGCCACCTTAAATCATCATCAAGCTCATTAGCCTCTTGTTGTGCCTGCTACGGTCAACTGTAACTATGGCCTATTAACACATTTTAATGTGTGCATTATTTAAGTCTTGTTGTTGTACTGTATTATACCCATGAGCCAGTCTGTGCGTCTTTTGCTATAAGTTCCTCCATCATTTTACCAGCTAACATCATAATAGTCATCTTCTGAATTCAAAATATCCAAAAGTAATTTGCGGACAGTTTTTTTAAATTTATTCTTGAAGGGAGATGTTGGATGTGACAGGGTATCTCATTCCCCAGCTTAATTAGCCTCAAAGAAAGAGAAAGATTGTGTCTGTCCCAGAAAGAGAATAAACCTGAAAGTCTGTGTTCAGTTTGAATTACAATTATCCTAGAACAGTCAAGGTTTCCTGTTAATGTATGCATTATTTTGGAATAGGTGTTTTGAAAGATATTGAGCCACCAAAAGATGTTTCCTGAATTGAAGAAATTATGAGATTTTGATGACGGTAAAAAAATTCTAATTGATGAGACTTATTTTGTGTCAAATAGGCGATGCTGGCTTGAAAGAAGAGGCAGGAGAATTAGGACTCCAAGGCCCGCAGGGCCAAAAGGGCGAACCTGGAACAACAGGCACTGATGGTCCACCTGGTCCAAACAGCGAAGCAGATGTAATAGGAGAACCAGGACCAGAAGGGCCACTGGGTGATAATGAAGAGAAAGGTGCGAAGATCCAGCCTGGATCTTCAGGTGATCAAGGGCCTCCAGGCGATGATGGAGACCAGGGTGCTCAAGGTGAGTGTGCAGACTCGGGGCGTGGGGAGGGGGGCGCTTGGGGGGTACTCCGCCCCATGGTCCAGGTTGTACACCTTCCATGAACAAATCGCACTACTTTCACCTACCTACTTTACATAAGCTCTACTTAACATAAGCTAACCTACCTAGTTAACATAAGCTCTATAGTTTCCTTTAGGCCTCCTCGCCATTTCTTCCTACATTTTTTTTGGCATCTTTTTGCAATAATTATTATTGTAATCGTGTGGCAAATAAAGAAGTACAAATACAAATACTTAAATCAGAACTTTGCATCCCTTTTAATTACTGTAAATGCACTGTTTTTTTATAATTTGAATAGGTCACAAAACCAGAAGGTTTCCCTGACTTCTAAACAGTTCATTTGTTAGCCCTTTTAGGCCTTTTACAGATCAAAATGACAAATTTCACTATTTTCAAATTTCCCTTTTTCAAACTTAAGGCTAAACAGGTTCTTGTATAGAGGGGGTCTAAGTGGCAAATGTTAGCCTAACTGGTTCTTAGTCATGGGGTTTTGCTTTAATGCTCTTACATCTGTGAGGTGCTCATCATCTGGTATTTGTTGCAGGACCCAAAGGTGAACCTGGACAAGCAGCAACTGGGGTGAAAGGTGAAAAGGGAGACCAGGCTGCAGATGGAGATGTTGGAGACAGAGATCCCCAGGGAGACAAAGGAGAGAAAGGAGTGGACGGTTCACCAGAAAGTCCTGGAGATCCCAGTCCCTCTGTTGAAAGAGGTAAGTTTTTATATCACTAGAGAAGACGTGGTTTAACCAAAACTATTCTAATGCATGACTTCTGACTTAAAGGAATTATATCTGAATAGAGCTTTGTGTGCCTTAGCCTGTGAACCAAAGAGGTATTTCCAGTGGTCACCTCTCTTCCTTGGAGGGAGAAAAGTGACGACTAGCAATACTGTAGGTCTGCTGTTCACAGGCTATGTATGCCTAGCCAAAAACAGATGGATGTTGATCATATGCAATAAAATAGAACGTAATGTTACAATATTATTAAGAAAGAATAATTAAGTAATTTATAACTAAATGTTGTTGTTTATGGGTGATTGTTTATGGATAATACACTGACAAAGGTGATGTTACACAGAATGATTTGGAACAACGATTTTTAGGACAACGCAGTGACAAGGCAGTGTTGCAACATTATTTCAACATTGTTTTGAATGGTTGCAACATTGTGCCAAATTTCCAGGCTGTGTTGTGCTAAAAGTTGTCATTAGGAATCGTTCCAAAACATTACCTTCTACTAGTATCTGTATTTTCACAACTGCTCTTCTTATATTACTCACTCAGTTATGAAGTGTTCAGAAGACAGCAGTCAGATGCAAGGAGAGGCTGAAAGCTGATATTTTGTTGCTAATCCAATGTCATTGTAACCCTGATCATATCAAATTTTCATCTTTATCTAATACAGCTGTGTGGTCATAATTTTTCCAGTTATCTTTGTTAGTGGCAGCGTAGTTTGTCTAGTTTATGCTCAAACTTGGGAGCTCTCAGTCAGCCAATTTTTGTACAAAGTTTAAGCCACTGATTGTAGTAGTAAAGCTGAATGATACTTTTAAATAACAATGAGAGTTTATGTCATAATTAATGCCTTAAAGCATTAAATTTGCAATGCTTTAGAACTCATCCCTGCAAAGTGTGCAGAAGACAGCAATGAGACACAAGGACAGGCTCCAATGAACAAAGGTAGTGTCGTCATTTTTATGCTATGTCAACTGCAAATTAAGTCATTTTTAGCCTTAATACAGCTGTGGTGGAAATCTTTTCAAGTCTTTGTTAATGGTGACATTGCTTTATGCTCTAATATTAATCCTGGAAAACTCTTTCGAGCCGCCTTAAATGACTTCATTAATCAGTGTAGCCTCTTCTTGTGCCTGATTTTATTATGGTTGTCTTTAACCATGGCCTCGCACATTTTGTTTTAGTTTTACAAGCTTTTCTGGGCACAGGCCTGCCTAGAGGGAATAGGCACGAACGGGACTCACAGGTCCCATGCAAGGTGCCATCCCTACCCAATCCCACAACCCGTTAAGGTTGGCCACACCACCGGGGTCTACGTCCCCTACTCTTTTCAAACAGTAGTGTGGGTTCTTTTACGTCCCACAAGAACAGATCAGTAAAAGTGCTTTGAGACGGGACCTACGGTTTTTCGTCCTAATCCGAGAAGACCTAGAAAGTCTAACCATTTGCAGATGTCATTACGAAGGCAGCACTTTCTTCTCTTATTTAAAGATCCTAAGTGTTGGTCCGGCCGGGGTTTGAACCTGCGACCTCCTGCTCAGCAGACCGGCGCTCTCCCAACTGAGCTAACCAGGCGGCGGTTGTTAATGTTAATGTAGCCTATAGCCTTGTTGTTGTACTGTATTATACTCATGTGAGCCCGCCTGCTTGTCTTTTGTTGTAAATTCATCCATCATTTTACCGGCTAACATCAGGGACGGATCTAAAATAAACACTCACCGATTTCCTTTAAAACAAGCACCGAAAGTGCAAGCTCTTAGCGGGGTCCAGTCCGCCGCTCCTCGGGAAATTTTTGGAAATTTTAACTCCTTAAAGTCTCTGGGTTTTTGAGTCATTCAAACAGGATATTTACTGACTGTTGAAACCATTTTCCAGATTTCAACTTGAAAAGTTTTTCTTTGATTAAAATATATTCATTTTGTGAAATCTAATTGATTTCCATTAAAAGGGTGCGTGGAATTTGAAACAGGTGCGGATCCAGCATTTCAGATCTTGAGTTGAACTGTGCATTAAGGATATCGAACATTGATGATGATAAACAAGTTGGAATTGAATGGCAATAAAACTGAACTGTTGGTTCTCAATGCTTTCCATCGGCCGACGCCCACACTCAATTCTATTTATGCTGGAACTGATCATATCACTGCATCAACATCAGCAAGAAATATCGGTGTCTGGTTTGACAATTTGGTGTCTGTGGATAAACAGATTGCTTCTATTTGCAAATGTGCATAAATAGTATCTTAACATCATAGCCAAAATAAGGAAATTTATATCTTTTCAGCACTGTGAGACCCATGTTCATGCATTTATTACTTCAAAGCTACAGATTATGGTAATTCCTTTTTATCCCGGCTTTTCAAGAATCAGACTCAGAGACTACAGTTTGTTCAGAACAGTGCTGCCGTCTCCTCATGGGGACTAGCAAGCATGATAACATAACGCCCGCACTGAGACAGTTACACTGGTTGCCAGTAGCCGAGATAAGAAATTTTAATTTCTTTTGTTCTTAGCCAAAGCTATTGACCCAGTATGTAGTGAGCCAACAGCAGAAATTAGGAATCAGAAATCAGTAATGGTAAGTAGATTGAGATCCATAAGTTGAGGGATATGGTGCAATATTAGTATGTTAGGACAGTGAAAAATATGATATAGGAAAACTGTAGGCCTGTAAAAAAGAAAATTTTTACGCTTGCGTGTTTCAGTTACCGATCTAAGTGAAAAAAGGGTTGCCCGTGGTTTACCTGTTGGTTAAAATAATGTGATTGCAAATAATGTAAGCTTGTTTTATTTCGATTTTTCACAGAGAACTAGACGACTGTGGTCAGCTCTTAAATCAAGACTAAAACGAGGAAATAAGGAAACTGGCAAAGCAAGAAATAAGCCTTCCTTCATCAAGCGGTGGTTTCCCTGTGTCTGTGGCAGCAAAACAAACTCCCAGTAATTTTAAGGTAATAACTCCACGTTCTCATTAATTTTTACTTTAAGTGGAACCAAAACTCTAGAGGGCGTCGCTTAGGGAGAATCCGAAACTAGTTCATGATCTTGATAAACCCGTCTTCAATTTGCAGTTTTTTCACATGGTGTGCCATTTGTCTAGTATTTTATGATTCCAACTTTAGAGTTTATGGACAAAATCCTATGATTTGACCATTCAAATGAAACCTCCTCAGTAGTACTTTGACATGGTACTATTTTTATAGTATGTAGTTCTAACTTTTAAGTCTGTGAAGGAAATCCCATGTGGTGACCATTCAAATGAAAGCTACTAAGCAGTACTTTCACGTGGTACTATTTATTTAGTAGGTAGTTCTAACTGTTGGGTCTGTGGATGAACTCACTCCTAAAGTGTGACCATTTTAATGAAACTTTTTAAGCAGTACTTTCACCTTTTATTAATTTGTAAGAATTTTAAGTTCTGATTTACGAGTCTGTGAGAAAATCCTATGGTGTGACCAGCTAAATAACTTTTGTCATTGGAAGTGAAATTGCTGGAGTATTTTGTCCCTCATGGTAGAGGAATGCAGTGATTAGCATGATTAGCCAGCTGGGTAGCTGCTCTTAGCTGGAGTGGTGTTAAAAATGGAGAGGAGTCCCAAGATCTTATTTCTCTAGCTTTGTTTGTTACTTCTGGGATTATTGATATTTTCAGATCCATGTTATTTTCGCCAGGGTGTCTGTGAAAACTAGCAACTAAAAATATTTAGCACTAAGTAAGCTTCATGTTGTATTCTCGCAGGATAATGTTGAACTTAGCGACAGGTAAAGTTACGCTTGTCACTCAACTCAGTGGAGAGGCTGGACCTTCAGGCTGTCTAGGAAGACAAGGATCAGGCTCCCATTTTTTCAAGCTATGAACTAGGAGCTCGTACCATGAACCCTGTTTTCAGGTAAAGAAATTCAGCAAGGGAGCTTAAGCCACCTACTCGGGTCCCAACCACGACACCGATGGCAGCGACAATGTCACAATAATTGATTCGCGCTGTTTCCAACTTCATCACTATCATTTCACGTCCTTAAATTTGTCAAATGTTGATTGATCATTCTTTTTTGGAGTAGAATTCGCAAGGACTGTATCCAAGTTGGAAAAAAGAAAGAGAAATTGTTGCCTTATGACCACATCGTTCAAAAACGTGAAATTGAGAAGTTTCGCGTCGTAGTGGTGCAATGATAGCAACAAAATGAAGCCAAAAGTACGATGATGTACGTGCAAGGTTTTTGTTGTGTTCTCTTAATTTAACCTATTGCTTTCTTTCTTTTAGTTGCTTGCGCATACGAATTGGTGCGGACAGTTTTTATCTGTTTATTGTCCAATGAGAAACTGTCAACTTGAGTGAGAGGTTTGCTGTTTGCCGTACATGAGAGTCTTAAGGCTTAGTTCATGGGTCACGTAGTTCTTCCTTGCCGAGCTTCAGAAGCTTGACAAAAGGACAAGTTCAATTCAGATGTCAAAATGAAGCTGAATTGTGTATGTAGTATGAAAGTCAGAAATAAAATATGAAACACATTTCCGAAAATACAGTTCCAAAATTATGAATTTAGATCTGGACACAGGATACTTTATGATGTTTAATATGGTCGGAGGTTTGAATCACTGCCACATCAGAGGTGTGTAGCATGGCAGAGTCGAGCTTGTCGAACTTTGTTGAACAGCTGGTTAGGACTTAAAGATATTTCCAGCAAGAACAATTTTCCATCTGTCCCGAGTTGAACTGAATTGAAAAGTATGATTAATGAGCCCTGCTTCTTCTGTGCTTTTGTCCAATTTCGTTCAGCAACCCAGAAGCACGACTTATGAACAGGACCTAAAACTTTTCATTGACGCTATTCCCAATACATGCGGCACGTCCTGCCTTCATTACTACTGATGTTATATTTAACTCATTACATTTTTTCTTCCGATGATTGTAGGAACAATTTTTTGTTTTAATCAACAGTCTTTTCTTTGCCCAACAGCTGCCTCAGGAATGATATAGGCACAAAAACAGCCAATGATGTTTTTTAAAAAAGCTCATAATCAAGGAAAAACTGACAAGAAGAAGCTCTTCCTAAAGAAACGAGGTAAATGCAGCAGAAGTAGCGAAACACCACCATGTGGCGCAAATCACTTCTATGCTATCAAGCTGTCTAAAGACTCATGAATACATGCAAAGTACATGGATAGTGCCAGAGTCTCTTCGTTCCTTTGATTATTTTGCTTAAATGCAAATGATCAGAGTTATAAAGTGACTCTGGCATGTCTAAATAAAAAGCTTACGTCAGAGACAAAAAAAGGTTCTGCATGGTCTTCATTTTCTTCAAACGAGTCAGTTGTAACTGATTTATTTAATGGCGTTGTCATACTCTCTTCGTTTAATTCATGGTCCACCATGGTCTTAGACCAAAATAGAAGAGAAAATCAAAACATCCATGATATATCTTCAAGTGCTAAACGAATTAAAGTAAGGAAATTGGAAATTGCAACGCTATTAAATTAATGAATATGATATTAGTGGTAGCATGTTCACGAAATGGCTCTTCATACGGTAGGAGAGAAGACGGGAAAATTGGGATTGACGGGAAAACAACAACAACAATTTAATGTTTTACTCAACAAAGTCTTTTCTTTTTCCAGCAGCTGCCTCAGGAATGGTGTAGGCACAAAAACAGCCAGTAAACTGGCAAGGAGATGCCCGTCCTATATCCATGAGTACAGAGGAACGTGGTACATGGTAGTACAGGTTGCCAAACAAATCCGATGTGGACATGTCATCACGGTTGTCTTGCAGGAGAAAATAATTTCCCAAATGCAGGGGGAAGCAGCCTGAAATTAAAGACCGACGAAAAAAGACTGCATCGAATACAATTTTTAGACATTCTGATATTGTTATAGTCTTAAGTAAAGAAAAGTGCACGATATTGTGGCGAAACGTTTTATGCATTGTTGAAGAAGGCGTAAACACAGTGGAGCCAAAAGAAACACAGAAATGTGTTCTTTGGATCCAAATTACTTCTTTTTTGTACCCTTGAGAACTTTGACACAACAATTTTCTATGATAATTTAATTACCATACCCACCTTTGTCGGACCTCCTGTGGACCAATGATTATCAAGATAATAAGAAACTACTTAATTTCCGGGTGAGATCAAAGGAGTTGTTAGCGAAACCAGGGTTGGAGACGAAAATAAAAAAAAATACTGTTACCTCGCGGTCATGGCATCGACGATGATGCATTTAAAGAATAAACACTCTGGACTGGTTTGGCCATCGTCAGAAATTGAACAAGAAAAGATTAACTCGTCAACTGAGGCAAATCCTACCCTGAAAAAGTAAGGACTGTTTACTTTGAAATCACTACAATAGACTGAACTTCGCTTTTATGTGATGTCCGTGAACAGGGTCTTTCTCACATAACAACTTCATATTATCATAATTTCCTCGAACGACCCTGTTTAGTTTGGCCCCAAAGTTATTTTTAACACTTTCCACTATTTAAAAATAATAATGGTAACTGTTTCATAAATAAACTTGTTACCCTAACGAGCAAGACTTTATTTAATAACCTGACCCTATGAATTACCTTTTTGACGAAACTGGGCACATATGATGGACAAACAAAGTCCTCCTCTCACTCTTCGCGATCTGTAAACTAATGTATCTTGTATTTTTTGTTCTGTCTGTCGAACATATTCCACATCACAGAGCGATTCTACTTGACCTGTGAGACAGTTACTAACAACTAGTGCGAAATAGCTACGAATAAACAAAGGAACACAATAGAATTAGCGCATAATAGTGCGTAGTATTCTACTATATCTATTTCACGGGTTAGGTAAAATCACTCTATCATTATGACATTGTGAAAAGAATTTTTTCGCGGGATATTTTATCGAGTATGTTGTTAAATGTGAATTTGTCATCAATGATTGGCTCAGTACATTCGTCGCTCGTGCTTCGGCCTACGGCCGAAGATGTGTCGGCCTTCGGCCAACACCAAAAATTCCCGCCTGACGCGAGAAAAACCTTTGGTACCCAAGATACTCGGTCAGCTGCTCAGTACATCAAACATTATAGTTGTTTTATATATTTGCCTTCAATGTCAGATATTGAAGAAATATCAGCAAAGGAGTAAGGATAGAAAAATAGGACTAAAATGATATGAAATATATGTTATAAATTTGGAAACATTTGTATGTTTAGTGATAAATTTTCAGAAGACTACTTCGTATATTAGCGAGTGTTAATTAGCAATTTCACTTTCAGCCGAGGCTGGCAACATTCTTTGAGATCTACATAATTCTCCATACCATACAAAAACCGAACCAATAATTGTTTTATCGTTGATTCAAAAATATTTCCAACTGGGAAAAACATGCCGAGCATTTGACTTTTGAAATCAACCCTTTCACTGACCATTTCCATTTCAAACCAATTATACAAACTAATTGAACATAAAATTTGGGCTGTTCACTCAAAAAACACCTTCGGTCTTTTTCCCTGCTCGTTTAATCCCACAGATGTAACATTCTTGTCTTTTTCCTTTATTTTTTAACCCTCCTTATTTTGATTTTCGTACAGTCACAGTAAAAATGACAGCCACTCGACCGTGGAAAATGAAGAGGGCGAACACAGCGAAGACTTCTTTGAAGAAGTGTATCTTGGCTCTTCAACGAACACCTACACTATCGTCGACTTTAACACACTTACCGTTTGTAGAAACTCTAATGAAACGATCCAGTACAACTATTTACCATCTGCAGAAGTTGCTCCAAACGGAACTGACCAGATCCACAATGAGTTCGAAGGCTCGCAAATTGTTCCCCAGAGTTGTCACGTGACTGACGTGAATATGATACTCAGTGCCTCGCCAGCTTTAAGTTCTGCCTCTGCAGCTGAACACGAGACCAGCATTACTGTGAAGCACTCAGACACAGAGAGCAAGTGTCCTAATTGGCGTTCTTTTTGCAAGCAGCACCCTTTTCAAGCCATAGCTTTAAGTACATTGTATATATTGATTGCGGTAATCTTCTTTCCGTTGTTGTTACTTGTTTTTATGATTTGTTTTGTAAGTTATTTCACTCCTGATATTGAATAATTACCCCATACATCAAGGCGGAAAAACAAACCCTAGCCTCCCTTTTGGGGTTTTCTTGCCACTCATTTGCGCCCGCCAAGCCGGCTAAAAGGACATGGAACATCATGTGGAAGTCCTGAGGGCTCCTTCAAACAGCTGATTTTTCGCGCGTTCTAGGGATACCGATGTGAAAAAAATATGCCGCTAAGATTTTTTCTAAAATTAGACGATTTTTTCGGTGGTGGAAGGGGAGAACCGCAAGGTCAGCCGACGGGAAAAGAAAAAGGGAAGAAGTTCCGCTTGATCGCAGACGATCAAGGCTAATCTTATTTGTCCACCGGCAATCCGGCGGCAAAGCTGAATGCTCATGGGTAGAGCTAGGACACAGGGGCTGACACCCTTAGCAGGTTACGCGGGCGGGTTGCGGTGATGCTTTTAGTTGTTTGATCTCAATAAAGAGCTTGGGAATGAGCAGTATTGATTTAAATGGAAGAGGGTAGCGTAGCAAGAGATTGTTTTCAATTTGTTAGAGGCCTTAGCTTGCATGAAAACTGGTTTTTAAGAACCGGTTAGGCTTAAATTTGCCAGTTAGAACCTCTCTATATATGAAACTGTTTAGCCTAAAATTTGAAACAGGTTTTTGCTTTCTAAAATCCATAAAAAAATTGTGTAGAATTAAGCAAATAAGATAAGCCAACTTTAAGGATCCTCTTTGAATACACAGGTGCCTTATCACTCCAACTGCCACGTAATGCTATGCAGATTTTATATAGGGAATAAGCTGAATATCAATCATTACTTTTAGCTACAATCATTTTTTTCTTCAGAAAATAAGAAAATTAATAGCCTAAATTTGTGCTAACCACCATTTATATATATAAGAACCTTTTCACGCCAACTTGAGAAAATACAGGTTCTTAGTCGTAGGTTTTTATTGTAGGTAGTTTGGTCTGAATGTACCCTTGAAGAACTTCCGTAGAGTAACATACATCATACCTTATTCACCCCAAAACTACTTTTCAGAATAAAGGTAAAGTTAATATAATCAATGTCAAGAGATCTCTTGTCAATGTTTACACTGTAATACAAGCAGAGCCAATGAAAATGATTAAGGTTAGTAACTACCAGGGCCAATACAGTCCAATTAGCCAGGGCTGAAATGGGCCCGATCTTGGGCTGGAATAGCCTTTTGACTGGGCTTTTTTGGCCTTCATTGTGCTCAAATGGCTCCAAGAAGGGCTGAATCAGACTTTGGCCTGCAGGGCTGAATTGACACTTGGGGCTGAAACAGATCTTTTTAATTTTCAGAGTGTGAAGTATTTTAAAATCCCCACTGAAGTCCCTGATAATTGGGTAAATAATGTCCTACTTATCATGTCTGTAAAAACGTAGACATTAAGCCCGGCCTTGTCAATCGATTAAAATCGCGCGGTAGCAATCACGTGATTTTTATCGATTGTTAACGGAACTCGGTGAAATTTTATTAACTAAATTGCTGTGTCAAATCGATATTATCGATTTTTCATGATTTTAACGATTTATAACGGAAGTCCGTTATTGTTGTTGTTTTTTGGCATAAGGAAGATAGTACAGCTTTTAAAACATATCCCCGGGTTACAACTGATTGACAGACATATGAAAATGAGAAATGTGAAAACTATTACACACACAAGTTCCTCTCTAAACCCTTTATTTTGCAGATAATAACAAAAACGGTTCGGTTTAATTACATTCAGTTCTCGCAAGAAGGTATCACGAGAAATACAACCGTAAGATAAAAAGTTCCTAGCCTGAATTTCAGACATCCCTTCGATTTGAAGGATTTCTGAAATTCAGGTTAAAAGATTTCCGTAGAAAGATTTTCATTGTTTTACGTTAACAATCGATAAAAATCACTTGATTGCTGACAATTTTTATCGATTTCGATTTTTATCTATTGATTACTGCTGACCAGTATGTGAACATACCTGGAACTTCACTGAGGTTGTTTTTGAAGGGGTGGTAGATCTAAATCATGACAAATTGGGTGCTTACAAACCTGATCATTATAAGCCATCAGAAGATTTTAAACCTGATGTTAAAGAAAAAAAAATATTTTAAAGATTTTTTGGAAAAGTGATGATTGCTTGATCCTTCGACTCTCAATTGCAGCTCAACTGTCAATACATTTACCGTTTGCATGAATTCAGTTTTCATTTATTAAAGAACAGATGATCTTCCGATATGAATCGATTAAATCGGTAAAAATCAAGATAAATCGATGAACGAAACGAGTGTGTCATCGATTTCTACCGATTGATCGATACAATCGATATCAATGAAATCAGATTTACCGATTTCTATCGATTTATCGATTGATAAATCGATACCGATTTTTATCGATTGACTACTCCCGGGTAAGTTATTTTCCTTCAGTCAACAACGCTGGAAGTACTTCATGGTCGGTTGGCACCTGATTTTGTTTTTGTAAGTCTTAATATTGTTTTCAACACAAAAGACGCCATTTTCAAAGGTGCAACGTGTGTTTCTAGCGTGAGGTGATATTCACGCGCACTTGCCTGTTTCGCTCTCGGTTAAAAAGATGGAGGACTCGTTTCCTGCCAGGAGAAAAAGTAAACCTATTTTATCGAAAAAAAAATTCTCAGCAAGAGAGACGCTTATACAGATTTTAACTTATTAGCAAATGTTTTATTTCCCAGCCAGACAAATTTCTACCTGAAGAGAGGGTATTCTGTCGAGCTGCCCCATTAAGCACTCTTAAAACCTGACAAGCTAACTTGTTCCACAAAAAGAGCGTCGCTAAGTGGGTATTAAACATCCAATTACGGTACTAAAAACCTCGGCTGATACAAGGAACTGAACTTAGCGCCGACCTCAGATCGAATAGAAATTTACGTTGAGTGAACGTCACCGCCGGTCATGGAGGAAAAGTCATAACAGCACACGTCGAGGAAATTAAAAGTGGTTTTTAATTTTTTTTAGTTTATCTCCTCTCTATTTTTGATAAGGGATGTTTACGATGTCGTAGTCTTGGAAAAGAATAGAGCAAGACTGGAATTATTAATCTTGTTCTGGCCCAAGAAAATAATTCTCGGATCTCCAATCATTTTTCGTGTACAAAATTGAGAACCATGATGTTAAACATCCGTCAAATCTTAGCATTATTTGTGTAGGGATGAATCTTATCATTTTCATTGGTTGAAACAAAAAAAAAACGCTTAGCTTATGTTTTAAAACAAAGCGACACGTGAGGACTTTTGCAATTTAATTTCACCGTATGGAACCTTACTATATTTTTTAATGATAAATAAGTATCTCTTCTGAAAACACTCTTCAGTTTGGAAGTCTTTAAATTCCAAATCATAGACTTGAAAACGAGAGGCAATTTTTGTAAAGAGAGTGAGGTTTGTAAAATAAATAAATCGGTAAACTATTAAATATTCCGCGATAAATATAAATATTGCAGACTAGTTTTTAGACTTAAAGTGACGAAACGTGATAAGAATCTGATACAGTTGATAGCACACAAAATTCAACATATTCTAATATAAACAAATGAGCAGAAACTCGACAGCACTTCCGCGAACTTGAAAAGACTACCACGTACTCAACTATCCAGAATTTTTTAAAATATATGATTCTTTCTCTCAGTCTTACCGAAGGTTTGAATATTCAGAAATTTAGCTGTCAACGCGGACACCAAAAAAAACCCAATTTTTTTTATTAATTTCGTGAAACTCTTTTCCACATGGTCAAATCTACAGGCCGGTAGCACTTTTTGTTGTTTATTTACAAAGGACTGGAAAAATGGTCTATCAGTGCCAATTCTTCCACCTGTAGAGACGTAAGCCGCGAATTACTTCTTTCTCTCCCAGGTTTAATTTTCGTGTTTTTATTATGAAATATATATCATGTGTTGTTATTATTAGATATATTTGTATTCATTATCGATTAGACATCAGCAAGCTAACAATAGGGAGGCCTGTTTTTCGCTGGGAAAGGCCGGGTACTTTTACACGAGAAGGAACAGTGCAACAAGGCAAACTCGTGGAGAAGATATTGAACCTGCCACGGACACTGGAAATCCAGGTTTCGGTAATGTGCTCCGAGTATTGATGGTAGTGGCATGTAGTGGAATCCGGCAGTCCCAGGGAATTTTTACCGTTCGCTTTTCCATTTGTTGCTAAAAACAAAACTGTTATTTTCCACTTTTAAAACTTTATAGGCTTAACATTCCTAAAAATTCGGGAGAGAAGACATCCATGGGGAGAGTCGGAGATCGGTTTGGCATGGAGTTTTAACTTTTGAAGAATAAAATACTTTTAACATTACTAAGTTATGTCTTATGATACATTGCCACGGCTTTTAATATTAGAATGCGCATACCGCGATCTGAGTGATCGCATCTTTTCGGAATGTAGTTTTTTCATGATTCTCTTTTGCGACCGGAAATATCAAATAAACGTATCACGAAACAAATACCTACATCTCCTGTATTTCGCACAGCCTATTTTATCATTCAGTCATGAAAACTTGTCCAATCCCTCGAGAAGTTCTTACAGATTTTGCTCAGCTGTTGGAAAATTTGAGTTTGCTATTGTTTTTGAATGGCAGACGGCCCCCGGCCGGAGATGACACGGGGGCTTTACATATCCCGTCACTCCATCCTTCCGCTCGCCTTGGCAACATCACACAAATCGAGGATCGGAGAAACAACCAGTCTTGCTTGAATGTGCAGCGATCGACCGGCAATGTTAAGAATAAACGACGCTTTCTAACCAGAGAAACGACAGTTTGTTTCTGAAGTCTACAGACCTGCTGAAAGAAATTGCAAACTACAGACGGCTGATTATTCTAGTAAGATGAGTCAGTGGTTATAGAAGCATTTTAATTTGTCTCTTGCAAGGTTCGCTCTTCACATAGCTCTGGCGCAAATTAAAGCTAAAAAGTTGCCACCATTTGGTGTGCTTTTGATTTACCAGATAAGGAAGCGAGAAGTAAGCTTGATATTTTATTTTTTTGCAGGGTGAGAGGAAATCTTCACACTCCGAGTTGACTGTCTATCTCTCGTTGTCAGTAGTTAAGCTTATATAAGCTTGTGTGTAAGTGATGCAGAAATCGTTCTTTCAAAGTGCGACATACCCAGGAATCCTGCAAGTTTTTATAATCAGATAGATGCTGATTCACGCGTTAGGTAAGTTTATTTCTGTTATGTACAACCTTGAGAACCGTTTTCGTGAAGTCATTAAGAAATTCGCCAGCGGGTTCAAGCAGATCAACTTAAACATGTCAGCTTAACCAACGAAATCTCGATAGAGCGCCGGTCAGCGCTGCATATTTTAAAGGGGATACACGGTGTAAGCTCATGGTAATACTAAAATTGTTTAATCTTTTACTATGGACGTATTTTGCTCGAAAGTTAACGGAATTCGGCGTTGATACGCGCGGGGTTGCTGAATTGGTCATTTGCATAGCTATCGATAATCTGTCTTCAGTTAACAGTGTGAGCTCCTTTTGTTATAGCGTTATTTGCCACAAGATTATCAGGAGCAAGCCAACTTTGTTAGTGTGAATTAAAAATCCCATCAGGATATGCACCTTGGTAGTTGTTACTAATTGAGTTTTTCCATCCTTTCGCAAATATCGAGCAAAGCGCAGTCTTCTTTGTGTGATTGAACTCGTTGTTTTACAGCTGGCCAGCTGCTAATGTTTTGGTTCAAACTGACTGTAGGAAATGGTCGATTTCGTGTTCTAGGACGATTGGTAACTAATACTGTACCTTTCTCACGAGAAATAAATGTAAAAAAGATTTTCTAACTCGGTGGGCGTGATGATCAATTTGGTTGGCATGGAACCCTTTGCTACCTGCATCACAGAGGTTAAAAGGTCTTAGGATGACGAGAGCTGTCGAAGGACGGTGATTATGAATAAGGAATGAAATAGACAGTATCAGTGTCATAATCTCGTCACCTCAGAGGCAATTTCCATAATTCTATAGAAAGGTTAACGTGAATTCTTCATTTCGCCGTGGCTTTGAGGCTGAAATGTGTTTTTTTAACAGTAAATGGTGGTTTTCATAACGCGAAGTACTTAGGTAAATTATGATAATGAATTTGAAACCTCATGCCTCTTGAGTCTAATTTTATTCCCATTGATTTGAAAACTTGTAAATAACGTTCTGTTCGGCGAACAGAGACATTTGCGTCAAAGATCGAATACTGAGTATGTCATCAAATGACTTTCCTTGTTCGTGTTAATGCTTGTCAAACAAATGCACCTGCTAATGGAAGCTGGAAAGAGAGCTAAATTTTACATGGTACTCGAGAAAGTACTGTAGGCTTTAAAGTTGTAATTTTAAGGCTAAAAGAAAGACAAATTGCCTTTGATGTCTCTTAATTCTCTCTGTTAAATATAGACTAGGTCAGGAGTGCTGGTTTGTTGTCAAAATGAATGAATTTGTGACGTCTAGAATGATATAGTCTCTCCTTAAAAGTAACAGTAGAAAAATAATGAGTTCAATTTCATTTATTGCCTGTCTATCATGTCAAACCCATTTTATTTACAGTTACTTAGTTTCAGTTTTGGCTTTGACTGTAATTGGTGATTTTGCATGATTTTACAATAACAGAACTAACACTTAACCCTTTATCTACTTAACCTGAAAGTGAAAACAAGCGGAATGGATTAAAGGTCCACCTGCAGTGGAAAAATAGCCTTATTTTCTCTTTAAACAATAAGAATTGAGTTATTGCAAGGCCATCAAGGAGGGGGACATTGCGGGACTGTTAACACCACAACACCACAGAAAAAAATATCCATGAGAGGACACAGAGGCTTTTTACTGGAAGAACCATCCCACGCAGGGATGTTTTCTCCGCGGGCAGCTAATCCGACTTAATCCCATTTAATATGTCACGCTCCTCGAAAGTGCGAAAATTTTCTTGTCGTGTGTTAGATTTCAGATACATTTTCTTAATCTTCATTTCGCGCCAGAATAAATTAGTTTTGCAAAAAGGGCTCCTAAAAAATCTCAAGGTTTGTCCCACTTGAGGTCCACCTTCTGGAGATCGCCCGGCTTGGTAGCTGGAATACATTGCGAGGGCGAAGATCTAGCATTTTTTCCTCGTCATTATTTTCTTCACGACAAATGTTTATATTTGTAGTGAGAATGCAGCGCATATCGGTGGATTTTACTTCATGCGGCTTGCTACTTCTGAAAGAAGAGTGCCCGATTTCATCGTTTTGTTCATGTTTATTAGTGTTGGCAAATGTAAGGTAAATGAACTGACCACTGTAAGGTAAGAATTGAAGTTTTAAATTTGTTACTCGGCGAAAAATCGTGGAATTGGAATTCGTGAAACTCGTGAGTATTACCTCCAATACCTAATGTCATGCGATGACTCCTCGCTTTTTTGATGCGTAAAACGGATACAAACGATAAATTTCTTTCGCAAAGTGAAGTACAATTTACTTAACGAGACCATTTGATGAATATTTCGCGTTACATGCTTTATTCATATTTGTTTGAGTTACTCAGGCTACATGCCAGGAGTTTGATGACAATGTTTGAGTGCTATAATTATTATGCTGATAAGTTTTTGCACCTTTATATTGAAACTCATGTAAGCCAAACGTTTGTTAACTCTAGCAAAACACTCTTCTATTATGGAGGAACTTTTAACGTCTTTCGGGGCCCTAATATGGTGTCAAATTTTTAGGGGAAACAAAGCTTGATTTTTGGCCAAACAGACTATAGCTTTTTTGTCTTTGAAGAGAGCGTGAGGCAAACGTCCGTGAGTACAGTGTAAGACAGTGATTCTTTAGGTAGAGCTTACAAACATAGGCTGCACTTTAGGTGGCACACCCATGGGTGCAGTGTAACCTAGTGATTCTTTAGGTAGAGCTAACAAACATAGGCTGCACTTTAGGTGGCACACCCATGGGTGCAGTTTAACGCAGTGATTCTTTAGGTAGAGCTAACAAACATAGGCTGCACTTTAGGTGGCACACCCATGGGAGCAGTGTAACCTAGTGATTCTTTAGGTAGAGCTAACAAACATAGGCTGTACTTTAGGTGGCACACCCATGGGTGCAGTGTAACAAGGTGATTCTTTAGGTAGAGCTAACAAACATAGGCTACACTTTAGGTGGCACACCCATTGGTGCAGTGTAACTGAGTGATTCTTTAGGCAGAGCTTACAAACATAGACTATACAGGTGTACATCAGATGGTAACAAGTTTTCCAGTTAAAACTTTGTCATAAAGTGCTACACCATGGCACTTCGACTATTTCATTATTGCGCTTGCTTTGGCGTACAATTGATAGTCAGGAGAAGTCGTATTGTCTAAAACCATAGCAAAAGACAAATTTACACACATCAGAGCGTTGGTAAGGTAATACACAGTATTTCCTTCAGGTACATTTACATTTTCTGTTAGGTTATAAGTGATTAAATCGCATGCAGCGACGAACAAAACGTGAAGCCATCAGATACTCTAGAACCGTGTTATTTACAGTGCTGTGCATTATTATTGCTTAACTAACTAACTACGCGCTGATGGAAATAAGTTTCGGCCGCTTTAAATTTTGAAACAATTCACTGGTACTGTATAGTCATAATTGGAGCGGAAAGTTAGCACGTGAGCAGGGCGATTCTGCTGTGGTTTCTGAAATGTAGAAGATATTACGGCAATGAGGCTCCCGAGGTCCGTTCTGGAAATCACAACTACATGTAGGATGAAATGTTTTCTGCATGCAGACGTCTCCTTTTCTAGGTTAGGTTAAATAAACCGTACCAACGGTTTGTTTGACAAAGCTCCCGCGAGACGGTTTCTTGGTGATTTTATTAATTTTTCCGATCCATTTTTTTTTCCAGCTCTATTTTCGCGGCTTTTGCGATACAAACTATATTCATTTTTAGTTGTGATGGCATTACACTGCTTAATCATGACGGCTTTGGAAGAAACTGAATATATTGCGCTTCGCGATTTCGCAAAATCGCTGCGGGAATTAAAAAATATTTTCTTCTAAAAAAGCGTTTTCACGCTTCTTTCTCTAGTCAATTATCTCGTTTGTCTCGTTTTCTAAAGGTCCTTGAGAACAGAATAAGACAGTATTTTATTACCTACAACCTAAAAACCCGATTTTTGACCAGATCGAAACAAAACTGACCTCTGAAATGGAAGAAGAAAAGCCTTTTATTTTTGCCGGCTTCGGCCTGCCGACGAGATCGTGTCTGGTTTGCTTTCATATGATGACATTTTCCTGACAGAAGGGTGTCGGGAAAAACACCTCGCGCTGATCATACGTGACAAAATCCGTTGCACCTAAGCTAATTAAGAAAAGTCTCCTCGAAAGCTCCATACAATTCCTTATAACAAAATTATAAGGAATTGTAGCTCTCTGGGATACTTAAAGTGCAAGCCCTTTGTGTCTTCTCATGAACACTGCATCACTGCAAAAAAAGTTGATGAAACACCGAAAACGCAATTTTAAATTTTTTGTCCTAAGATTAATCTAACCCAAATGTCCATATAATTGGGGATGGAGAATCTCGGAGTTGGTTTTGATTAGTGGAGACTGACCTCAAGACTCTGTTAACTCCATTTTCAGTCATGTAGATATAAAGAGTGCATGGTAGTGTGTAACAAAGTTACCAAATAGATCCTCTAAGCTTCCTAAGGCACTATTACCTCTTTTGATTTGACACCCCCCCTTTTCTTCACAGAAAAAGCGACATGGCTGATTATGCACTCTATTGTAGGCTCAATAACCTCTTCCGTGTTGCAGCCATTGACAATGCCTTTACTGGATAAACTTACTAATAAAAACATAAAGTATAAATGGAGTTTTTAATTCAAATCTCAATGTTTTCACCATTGGTGTCAGAGACTTTCCATGCCCTGTTTCATCTGAAAATATGTCAGCCCCCGAAGCATTCCACTGCGTGCGAAAAAAATGTCTAAAATCCGGGGTACATTGTTCTTAGTCAAAATAAAGCAAGGGAAAACTAAACATGAACACAATGAAAAATTTAAGAGGATTGCGGCTTGAGCTGAGCGAGCCCAGCTAACCATGCAAGCTGACTAATCTTATGAACTGGCCCTCAGTTGGCCAATTACCATCACCAGTATTAGCATCGTCACACAAATAACGCATGCATCGCCCATAGGATTGGGCAGACAGTCATGAAAACACTAACCCAGGCTTCGCCTGTTATCCATTTGTTTTGGAGTGTTGTTGATTGTCTGTGATATATCGGTGATCCATTGGCAAAGTAATCACTGACTATCAATGGCTGACTATTGGCCATATATCAACCAACACTAAGCCATCATATCAGCCAATAGTAAACCAACATACCAGACTAATACTTGGCAGACACTCGACCGATACTTGGCTGATTATCAACTGGTATGTCAACCGATTTGTCGACCAATATGTCAGCTGACACCTCCCTGTAAGACACAAGATCCATCATTTTTGCCCTTGTTGGCATTTTTTTCTTGGTTTGATCCTTAGGTAGGGTATAGGTACCTTAATAGTATCAGCTTTGAAATGTCCTTAACTCCATATCTTGTCTTTATCGGTGCTCTCCTTATCAGGAGGTAACTGGTAAAATTTACCGCCTGCAACCGCTTGAAGGTTTACTAAAATAAAATAATTAGTTTAAAAAAATACGCAAGTTGTGATCTGAGCTGATTCTCACAGGGAAATGAATGAAATATATGGAAAAGTACTAAAGTATACACAGCTTTTTTTTTTCTGGGCCACACATTTTGGAAAGAGAACATTGAAGACAGGGTAAAATTACAGGAATTAAATGTTTTAAATTGTTGTCTAAAGATGACAACAGTCGATTTGGATTAAATAGGTCTTAAAATGAGAGAAATTATGACATTTTAGAGAACTTAGCTCCTAAATTTCCCAGTGAGAGCGGGGTCATGTCCCTCACTGTACTTTCCTCCTCTCCCCCAGGAATTTGCACCTCTGGCACATATTTTTTGGTTTAGTGGCCATGAATGGTCCCTTACCTGCTGAGCTAAAATTTAGGGAGAACTCTGCTTTATCATGGTAGGTTATTATTGGTTAAAATAAAACAGCAAAGGCAGAAGATCTTTCATCATTGGGTTGTCTTGGCCGCAGCCTTGCCCCTTGTGGGCCAATATTATGGGATGTTCTGCTGGCAAACATTTGACTACAAGTCCTGAGCTCAGCACCAGTTCTCACTCGACCAAGGAGAATGGTCATGCAACACACACTCCAGGTCAGTCATTTATTACTGTAAGTTTAGTAGTGATTAATTTTTTTTTTTTTTGATTTCATTTTATGGGATAATTAATACACCAACATTGATTACCTACAGTACATGTACATGTTATAAAAAATGTTTCTCAATAGGTAAAAATCATAAAAAAGTGCACCTTCCATCTGGCAAACAGTTTTCCTGTGGAAAAGAATAATAATAATAATAATTAGGCATACCATCTTTATATACCTGCCAACTTTTTCTGAGTCGAATGTATGAGATTTTTGTCTAATTTTCATGACTGAGATTTCCACCAAAAACTTCCCACTGGAGATTTCTGATTACCAATATTTTCTTGAGACTTCTGAACATGGTCTAAAATGTTGGAAGATGTTCCAACAACCTTTGAGCATTTTCCAAAGCTATTTAAAAGGCGGCATAGTGTTTTTTGCACAAATCAACGTTAAGCGCCCTTTTGGAATTTTCTTTGTTTTGGCGGCGGGGGGCGGGGGGGGGGGGATTTAATTGAATTTTCATTGTTACCAGTTATCATGTGAGAAGGGAAAAGAACAATTTTTCAGGATGTGAGTCAGGCATGGAAAATCATCCTTGATGTGTTGGAGTGAGGTCTTTAGTCCACGGGCGTGACACCAATGCTAAGTGTGTGAGAGTTGACAGGTTATATACGTTTGCACTCGTTCAAATTTGTATTGTTTGTATAATGAGGTATCCTTAAAAATAATAATAATAATAATTTTATAATTATTATAATTTATAATAAATGATATTATAAAATAAAAAAAGAAATCTAATTTGTTATTTTCTTTTGTTTCAAGGGATCCAAACAAGGTTATCATTATTTGGATTCTATCTAAGACATTAATGTAACATGACTCCATTTGCTCTCTCCATCACCTCAGATGTACCTAGACACTCTCTGGAAAGCAGTACTCATAACCTCAAGAGGAAAGATTCAAGTAACAGTGTTTCTTCAGTCAAGGAACCTGATATTCCTGATTCAAACAATGACATGTACTCGGTTATATCCACCAAAAAGGTAAAATCTAATGCTTGAAATCAGCATTGATCATAAGTGGTGTCAGAGATGCCATTTAACTAACATTGTTTTTGGAACGGTCAAATTATGCATTAATCCTGCCATGGAATAATACCTTATTGCAACAAAACATATGTATGGAATATTAATAACTATTGATATAATTTTTTAAAAATCTTTTTGGCAAAATAATAGAGTTAAAAAACCTAGCTATAGCTACTCCTGCATGACTTTTGGATGCAAAGAAATCTTAGTGCAAGCACAGAACCTCAGTACACAAACTAGGCAACCCGGATTTCATAGGTTCAGAAATTATTTAATGGCAGGTACAAAACGCAGGAGGTCACAGGTCTCAAGTGCAGGTTAGAGCAAAGGTCACCATGCTACGGTACCTGTATATAAACAACACTAAATGTGTCTTATAGACATAATTGCAACCTGAAGTAGAGTTTTAACCAAAGGGGAAATGCAAGCTTATCTCAGTCATTTATCAGAGAATGCAGTGACTTACGCTTATGACCTGTGACCTGTGTTTTGTACAGGCCACTTATTTAAGCTCCCCACAAGTAAAGCTTTGCAGGTGACTAATTAATGCATGATGCCGCGTGTTAATTAAGGTAAAATTCTGACAAGTAACATGGCCTTGACATCGAAACTTAAGACAGGTGAAATGGTAATGGACAATACTAAGATGGGTTGAAACTCCTTAACGGTAACTTGGTGCAAAGATGATGGTAAATATGGCGCCAATCCACCTTCCCCCCCTCAGAGGAGGGCCTCATTAATATAATTTGAGATGAAATCACTTTATTTTCAGGTGGATGAGAGAACTTTTGCAAGAAGACCTATTCCAATTAACAGGTAATAATTAAAAGCTCTCCATTGTTACAGTACTAAGATTAGTTTTCAATGGTAATAATTGTTTCAGGTTTGATTTTGAAGAGCTAAAGTTCTTCCTAATTATTATACTCTGAGAAGCATAGTATATACAGTGAACTGATAAGAGATCAGAGTATGTCTCAATAGTTGTTTACAAGAGGTTTAAAAGAACAGAAAATTTTTAAACCATTATCCCCCAAAATATTTGCAGTCACTAGTACTGTTTTAGGTGCTCACCAGTCATGAGCCTCCAGCTATAGGGCTTTGACTGGAAAAAGGTGTGAGTTTTAATAGTTAGCCGCTTATGGAATGTGTGGCCACTTCTTGTAATTATTTATTATAAGAACTGGCTACATACACATTGAGGTTTGATGTGCTCATCTTTTATTTCCATACATGTTTGTTTCCCCGCAGGTCAAGTGAAAGCTGTGGTGCACCTCCAAAGCCTATTCCAATTAACCAAGTCAGAGTGTAAGTAACTAATGAACAATTAATGAATGAGGCTGGAGATATTGGGAGGGTGTTATAATACCCTCCGAGATCTCCATAATTCTTCATGGTATGAAAGCCGAATTCAATATTGTTTTATTATTTATTCAAAAATAATTCCTAGTTTAAAAACATGGCTAAAACATGCTTACCTCCATCAATCCATCGATGTTAACTTCATCTTCGATAGTGCATGTTTAGGGTTGTTCAGCTCCGCAAATATTCTCCAAATAGCAGATGTCACCCTTCGAGTTGTCTTCTTACTGTTCTTGCCATATTTTTAGCAATTTTTTCACCTAGTTCTTACTCTTGAAATGAGTGAAATGTCCGCCATTTTTCAAGTTCACAACCAAAACAACTCAACCTCGTTGCCAGGTCTTCTCGGTTAACAGTGCATTAACCTGCAAGAACGCTGCATTTTTGACGTCATTTCCTTGCTAAACACAAAATTCTTCCAAATTTGGTCATCAGTAACTGGTTATGGTGAATTAAACGTGTGCTTCTAGCCAATCAGAATTGGGGAAATATTTTGAATGAATAATAATAATTATTATGGGTTATCATTTACCTGGTTTGTTTGTTTGTTTGTTTTTTTCAACCCACATATATACTCTAATTGTGTCCTTTAATGTTGTTTATTTGTAAAAAAAATATATTCTTTTGGCATTTATCAACAATAAACGTAACTATAATTAATGGTATAGTTACTGGTTTGTTATGTTGTTCATTCACTAATCCAGTTATGAATTATTAAAGAGACTCCATTCAGGAATCAACAATAATTCATTCCTTTTGTCTTATTCCGCATTGCCTCGGAGCCAGAAACAATTTATTTTGATAAATCAGAATGGACAGGACCTATTTGTATTCATTTTGCTTCTTTATACAAAAAGTGAGACTTAATTGTATTTTCACCTTACAATTACAACATATACAAAATGCATACTTCACACAACTTTATAACTAACATTATGTGTTTTCATCGTTTGTTATTACAGGCAGATGACAAAGTCTCAAACAGAATTTTTTAAAATGCTTGATAGAAAAATTGACGAGGTTTGTGTGATCCCATTACCTCCTTTTTGTGTGCATGTTGTGGTTTTTTTTCCAGGTCTCCTGGTTGCAAGTATTACTTCTCTTATTGCAAGTGTTATGTGCCATAAAAGTAATTAATAAGGAACTGTCATTCCCATTCCTGTGGCAACACAAAATTGTTAGTCTTTAAGGGGATTGACACGGAGGAGGAGAAAAAACAAAGCAAATTGGAACTTTCAACAGAAAGATTTTTTTGCTAATTGTGGGTCTCTGAACACTGAGTGCCTGCATGGTCTGTGAGTGTTGTGCTTAGGTCCAGGTTTGCACATAACTTTCAATTTACAAACCTGACCTCAGTCAGAGTGCAAAAAAGGTTTTATGATCTGTAGGTTAAAAGGTTACTTTCAAGTTTTAGGTTGTGAAGTCAAATTGTACCGTACGTAAGTGTCGTGAAAATTAATAGGTTTCATTCAGACCTCTGTGGTTATTTTCCAAAAAATTTAGCAATAAAATTTCCTCGAAAATTACTGTTTTTTTCTTCTATTATGTATGTCACCTCCAACCTCTCCACCTCCACTCCCCGTATAGTGAGATTTAAATAATTAACAATTATTGCATGAGGCTGATTGCAACATGAAGAATTGTGCAGATCGAGAAGGCAGTTTTTGGGCATTAATTCGGCTATTCCGTAGTGCCATAGCACATGAAATGTTATGCTGTTTTGTCGAGCTCGCTGTCCCACCGAAACAGCTGAGTTTCCACACTGCAGTCCTCTCGTGACGTTAATTAGTCGTCCGATATTTTTTTAATTATTGCGTTATTAATTCCTCTAAATTTGGATAGCATTTGGTGGTCATGAAAAATTAGACAGGAGATTTAAGTCAACTAGAAAAGGAGAATAATTTAATGAACGATGATAAATTTCCATAAAAAGCTTGTTTTCTCCTTCCAGGGACCAGACTACATTTCTGAAACTGACAGCTGACCCGACCTCTCTTGAATTTTATAAGAAGTTTGACAGGTACAGAAAGAATGAGCATGAAAGAGCTTTGCAGTCGTAATAAGTGTAGCAGCAGCAGCAGCAGCAGCAGCAATGAAACGTGCAGTAGCACATGGCCGTTCATGGACCTGAGCTGATTCCAGTGATACACTGAGTAAATTCAAGGCAGAAAGCATTGAGCTTGAAAACATCGTTGGAGTTTCAGCAGTTTCAAAAATAGCTTGGCCTCAGCTGTTGCACGTGACCTACATACTGTACATGTATGTCAACTTGAACGTAAGGCCTTACCAAAAATACCGTAAAAAAAATATTCCTTTGAACTAGCCCGTGATCAGGTTTCCTTGTAGGGTACCCAAGCAGAGTTAGCCGGCCACAGGCGTTTGACGGGGTTATTCCCGAAACGTTTCGTCTGAAACTGAACTAGGCGCTTTTTAGCAAAATTTTTTACAAACGCTTCAATTTATCGCAGACTTTTTGAACCTGTCATAACACCCCAACAAACTTTAAGAGACGTAACAAAAATTTCATTGTCAATGTTAAATACACCAAAAACAATCGCAGTAGTTTGAAAAACATTTGCAACCGTGCGGAGGTTTTTACGCCATTCACGTCCCTCCAGAAAAGTCCGCAGCCTACAATCCTTCGACGCGGTTTGAATAAAATGTGGGCGCCCTTTATTAAAATAACAATATAATCAAGATTTTTAGATAATTTAAGGAATACGAAATGGGAGGAAAAGTGTCATTGTTAGTGCATTGAATTTCAGGGCAAGTCGTTCCCTGAGAAGAAAAAGTGAAAGCGGGGCGGGGGGGGGTGATGTCTAAAATAAGAAGCAGTCGATGAACCCATAGCGGAAATTAGTCAGAGAACAAGATTTTAGCTGTGTTGACTGTGAGCTGTTGATTAATGCTAGCCTAAGAAAACAGCCGAGATTGCACGACGGCCATCACTTGTTTTCCCGCAAAATCTTCAACCAATCAGGCACTACCCTGATCTGGTGAGTGACGCTCATCAGTATGGAATTCTGCGCTCGTTCCTCAGACGTCATTTTACGGGGAACCCAGTGGCGGCGTCGCGCTGCTCTGGCTAAAATAGTGCTAAAGGAAAATAGTATCTGTGAATGGTCAGAAATTGGAACTGAAGCCGAGTTCAATTAGCCCTCTCTGCCGTAAGGCGTTATGTACCTTACAAAGTTGATAAGTTGGATATTTTTAAAAACTTTTGGCAGTATTGTTTTTTAAAAAGCTGGAATTAAGGTACTCAAGTGTGCACTTTGACAAAGCACAGGGGGCCCTCACGTCCGATTAGATTGTTTCACGTTCCTTCAAATTCGAAATGGCCAAATTCTACGCCCAAAGAAAACACACCCACGTAATGATTTGAGTAAGTAATCGTTTTTCTAATCGGATATGAGAGCCCTTGTGATAAAGCAAAGATTTACGGTATTCATGGTCGTCAGTTATCCCAATTTTTGTTTTAGCGTTTGCTCATACATCTTACTCATGTGTCAGCGCTCCAACGTGCTGGAGGAAAAAAATTACCTTCGCAAAATATAAAGTATGAAAATAGAAATATTTAGTTGCAGTTAGACTGCAGAGTATAGTTAATTTAGATGTTATAAATATATATTTTAGAAGTTTATTTCAAATTATATAAACGACGCGTGGTATTGAAAAATATACATACTCTACCCTTAATATTTAGCCAGTCCCAATAAAAAAAACGCACCATCGCCTGATCCAACACAGCATTTTGAGATAGTTAGGGATTTTAAGTCCCAATAACACACTGTCTTCATACAAATTATCTCATCTTAAATCAAAACGTACATAATATTTTGGATCAGCACGAGATGTGGCTAACTGCCCCACCTACCCCTCCCCTAACTTAACTTTAATGCTAAATTCTTCCTTCGGGAAAAATGTAGGTTTTAGGGGAGGGGTAGGTAGCCAGTTTACCAGAATCTTACACTGATCCCAAAAGGTACAGCCGATGGGAAAATAAATTTAACTTTTTGTCCGTGCTCATCCTGGCCCCGGTTGTTTTGGATAATCACTATCCAGCGGATAAGTATTAGGGAAATCAATTGCGTTATACAGTGGATAGTTAGTTATCCATTGGATAGCGCTATCTATCTTTCGAACAACCGGGCCCAGGACTCTACTGTGAGCTTTGACGTCTCACCGAAAGAGGCGCTCAGAGCCCTCGGCCACCCTTTCCCAGGCTTCGCGCGAAGAGAACGCCTAGGGACTGGGCTGTAATAGCCCATTCTGAGAAACTTTGATAAATCCTCCTATTAAAGATGGCATCATGGATCATGCGCCTGGCTGTGAGAGCGGTTAATAGCATCCTGTGCTATAATTTATTTTTCAATTAAATAGAACTCGACTAATTTATAACCTTAATGGTCTTGTCACGAAAGCTGCAAATTGTACAAGAATGGGACTGGCAAATGTTCACATCCACAGTGTAAATATTGATAGGAATATTGTTGAGCCATATGTACATTCCTTGCTCTTATAGTTGAGTCATAAGTCACAGAGAGAAATCAGCCTAGTGACAATCATTTTGTATCATTCCAGAATTAATACTTCGAACCAATTAAAAAATGCAACTTTATCCCCAGCGAGTTGTTTTCTTCATCTTGACACAACAGGCTGAGAGAGGCCTGGAATCGCTTTTTTCCCCCTCTTTTCGTCTTTCGTGAGCAACTAGCCTCGTTTCCAAACGTCATTCAGAGCAGTTATCGCTCTATTTCCTTGAAATCTTGTTGTCATTGTGTAAATTTATCAGCCTCGTACCCAGGCCTGTTCGCGCTATCCGAGTGACCAGAGGAGGCTTGGAACCGAGCGCGATAGCGCGAATTTTCCCGACAAGCTTGACGGGTGACGTCACATCCGAAATCGCCGAGGACGACTGGGAACGAGGCTGCAAATTTATATATTTAATTAGGGCCATGCTTGTTAAGCAGAAAGAGAGCATTGCTGACTAGCAATGAGAATGTATTTTTCCAATACTTTGTCAGGCAAGACCTGCCTTCTTCTTCGTTACTCCTAAACTGCGATCGTTCCCTCCCTCTCAGTCTCAAAAAAACGCCTGATGGCAGGTTAAGTCAATCCCTAAAAAATTCAGGCCATGCCAGACGAAAAAATGGAAAAAGACATTCTCATCGGCTGTAATTCTCAAAGTCAGCCTTGCTCTTTTTACTGCTTCGTTATAATGAAAGTAGCCTGTACACCCCTCGAAATAATCCGCCCTCAGTATTTTCCATCTACCCGACATGACCAACTTTTCACGAGAAATTGCAAATGTGATAAGTTTCTCATACGTGGGTCAAACAGAATCATCGATCACTTGCTGACTCTATTTAATTTAAGGATGAGACAAACAAAAGTAAACACCATGGTTCGTACAACTTCAGACAAGCAAACTTCAGGGACTTTTCAAGGACAACTTAAAGCTTTCAAGGACTAAGATTTGTTCAATAAATCGGAATTGTTTAACTCTCTTTTGAACATATATTATTAGCTTTTTACAATTTTTTACTTCTTCAGGCATGGTTGATTTTCCGCAATGACGCTTTGCAAGAGTGCAACAGTCACTGGGTATGACTTTGAGCTGCGTCTGAGGTACAGAAATAGCATTTGAAATAAAGAAACAGAAACAAAATATTGTTCATGCACGAGGTTCTTACACCGAGGATGTCCCAAATTTTCCTCGGCGAACTATTCTAATTGCACAGAAAATGGTGCATGGCGTAAACAATTAGTGAATTTCAAGACCTAATAAAGAAATCAATTGCAAGTACTTTTCAATGACCTTAACCAAATTCAAGGACTTTTCAAGAAGACTACTAAAATTCAAGTCCTTTTCAAGATTGTAGGCACCATGTAACACGCTATTTAAGGCCCAAACCTCAAATTTAATGGAAACACGCAAATCTTTCTTACAGCGCTTTTAACAAACACCCGAAAACTAGAAACTCGTACCCAGCCGCTTCTCTTGATTGCGCAATGGTTGATGGGAAGGTTTAATCGAGTTCGTGTTGCGTCAAGGGAAGGAAGGAAGAAAAACGGAAAGTCACAGTTTTTCCCTCCTTCCCAAGCGCCTTTGCGCGCATCAATATCTTCCCAGATTTGATGAGTGACGACTGGATATGAGTCAAAGAACTCTTAAGTTCAAAACCCGCCGTCACAATTGCGTTTTTCGCTGCCGTCAATCATAATTACGATCACAAGCAACGAACTTTGAAGGAACCCACAAAAAAGGATCCAAATCAACCAATCACAGATCGCAAACCATGACCTTTTGAACCCGTTTAAGTAAAGTTCTGTTTCGTAAGAGCTCCGCTATGATGATTGACGGCAGCGAAAAACGCAAACGTCAGTTGGCTTTTGAAATTCGGAGTTCGCATGTTTTTGAAAAGCGCAGTAAATCGCTTTCCTACTACTCTAAGGTCAAGTTCAGTATTACGAAGATGATTTTTCTCATGTAGCTGTGCAATTACGCGCTTGAATTTTAGCTGATATAATACCAGTGCCGTATCTGAGGATGACGCGGGAAACTGAGCGCCAACAACTACTTTAGGATGGATGCACTTTAAAAGCCAACTGACTGGATCTATGTAGCGTCGAATTTCATTATGGAACTGCTTTGGGAGACGAATTCCGACCCGTTTAGTTTCATGCGCAACTTCGTAATAACCAATAGAGACTGTTAGATTAAAGGACAAAGAAGTTAGAGACACCGAAAAGCTTCATTTTTTTCTTCCTTTTTTCAACACGGAAAGTTAACTTGGTACTTGAAGGAGGTAATGAAAGACCTCTCCTGAACGCAATGGATAACTCGTTCTCTTTCCAAAACCCGTAATAGAATGATGACGAGTATTGAGTTTTCCCGCCAAAATGACGCTGGCTCAAGCTCGCGTAGCCTGCGAAAACATCCGTTTCTCCTCGCTCTTCGTCGCTGGGGACGTCCCCAGCGACGAAGAGCGAGGAGAAACGGATGTTTTCGCAGGCTAAAGCTCGCGGAAAATCTCCAGCAGTCAAGCCTGCAGAAAAATCAGTATTTTTCAGCCGAACGAAGGCAGGCGAGAAGCGAGCGAGGGGCCCGTGACACGCGCGACGGGGAAAGGCGCAGGAAAAATTATGCATTTGTGTTTTTGCAGGCTACAAAACCTCGTTCGCGTAGTCGTAATCCAGAAACAATCCAATAATGAAGTTCGACACAATGCCGACTCAGTCTCTGTACAAACCCTGCCCAAAATGGCCATCCACATACATATTTTTCATACTTATTCTTTTTCATAAACACTGTATGTACAATCAAATAGAACGAACTCTTGACTAGGTGAACTTTTTGAAATATATTACAATAGAATCTACTCTAAAGTATAAATTAATAACTCAGTAATATGAAATTTCAAATAGATTTTTAGGTTAAATTAGGTCTCTTACGACAAATCATCATTATTACTAACCTATTTGGTGAAAGAAAGAAAACAGAACGTCAGAACATAATTCACTTTTACAACAACTCATTAGTTTTCAATGAACCGTATCGGGCTTCACCAATTTGAAAAGACCTTTCTTTCCTTTACGAATTTGCTTATTTCAATAATTTTACTTAACAAAATGTGCACTTCTTCATTTGAAACTCGCAAATTTTCAACTTGACACACTGTAAAAATGTAGCTCTGGTTCAGCGAACAAGGTTCGAGAAGATTAAACATCTCTCTTTGTTTTATGAAAGTTACGCAACAGAATACCCTTGAACATTTCTGTGATGAAGAAGTATTTCTTTTTGATTAAGCGACCCCAAATGTAGGCTCCAAAGAATACATGCGCTGTCTCCTTGACGACATCACTCTATTGTAAGGCTCAGAATACGAACGATCGTGTCTCGCAGGCGTCCAATCAAATTTCTCCAAATCATTCCATACGTCCATTTGCTCTGGAGAAACAACAGCCAGCGGAGGAAGCTTAGCTGGCGCATGCGTCAACGGTGGAGAGAAGTACTCGACTGTCTCCTGATTTCGCGCTTTTATCTGCGCAACGCGTTCTTTTGCCGCCGCTTTGCGCTGATTGGCTTCGCGTGTCAAATGCGAGTCCAGATCAGCGCGCGCCATGGCGGTTTCCGCCTGACGCAGTAGCTGCCTGTGTTCCATGTAGCGGCGCACCAAAACTTGTTGGTCTTCGGAGACTTCCTTTTCTTTTCGGACAAAGTCTTCAATTTCTTGAGCCCGCTCGTCTCTGTGTGAGACTCTGTCATGACGCTGCAGCGCATTAGAAATAGACGTATGCTGGCAGTTGAAGTCTGTTATAAAGGCAAGCTCTGCACGCCGAGATTTCGCCTGCTCTGCCGTGACAGCTCTGGCGGTTGAGAGCCGCTCGTGTTCAATAACCTCCTTAGCTTGTCGTTCCTTTAATGCTTCAGCAGTTCTTACACCATCCCGAACCCTTCTTCTTAGCGACGCTTCCTTGTATTCCTGTTTAAAAACCTTGACACGTTCTTTAGCTTGTTCTCTGTCTTCCCTGAGCTGCGCCACGGTGTTGGCCTTAGAAGACACTGCATCAGCGCGTTCTCTTTCTCTGTACGCATGCTGTACAGCCCGTAAACACGCTAAACCCATTGTGCCATGAGTACGGATAAACAACCTCTGGTCCGTAGTAACCGTATGTCTCTTGACGGCAACTTTTCTGGGCTCCTCCGCGGCTTTCTTTTCTATTTCCCTCGCGGCTTCTCTTACATCCTTTCCCGCTTCTTGCCTCGAAATCAGCAGTTCGCGTAAAGGATCTACTTTCTGAATCGGAGGACGAAATCCCGATAACCTGAACCGAAGCCTGTTCGGATCTCGTTCGGTCTCAATCGGTTCGTTCTCGGTGCGGGGATGCGTATCAACAACCCGTCCCAAAAACACATTCACAGCATAGTACTTTCCAATACGCTCCCTTTTCTTCTGTTTTCTATCCTTGTTTCCTATTCTTTCCTCCTCTTTTTTCAGTTCTCTGCTCTTCGCTCTGATTCTATTCCTTGTAGCCAATTTTATCCGCACTGACTCACGGCTTTCACTCATACTTTTCTTAGATCTTATACCAACTAAACCCAGGTTCCTCTGAACGCTCACGGCCTCCTCTTGCGCCCTAATGATGTCAGAAGTACTCGTTTCCAGCCTCTTCAGGTTCAACGTAATTCTTGTGGTGATTCTGACAGGAAAACTTTCCTTTCTTGTCAGCTCGATATCCTCCACAGGAGATGTAGTCACCCTGCTCTCAGTTCTTCCATTACCTTCCTCGGCAATGCTACTGATTGGTTCCACCGTGATTGACACGTTTCGACTCCTGGTTCTTCTTAAAACTTTTCCCGAGGAACCTCGAGGGCTACTGGGATACGCTGGTTTCGCGCCATGCAAATAAGCCTCGTAATCAAAACGAGTCAAGGCCGTGGAGGAGCGGCTGGGAGCTGGGGACGTGGGAGGAGGCAGGGTACCCCCCTCAGTGAAACCTTTGTAATGACGATAGAACCTCTGGATAGATACTGCAGCCCTGTAAAGAGATAAATGACATAAAAGTACGGACAATTACCAGCCAATACTATGCAAGGACGAAGGTAGTACGCTAGATTGTAATATAATTGATTTGTACAGGCCTGCCATTATTACTGAGTGAGAGCCATCCCATGACTGCCCTGAAGGGTCTAACATGGGAAGCAAGGTCATTCTCTGACTTTTAGTACTGGCTGGGCTACTCAGCTCTGCAGCTTCTGCCTCTTTTTTGCTTTGCCAGCCAAGTCACACCCAACCTGTAGCTGTAGTTTTTCTTGTATCAGAGTGTTTTTTAAGATTTCTTTTTTTTTATTAGTATCCAGGCCCGCTGTAATTGGCCACAGCTGTTGCGGTGTCCCTGCCAACGTTCTTTCTGTTTGTTTGTTTGTTTGTTTGTTTGTTTTGGCAAAGCTAAAAAAAAAAAAAAAAGTAAAAAAACCTGGCTCCTGGCCAGGCTACCACCCCCAACCGGGGGGGGGGGGGGTGTTTAGGTCAACATTTGTACCCAGCCAATCCATGAATAATATCATTTGCTTCATATTAGTTGTGCTTCAACACTGGGCTTAATTTCCTCCTGGGCAGAATAACTTTTTCTACTTCAAATGCTTCTTGATGAAACAAATTTACATGTATTTGGATACTCTAACCATTGAAACATGAAAAAGGTGGAAGGAAATGACCACCACAGCTACCAAAATGATTATCTTGAGTTTCTGAATTCCACTATGAAATAAAAAGTAAAATTTTTAAGCCAATCAAATGAATTCATTAACAAAATTTATGGCGGCATGCTGAATCTGATTGAACCATAGTGCTTGTAGTGTTTTCATTTATGTTACTAGTTAATTTTATTTTCCTTGCTTGGACACAACATTTCAGAAATCATCCTGGTTTTCATGGTTATCACAACTTGAAAGCAAAAAACTTGCACCGGTTTAAAAATAACAGCTCTTACCACAATCTCAAATCCTGGATAAATTTAAATCTTGTTCTTGCCAAATATCCTCTGATACAACGCTGGATTATCAGAACAGGACAGTACTTAGCCTGGATACCATTCACTACAGCTATAAGCCTGTTAACCTCTCTTATGGCTTCTTCATATGTGTTTTCCTAAACAAGAACCACAGTTACAGTTAGCCACATTAACTTTTACAGTCACCCTCAACAAGTACAGTAAATACAATATTCTTTCTTGTTGGTTTGTTTGTTTTTGTTTGGTGTTTTTTGGCCTGGTTTTAGTTTTTTTTCTTTGTAAAGTGCCTCTCGAAAAAAGCCTTTATCCAGGATGTATAAATACAAATAATGTTAATAATGAGTACAAATTCAATTCTCTCGAAGACAACTACACACTTTTGGCACCAACTGTACAAAAGCCTACATGCACCAATTAGCTGCTAGCACTAACTGCTAAACTTTTCTGACAGATAAGGATACCAATCTAACATCGCACCAGCAGCAACAAGAGTCATCACAGGGTGTTCTTAATACCACCAGATATTGTGGAGTTGAACTCAGATCAACTTCACAGGCAAGCTGGTAGCAAAACCCTGTGATAACCATTGTTGCCAGTGTCTTCTTTGCTCATATTGGAAGTTATTTTGCAGTTAGGTTGGTGGGATATGTATACCTGCCAACTTTTTCTGAGATATAAGCGTGAGAGTTTTATCCTGGGAGTGCTGGGATTTTTGAAGATGACATGATCATTTTGGCCCGCAAGCGTGAGCCGGTGTGAGATCGAAGTTTTCAACCAGCAGGCGTGAGAGTTGGCAGGTATAGATATGGGAAGCAGGCTATAACAGTCCACCAACGAGAAGAGACTAACAAAATTTAAATTACCTTACCTTTGTTAGCGAACATGATGGCTTGATAAAAAATCTTGGCTGCAAAGGTGCGAAGGAACCACCAAATGATGAATCCTCAATTATTTCTTCATCAGAGATGACAATGTTATCAAGAGATTTCAATGACCACAGACTGTTCACCAGGTGATGCCTGTAGTTGGGTTTTAGACTAAGCGGAGTGTCATACAGTGTCAGAATAGAGATGCTTGGGGATGCTGCCATGTAATGTACATTATCAAGCTTTGAAATGCTGTTGTCATGAAGAAATACAACTTTGAGTTCAGTAAGAGATGCCCAAAACTTGTGACCAGGCACTTTGGCAATCTAGCAAATAAATAGCACTGTTAGCACATCAGTTGTCATCAATATTTTCAAACGATGAGAGCAAAGAAACACACAAATAAATGTAAGTTTTCAAGAAGTTTCTGAGCTTTTGTATCTGCTCAAAAGTTTCTGAGACCAATGCGGTAGGTCCCGGCGTCCCGGCTTCTCCCCAACACGACACTTGCAGCTGCAGATTTGGTACATTTGTCCTTTGAATAAAGAAAAAATATATATACCCAAGAATGCTTCCGTACGTTTACAGCCGGTATTGAAAATCGAACCATTTCATTGCAAATTAACGGTGCTGTGTTAATTATTTAAGGTCTCGATAAATGAAAATTTTAGTACATTGCTCGATTTTGTTTTTTTTGGATTTTTGGCATGAGTGGGTCCTAAATTTTATTTTGGCAGAAAAAGAAAATCAGAAAGTGCTTTTTAACCGTTCTAAAATGAGCCTTTTCTGCGCTAACCAGCCAAGCATGGACCTTGAGTCTAACGCTTGCGGGTTGATTTTCTCTTCTATTTTCACGCCGGCTCACCGCCAGTCGGGACAATTTTCACGCCTGCTTTGAAACTTTGAGATATGATGGATAATGATATAGACTCAAAAAGGGTGTGAGGAATTTTCCGACAATTTGTAACTCATTTTATGTCAGACCCGTAAATCGCGCTCGAGATTCGACTTTTTAGTGCAAAATGAATAAATAATACAAGACATATGCAAATTTCCTCACACCCTTTTTTTAGGTTTTTATCTGTCAATCAGACGCAATAAAAAGGAAGCGAATATTTAACAACGCGAAAGGGCTGGAGCTTCAGCAGTAAACTCGATACCTCTGAGTTCGAGAGCAAAAAACTTAAGCGCCTTTTGAAATTCGGTAAAATAAAATCTTTTATAAGGTAATTTAGTCTTTTAGCTTTAATTTGATATATAACTTGCCTTTGTAGCGAAAATACTCGCGCGACTAGAATTTTTTTCTGTGGGCACCTCGTTTTCCTTTACGGAGACCTTAACCAATTTTAATCCGACACAAGATCAGGAAATGCCAGCATTACATAGATAGCAACGTTTCATCAGCTTTTTAATGCAGTATTTTAGAGAGTTTAATAGGAAGAGTTATTTTTTTAACTTAACTCACAACATTAAATCACATTTTCAAACTCACCTGGTTACTGTGCAAATCCATGTAAACAAGCTCGCGACAACAAGCGAGGGAATCAAACGTCGAAATGTAGTTGGAATGTAGCACGCAGACTCGAAGTCTTGTACATAAGTCAATCGTTTTCACGGTATGAAGACAAATCCCACTCATATTTAGGTAGCTGATTTCTCCAAGATCGCATTTTTCACCTATACTGTCCCAAATACCACTAACAGTTGGAGCCTTCAAATATCCTCTTTCGTGGGCATTGCGAATCACTTCTTCTTCGCGTTGTTTTTCAAATTTCGACTTTTGCCGTGTCTTCGATATTGCTCCTCTCCCGGAGTCCTCGGAAAGTCCTTATTTGAGACATCAAAGGCCATTTCTCGATTGAAAACCGTTCCAGTCGTGGAATCTCTTAACAAAAACAAGACAAACAACAAGCCGGGAAGCCATGACTTTCTCACAAACCGCGTAACTTAGCAACAGCGTCCGATCGAATGCGCGTGCCCGACTGCAGTAGGTTGTTCAAATACGCTGATGTGGATTATCCCTCACATAGACTCCGAGTAGTCCCCATTTTTCACGGGCGCTCGCGTTTCGCTCGCTCTACTATCCTTGGGGAAAAATGAGGACTACTTGTAGTCTATACCTCACAGGGAGCCTGTGCCGGCCTCTCGGCAAAGGAGGTATTCTCTCTTGCTCTCGGTCAGCGCGAAAAAAGTTCGATCGTTTACTGTGCGTTTCGGATCACGTGGTCTGAGAGATCGTTTTGTGAATTCAATTTTGAAAGCAAGGAGCAGCGTTATAAAATAGAAGGACTGGATCTTAATAAACGATCTAAGCAGCTATAAATTGAAATACCGAGCAAAAGAAGCAGGGCTGATTTTACAGTCTGGAGGCGCCACCATTGGTACATGGTTTCCCCGTGACGGGGGATGCCTGAGAAACGAGCGGAGACAGCGGGGAAATTCCATACTAATGAACGTCACTTCCCAGATGGGTAATTATTCTGACTGGTCCTAAGGCGTGGAAAATTTGTTCCAAACAATCAGAAGCACGACCCAGATCTGGGAAGTGACAGGTCATCAGTGTGGAATTTCTGTGCTTGTTCCTCATACGGCTATGTCACCGAAATGCATGGACCAAGAAGGCCTAAAGGACGCCGTACAGGGGCAAAGGAAAACGTAAAATGTTCGCAATCCCTCAGAAAGTTTCCGGCGGCATATTAGCAGCTCCAGTAGTCCAAGGAAGCAGCCAGGAAGCAGAACAGTAATGGGCAACCTCGTCCTTAACGTTTTTTCTCCGCTTGTTGGGTAATCGGTGATTCCCCGTAGAGACACTACTGTAATATGATAATTATAGACAAGGATGCTCGTCGGAAAGTTAGGTTTTGGGAAACAAACTGAGCGTAGCTCAACCGGCACGTTCACAGGGCGCTCCTCCCACTTTCTAAGGAAAAAGCCCTTGGGACGAGGTTGGGCGTAGCTGAGGCTTTATTTGACCGCTAATGGAGACAAAGTTCGACGGTATTTGTTTCTTTTTATGTAAATATTTCCCTATGCACATCCTTAAGCGATACCTTTGGTAAAAATTCATTCAATCCCTAAGCGAGACGACGAGCATCACGTCACTTTTATATGATATATGGGAGTTCCCCCCCCCCCCCTCCACTCCACGAATTTGCTCTTGGCGAGAAAAAACTTTCTGAGACGTGAAACGAAAGATGATTTTTAAAAAGACTTCTGCATGGGAAACTTTTTGCTAGCTTCTTCACAGTATGGTACTCGTTTTTACAGGGACCGCTATAATACACCGGAGACAGACGAAGGTGAAGCAAAGTTTTGTGGAACAATGGGAGCTGTGTAAATGGCGATTAGCTTATAACGGGCTTCCAAACGAGGCAATATTTCGTACACACAATACCACAAACAAAAGCTTATAAACAATTTTCTCAATGTTATTTAAACTTAATTCCACTTATATGATACAATTTCATTACTAAGCCTAAGTTTGCGAAAAATATTTCTCACAATTTTATATAACATGAATATTAAACACACATTCAAACTCGATTCATTTTTAGTTTAGTTTACTGTCAATTATGTTCTTGAAATATCTGCAACCAAAATAGTATAAAGCTTGGCTTATTTAAAAACTAAGAAAATTGGATGGTTTGAAATTAATGCGCAAACTAGAGGAAAATTCTCGTTGCTTTCTTTGCTTTCTCTCAGCTTATCCTCTAAAAGTTCGATTTGATACAAGTAAAAGTTCATATTAATCTGCGCGAAATTGTTTTCAACCTCCTTTATTTCTTTGAACTCCTTAAAAGTCTCCCCCAGTTCGTCACATTCAAATTGCAGAACTTCGTTGCTTTCTTTGCTTTCTTTCAGCTTGTTCTCTAACAGTTCGATTTGATACAAGTAATAGTTCTTATCCATTTGGGCGAAATTGTTTTCAGCTTCCTTCATTGCCCTTAACTCCTTAAACGTCTCCCTCACTTCGTCACATTCAACTTGCAGAACTTCGTTGCTTTCTTTGCTTTCTCTAAGCTTCTCCTCTAACAGTTCGATTTGATACAAGTAATAGTTCTTATCCATCTGCGCGAAGTTGTTTTCATCCGCCTTTATTTCTTTGAACTCCTCAAAAGTCTCCTTCAGTTCGTCACATTCAAATTGTAAATCTTCATTCTTTTCTTTGCTTTCTTTCAGTTTGTTCTCTAACAGTTCGATTTGATACAAGTAATAGTTCTTATCCATTTGCGCGAAGTTGTCTTCAGCTTCCTTCATTTCCTTTAACTCCTTAAAAGTTTCCCTCAGTTCGTCACATTCAAATTGTAAATCTTCGTTGCTTTCTTTGCTTTCTTTCAGTTCGTGCTCTAACAGTTCGATTTGATGCAAGTAATAGTTCTTATCCATCTGCGCAAAGTTGTTTTCACCTTCCTTGATTTTTTTTAACTCCTTAACCATCTCCCTCAGTTCGTCACATTCAAATTGTAAATCATCATTCTTTTCTTCGGTTTCTTTCAGCTTATCTTCTAACAGTTCAATTTGGTACAAGTAGTAGTTTTTATCCATCTGCGTATAGTTCAGTTCATCTTCCAAACTCTTTAACAACTTGTCTTTTTTCTTGATGTCTTTTCTTAGATTTGTAAATGCTCTTTCTCTGTATTCTTCATTAGAATTGCGACGCTTTAGTTCAAGTCTTAAAGCTTCAACTTCAGTTTGAAAACTTTCATTCTCGCTGTGAACTTCTTCAAGATCTTTCTTCATTAGAGCAAGCTGGTCCTTTAGCTTTTCATTTTCTTTCTTGTATAACTCTACTAAAGCGTCCCAGGAATCCTCACCATTATAACTACCTTCATCCAACTCTGCTTCCTCTGGAACATTCAAGACCTTGGTGTCCTCTGTTTGTATGCTGCACTCCTCATTCATTTGTCTAACGACATCCTTGCATAATTGCTGTACACACTTTACGCTCGCCGAAGCCATCGTGATTGTCACAGGGATTTTCACAAGACGACTGATTTCTCAACCGGTTACTGACTTTTTGTTGTTTGTTTTTGCTTCTCGTCGTTTTTTTTTCCAAAAGTCACTTTTAAAATATCAAAAACTGCTCCGCACCAAAAGTAAGTACACACGTACGAAAAGCTGAAGCGAAATGATTGTTTTCTTTGAATGGCTATGGAAACGTATTTCGTCACAAACGCTGCTCTGAGGACGAGTTTTCTTCGAATGCTCGCGCAAAGACATTCTGCAGGCAAATATCGTAAGATTTTCCGAATTCATGTGGAATTTAGCCTTCTTTGTATAATCTGCTGCTTAAAATCAAGTTTTCTCTGAAGGCAATAAAAAACCCTTTCTTACAGCATAAAGGAAGCTGATAATCTTACAATTTTCGTGAAATACAAGGCCAGTTGAAGATCACTTGAATTCAAGTTTAAACTTATGACAGTTATAAGTTTTGCCGTTTTTGAAGGGATATAAACATGAAATGTTTTTTTTTTATTTCTAAAGGTTTTGTCGAGTGTGTTTTACTTAAGCTTAATGTAAGTGCAGGATAACTGATGAAAATAGTTTTAAAGTGGTTTCACTTTTCTACGGGAAAAAACTTCAACTCACCTGTCCATGCATCACCGAACCTTTCCACAGTTTTCAGTCCAATCAATTTTGAACAAGTCATTTGGACGCGAGTTTCCCCATTTCTTCTTTCAAAAGTTTTAATTACATGGTGAAGATATGACCGTGCGAAGAGCGTTTTCACCATAAAGTCCAAAATGATATTAAAGATGTCGAACAAGCTAATTGCTGTCGTCCCCTTGAGTTCGAGAAAAACCTTAAGTCGGGAAGTCCTTTCACTTATCGCAAAGCTGTCACAGGTTAGAACGGGCTCCAAAGGTTGCCAGGCGGTTTCTTCGACTCATCTAATAAGGACTCCAAAAATAAAACTGTCTGCTCAAAAACAAGATTTTTCAATGTTCAACTCAGGTAAAAACGTAACCAATCAGCGTTGAGCAAATTTCCCCTTTTTGACACAGGCAACCCAGACCATGTGGGCGTTCGTTGTACCAAATTCCGCTATTTAAAAAGATTCGAAATAAAAATGACTGACCTTTCGTTTGTGTTGTGTCTTTTACTTTCAGTTCGCTTCTAGAGCCATTTCAGTTTATAACCTATTTTGTTTATACACGGTTCAATTTTCCCTGTTACCATCCCCCCCCGGGCACTCCCCGGGACAAGTCCAGTCGTTCGGGCTAGGGAATGGGGATTTCTTTAAAGCGATCCTACCCGGGGGCAGGAGGCGGGATAAATCGAAACTAGCTTCTCCATGTTTTTGTGAAGTACGTCATTCCTCGCGCGGTTGACATGATGGCGGCGGACCCCGAGACTGCTTATTTTCGAGGGAAAACGTAGGAATTTTTCGCAAAGTGGTTGGGCCAGAACTTTGAACCTGAAACAATATGAAATCTGTACTTCATGTAGCGCTCAGGGCTAAAGAGACTAGGGTCCGAAAAAACAACAGGCGTCTTAAGAAACTTTCTCATCTTATTCTGTTCGCTGGTCGTTCTTTCAAGGAAGAGCTTAAAAGTTTTTTCTTCGTTTTCTTTTCAAATTTAGTATTCATGTCTAGGAAACGTGTTTAATAGTTCTAGTAAAAACGTCTCGTTTTGCTATTGTGCGGAAATCAATATTACTCTCTTATAAGTAGTACCCAAAACAACGCATGTGAAGTCGATCACTAGCTCGGGGGTGGGGAATTGTCTCTTTCTACGAGCCCGGAGGGTGGGGAATAGACCACCAAGAAAAATAAATTGCTAATCCCTGGGGGGGTATGCCTCGGGGGGCGATGGTAACAGGTTAAATTGAACCATACATTATTCTCATACATTCTCTTAAAAAATTGAAATTTTATTAAAATCCCATTGAGTCTCAGAGCAGCCTGTGCTTTTGACATCAAAAAAGCATTGTACGGTATCGGACGGACTATTGAAAATTAACGGAGGGCGTGGTGAGGAAATTTTTATTAAAGTTACACTTTGTGAATAAAACTTTGGGTCTATTGCTAAAATGGTGCCTAATTTACTGACAGTTTGTTACAAGGAAAGGAAATAAAAACAATGGGACAAAAAGGGAATCTTAAGAGACCTTAGAGCCCGGGGGGGGGGTACTATAGGAATTTCTGGGTGGGGATGTGCCGCTGGGACCCTGGAACCCTCAACCTATAACAGAGCTAGTTCAGCTGAATTTTACTACCCTATACTAGAGTAAACTCCCCTAATCCCCCCTATCCTAGAGTAGCTGTTTTCCAGAAACTACTGAGGTCACTAGCACAGTCTGGCCAAAACAAAACCTTATACCACAATCCCTTGTCTAGATAAAATCTTCCACCATTTGATCAGTTTCATGAAAAATGATACCGTTTTCTAGATCCAAACGTTCTGATTTATATACCCTATCCTAGAGTAAACTGCTTCAAAACCATACCCTTCATGGCGGCACATACCTATATAGCCCATCTATGGCAGTACCCCCCCACCCCTCGGGCCTTAGAGAGTTGGCCAGGATGTGGGAATTTCACTTAGGTTATTTTTAGAGGTTGTAATTAAACGGAAGTCTAATTCCTGAGACCTCTGCACATTTAAATCGACTGTTTGAAACGTCATCAAGTCCATGTATGACTGTCTCAAAGAAAACAATGCACAATGCAGTAAATTGTGATGACAACTGTTGAATTCTCTCTGGACAACACTGAGGAAAAGTTTGTGAACCTTTCTGGAAACTGACTTGCGATTAATTTCAAGCGTTCATTTTGTCTCAAAATAGCTTTGGTGAAATTCACAAACCCCAAGGTCTAGACTGGCCTTTACCTTTCTGTTCCATTATTCTCCTTTGCTATTAAAAGCATTCTGTACGTAACACCTTTCCCGACCTCTAAGTAAGAACCAGCACACAGCAATGAATCGTTCACAGTTCCTTCTTTGAATTATACCTCATGATCATCACAGTTGCTTTGTTTTGTTCACTGGAATTTTTTAAATAAATGAACCTACCAATTAAATATGTAGCTTCAATTCCATTTGACATTACATAAAAGGAAACATTTAAAGACAGGTTCTTAAATATGCTGCTGTCTACTGTATAGCCGCAAGTCTGTTATGTACTTAAATGACCTGACATGCATGGTTTGAATTTGCACACAAAATAGTCCCATTAAACCCATAGTATGCACACATTAGGGACCTTAAGGTCCCTATTGTGCTCTCTGGCACTCCAGTAACCTTCAAAAAGTTAGTGCTGTTGAAGCTGATGGAGGTGGCTGCCCTGGTACCACGAATGGGTTTTGCTCAAAAAACTAAAGTCTTGCTGTCACCCCTAATATTGGAATTTCCATATAAATTCCGTTGTCTCATAAAGATCACTATTGATAGTTTGCATCAATAACCTTTTATAAACTGCCTCCTCACCATCTGGACACCAAGGGATAACCTTTTAGCTTGATTAAAAGCCATTCAATTTAATAAGTCAACTTCTGGATACCTTTAGTCCATGCCTGTGGATAATCTTTTTATAACATCTTTGAGAACTAGCAGATCTATAGGCACATTGAGTTCCATTAAACTGTCCCAGCAGGGAAAGAAAGGCAGGTGAAGCAGCCTAGACATACTCTATATCAACATTACCAGTTGCGAGACCAACTACTTTCTTTTTACATCTCATGGATGAAATCCTGTGGTGTAACCATTCAAATAAAACCTCTTCAGCAGTACTTTTACATGGCATTATTTACTCAGTATGTAGCTCTAACTTTTAAGTCTGTGGATGAAACGCTATGGTGTGACCTGAGACCACTCATGAAAACTCTTCAGGTCCTTCAGCAGTACATTTAGACATGGTTCTTTTTTTTTGAGACTATGGTTGAAAACCTATGGTGTCTCCATACAAATAAAAATAACTGAGCAGTGCATTCATATAGGACTGTTTGTTTATCAGTATTTTACAACTGGAAAGTTGGATTTTTGTTGAATGTTGACTATTGTCTTTACTAGACGAGAAAAAGTGAGGAATATAGTTGAATCTGAAGCTGGAGTTACAACTGAGATTATGACATTTGCGAGGATAGAGCTATTGGTGGTGTAGACCCAACTGCAGGCTCATAAATGAAGAAAAAACTGTCAACATCATATGGGCAGCCTGTGCCTCCTTTACAGAAAAGTTTCCCTGAGAAATCAGCAGATATTAGTGCCATCCAACCATGGTTTGCAAGAGCACTAATTAAATGGCATATCATGTTTCTGGCATGGATTTCACTATGACCACTAACTGAGGCACACCAAGGATTACCAAGAAGCTTTAACTTCAGGCTGTTACCACACTGCTTCATGTTTTTAATACCAGGGGCATACTGGGATCGGATGACATTCTGGCAGATCTAAAAATGTGAAAAAGAAAACAACCCTGATGACTCATACCCTTTTTTGCCTAATGATTCGTTTTACTGAGAGTAAATAAGGTTATTCTTGTTGTTGTTGCCCTTATTTTTAGCGAGCAAGGATGACAGTAGTGAAGAGACCACTTGCCTTCTACAAATTTGGCCGGGGTTCCAATTCCAAATCTGGAGACTCCTTTTTTGCATTACCTCCCTCAAAAACAACCCAACCCCCCCTTCCCTCATGATAAACACAAATTGACGGAGTCCCAAAATTATAGGTTGGCTGTTACATTATAATAAAAAGTCTTACATGACAAACAAGCATCAAAATTCACTATAAAGAAATAATCTTTGTCAGTGCCCAAATACGTGCAAAAATGCCCCAGACACTGTACTATAAAGTGAAGAATATTTCCAATTTTGGGTAAGTGAGCTCAATTCCAAACTACAGTACAGAAAAGCTTAAAAGTCTATTTTTTGGGGGACATTTGGTGACCCATACATTAATGGAAGAACCCCTCACTTTGTCATAACATACCTTGATTACATCCTCTGGTGCATTAATGAACCGCAGTTTGTCGTTGAGATATGGACTCAAACAGAAAAATGGTGTGTTCCGAGGCTGAGTCTGTCTGAAAAGCAGAGATCTCTTATCACACCATTTTCTTGAGCTGTCAAATGCAGTGATAGGGCTCCAACCATGAGCTAATAGAACTTCCATCAGTTTCATGACAAGGAATCTGGATTCTACTGCCTCGTTTCCTGATGCCCACCATGGGCATCCTTTAAGCTTGAACTGGTAACTCCCAGCATAGTGTGATTCTTTTTCAATTCCTTTTGACCAAGCACTTTGGATAGTACTTTGAATCACAGGCACTAAGCTTTCTGGGAGGCCAATCACCCTTAGCACATCATTCATGTTGAAGGTAATTATGAAATGAGGTGGATGTGGGAGCTCACATGGTACCATGCTTGGGTTGTGTTCAAAGAAGAATGTATTGCTGTCAGCCCTGATATTGGAATTTCCATATAAATTCCAATGTTTTGTTGTGAGATTGCTGATGATTGCTTGCAGCATTACTCTTGAATGGACAGTGTCCTCTCCACCTGGAAGCCATGGCTTACCTTTCAGCTTGATGGACAGCAATTCATTGTCAACTGTCCAGTTCTGTATTCCACTGGGCCATGATTCTTCTATGGCATCTTTGAAGACTTGATGGAGTTGACTGGGAGCATTGAGTATCATCAAACTATCAAGATTACTGAGGCCAACAACAAGAAATGGGGGTGGAGTAAATTCTGGAACTGGAACTTTCTTAAATATCCAAGTGGCCAGATCAAGCTCTTGGGATAAGTTGCTTGTCATCTGAAGCTTCCATCCAAGCTGGTATAGCCTGTTCAAAATTCTCTCGGCCATTCTTCTGCAAGCAATTGCTTTACTTGATGAACTAAGAGGGGAAAATGGGCTACCCTTCAATCTGAACTTGTATACTCCATTGAGCTCAAAGGTTTCTTTCTGCATCCCTTTGGGCCATGTTTCTTGTATGATCTGGCGTATGATGGATGCCTCATGATCACTGCCAAGGATAATGCTCAGTGTATCTGAGTCACGAATGGTTATGCACATGTAAGCAAAACCAATCGGCCTCGGAGGCAAGTTGCTATGGTTACTGCCCATTTTAGTCCTGATAACAAAAAAAAAATTACAATTTTTACAGGTCCATCATCTGCGGTGCTAATTTTAACCTCAACCCTATTGCACAGGGGGTGACCTACATATCCTCATTTATCACTTGGTATATCAATAATATGGCTTAATAGGATGTCTGATATAAGAAGGTTTGGAAGTTTTTTTTATTGCATACTTTTTTTCATTTGGGGTCTCAGAATGCAAATTTTTTCACCAGCCTGTAACTAAAATTAACCCAATTTATCGCTGTGGTTATATGGCCGGTAACCGGCAGTCCCATTTTTTCAGTAAATTTCACAAATCAAAAAACTCCAGCTAATCTAAGCTATCATATGTCATTAAGAAAAGTCAAGTGATCCTCAAATGCTTTATAGATCTCAAGTCTAGCATTTGGTTTACGCTGAGCTCAGAAAACGAAACCATGTTTAATAAGTGACACTTAAAACTTTTTTGAGCTCGACTGCTGGTCAAGGTGTTGAAAACATGACTGGCAGTCCTACATAATATTTCTCAGTAAATTTCGCTTGACTTTTCTTAATCGACATATGATAGTTTGGCTTAGCTGGATTTTTTCCATTTGTGAAATTTTACGGAGAATATAGGACTGCTCGTCATTTAGTGTATGAAAACCTTGACCGGCAGTCGAGCTCAATAAAGTTCTAAGTGTCACAGAACTGATGGTTTCGTCTTCTGAGCCCAGCGTAAACCAAACGCTAGATTTGAGATCTATAAAGCATTTCAGGATCGCTTGACCTTTCTTTATCCTCATAGATTAGCTGGGATTTTTCGATTTTGTGAAATTTACTGACAATATACAGGGTCGGCCAGGGTTTTTGGGTATACGGTATACAGGGGCTTTTTAAATTGGGTATACAGTATATTAGAGCTTAAATACGGGTATTCGGTATATCACTTTCTTTGAATTTCAGGTATAAAGTATACCTGGGTATAATTTTGAGTATATTTGGATGAATTTTGGGTATTTTTGGGTATTTTGGTGAATTTTTTTCGGGTATACTGGTATACCACTACCCCCTCAGGCCGACCCTGAATATAGGACTGCCAGTCATTTAGTGTTTTAAAAACCTTGACCGGTTACCAGCCATATTGTTGGTTTTCACATGACGTCACTAAAATTCAAACTAAAAAACATCAATCCTACTGAGATTTTACTTTCACGATGTATTAGAGCAGCTGAAAACTAATTTTCACACAAATTTTCGCTTCAAAAGGGTTCTTGGTTTTGTAATAGAGTACGCTTGAATTTCTAAGCTTTTGTGTGACGCGGTATTTACATGACGGCCAAGAGAGCTGTCATGTGGGTTAAAACAATGACCTATTTCAGAAAATTTTGCTATCTAAACAGTTCGTGTGTTAGAAAAAGTATTACTTTATGAGTTTTTCGAAGAATAAATTCACGCTCTTGTAGCAAAATTCGGTAACAGATGTTTCTGTTGGTTTCTGTCTGCCATGTTGGAGCTCATCCAGATGAGCACCAGCATGGCGTCTCGGACTCCATACTAATCTCTATAAAGTTTGGGTAAAACATTTTTTCGGATATCTCGTATACAGTATGTTGCCCAGTATCCGGACGGTACCAGTATTCGGACACTTGAAACAAAAACTCAATTTTTGAGGAGCCCTTTTCAGTTCTCGGTAAACGAAGTATTTCGAATGAAAGCTGAACATTTCAGCTTTAAGAAGAAAGTTTGGACGACTTGAAAGCTTGCGAAACAGTCACTGAAGACGCCATTCTGTTCAGGTGAGTAAACTTTTCATGGCTAATATTTACGCTGTTTACTGCGCAGTAAAATTAGTGCTGTTCAGAAAAGGGAGGGTTATGTGTGATATTTTCAAAGAAACTGTTTTATTTTTAAAGTGAAGATACTTAAGGAAGTCAGGTTTTCAGAAAGTTTATTAATTCTTCTTGAAATTCGATTTGTTTGGAATAACGGAGTCCAGAAACATTAACTAAGTTTTGATGTCATCTTCCCAGTATCCGGACAGTTTTTTCTTTGCTGTACAGAATCGATGAATTAGCTGTGTACATTATCCGGATAAGATTTATTTCATATCAGTAACTATAATTAAAGCTTAGGATATATGATATAGTCGTAAAATGTAATTCTACTCAACTCCGTATGGAAATTTTCTTCCCTCATTCAGAGGCGACTCGATTTCGTGTGCACGGCTTATTTCATGTGACTGCATTTTCTATATATAACTGAAAGCGTCTGAGTTGAACCTGGAATTCTCATACTTTCCCCGGTTGTCACTGCTAGAATGGGGTTGCAACGATCTGAAAAATGTCACAAAGGGATTGAGAGATGTGAAAGAAGGAGGAATTAGAGCTAGAAAAGCAGGCTTATTGTGGGACTGAGCATGAAGAAAACAACACTGAAGGTCAGACTAAATAGGAGAGTGACCTTTGACCGTCGGGTTGAGGTCTCTTCCTCAAGCTTTTTTTAAAATAAAAAATGAAGAAAGAAAGTCGTTTGCAGATTGGCTAATTGAGCTTGCAAACCACGGCCTCGGCATGTCCACGGAAGCCTTCCTTAAATCAGTGAAAAAGTTCCTAGACAAGGAAGTAAGAATTATACCATTTTTAAAACAGCTGCTAGCGTTGTCCACCATACCCCAGTCATTTGTTATGTTTTATTTCACGATGCTAGGTTATATTTTTGGAATCGATTGCCAGACTACTTTCCAAGTGCAGGAGAAGCTTATAAGTCGCTTGCCTGTCGAAATTTATGTACAATTACGTTGTTATTGTTGTGTCCGGATACTGAGCCAGCTGTCCGGATACTGGGCAACATAGGAGCTCTGCAAAAATATTAATTTCGCGATGGAAACAAAGGCAAAAAAGTTAAACTGTCTTTCATCATATTAAGGACTAGATAGATTTTCTCTGGGCCAAATTTCAGAACTCTTGCGATTAACAAAGGAAAGTTATTGCAATCTTAAACTGAAGTGTCCGGATACTGGGCAACATACTGTACGAAATATTCCTCTGACCTGAATCTTGGGCAGGGTCTTTGTATATGTACCTCCTTTCATTTCCCAGATTCTGGACTTTATCTATTGAACGGTTTTCATTTTTATTTTGATCTATTTTGAATGGCGTGACCCTGAAAACCAGCAATAGCCACAGCGTAAAATTAAACACTACTCAGTAATCGAAAGCTTGATATAATTGCTCTTACCCGTGAACACACTGAACCAACACTGCCGACCCAAGATTCTAACTATACCGTCGCTTTTTGGGCTCGTAGATTTTCCCAGATTATGACGCGAAGAGGACACACAGCGAGATAAAATAAATGGCGTCCCACGTAAGCCAAAAAAAAGTATGACTAATAAATTAAGTAAATGCCCCCGTGGCGCCGCCATTTTGAAAAACCGCAAGGCTGCTGTTGGTTCATGGGATCTGGGTACGGATTTGGTCCGTTTAAGAAAAATTTCTGATGAACTAACTCAGGGGGCGCGATCCGTTCAACCAAAATTTCCGGAAATTTCGGTCCAAAACTCTATGGATCAGTTCGATCCAACCGAAAGAGTTTTCGAAAAAACTGGTCCACCTCACTTTTCCCAGTCGGACTGGTCTGAATTTTGGTTGAATGAATCGCGCCGCGGGATTAAAGTTTTGTTTCTTTTTTTGTATTTTACCTTCCTTTGTACTGCTTACAGTAATATTTTGTTTTATCATTAATGTATCTTGGAAAAGGCTCAACAGTATTTTGCCAGGTCGGGTTGCATGTTCTTCGACAAGAAAACCTCGTAATACGTTAAATTGCATCTAACATTATCGGGAAAATAATACTGAAGCCCTTGTAATTTCCAAAGGACTCAAGTTCCCCTCGAATGACCGAACAGATACAAATTTTATTTCTAGAGATGTAAAAGTACTTTGGACAGCCTAAAAAGTATTTTCAATGTATGTAAGAGGAAATCGTTGTTGGGTGTCCCTGACTGGTAAACGGAGAGCGCTAAGCTTTCCCCAATAAACGGGGATAATCGTCGTCTCGCTTTAGGGTAGAAATTGCAGAAATTGGTATCACCAACGGTGTTCAGCACGGAAAGCATCGTATAGGATTGTGCCAGGGACCTACAACTGGCTGTGCGTCTCCTTTAGAGATCATATAAAGCCCAATCCACACCTAGATTGGAAAATTCTAATTTTCTGACCGGCATCTCCTCCTCAGTCAGTTGTGAGTCTCCCAAAAAAGATCAAGCCCACCTTCCATTTCTTGAGATCCCTGCAGAAAAAAGCTACGCTCTAGCTTGAATTCCTGAGTCAAGCTAAAAACTACCTACCTCAATATTATTTACTATGAAATGCGCGTCTGGTTACAGGATGATCAACTCTCCTGAAGGCGTATCTGATATTGCGTTCCTCTTTTGATTCTCTCTTCACTATCTATGTTTGGGATCGGTTGGTCGAAAAAAACTTTGGGATTACCAGGGATCATATAGTAAGTTATATAATAGAAGAACCCTTTGGGATCTTTGGAAACCCTTAGTGATCACATCGTGAACATTCGTGGTGTCGTGGTGTTATTTTCAAGATGGACACCAGGCACAAAACGCGAACAAATGAAAGTTAGCCTACGCCAGAATTTTTCACATGTTTTATTCACGTATTAAAGATGTGAGAATTTTACTTTCCACAAACAGTTAAGAAGCTGGAGGGATTAGCAGGCGAGTGCTTTATCTTTTTTCGGTGGTGGAGCCGCCTGAAGACTGGGAGCAAGTCAATCCCTCACAGCTACGCACGCCGCTCTCGCTTCGCGTGGACGCTCTACCGCAAAGAAAGTGGGAGCTTTGATGTTACACGGGACGATTCGGAACGACGATTTTTAGCGCAACACAGAGTTTTGCAATGCTGGAACAATATTGTAACCATTCGAAACAATGTTGCAAAGCTGTGTTGCGCTAAAAATCGTCGTTGCGAATCGTCTCGTGTAATCACCTTGGCAATGGCAATTATCAAAAAGCAATAGGTTTATTAAAGCAAGACAACAAATTTGCGCCTGCATCACCATGATCACCCTTTTCTTGTACATTTCTCTGCCGTCACTGCAAGACTACGACCTGAAAATGCCTATTTTCACATTTTGTGGAGGGTGTAAACAAACGACGACGAATTTTTCGTTCTCTTCTTTAATTAAAAGCTGTAATGCGGTTCCCATGAAATCAACTCCAGGGAAATTCGTCTACATTTGACATTTCAAGAGAATTGTAATAAACGCGGAAAAGTTTGAAAAAACGCGATTTCATCTTTAAAGGATTACTGCCATATAAAAGAGGCTGCTGGGGATACTTATCGTTTCTTTAAAGAAGGGAAATTGAAGATTCTGGTATCAGCTCGTAGCCAATGTTTTGTACTCATTCTAGGTAGACGAGTACTCAAAGGAAGTTTGGTCAGAGGAGTGCCCCCCGCTCACTGTCAAGGCCTGGAGTTTAAGGCCGCTACCCTGTTTAAGATAAGATACCCTATTTCATGACCCTTTTTCATACGTAATTTTTCACACTAACATCATAGAATTAGATGTTTTGGAAAGGCTCAAGACCCTGAAAACCATACCCTGTTCAACGGCACATACCCGTTTAGGCCAAAGAAGGAATTGCGGCCAACGTCCAGCCTGGATGCTGGTCCAAACCGCAATTGTGTTAGTTGACGGTCACTTCGCGGCGACATCTAAATCAATCAATTCAAAAGTCCTTCCACGCAGAGTAACTCCTTTTAGAATAAGAAAATCGCGAATAATCCTGCTGCTCACAAGAATAAACCAGCGTCCTTGGACTTCCTGGATCAGTTTAACAACTCCTAATTGTACCAGGTCATCCAGACTTTCTGCAATTTCCAAGATTGACACTCGAGGAAAACCCTTACATCTTTGACCTTGTTGAGATCCAAAACCAAGCTTATGCAGACTGTCGTCATTTTCTTTTACTTTTTTATAGGCATGTTCAATCACAATAACAGATTTGGTTTCTCTATAAGCAAGACAATCTCTTTCAGATGTTTTTGTCGGTGGTTTTTTGTTGTTTTGTTCTTTGAGGTCTTTCCGTGCAAGCGCTGGTTTATTTTCACTAGTTTTCTTAAACACTCTCGTCTGTCCCTTACAGTGAATCCGAGGGAAAATGTCTTCCTCTTTTGCTCCAGATTTCAAAGCCTTTTCAACCCATTTCGATGATTTTTTGGTTTGCATTGTTTCAATGTCAAAGATTCCTACATTACTATTTTGAAGCATTTTCAAGAAATTTGTTCTCTTTTCCGTAATAAACGGATATGTTTTTGACCTTGCATGAATTATACTACCCTGTTTGTTCCCTGATAACTGAACTGATTTGAGTGCACCTTTTTCAGGTTTGATATCGCTTGTTTTGAATCTTCTTCTTTCTTCTCCAACCGTAAATGTGCTCTGTCTAACTAGAGGGGCAGCAAAAGTTACTGTTTTACTTTTTTCTTGCGTTTTCTGCTTAAATTTCCCACTTGTTAAAAAATCTTCTTCAGGTTGACGGTTCGAAAGATCTTTACTATCACGAAACGCTAATAAACCAGGTTTATTGATTCGTTGCTGTAGCGCAGTTCTAGTTGAATTGATTTTCACACCGCCTTGTTCCGTTTCAATTTTTCTTATCCTTTGCAACTTAGTTTTCCTGTCTTTCCTGGGTTTCCTTTTTGCCTCCAGCACGATCCGCCGAGCAGGAAACGTGTTGCCATACCAACGAGCTTTGTCCTCGTGATATGCAATTTCATTTGAGTTTGAAAGAAAACGAGGTTCCTGTTTCCTGAAATCCACGGAATCAACTTCGCCAAGAATTTGCGACAAATCCTCGTCTTCACATGCGTGAAATTTCCTGTCGCAGCCGATACAACCTTTGCCGGTGCATAAAATATTTCCAATCTTGGTAAAATGAACTCTAGTTTTTGCATACAATGGTGCGGTAGCAATAAGCTCACTCATGATATTTTTCTCATCGCCGACGTTTTGGCCGCAAGAAAAAACTACTTTGAGATGATGCTTTTAAGTAACCCAAATCTGAAAACTGATTTCGACGGCGGAGGTGAAAATAAACTTGTTATTTCATCTTTCTTGACGAACTCGTTTCTTCCTTGAAGCGACATGTATCGATCCGTGATGCTTCTTGAAAATATAGTTTAATTTACATTATAGGAAACTAAGCAATAATGTTTTAAGTTTTTTTAGCTTCTGATTGGTTAGCAAATTCACCTGCTGCTAACTTGAAATTTTAATGAACTGTGAATTATAAGGGCCTTCGGAATATCATTAAAACCGCTGATCATTGAAGAAACAGAACTCTTTTTATTATTTTTATTTCCTTACTTGAAATTATTAAATTTCTTTTTAAGGTGATGGTAGACTGGACGATTCGCAGAGAAGACTAAAATTTTAGCGCAACACAGCGTTGCATGTTGGAACAGTGTTGCAACCATTTGAAACAATGTCCCAACAATGTACGTGGCAACGCTGTGTTGCGCTAAAAATCGTCGTTGCGAATCGTCCCGTGTAAACCATGAAGCCCTGATATCCCCATACTAATTCTCTAGATTGATGTCCACACTTTTCGCTACACTGTAGAGGACTGGTTGAAAGAAATTATCAAAAGATCACATGAAAGCACTTTATTTCTTTGAAGTGATCATTTTCTTAATTCTTATAACCTTTTCTCTTCAAAGAGTACTGTTAAGAGAAAATTGTCCCTGTTCACTCTTGTGACTAAAAGGGTAACTTATTTGTCGAGGCAGGTGTATTGTCATCCCGAGCCCGTCTTTCTTGGTCACGTGGTCTTTAAACGAGGGGTTCGTTACAAATTAAGCCGAGTGGCTCTGGGGACGAGAATAGGGCCAGTGAGAAACTTCATCATGTTCATTGTCGGTCTTGAACTTCTGAAAGCGCATATTCCACGGTCACTGATACTCCCCATGGTAGCACAACGCGATAACTTGGATTATCGGGTTCAATAACAGTCGATGGTCACCGTTGGTTCATTGTTTTGTTTTTGTTTTGTCTGATAAGGGAGGGTCATGACTGAGGAAGTGAGAAAAAGGAAGGGCCACGAAAGTTTTCAGACAAAATTAAAAATACCCCTTCGTCCTCCGTCCCCTTTCTACCCCGAATTAAAAGCGTACAGTCGAACTCTACTTTACAGACGTCCGCCTTATACATTGAGATACCACGTTATATCGGGCAAACTTATCTTTTGTCCTGGGAATTCAAAAATCCCTTTCATTCTTTCTTCATTCTTTCCGATTAGAATGGTTACCTGTTAACGGACATTTTTTTTCTTGTCCAAGAGATTCTCGTAGAACGGTTAGGCTCACTAATACAGACACATTGTCAATCGTGTGCCAAAAAGTCTTCCTAGACGTAAAATACCTTCAGATGCATGACAGTATGTCGATGTCCTTATTGCGCCTAAGTGGGTATATGACGATGAACAGGGTATACAAGTTATTTGGCGCGCGTTTTTAACAAGGTGTCTTTTTGGACAGGAAAGCCCTCAAAAGAGTGTGAAAGTTGCCGTTGAGAGCAGTCTACATGTGTGGTATCGACAATTTTTTTTAACCACAAAAAAAAAAAAACTCATTCCATGCAAGTGAAAATGTCAGTAATTTGAACGAGAAACGAAATAAATCAGGGTCATGAAATAAGGCCTCCTGTCTTAAGGTGGCTCCGTAATTAACCCAAGAGCATTTAGCTGTGACAAATTTTCCGTCATAACTTTTTCGATTTTAATGCGATGGCTGCGAAACTTTGTAATTAACAACAGATATCATTCGGCAATAATACGAAATATTCCGATTTCATTGATGGTAAATATTTCTTGAGAAATTAGCGCTTAAAAGGACCCTACTGTTCAAAGAAAATCGCGTCTAGTAAAAAATTTTGCTGATATTTTTTACTGAAATTTCTGGTATCGGCTTTAATTGATATAATAAATATGCCAGAGGAATTTCAGAAAAATCGTTGGAGCAGAAGTCCGTAACCACACAGCAAAATCGAGGTGTTATGGTAACACCAAAAAAGTGTAAATTTTTGCAGCTGTGTGAACACCAAATAGGTGTTCAGTTAACACTACTGTCGTGTATATTTACACCAAAATGGTGTAAATATGACCTACATACGATCCTGAATGCGTTTAAAAACACCTTTGCAGTGTTACAGCAACACTGACCTGGTGTATATTTTCTCTATATTGGTGTTTAGTAACACCAAAATTGGGTTAACGTAAGCCAATTTTGGTGTTAAAATACACCAAAAAATATGTCTCTTTTACACTGTTCTGGTGTTTTTGTTACACTAAAAAAGAGTAATGATGACACTGAATTTGTGTAAAACCCATTGCAGCTGTGTGCACACCAAAGTCAGGTAAATTTACACTACTGGGAATTTTACACTGTATTAGTGTAGATCAACACTTCCAATTGTGTTATAACACACCGTTTGAGTGCTGAGCCAACACTATTTGTAACTCATGAAGAAGTCTTAAAAGTAGACAAAGTAACAGCTACGACAACAACTTGTAAATTTTGCTCCCATTTAATTGCTTTACCCTGATAGTAATAAAAACTTTGTTCTCTTCAGAATTCAGTAAAACAGCACGAATTAAAACAAGTGTTAAAACAGTAAGAGGGCTGTACACCGTAGGTCTTTCTTTTCTAAGACTTTTTAGTTTTGCGGAGGATGAGAGCACACTGCATGAGAGAACGATTTTCTCATGTAACCTTTTTTTTAAAAATTCAAATATTAATATAGTCCTATACAGAACTACAGAAGCCGGAGAGATGAAATTTGAAACAACGTGGATCTTCTTTTTAAGAAACGTTTTTGCCACCGTCGTTGTCGTCGTTCGGCTTAGCTATTGATGTGAAAGGCAGATTACACAACAAGTCGTGCAGATTTAATTTTAGTTTGCTTTAATTACGAGCTTGGAACTGATTCAGTTCATTCATGAACTGTAATACCTTAGTCGGTATATTAACATTGTCCATTCAAAACTTCTCTCTGGGACAAATGAATATGAGTGTCTGCATTCTTCCGGATATTCTATATTACACACAACATATATTAGAGTGAGCAAGGCGCTGGTATGTCCTCCATTAACCTTTAGAGGGAGATTCCTTTCCCCACTCAGGTATATATCATCTGGGGCTTGCAGTTGCCCCTCAAAGATGATGAAGTGCGTCATTCCCTCCTTGCCGTTCTCGGCAACTTTATTTGCATCAACACCATTCTATAAAGAGGAAAAAAAGATGCAAAAGAACACTTTCAATAAATGTGTTTTCTCAACTGCAGCATAATAAAAGTCAATAAATATTGAAATGGAAAGTTTTGTATGTTCATCCAATTCTTCAGATGGCCCGAACCTATTTATATGCACGTTGGGTATGTTTTGGAATCGCGTTTTTCATTTTTGGCATCCTTAATAAAGAATAGTGCAAATTTAAGAAAATGTTGTCTATTTTTGTGTAGGTTTAACACTGTTTGAGATATCAGCTTATGTTTAAAACCGAATTTTTACAAAAACTGTCAAAAACATCATAGAAATCGGTTGAATGGTTCCTGCCGAAAACGAATTAGGATTGTAGTACAAGCATGAAAGATTTAGCCTGATTAACTGAGGAAATAATGTTTGCCTCATGCTCAACTTAATTCTGTTTGTGAGACTCCTTCACTGCATTGTTTCACTGCAACAGGCATTTCTCGATAAAAGGCAAGTCCAGTGTAACTTTTCCAAACTTTCCTTCCCAAAGGGTTATTAAGTTTTTGGAATCACTGTCCATTTTCACATGTACTTTCTGTTCCCGTGGAATCTCTAGGAATGAGTTTGTTACTGCCACAGCACTATCTGAAGAATTGATTGACTTTGTTTTATTTTTCATCTGCAAATGAAGCAATCTTACTTTTTCACGTTCTGTTTGACGCCACAGTTGGTGAAACTTCTCTTGATTTTTTTTTTTTGACAGAAGACAGTTTTTCTTCGGTTTTCTGTCTTTTCTTTTTTTTCTAAAACTAGCTCTTCATGAGCGTTTTTCTTTATTTGTTTTATTTCAAGCCTTCTTCCTTTATTTCGAGCTCGTCTCTGACGCCTTTTTGCCTCATCAGATCTTTTCCAACTAAAAAAAAAATGCTGCGAATAATAAAAATTTGTTCAAAGGGGCTGGAAGCATTACTGTGAGTGTATTTCCTTTTTCTTAGTCTTTCTTCCGTCCTTTCTTTCTTTTTTGTTTTTCTATCCTTCTTAAGTTTTTCTGATAATTTTAGATAACTATAATTATTACCAGCTATCAATTCATCATGTTCCAAGTAATGAGCGGGCTGGCCTCTCAACTTTGGAGCTAGTTAAAAGCGGAAAATCCAACTTTACATAGCTATGGAAACCCACAACATGATGAATTGAAAGATAAAGGTAAGTTGTTTGGGAATATATATAATTGAGAACCTTACAGACATATTTTAATAATACTTTTTGCAGCCTCGATTATTGTATTACTGAAATGAAACTTACAGTTTTTGGTCTCAGGCACTTTTATCGAAAAAGACAATATTGAAGTATCATGGGTAAAATGAATAGGATGGCTGAAAATAATATTTTTCATTACACGTATCTCTTGTGAATGATTGAAAATGTTTATACGTTCTTTTACATTGTATATGGACAGCACACATTGGCAAATTGTGTAGGTGTAACATGAAATAGGTAATGATGTGTTAAGAATTTGCTTACTAATCCAAAACCTCGTTCCCAGGATTCTCTCCTAACCGCTCCGTATAGGTTGACTAATGCATTGTAACTGAGTCTTCTTTCTTCCACTGAACCTAATTCCCCACCCACCCTACCTAAGAAATATGTCAGTATTAACTTGTCTATGTTGCAAGCTTCTCATTTCTAGTAAATTCCCTAAATATAATATTGTCTCTTTTGTTATAGTTTGGATTTTCCATAATTGACCGGATTGCAGGAAAAAAAGCTTACAATATAGGACCACATGCACAAAATTTGCAAATTCCTCCCCTTCTACTCCCCTAGCCGTTTTCATATAAAATGAAATGATGTTTGTGACAGTCACTGGCCCTTTGGAAGTGTAAATAGGTTCTCACCTCTTTTTATCAACTGTTGGGGTGCTAGATGCCTCGCCAACTGTTTCAGCATTAACGGCTTCTTGTACAGGTCGCGCTTCGGTAGACACTTCGTGAATTATCCGAACTTCAGTGCTTTTATCAAGTCACGTTTTCGTACCTTGTGAAGAAGGTTAGCGAGAACGCCAGCAGGGGGCACGAGGGTCTTCAGGCTCTCCTCATTCATGCACAACCGAACCTGTTCAGCTTTGGAAGTTAAAAAGTAAAGAGTTAAGAAAGGAAAATTAAAGTTTTTAAAGCTAAACTTTCAGGCCTTAATTAATATAATGCGAAGTAAAAACGTCAACGTGTTCCGTTATTTCGCGCCAAAAGTGCATTTTCAGTTTGGAACTTTTGTTAGATGGGGAATCAAAAGAAAGATGTATCAGAACACCGTTTTACGAATTGTAGGTTCGTGTCACAGTATATGAGGGTTTTTTTCTTTTAAAAGCAGAACATATTATTTAGTTAGGACAGGCTATTACCTTACCTTAAAAATTATCGGCAAATGCCTGAATACCCCTCCTTCTTCATCCACTCTTGAACATCTTCGCAAATAAAAATAAGTGAAGCCGGCTAGGTTTTACCCTTAAAACAGACAGACTAAATAATTTAACTCTTCCGTGCAGAATCTACAGACGGTGAAATGCACAGCGACTGCTTCGCTGTGCGTGAATATATGAACAGCACGCAACGTTGAACAAGACACGAAACCTTTCCGCTCTTCTCTGATTGGACAAAACATTACTTGATAAGTACCGTCTTGAAAGGAATGTTCACAATGCAATCAAATGATTAATGAAACCCTGAGAACGTTTTAGGACTGAGTTGTGATTGGTCGTATCCGCACACAAAACATTCCGATGTTGTTTCGCTTGCCGACGTTGATAGACGCGTTTCAATAAAACTTACAAGATCACTTTCGTGTCACGCAGCATACAAATATAAAAATGACTGGTGTTAAGCAAATGCGATGTTTTCGTGATGTTTCGAAGGTTAACTTGCTTATAAGACAAATGCCGTCTTTTTAGAATATTTTAATTTTGCACAATTATCTTTGTTTTCACCTTTCCGGCGTATAAACACTGAAAACACGTGCTTTCAATTAGTCACGAAAAGCACGTGGGGCCCTGGTAGTAGATGCTCGTGTCACGGTGTGTCTGTGTGTATGTTTTTTTTTTTTTTTAGGGTTCTCTGCCCGTAATAAAGTACGTAAGGATAATTGTCATTATTAGATCAGTCAATTTTTGAAGAAGAGGAAATTACATCATCCTTAATAAAGGATTCACATAACTTTTAGCACCAAGAAGTATAACTACTTTCATTGCTGGAGCACTGCCACACATCTCATATTTTTTGAAAGGCAATAGACCTATTCGGTCTATTCACGTGAGCAGGGTGGTTAGTTTAAACATTTCTGACCTGGGGTATGCAATTGATAATTTCAGATTAAACTCCGTGTTAGTGTTTTGATACACGATTTGGTGTAAAATAACACACCAGTTGTGTTAAGTTCTTGCAAGATTTCTGAAATACAGACGTAGTGTAACTTTACACCGCCAACGTGTGCCACATTTCTTGATTACACCATTTTAGTGTGTTCATACACTGAATTGGTGTATCTTTTAAGAAACACTCGGCAAGTGTTATGACAACACTAATTCAGTGTTAATGTATATCTCCCTTGGTGTTAATTTACAACCTCGAATTTGCTGTGCAAAAGTCGGTCAAAATTCAGCTGTGAAATTGTTTTGGAATTTCAAAAATAAATTACTATCAGAAAGAAGGAGACACCAGTTTCAATTTTCGGGACAAGCAACTTCAGTGTGTTTCCTAATTCTGAAAACAGAAGCCGATTGCCTATCGTGCTATTCTTTAAAAGGTACTTTTCAGTTTTAGAAGCACTATAAATTGCTCCAAACTTTGCTCTGACATCGAATGACTTGTTCCTCGACATTTTTAAAATATCCCTTGGCAATTTTGGTTCAAACTCCTGCTACATACATTTTGATGTATTGCAAAGCCTCCCCAACGGCTGTTCGTGCTTTACGTTGTTTCCAATTCAGGAAAAAGGTATTGGGATTGTAAGCTACCTTGTATCGAAGCTCAGATAGAACTGTCCAGTACCTTTGTTTATGACCAGAAAATGAGCACGAGCGGCAGCTCTGCGAGGAATTCGCACCTCAGCCAGGGGGGAAGAGTGACAATGATGCCCATGTCTGTGAACCGATCTGTATAAACATGTATTGCAGAGCAAAACATAATAATCAAGAAAAACATACCCATTCATTGAAGGAAGGAGTGACAAAAATTTCAGAGTTGTAAATTTATTAACGGACAGTATTTTTGCGATAATTTTATTTTGCACTGTGATGTTATTTGGTTCACAAGCATGGTCATCATTGTCGTTCGTCCCCCCTGGGTGAGGTGCGAATTCCACGCAGAACTGCCGCTCGCGCTCATTTTGTAGTCATAAACAAAGGTGCTGGACAGTTCTTTCTGAGCTCTGATACGAGGTAGCGTCCAATCTCAATACTTTTTTCCTGAGTTGGAAGCAACGAACGGCAGTAAAAGTCGTTGAAAATGTATGGCAATACATCAAAATGTATGCAGCAGGAGTTTGAGCCAAAATTGCCAAGGGATATTTTAAAACTGTCGACGAACAAGTAATTCTACTTCAGAACAAGGTTTGGAGCAATTTATAGTTCTTCTAAAACTAAAAAGTACCTTTCAAAGAATAGCACGATAGGCAATCGGCTTTTGTTTTAAGAATTAGCAAGCGTTGAATTTACTTGTCCCGAAAATTCAAACTGGTGGCTCCTTCTACCTGATAGTAATTTATTTTTGAAATTCCAAAACAATTTCACAGCTGAATTTTGACCGACTTTTAGTTACGGACTTCTGCTCCAACGATTTTTCTGAAATTCCTCTGGCACATTTATTATATCAATTAAAGCCGATACCAGAAATTTCAGTAAAAAATATCAGCAAAATTTTTTACTAGACGCGATTTTCTTTGAACAGTAGGGTCCTTTTAAGCACTAATTTCTCAAGAAATATTTACCATCAGTGAAATCGGAATATTTTGTGTTATTGCCGATTGATATCTGTTGTTCTTTGCCAAGTTTCACAGCCATCGCGTTAAAAACCAAAAAGTTATGACGGAAAATTTGTCACAGTTAAATGTTCTTGTATTAATTACGGAGCCACCTTAAAGAGGTTAGACAAATGATCGATTGTAAGGAATTAAGTTACAGATGTTCATTTTGAGACGATGTCCTGTCCTATTTTCTTTAGTCTGTTTATTATTTTGGTTTACTGAAACTTCATGAAAGGGTACTTTTTACTGGAACGGATTCCCAAGAACAGGTTGTCATCTTCACTCAAAATACATGAAAGACTCTTAGAATTTAAAGTAGTAAATGAAAGAAGAGAGAAAATTGCTTCATGTGTAAGGCTTGAATCTGTATCTACAATACCATAAATAAGCGTTAACTTTCGACATTGGTTATTTTCAACGCACTTTACATGGGGTAGCTCATTACATTGAATGAAAGTTAGCCTTTTTAAAAACTGCGTTTAGCCCTAATAACTGGATTTCGGTGCTAAACCCCATCCTTACTCAATTCTTTTCTTGCACAACTGTCTCTCCCTACTCCTATTTTTCGAACCACCCTTAACTTGAGCCCACAATCATGCAGCGGTCTACTACAACCACGGGTTTATTTCAGACTGTTTGAGACCCTTCAGATGGCTTCAGATAGGAAATAAGTATGGCCGATCACTTGCTTGTTTGTAGATGTTTTCTAGTTGTTTTTGTATTTTACTGTTCTTTTAGACTCTCCTATGGTGTATTATATTCATCCGCCGACCATATAGTGCTTTTAGAAAACGATACAATCTCCAGTGTAATTCATAATAGTCAGTCGGCTTGGATCGTCGAGTTTTACTCTAGTTTTTGCGGACATTGTCATGCTTTTGCTCCGACATGGAAAACGCTAGCAAGGATGGCGAAAGGTAAGGAAAGTTAAGTAAGATATCTTCAGGGGTATTTTGAAAAGAAGGAATAGGAAAGAGAGGAAACGACGTCAGGAAAAACGAAAGGGGACTACATCTGCTCGATGGCCGGTTCTTTGTTTAAATGTAACATTTATTTTTAATGAAGCAGTATGTAGCATAGCTACAAAGTGGCCAGTGCTTTATATCTTATTTATCTAGGATTTTTTATTTCTTTGTTAAGCCAGGAAAATTAAAATTTTTCTGTGTCGTGGTGGGTTGAAACGATCTATATTTAGTCTTGTAACGTCAGATAGGTCGTGTTCCTTTTTCGTTTTTACCACATCAATTAATCATAACATGAGAGACGAAGAGAGCAATATGAAGCGGAACAATTAAAATGTCATCAAGATTCGTGTGTCTTGACATGCTTTGCTTAGCTGTGTTATGGAGATTTAAACTCTGAACCCATGGTTCAATAGTGGCAAGCAGTGGCTGACGTGTAAATGTCGCAACCAGGATGTAAACAAAAAATTGCCGAGCGTGAAATCGAGTAGAAACACCTGGTTTTTGTAACGATCACATTTCTTCCGCATCTAATTTAGCGCTTAATCTTGAGCTGTCGTTTTTTGTTGTTGATTATCTAGCCATTCTTTTTTCCCTTTTTCTTTGATTCTGATAATCAACTCAGCTAAGCTACATAGAATTAAAGCAGAATGTGTTGATAATTAGTAACACAGTACAGTAGTCCTCTTTTAATGATTAGATTAAAAAATTAGGCATTCCAAATGGATCAATAATGTGGTTATAAGAATTTTTGTGGTGCAGTAACCTAAACGCAAAATGTAATTTTAGGGTAAATTGTGTTAGAACTGACTTGAATATCTTTTGACCATGAACTGAATTGAATATCTTTTGACCATGAAACCACTAGAATGCACCACAAGCCACAAGCCACAAGATCTTGAAAGAGGAGTGGGAAGGGGGAATTTTTAATCAGCTTGTTCTCTTCTCTCCCTCTCCTCATGGTGCCTAATATTTTAATTTTTTTGGGAGAGAGGTGGGATGAATAATGGTTTCATGTTTTTTATTTCCTCGGCTGATTCAGTGTAAAAATAATATCCAGGAAATGCATGACTTATCCTCCTGGCTTCCATTTGTTTTTCACTGGGTTTTATTTTTCTCCTCTTTCTTAGCTGCACTCCATCCTGTCCCACCTTACATGCGTACATGTACCATGAATTTGTTTCGTCTTTCTCTATTTGCAACTTGTTACACCTTTACCGTTACAAAAATGATTCTGAGTTTAAGTGTTATGTCTGAATTATAGCATCTGGTTATCCACAAGAAAGATCAGGGAAACTTGAATAAGCCCACAAGCTGTGAGGTGTTACTTTTGAATGGTGTAACTTGAGATACCTATGTAACAGCCAATGAGAAGTTGAAGTTTTGGCTTCAGTGTTGTACCTGAATGAATTAAAAAAGTTATATAGTCTAATAAGAATGTGAAAAACTGTGGGCGGGACTGTAAGGAGTGAGAATTTAAAATATAGATAATAATATTGGTATTTGAATGACAAGAATGGCTCATCAGAAACTTTTCCTGAAGCACTAAAATGTGCAAGGCTCTACTGTTTTTCGTTTGATAAAATAAGCATGCAGATTTAGTTTCCATGTTCAAAATTAAAGTCAGAAGGCATTGTGTACTGTAGCGGAAAAATGTAGGTGGGGATACACTGCCTAAATATTTATTGCCTTCATTTACCATTTGACTTATGGTCTGTCTGTTTATGGTGCCATAGACTCAGATCTCAGGGTCATACAAAATTTCCTAGATGGACGCCTTAAAAGGAAATTATATACATCTAAGGGAACAGACATTAGAGACCTCTTAGAAAAGGCAATATATGCTTATTGCCCACAAATAAATTCTGATAGATTCAAGAATGTACGGTCTAATATTTATGTACACTATATTACTGACATATGTTTCTTTTATCTTAGAAGGGATAAAGATTATTATTAAATTTATTATTATTGTTATTATTATTATTTTAGATTCAGATATTATAATCAGAAATTGAAGCTTCTGTATGATGAGTTAACACCAAATTTATTGTAGGTGGGGTAGATGGTTGAAATATTACTTCAAGGTAGACATCACTGGCATAGCCCTAGCTAAAAGACCTGGCCCAGGGTGTTCAAATGTTGGATATCGCTATCCACAGGATAAATCACTATCTAGTGTATAAGTATTAGGGAGACCAGTTGCGCTATCCACTGGATAAAGATTTATCCAGTGGAAAGTGGCATCCATTGTTTGAATAACTCAGGCCCGGGTGCCAGTTTTTCAAAAGGTGAATGGCACCATCTAGGTGTAAGTTAAGATAAGATAAGAATCTATATTTAAGTGTCAGAGTATTTAATTTAGCCCAAAGGGACTAGTGGGGACAGTAAATAGACTATACTATTAAGAAAAAATGCTAAAAATGAGTATTTGCAATAAAATCTACACCCTCAATAAAATACAACAGAAAGTAGATCATTATGATACTGTGATACTTAATGTTAAAAAAAAATAATAATAAAATAAAAGTAAATTATTGTCTGTTCACAGCAGAGTTTACAACAGTTACTATTATTAGAAATATACTCAGAAAAGTTCAGTATTTTTCTAATTTTGTTCCTAAAACTGGAAAGTACCACAGTACTGAAAAAATTGTTTGTTATAGGAGGGTCTTTGTTATCAAAACAGGATTTCACTTACCCAGAAGATGAAGATGTTGAGAATAGTGTAGTTTGCCTTCCTAGAGCACTTCATTGCATGGCCGGTTGTATGTTATTTTTTTATTATTATTTTCTATGCACTCCAAATAGCTCTGATTGAAATTCATTTATTTCAGACTGGAGAAAGCTCATACACGTTGGCGCTATTGACTGTGCTGAAGAGCGTAATCTCCAGACATGTATAAATTATGAAATAGAAGGTTATCCTACAGTAAAGGTGAGAGCAACTTGGCAACATTTTTTTTTAGAAAAGAACATTTTCAGACATGTCATCTTTCAAATTTAACCTCATTAGATCTTAATTCAGTCAGTTGAGTTTCCCACAGTTATTTGAGTGATTTTACTTAACCCATGATTAATTCCATTGATACCCATGATTAATTCCATTCCATAATTAACCCATCATAATTCCATTGTCTTCTTTTGTTTACTTGGTCTTGTAGCTATTTTGCATTGGTAATGTTATTATCAAAAGTGCATGGATTTTCCAAGCTTGTCTAGCGTCTCCAGTTTAATCTATCAATCATGCATCAATTAACTTTGGGAGTGGGAGAACATAATCTGTTTCTGTAATAAAATTAATATTAGTATTAGTGTAAAATATGGACTGTGGACTGCAGACTGCGGACCAGAGACTGCAGACTGGGTATAAAACACGGACTAGGTATAAAACGCACTACTGACCTCACCAAAACTTTCAGCTCTTAAGCTTTTTAGCTCACCCCAACAATGCAGAGAGTGGGCAAACCAAACATTTGATGGCCTAGGCTGGCTACGCCCCATAAGTTATGATTACCCCTATGTAAACATGTCCATCACGTTTGTGACCCCTTTCATTGAATATAAGAGACTGAGGCTACAATTATGGACAAAAGTCCTTGGGACAGTCAGAACGCAACTTCAATTCTATGCGTTTCACAAGTTCTGTCGCAAAAAGCAGTGCAGTCTTTTTACAAATCCATGTCCCCTTCCCCCTTCCCCACCCAATACAATGTTGAAAGATCAAAGGAATTGTGCCTTGACGGCTTCAACACTGTCTGTGGGGTGGGGGAGGGGGTAGGGACGTACAGTGCTAGTAGTGCGCGGATACAATTTCGCGCGTGTTAAAAAGCGTTCGAACTATACAAGTGTCCCAAGGCTTTTGTCCATGATTGTAGGTCTGAAAATGGGTGAACAAAATAGCATTTTGGTCAGGTTCAGAAGGACACCTGATTGCAGGTTAAGGATTTGGAGAACCAGGCAGTACCCCTCCACCAAGAATTTCAAGGAGTTTTCATAACTTAAACTCACCAGCCCTGCGATTTAGTGATATTTTGATCTTATTTTTCCTAGAACTAATTAGCACAGTTTTTACCATGTTTTATACCCAGTCCGTATTTTCCAGTCTGCGTTTTATACCTGGTCTGTATTTTATACCCAGTCGGTAGTCCACAGTCAACAGTCCGTGTTTTATACTGAGCAATATTAGTATTGGCTCAGTCACTAGATCTCTACTATCTAGCTCATTATGCTGGGAAAGCAATTTTTACATGGTCACTTGCCCAGGGACAAGTTTGGTCTGTAAAACGCCCAGACATCTCTTATGAGAGGCTTTTAAGATTCCTTCTGCAACCCTAGAAATAATAGTTAAATTACTCCAATGATAATTTACTTGAAGTAATTCTAAAAATGAGTCATTAATATATTGGCATACTGGATGAAGATAAAAATGTACTTTACTGCTAAAGCAGCTAAGAGCAAATGAGTCTCCTTCGCAGCCACTTGGGGGTGCAGTCACTCAATACTTTCTGGACAGGGAGTGTTACAAGACTCTGGCCATCGCAGCTATGAAGGAAACTAGAGAAGTGTGGACTGTTGTTGAATACATCGTGAAAAAACATTTATAGTTGCATGGCTACCTTTCCTTTAAGTAAAAGACATACATGTGCCAACATTTTTATTTAAAAATGTTTACTTTTGAAAGCTGCACTCTTCAAGTATATTAAAATGCCTCAAAGCAATAGCATTGTCACATGAAAAAGAAAATGAGAAAAACAAAATTAAGGCTGCCTTGCACATACAGTTGACTCCCAATAATTCGAACCTTAAAGAGAAAGAGAAAATAGTTTGAGTTACCGGGAGTTCAGGTTATTGAGGGCAGAGTTATATAGAAAGTGATCTGAAAGGAAATGTAAATTGCATCAAGTTAGCAGGAGGTTCGAGTTATAGAGGGTTAGATTTACCAGGATTTGACTGTACATCTCTTTGGAAATCTGCATTTTTTTAGGCAAAAATACAACTGTAAATAATTATTTACAGTATGGGCATTTTCTTGACCATCGTCTGAAGATTAATTTTGACAAAACCTGTCCCTGGGCAAATGGCCATGTAAATTTATAGTGCTTTCCCAGCATAATGAGTTAAATGGTAGAGGTCTAGTGACTGAACCAACATTAATATTAATTATTGTTACATTTTTTTCTTTCAAACAGTTTTTCAATGCATCTTCTTCAAGTTCTAATTTAGGTGAAAAATTTCCAGGTATGCTGTTTTCAGAAGTCTTACATGTACACATGTTTTCTATTTCTTGTTTGCTGCCATGTAATGTTCTATTATTTTATCATGTAGTCACCAATGAAATGCCAAACCATTTCACTTGAATAATTTTTTTTGCTGCGAAAGGACATGATTTATTATGTAGCCATAGCAACAGTGACCTTTCCACATGTGAAGATATCATGCTTTCATGCATGAAAGCTCACCTTGTATTTCATTGGTGTTTATATAATAGATGTTGTTATTCAATCAACCAGGAGAGAAGACTTTATTAAACCTTCTTCATAAAATGGTCAAGGTTGCTGAACTACAGAAAAACCTTGGCTTGGTGCGTGCAGATGTGGATTTTATACCAGTAGGGTAAGAGGGTTTTTCTGCAGAGTCAATTTTTTAGTTTAAAAAATATTTAGAGAGAATTTTGTTACTCTCAGTTCACAAACTCAAACAGACATTAAATTATTAATCAATTGGTTTGAAGATAGTCGCATGGTATAATTATAAAATAATATTTTATAGTATTAATATGATGAGGCTCTGTTAACATGGCCTTGAAACAGCAACATAAGACTAGACAGACTAGATAAAATGGTGACAGATGACATAAAGATGGGAGATGGCCCAATCCTCAAAACATGAAACAACAATATGCCATGGTTGCAAAATTAAATTAATTATTTCACTCTGACTCAGAAACGAAACAGTAGCTCATAGCACATAGCTATCGCTTGACAATGCAAATTGCCTTCTCTGTCAAGAAAAATTGTTGAGATTCAGAAATTTTGCTACAATGGTAACATGACGCCACACTTCTCCTTTTTATTGAACAAGCAAAAGTTACTTTTTACCATCTTCATTATTGCATACTTTTCCAGTACTTGAAATTACCCCTTTAATGTAGGTTGTTGAACGTGGACATTGTAACACTAACACCTGACATTTCCATTTATCTTTTTGTTTAGGAAAGAGTTTGTCTCTAGTTTTATAGAAGGCAGAAGTCGCAGAACATCAGAAAATTATGATGAGTTAGCACTAATTTTCGAGGTACCAACGTCATACATTGGCCGTGAGGTAAGTTGAAGATGCTTGTGTCAGGCATAACACATATAGTTTACATGTTCTGACTGCTAAAGCCCTGGCTAAACGATCAGAAATTCTTGTCCAACATCATATTCGTCATGCATAGAACATGGGTGACTAAGTGGAAACGTTGTTTGGGATGCAAAATGTTGGATGAAATCAAAGATTAAAATCCATTAATTGAAATGCAATGTTTGGAGTCGGAGAGGCGACTAAACGGTAAACAATACACTTTCAACATGACTTGTATAATTTAGCCTTGTAACCCTGCTAATATCTGCTTGCATGTTCTATTTGCTGTTTTACATGTACATACATTTCTGAAGTCATTAACAAATTTATCCGCTCCTGAGATTTTGCTATAAAACGCCATGTGAAGCAACATTAGTCGAGCCATTTAGTCGAGCCAAAAAGAAGCAAAATGACCCAAAAAGTTGTTTACAAGTTGCCAAATGACAGCTTTCTAAGGAAGCTTTTCATTTGTTAGAACTGGTTGGCCAATCCAGTCTAGCTGTAAGGAGAATTCCACTATTAATCAGGACTATTCAGTCATATCAGTCTATTCTTGAATAGTATGTTTGGTAGTGGTGGGTTTAAGGGAAAATTTCGAGAGAATACTACCATTTTACTTTCAAAATGACTGGTCCCGGTGGCTGGCCAGTCGTGACTTTTAGTAAGCGCCCTTATTTTGGGCATGCGCATGATGTCACAAGAAGCTGGTAAACTGGTGGTTGTGTGGTTGTCTCGTCACGCAGCGCTTCTCCCAAACAAAGGTGGAGCGTTGCGTGACTAGACTATAAGAAGGAGACTCCAATGGTTGTAAGCAGCCCAGGGACGGGGGAAACTCCGGATTTCAAGTGACAGTGATGATCGAAGGATTTTTTGGGGTTTGAAATTTTCAATTTTGGTTAGGAAAATTTCCGCAAGTGTTTTTCGGGTAGCTTGATTTAAGAAGGGACTTTTTTGGGTATTCTAAAAGTCTGAAGATTCGTGATAATTCCCGCGTATCCCGGCTGCGTAGTTCCTCTGGAAATTTTTATGGCTCGGAAATTCTGCATGGGAATTTTTGGGGGTTTGATTTTTGCCTCCATTTGATCATCCCTGTCACTTGAAATCCGGAGTAACCCCCCGGGGTGAGCAGTTGAGGTGTGTATCATTGTTACTAAAAACTTGTTAAAAATGAGAACATTTTTCATTTAGTAAACATTATTTATCAACTTTTTCAGGTCATCTTAGATTTTATGCAATGCCCTCGCTTGGGAGTCAGAAGAGTATTAAATAAAAATGTAAGTACCACTTGATTCCATTTACTTAACAGAAAATAAACTTGCGTTGTGTTCGTTAAAAGGATCTATTCACAGAAAAATGAAGATTCCCTAGTACACTACTTTAGTAAAAAGTGACATGACCATGCTACACATTGTGGAATGAACGATACACTAGACTCAATCTAAGACTCAGTCAGCCACGCTTGATAATCTAGGACTGGAACCTCATTAGCTTGTTTAACGATTTTTGTTGGTGATCTTTTATTTACATGAAAGCTTGTCTAACGGTAGATACTGTTTTTGTTCTTACATATTAGAAAGATCTTGTGGAAAAATATGCAGTAAAGAAGTTTCCATCCCTTGTTCTGGTGCACAGAAAAGGCACATTTCGGCATCTTTCACAGTACGTTTATTTCTTTTACATTGTGGTGGTGTGTTTCAAATGATCCGAAGACGGCGACGACAAAGACGGCGCTTCAAAAGTGAACTTGCGTTCTTTCAGTCTTCATCGCTATTATTCTAATTCACTTGCTTCATTAAACGTAGGCGAAGTTCCCCTAGAGTTGAATCATAAGGTCAGGAATAGAAAAAAAATTCTTCGTTGTTTGTTTTTCGTCCTCCATAGAACGTGAAGTTGAATATTTTCACGTCGTAGTCGTGCAGTGACAGGAACAAAATCTAGCCAGAAGTGTACCGCACCTGCTAAGTTGTTTTGCTTATTAAACCAATTTTTTTTTTTTTTACGTTCTCGTTGCTGTCCCCATCGTCTGATCTTAAGGTCCCTATCTTGTCTACTAGCAGTTACTAGGGAAAAGTTAAAAGTGATTTTGTCTTGTTAATGCTTTACAGTGATGAAAAAACTCACGCAGGTTTTAAGACTGCTCTGGATGAGGTTTGTCAGGTAGTTAGGCCCTTCCCTGAACTGTCAGCTGTCAAGGATGCTATGGATGTGTACAAAAAACGTCACGGCAAAGAGGATCAGAGAAAACAACAGGCTGGAAGCAGGTCAGTCAGTCTGTTAGTCAAGACAAGACAAGGCAGTATTTCTGATTTGGAGTCTTATACCAGCTGTAGCCTCCGTAGTAAGCGCTTCCGTGCGGTTTCGGGGCAAAGTGGAAGAGGGAGGAACGGGATTTTTGCTTTTGGCCGTGCATAAAATGGATCGAGAACCAAAAAATGGAAAAGGGAGAAGGTGGGGAAAGAAAAAAACGATTCTTTCCTTTCACCCCCCCCCCCCCCCCCCCCCCTACCCCATCTTTTACTCCACCCATTTTTCCCGGGTCTTTCTTGCTCCGGAACCACACGGAAACGATTGTTGCGCAGGCTATACCAGCTGTTACATCGACGTTTTCCAAATAATTCAAAATTGCAACTATAGTTTTAATCACACGGCGACAGGTGATATAGAGATGATTAAACAGTTATACAGCATTACTTTTTCTATTTCTTTTCTTTTCTATGCCGAAGTATTCAAACACATGCTTTGCTTATAATTTTTGGACTTTGGCCCTTGCGCTGGAGGAATTTGTTAGAATATTTCATTTGGTTACGTTCTGTTCACCCTTATTGGTCATGGCTTCTGTGGCGGGGTCCGGTGGGAGTGTGCACTCAAAATACGTGCACATGAACGTGCCCCCTCTCCCCAACTAGGTCACGATCTTAGTACTGTTAATTTGTTGTGGTTCATTATTGCCTTTGTCAGTTTAAATTTATCTCACCTTACCAGCTTACTGTGCAAACAAACCAAGAAAAGTACTGTAATATTTGACCCAGGGATGAAACCAACTAAACCATAACATTTCCATATTCGAGACTTTTCCTAGAACGAGGTGTATTTAAAAAAAAAGGCACGAAAGCATTGCAGTGTCAGCGGATAAATGAATATCTATACTGTGCTGTCAGGCCCTTGCCAAACTAGCCAACTCGATTGCAGACCCAATAATTTTTATAGCAACACGATAAAGGAATTTGACAAACGTCGACTTTGTTTTTTTCTGGAGCGACATCTTATTGATTCAAGATAAACACATTCTGTCTTTGTAGAATATGTAAATATTTAGGTCTACCCCCATGTTTGTATTATCGAGCATGCACTCTGACTGTTCTGAGGATTAGAGCACAAATGTGTGCACGAGTTATCAGTGGTGTGTGGTGGTGGTTGAATCCCGGTGGAAATCGAAACACCCTGGGTTAAGTCCGTAAAGACACTACAATATTTTTTCCGGACTAAACAGAACCTTAGAACTTTGACTATTTCTATTATGGGATCACTTTCAATGTAAAATATTTTTAAAACGGGGTCCAACGTTGAAGGCCCTGGTAGTACAAACCAACCCGTGCCCCCGCTCCCCATCCCACCACCACCACCACCACCACCACCACCACCCCTCTTTCTAACTAACATACATCTTGTCTCTTACTGTATCTATCCTCACCAGCTCTGAGGTGTACATGCAAGACTTGGAAAGTGGCCTGTCGTACATGTTTAACGTTGAAGTTGGAAGCAAATTAATTTTCCATAAAGTCGAGCTAACAGCTCTCCAGAGCTTTGTGGCCATGCTTGGAAAGGTGAGTATGACAGTTGTTGAGATGTGATACTTCACGTAACCTCTATCATGGCCTCAAGTGTCACACTTGACGCCGTGATAGAGGTTGAGTGAGTGGATATTGTTGGTTTAACCCGCCTACTGCACGATGGAGTAGGCGGGTTCTGTGGTTACCTTCATGGTAACCAATGAAAAAGACTTCTGTTCAGCATTTTAGAATAACAACAAGCGATAGGACAGGGCTAGAAGCTTTCACCGACTGTAAGTAAATGTCACGAGAACAACAGCCATGTCTCCGGATAGCCGTCTTATGGTTGGCTCAACTGTTTAACAGTTTAAAAAAACTTCTATGATACTCTCAATTTTATTTTTAAACGGAGAAGAGGAGTTGTTTTGGCCATTACTTCGAAAGCCGTCACGGCGTTTTTACTGACCGGTTTACTTTTAGAACGATACTTGGCGCAAATTTATAACATCTTTTAGGCCCCACAGATAGTCAGCAAAACTACAGACCTGAAAATGGTATTATTGTCCTTTGATGACGTTTAATTTTTCGTCATTTCATTTCTTATACTTTGGACGCGCGCGCTCATAGACGGAGCGGAGCTTCCACTTTCGCGGGAAAAAAATGCTCTAAAATGTACCTGAAATAAAGCAGTCCGTGAAAGCGACGTGACATAGGCATAGTATGGGAGTTGCTCGCTTCGGTTCATGGGCTCCTTCAACAGTGTGATACAGGTGGATGGGTGTGAAAAGACAAAATAACAACTTGCTGTCTCTTTATCATTTGGAGAAAGAGCCGTCGTTGGGAAAAGCTGGATTAAATCATAATTTTCTGACCTGTGTTACCAATTGGTATTTTTGCAGTGTTTTCCTGGTAGACCGAGTCTTCGCGAAGTATTCAGCAAGTTGAGTGTGAAACTAATACCTCAGCCACGGAAGACAATGCTGAGATCGGAGTACTTGTACCATCTGAAGGACGCTCAGGTATGGTATGAGTTGTCTAGTTAATATAGGACTTCACGCGAAAAAATTGTTTTCTTGCTCTGGCAACATACCCTTGTTAAAAAAAGTACGGAGCTAAAATAAAATGATATGAAAGTGAATGACTGGTCGCGTGATTTACGGTCTCACCTGGCCAACAGCTAGATGGAACACTCGAATAATGAAGACATTTTTGAGATAACGTTGAAATATTTCTGTTAAAGTTACTTTTATTCTCTTAATTCATAATTTGACATTATCCTGTGTGATTGAACTGTTTAGGATGGAATTTTGTTCAAGAGACTTTTTCCATTTTCACAGAGAGTTAATCGCCATTCTAAATATTAGCAACTAATCCTGTTCGCTTGTAAACATGTTGCATTTTCCCCTGCGCTTGAAACCAATTTCGTGTAGCCTCTTTTCTTCTTTTGATTTGCTCATTTGCGTTTTTTCTATGGTACTGATAGTTGTAAATTTCAGAGAGATGAGAAAGTAACTCAAAAGTTTAGTGTATATTAGGACAGTCAGATATTAACCCTTTAGGTCTCGAGAGGTACCAAAATCAATTTTCTCCTAATGATATCCATACATGGACAAGAGATTAGGTTATGAGAATTAATAAAATGATCACCTAAGAGAAAATGCCTTGTTTGTTTATCAAATTCCCGCAAACATTCTTAAAGGGAATGCGTGGATATCAGTTTGGAGAATTTGTTTGTGGATATTGGGACTTACGGGGGAAACAAAAATTATGCAACTTGTCTTACAACTTTGCTGCAAAACGAGTTAAATAAAGATGTTACGCGTTTTACCACCCACATCAAACCTGTCTTGCAATAAATCAGGTTGTTAACAGGTTTGAACGTGGGTTGTGAAACGCGCAAAATCGCTATTCGACTCGTTTTACAGCGTTGTTGCAAAACAAAGTTGTACGTTGTTTCTTGTTGCCCGTTTTACCGAAGCTTTAGGGAGTTTAAACACTGACGGCGACGGCATCGAGAACGGCAAAAAAACCAACAACTTTGAGAATGAGAACGGCATCGAAAACCGATAACAAAACCAACAACTTTGCACGTGCGTCACACTTTTTTGTAAATTTGTTTGTCGTTGTTACACATAAAACTTCATAGTTTCACGTTTTAACTTAGGTACAGTCCTTTAGAGTCAACTCCAGAAAATTTTCTCAACATTAAACAAATTACGAATCAAAAAAAAAAAAATTAGACTGTCTGATTTACGAAATGCTTTTTATTAAGGAGAAGAAACCAAGCTTTAACACACAATGAGATTCTATCCGGGCAAAACTGTTTGTTTAACATATTTTCTTTTAGACCTGCAAACATGGTACTTTTGTTCTCTAGTTTATTTAGGTCAGGTTTTAGTTTTTATCTTTGTGACTTGATAATGATGTCATGGCGACATCGAAACGTTGTGTTAAACTTTTTTCGCTTATCTTTATTCTTAAGTATTAAACAAATTCTATGAAATGAAACATGATAAATTTGAAATAGCGTGAATTCGCTTTTGAAGTGATGTTTCGCTGCCGTTGCCCGTCGTTGCTTGAACTCCTATTATATGCTAGTGCAAACGTTTCTTAAAACATCGTTAACGCCAAGGTATTCATTTTTGTTTGTTTTTAGATGCATTTCAAGTCAAGTCAGTCAAATGACGGTTTTCATTCTCCTCTACCCAGTAAGGCAAAGTGGGCGGCCTGTGCGGGAAGCCAGCCTAAATATCGTGGTTACCCGTGCAGTCTGTGGACTCTGTTTCATACCTTGACTGTCAACTGCGGAAGTAGCAGTGGTTTGACGGGACTAGATGTCCTTTTACGAATCCAAGATTACATCAAATACTTCTTTAGCTGCGACTACTGCAGAAAGCATTTCATGGCTATGTCTAAGAATCTCAAAACAGAGGTGGATTCACACAACAGCGCGATTATGTGGATGTGGAGCAGACACAATAAGGTGAACAAACGTCTGGCTGGTGACAACAGTGAAGATCCAAAACATCCTAAGATCCAGTTTCCGTCGAAAGATCTCTGCGAAGAATGTCGCCTCCCTGGTACCAGCACTGGCGACGAGATTCACTGGAATGAAGGCGTGGTTCTGGAGTTCTTGAAGAACCACTACGGTGTGAACAACATTAGGATCAAGAAACCTCCCGCGCGCTCCTCTCCTGAACTGGAAGACACTGACATTGTAAGCAAGCGTCACTTTATCTCTCATCTTAGCGCTATCGGCCTGAGTTCGATTGACGCCAGCATGTGTCTAATTCTTTATTCCGCGATAGCTCTCGCTGTCATCGCCTTGTATATTTATTTCATCCGAAGGCGGCGGAGAGCAATTAAGGTTCGCGTGCACGCTCCATAGGTAATCTGATTCTGGAATAGTTTCAGATTAGCTTCGCACGCATAAAGCCCCCTCCTAGATCTAAAGTCAACCTGCGATATGGACTGTGACATTTGAAGATTTTGCATGATGTGGCTGAAAAATTGCGGGGTAAATTACTGGAAATTTGGCTTTATATAGTCGGGCGTACGAGATGTCACCTTCTTAGTCTTGTGGTTGACTTAAAAATCCCAGTTGAACCTTTAAGCATTTGCGCTAGGAAACGCGGTTTAAACGAAGTTGCTTTTAAATTGTTTAAATTTGTTCTACATTAGAGAATATTATTTATTATTTGTGCCTTAAATCAGGCAGAACAGTTCATTATTATAATGTTCAGATTAGCTGTTCATACAACAGTTGTCATACTTAAGACTTACACCGCTCCTGATTGTTAAAGGATGCTTATAAATCAGATCCCGATTTATTTTTACAACCACAGAAGTAGTCTCTAAGTAACTTTGTGGCAAGTTTTAACAGAGCAGTTTATAATGTTATGATAACGTGAAGACAAATTTCTTAATCGAATACTTAAACTTGTAAATAATGATAAGTTTTAAGATGAATTTTAGTTTGAAATCTATTTTCGTAGATATTTATATAGCAGCGTCTATTGATCATCGCCTTATGAAGGTAATTTAATCGACCCTCGCATTGAAAATTCACGTTCAAGATCGCGGGTAGAATGGATAATCGACAATTTCTCCAAGGGATTGGAATCCGGAACCATTTCGAAACACTAGCGATTGGGAAGGTTCCCCTAACACACCGAGAGACGATCAAGAATAACTTAGCTTATCACCCTTGTAGGTCTCACTGCACCTGAGGCAATCTTTCTAAGTTATTGATATCGACATGGCGAAAATTTAAAAAAAAAAAAAGTTTTGATGTAATGACCGTGCGTTGTTTTAAAGAGAGTTGAATTCCTCGTTTTCTAAAATTGTGTTTTAAGTCTTACGATGTTGTCATTTTCGACGGAAAGATTTTGATTGAGCGCCACATGTCGTTTTTGTTGTTATGGAATATCTGATAACAGCATCTGAAAGACCTTGTCACCGAGATCTCAAACGTAAAGAAACTAACTAATTTTGTATCAATGTCCTCTAAGATTTACGTTTTGTTAATAAAATAACTTAGGGGGATTTCCTAGGGCCTATATTGGGAATAAGCTCTGTGAACCTGCGAGCAAGCTCCTCATTTGGGGGAGTCGCGAGAAGCCACGCGAGATCAGAGTAGCACGCGAAAGTGTAAAATGGAGACCTTACTCGCAAGCTACCTCCTGTGAAATACAAAACCCCCCAGGGGGGATCTAATGGTAGAGTATCCATTCAGAGGAATCTTGGGACTTTTTGTCGACCATGGGTGTTGTTATGCACGTGATCTGGGGCTAGTTTAGTGTCTTTTTTAAAAAGAAAAAGAAATAGCTTGCATGAGAAAAGAAATCAACACTGGTACACAAATATGACCAATGTGACTTCACGTGAAAATTCTCGGTAGGCTTATTTGCTGGTCAAAGAGAGAGATAGCTACTAGCCCACGTTCGATATATTAAAACTCTAACACAACTCCGAGGCTGCAGGGACGAAATTGCAAACTTTCCACTACTCCATTGCCTTGCAATTCGCAGAAGAGATTTTACCAGAAAAAAACCAAACCAAATGTAGAAAAAATGACCAGAAAGCCTCGGAATCATGTTAGAATTTTAATATATCGAATGTGGGCTACTGAATGATGATGCGCCTTCTTTAAATTTTATCTAAGATCCGGATCATGATTCATGACCCAAGATCACTCAATTCATGGTGCATCAGCGGTTCCGGTGAATCCTTGTTCGGATGGGTTTTATCGGTGAACCATGATCCGAGAGATCCTCAAAATGAATCTTGATCCGGATTATTCTCAAGGAACGCACCATTAAGTCATTCCGGTGAAGTTTGGAGGGCAGCCGAATGACATTCACTCACTCGATGAGATGTTAAACAAAATTACCACAAAATAAATTATCATTAATTATGACTATACCCTACTTAATGAAAACATTTCAGTTAGAATTTAGATCAAACAAAGCGCGTGGATCTCATGACCCCGTCTACTGTGCAACAGTTGCTCAACTGACTGACTTCTGTTTCTCTTACAGATGTTTGCCGACTACTTTGTACGACAAATACAATCGAAAAAACACAAGACAAACAAAACAGAACACAAGCACCTGACTGAGACTTACGATGATCCCTATGCTGAAATTGTTTGACAGCGACAAACCCCTAAAATCGAACACGACTTGGTGCACCTTGGGAAAATAGCGCCGGCGCTATATATACCTGACGTCACACTCCTCATCTTGTTGGTACCCATTCCCCTCCACGTTGCGCGCGATGAAAGGGTGGAACTGATATTTGTAATTTATTACCAAACCATGAACGTTTTTGCATCCACTTGTAGATTATTTTTGTAATTACCACTATGTTTGGCTTTTGATGCTAAACAAAACGAATGCAGTCGGTAAGAATAAGACTGACAGACAGTTGTCATATGAGTATACCCAGTTCTCCTCTTGGGAGTTATTATCCTCTTGCACGGCTATTATTTTTTATTGTGATGCCACTAGGGGAGATTCTTACGAAAGGGGCTTTTCTGACCACGTATTATTAGTTGAATGCTGGTTTTAGCGGATTGAAAACGAACTTTCCGCTCCAAAACACACGACGAAGTGCGTTTGAGGCTTCATGCAAACGTAGTAAAGGAAACTTGTTGAAGGCAACAAACATCAAAGATAAAAACAACCGGTGCTTAAGTTTATGTTGGAAACTCCCTGACGGAGCACGATCCCTTGTATGATTCATTTCAAATATTTCAATTGAAACTGAAATCCTTTGTTTTTTGTTTACGAATTGAGACTGAATTAATAAATGCGACGTTTTCATTGGTCAACAAGATAAAAAAAATGCTATTGAACGTTGTGCACCGTCAGGTGGACGAAAACATTCCACTCTTGTAACTATGACACAAATGTATGCCTCAAGTTGGTGCCTTTGTTTTCAGTAACGCGAAAAAGGTCTACATAATTCAGGGTACGGCTGTAACTTGTTATTATTTAGGGCTAAATCGCCCATGCTTCTCTAGTACAGAAAAATATGTGAGTTTGGTACTGGAAGTAGATCTGGGTAGACTGCAAAACAGTCCGTATTTTTACTTTCAAGTACGCGCGAACAGTCAAACAAAAGGTCTGGAGCGATGCTGAAATAGAGCGAGCCTTATAAGTAAGGAACGTCTGCGGTCTGCGTGGGAAGCTCCCTTACTTTGCTACTACTTAGTGTTTCCAAAGTAACTTTTGCATTCACGTTTTTCAAAATGTCGACTACAACTACTGTAAGTCTAGATAGGCGTTCACGTTCATTAAACTACCTAATCTTGACCCTCACCCACCCCCTTATCGTCCCTGCAAAATCTTCACCCCACTCCTGACAGTTGCTCTACTCGCCCAAACATACGGGCCTTACCCGCCATTATCATTAAACTGACGTCTTTTGTAGATTTATCTTCGAGCATTCTTGTTTATAGGAGTTTTTTAAGGCACCGAGAGTGATATACAAGACAATGTGTACACAATGAAATTAAACCATCCTGCGTCATGTCGCAACAATGTCAGTGCTCGATTTAATCTTAGATGCGGAATTTATACAAAAGCTCATTCCAAGCTGGGCAGAATCCTTCAAGTACTTATATTTTGAACCTGAATCCGAAGCCACGACAATTCGCATAGATTGAAAAACAGAGGAAAGGTACTCTTACGTTGGCCACGATTGCGAGTCTTTCTCAAACTGTCGCGATTCGGGAAAATAAAAACGTGTTAAAGAGAACTAGCTTTCTCGCTAAAAAAGTGATCTACTTTGACTCATTTTCACAATGGAGAAATGAAGATTTCGTTTTGACAAAGCATAACGTTATAACCTACTTTCCAGTGCAGTCCAGAATTTACGATATGTCTGCCTACAAACCAATTAGCTCTTCAAAGTCTTCAAACGAGTCTTAGATTAATAACAAACTTGTGCACCAAGGCATTAAGTTTCGCGTCGCTAATTTTCGCGGTTGCCTTTCGCACGGGACTTTAATTTTGCGATTTTTTGGCAACCGCGAAAATGGCTTAACTCAAGTCCAGCGAAAATTAGTGCCAGAAAGGTATCTTAGAGTCCCTTTGAAGGATGTAAAGATCATGCCTCACGGCCTCTGGTATATCGACTCTACTGACTTTACTCCTCGAAGCAAAAGCTCCTTCTTTTCGAAGATGAAGCGCTTTTTACACACCACGAGATTATACTACAGAAATGTATAAAAGAGCAGTTACAAAAATATGATTGGTAGGAAAGACTCTATCCAATATTGAAGGTAAAGAAGTTAAAAAAGTTTCATCAGCAGCCTTGGAATAACTGTTCTCGGCGTTCCAACTTGGTTTGTACCTTCAAACGTTGTATTAGCTGAGAATTAAGAGAGAGAGAGAGAAAAAAAATGAAAATCAGTGTTAGAACCTCAAAAAAAAGTAGGTCTTTGTTCACCAAATGTAGCAGCGGTTAAAGGATTGCCAATCACAGAAGAAATAACTCATAGAGAACAGATTGCCAATCATAACATACAAAATAAGAAAAAAACGGCCGAGCGCATATATTTTATCTCTGGAATACCGTGATTTGGGCGAGACGCGGAAAACTCGCAAGGAAATAAAATGGCTAACGAGTATTTTCAAGTCTTAAAATTTAAGCCAAGGGTTAAAACAATAATAAATACATACATGGTTACGCTTTTGCCGCCGTTCAAAAGACCCTTAATTCGATTTTTACCAAGTTTCAGACACTCGTTTGCACGGCCTCTTACTGCAAAGCCACAGCACACGGCTGGAAACTGAGGAGCTTACCAAAAGTCAGAACAGGGCGTTCAGACCAGTCATTTTTAAAGTAAAATATCAGTCTTCCCTCGAAATTTCCGCTAAAACCGATCACTATCATAATAACTTTTAGAAATAGACTTAACTAACTGGATAGTATACAACTATCCCCTGAAGGGGAGGTGAATAGCGGTGGATATAGACCGAAACGCAAGGCAGGAAATCTGTTTACGACTGGATTCGGCCAGTTCTGACAAATGGTAAGCGCCCTAAGACTCGCTTGCCTTCATTCTGATAGTCGTGAACGTCCTAGTACTTTCCTCGTTACAATTCATTATTTTACTTACAAAATGTTTTAACTTGGTTATCAACGAAGACTTTGGCTGCCTCTTCGTACTGACTGACCACAGATATTGCTTGTGCAATTGTATTAACCTGAAACACAATCGGTTAAAAGAAGAAAAGCTCAGTTTAGAGCTTTCGGCACAAAGATTCCTGTTATCTGTTTGGTGGACAAGATTTGTAATCGCTCGATGGTGTCCAAACGCAACAAGTAACTTGCAAATGTCCACCCAAACACTCCCAGAAATCGTCGCGCCGAAAGCTTGTAACTATTTTCCCTTTAGCTTACGGAGTAGAGAACTTTAATTAGCCTGCGTAGCAGGCGCCGGTATTTTAAGGGCGCAGAAAGAAATTTCGAGGACGCACGCGCTCTAAATTAAACCAACAAAAAAATTAACGAGCGCCTGCCACGCAGAATAAATTTTGGTCCTTATTTGGGCAGCCAAGTTGGACTCAAAAATAACCGACCGCATTTTGAGTACCGAAAGTTTCCAATAGACCTCTTTACCGTTATGGCGGCCATATTGAATTTATTAGATTTAAGGAGTATTATGGGATGCCCAGGGGGCACTCGCTCAGTATTTACGCGCGCTTTTCGGGCAAAAAGAGAACGTCACTGTTTATTTCTCGGGAAAAAGGTGATCATTATTACATCCAAACACGGCACAACGATCTTTTTTTCCCATTACAATCTTCTTCTAGGAAAACGTACCGAAAAATTGGCCCGAAAAGCGCGCGTTAATACTGATGCGAGTATATCGGATCGTACTCATGCCCGCTGAGCATCCCATAATACTCCTTAAATCTAATTAATTCAATATGGCCGCCGTATCGGTAAAAAGTTCTACTTCGGGGTTAAAACAGATCCTTTGAAATCACGGCGTACAATGTAGGTTTGTCAGACCTGTGTCACTGTCTCTTGTTTCATTGTGCTAAGCCTCTCCGTGAAACCTTTCATTGATGGCTTCCCAGAAAGCAGTTGGTGCTGCTTAGGAGAGAGGAAGTCTGGACACTGGTCAGTGGCTTTGAAATCTTCGTCTTGTCGTCTGTTGTCAAAGGAGAAAGTACAATCATATAAATCAAAAATTCAAAAAGGCAAAGATGCAATAAGGAAAAAGCTTTATTATATACATACTGAGAAATACTCACCAAAAAGCTATGTCATAAATTTTCGTACGCAAATTAGTTCTAGCCAATCAGAGGAGCGAACGATGGTTTTCACACGTGAAAAAAATGATACGTCCAATCAGAATCGCGAACGATGTTTTTTCACGTGTGAGAAAAATGATACGTCCAATCAGAAGCCACAGAGGTGCGTGAGTTTGGCGCCAATATTCCCGCCTTTTATTGCAGCTTGCAGCGTCGCTTCGCACACATTCAACGAGAAAAGTTTTACTCAAAGAGTTTTTCTCGCTAAAAAAGTGAAAAACATTTCGGAAATGGAATGGAATAGTTTTGTTTGTTTCGCTGTCGATAAAGAAAACGGTAGAGAGCCGGCGAAACAAAGCGGAAAGGGATAAACAGAACGAGACGTAAGCTTTTGTTGTGCTTTTTGTCGGAGCCACTTTGCCTTTCATTTAAGCTTAAGCTTATATTGAAACCGGCCATTTTACTTAAATTCACTCATTTTCAATTCAATTGTGCATTTAGAACAAACAGCTAAGATTACTTATAGTTCTTGGATTACCTCATATCCTCACCGTCATTTATGTTTTTAACAAACGTTTTTACTAAAAAGCTGATACTTCGTTTTCGTTGTCATTTTGCGGTCAGTGTGTAGCGGGAAATTTTAGCATTTTTGAAAGATTTAAAATAAAAAGGCCGCCAAAATGATGAATGTCTCAGTATGTATATAATAAACACAATACCACATGGAAAGTGCTTTGTACGGTATTTACGCACTCGTTGTTTTTGTATCAGAAATGTTACTCGTTCGCTGCGCTCACTCGTTCGATTTCTGATACGTCAACAACTCGTGCGTAAATACCGTACGCCAGCACTTTCCATGAAGTATTCTCTATTTGTCTCCTATACCCGAAACGCATGGATAGAAACTACTCAAGGTAAAAAGAAAATATTAATTAAGACCTAAAGGAAAATCGTATTACTACATACCTTTCTTTCTTTGCCACTTGTTCTTGACGGAATGAAAGCAGTGTATCCCATTTTTTGTTTTCTGTCTTCAATCTAGCAAAAGCAACACATGAAATGATACATTCAAGGGGTTTTTACGGGTTTTGCAATGACTTGCATTTAGCTAAAAAATCTCGCGACACTTTCTCAATCAATTAGAAGTACAACTGTAAGTTGCACACACCCGTTTTCCCACGTTTAACACGGGCTACACGGACCTCCTTCCGTATGTTATTGATTCATTGGATTAGCCGCATCTGTGGTAATACATGTGTATATAAAAGACGAGGCTACTGAGATAACGTTACATTTACCAGGCTTCCATGGTTGTAATTTTACGAGAAAATAGACTAAAAAGCTTGAACAGTGGTTTAGACAAAGATTCGTGTATGAGAAAGGTATGAAAAAATTTGTGCATTTAGCACGAAAGTATATACTTATTGCCATCGAGGAGGCATCCCAGTAGCTCGCGCGTATACAAAGGAAAGTACTTACAGTTAAAATATGTATTTAGTGTACCAGAAAAAATCTCGATTTGCTTAAACAAGGGCCGCGAGCAATCGTGGGGTAATGGTGACGTTTTAGCCCTTAACAATGCTGAACGCCCGCGAGTAAGAAATGGTTAGGATAACATAAAACAGAAAATGCCCGACAGGACCGCTTGGGTTGAATTTGTGATATTAATTGTACTTCGATACTCTTTGCGTTACGTGTGCGTTCAGTGACATTCTGTGGAGCAACTGTTTTGAAAGTATTAGAGAAAAACGGCAATTTTCATTTCTTTGTCTCATTAAATATTGATTTTACTCTCTTAAAAAAGCATCAAAACCTCACTGACCACAAAAGACAAAATCTTGTGTTTGAATGAAATTATGGACCGAAAAAGCTGTAAGCTCGACACGAGTTTATCATTCAAAAATCTTTTGCTGAAAACGATTCAGATTTTTCAGACATAAGTTTGGCGTTGGGGCCGTGAACTTACGACTCAGTCCACAAGCAAGCAAGTTGTCCTAAGCGAACGAGTGAATCAAGCTAGTTTATCAGGGCACGATGGAAGATTTCTATACCGCATAGTGACGGCGGGTTCGAGAAGAGGCTACATTTTCCCAGTATGGGTTAAGTGCGTAGTAGTCCTTTTCGCACAGCAGCTGGTACCGCGAAAATGTAGACTGTCAAAGGTAGACGATTACAGAAATTCGTCCACAATTAAATGAGGTTAAAATTCTGTACTGACGTATTCCTTTTTCACAGATGACCCTCCATAAAGCTTTTTTCAAGCAAAGTAATGTCTTAAATATCGTTTAAGTTAAAAAAAAATCTCGAAACGCCGAGAGAGTTTTGATCAAAGCTGCGTAAATTGACCTGAATCAGTGCATGGAATCTTGCGTTCTTGCTTTTATCCCACCTATTTTATGTAATACGCGTGAAAATATTCATATGAATCGGTATATTTCAAAGAGGTACACAAAGACCAAGGATACAATTGACTGACAAGATACAGAGGGGGGACAGCTTTAGTGTCAACTATTACTAGTCGAGGACATTATTTTTACGTCTCATTCATTTGCAGAGGAAAGGCAGTACCTTCATTTCTCAATAATTTTAAGACCCTGAGTATTAGTCGGGACCCGGAAATCGAACCCGCGACATTTCGCTCTGCAGTCAAGCCCTCTACAGACGGAGCTACAGGCTGTAGTCCTGAGACGTTTGTACTGCTTTTTAATTAAAATAAGTTACTCACCTGTAACTAAGTCTCCTACCCAGCCGTTTTTTGAGTCGTTGTGCAACCCTCAGTGAACCCTCCTAGGAGTGTTGCAAGATGGCACAAAAAAACGTCTGGGTAGGGTCAGTAGGAGACTACCTGTGACTGGAAATGTCTTTTATCCAAATCCAAATTCTCAAGACTGATCTCCATACATTTCTTTAATGAATTAGTTGGGAGAATTTGTTTGAAGATCAGAGCGTTTTCCATGAAGTGATCACTTTATATTTTCTCACAACTTTATCTCATGATTATGTATTGATAACATTAGGAGAAAATTGATTTTTACCATTCTCGGGTCTTAAAGGGTTAAAAACGCACGTTTTACTGACTCACACAACACACCTTTCTGTGACAGCCAAACATGATGTTAGCTTTGCTTTCAGTTCCTGATTTTTGGGGTTGGGAATTTGCCTGTATGTGCAAAAAAAAGCAGACATAAAATTCTTCACGGAAAGTGTATGCATACAGTATTTACACATGAGATGCTAGAGTATCAGAAATCGAACAAGTGAGATTTCTGATACAAAAACAACGAGTGCATAAATACCATACAAAGCACTTTCCATATGCTAATGTGTTTGTTATATACATACTGAGATCTAAATTATCATTCTGCCAGTATTTTAGTTTACATCTTTCCAAAGTGCTAATGATTATTAAAGAACAATGATAAAAATTTGCTGCTACTGTCAGCCATGACAATAATGACACAACAGGAAAGTCAAACAAGCCATAGTTTTTATGATCAAAACGACAACTCTACTGCGTATGAATAAATTACAAAATTTGGTACATTTATTTGCTGACACTTTCTTGACCACAACATGACATTTTGTAATAGGATGTTGTATGGAGGATAAAAACAAAAAACAGCAATTTTCTTTCTTTTTCGGAGCTTCAATACAATCCTTGAACTAGGTAAGTCTAATATCCAGGAGCTGCCTTGTTTTCAGATGTCTCTCTGGTGCGTGTCAATTTGTGGGCATGTATATGGTGGGAGGAAAAAGTAGGCACAACAAGAAAACTCAGAAAAAAGGCAATGACAAAAAAAACATTTACAAAGGAAAACCAATGCCTGGGGGGGGGGGGGAGTTACTCAACAAATGTTCATAAGGGGAGGCTCTGGCTTGAGGTCCAACCCCTTACCGTTTTATATACCATTTTTCATAAAAAAGGTAAGGTACTCCTTTCGTATACAGGGTTCATACAAAAAATTGCAACCATTTTTCAAGGACTTTTCAAGGACTTTTCAAGGACCACATTAGATTTTCAAGGACAACCTACTAGGAATATAATTTCACAGATTGTACAAAAATGCATATTCCCAGTATATTCTAATAAGACTTTAAGGCTTTAACTGTTTGCTTCACCAAATTCTCTACATTTTTCAGTTCACTTGTCTTAAACTGATAGTTAATTATTGCATAAAACATGGAGCACTTTATGTAAATGACCTTTACATTCACTGAGCTACGATTTATATTCTGTCTTGGACAACCAAAAAGCATCAAAAAATTCTTTCCAGGCTACTGCATTCAAAGTTGAAGAAAATTCAAGCTCTTTTCAAGGACTTGCACAGAAATTTAAGGACTTTTCAAGGAAAAATGGAATTCAAGGACTTTTCAAGGACTTCCCCTAAAATTCAAGGACTTTTCAAGACTGTGCGAACCCTGGTATACCTTCTATTCACAAATGGTACCCCTTTCACCTTGTTTGCATCCGTTTTAACTGCTGTCAATGCAGTCTTTTAAATAGGAATCAATCACAAAACAAAACGTTTTCTTGACTTTATAAAGCTATAAAATTCATCTGTTAGCCCTTTTGAGCCCTTTCACAGACCCAAATGACATATCCCTACCCTTTCGTATACTTCAACTTTTGAAGTTCCTACCCTTTCATTTTCCTGGAGCCTGAAAAAGGTACCCCTTTTGGGAGGAGCCTCCCTGTATATGCCATTATAGGGGGTACCCCTTCTCCCCCCCGCCCCCTGGAACCAATGTTACACAGCAACCAACAGCAATACATGTTACTGCCACTTACCTTACTTCACTGTTTGGTGGTTTCAAAGCCTCGTCTATTATTTCACTTTCTGATATCAGGGCTTGCAAATGGGTGAAAACTTCCTTTGCTTCAAAAATTAAAAAAAAAATTACCGTAAAAACTCGTGTATAAGCCGCACCTTTTTGCCGAAATTTTGAGTCAAAAATCGCGGGTGCGGCTTATACACGAGACCATTGCTCTCAAAGGGAGTAAACTGGTTTGTAGGGGTCACAAATTGAACTGAAAACCTTCAGTTGTTGAACATTGAACACTGGTCGATAGAATGAACTTTAACAGTATATTAATGCTCATGTAAATAGTTTTTGCTTTTCTCGTGAAAATGATACCGAACCTTGTTGTACAAGATTTCGCTTTGAACAAAGATTGATGAGCCGTACTTTCAAACATTGTACAATGTAAATAGTTTTTTGCTTAAACAAGGAATTTCGTTTTCTAATATCAAGATATCTGTACCTGTTACTTGTAAATATATTATTCAGTTTTGTAAAATACAGTCTTCACAAGTCCAGCATTTGTTTACTTGTGTCCTTCTCTGGTGTCCAGACTTCCCTCGTCAAATAAACGCGTGGTTACTAAGCAATCGTTTTGTAGCATTCTCCAGCGCTTTATTTTCGTTCCATCGTTCCATTTTCATTTCAACTGTGGGCTTTAGCAATGAAGAGAACTGTTGTCTTTCGCAGGAAATGGGGAAATTGATTAAAGAGAACCTTTTAAAAGGTATTTTCAGAGTTGATTAACTTATTTAAAATGTCACTGCAAATACACAACATTAAATTTCCTCAAGTTTATTTGTGAACATTTTGATGCGCGAACAAACGATCACCTTTTTCACAAAAGCGCATTTTTGTTTTTTGTTTTTTTTCAAAATCATGCTTGAAAGTTGGGGGTGCGGCTTATGCAAGAGTGCGGCTTATACACGAGTTTTTACGGTACGCCATTACCGGTAAATTCGTTTCAACAGTACAGGCAGATTTTGTTTATGCTGACCGTGCATGTTTTGAAAGTAGCCTGGGAGCGCTGAAGCTACAATCAATAGTACACATTACTGGAGATGACCAAAATAATCTTGTACAAGTATGTCTTAAACGGTCAGAGCATTTTTTCTACATGCCCAGATATCATTCTTACAGGATAACCATATCTTCTTGACGTCTAAAAACCTCATCAAAAAGCAAATGCTCTCGATATACTTTGACAGTGATGCCCCTCCTCCATCTGTATTCTATTCTTGTCCTACAGAGGTAATTAGCATTGAGATTAAAGGTCCTATTGTAACAGGAGAATAAAGTCTGAATCCACACTTAATCAGCAAGAACATGAGAAATTTGTGTTTTAAATGCAGTTAGGGGTTAAGAGTCCCAGGATCCTGCATTATATCTACCTTCGTCAGCAAAGTTAGGAATTCCATCAACACTGCATTCAGACAAATTACTATCCAGTTTCTCTACTGCATCCTAATACAATATAAAGAAAAAAAGGTTAAACCCTTCAATGTAAAAATTAATTACTTTTTTAATAGTACTTAAAATAGAGACACAAAAGAGTACACAAAAATGGGCGCCAGCAACAGCAACTTAAGTTTTCAACAATTTTAACAAAAAAATTCACCATAGAGTTACCCTTTTTAATGGCTATTTTTTAAAAGTAGCCATTTGTAGTCACACATGTCAGGGGCTGTTGCTGGATAGAAGCAACATTGACAGCTTTGGGGATTAGTTTTCAGAGTCTTCAGTTGATACATGTCACTGACAGGAAATGTTTTTCTTACCTTGAGACAAGCCTCAAATAGTTTTCTTAATCTTGCCTCAGGTGGCAAATCTATAGGAATCTCTTTGTACAGCTCTGGGATAAGAAAGCAGGAATTGTTTCTTATGAATTGCTGAGGTCTGTACATAGACATTGGATATCAAAATAATTAACAAATGAAAGGTGTAAATGCAACAATGACATCAACCAGTCAGGCATGGTGGTGGTTTATTATGACTCAAGATTTTCATATTACATTTTTCATTAAAAGTTTAAATTGATAAAAAAATACCTCCTGCCTAGATAATTTTTCAAAATGACCTTACATGACCCAATTTAAAAGATTTACATCATTTGTCATAGCCTTTTTTATGAGTGTATATGATAATCATCAACAGTTTTGTTTAGTGATAAAAGAAAATTATGTCATAAAAGGTGTCAGGCAACAAACAAGGACTGTGGTTTTGTTTGGCAGTATAGCTATCTGAGCAAGAGAACATAAATAAGGCTGAATGATCAAAATAAAGATTACATTAACTCTCACAACATGGACAAACTTTGAATTCATTGACTTTCACAGCTACACAGTGTTTTCCATCGACCCAAAGACTACACGTATTTCACACATTTTTAGCCAAGTGCTAGTTAAGCAACTCTAGAAAAGTTTCCAAGGAAATTATGACAAATGAAAAAAACTTTTAACAAAAGAACAATAATTATTATATATTAAGTAGCGCTTACCAGATTTTTCAGGAGCAGATGAGAAGAGCAGAGACTTTCGTTTCTTTCTTCCTTGGGCAAAACTTGATCTTCTGTTCTTACGTGCACTTTTGGTTGCACTTCCTTTCTTTTGGTTAACCTTAAAAAGGAAACCGTAATGAAAGATTTTAAATATTAATATACTAATAGTACATTTGATAAGAAAGATCACAAAAAAAGCTGATGAAATGAATAGCATGACAATTCACCTTTCGATAACGGCTTTGCCGAGAGAATTTGAATCCACTTGCCTGCAGGCCTAGATCCTGTCAAAAGAAATGATGACTTAAATTTAGGTGCCGATAAAAAATTGATTACTCTTAAAAAGTGTTTTTATTAATAGTGACAAACAAGCAAAAACAACTGCCTTCTTCCAAATGGCCTTAAAAGATGTGTTACGAAAAATAAAAGGCAGCCATAGATTGTTTGGAATTGTTGAAAATGGAATTATACAATGTAGTCACAAGCGCTTGCAAGATTCATTCAAAAGATCTACAGCACCATGTTTCTACTGATCTTCCTGATTACCAATGACCTCAAAAAACAAAACGTGTACTGGCAAGTAAGAATTAATATCACTATGAACCTCTTATGTACACTGCATGGGAAAAATGGCAACCAGAGCTTGATGACTTGGAATTGCAAACGCCATGTTATCAGAGCCTCAAAAACATGGCTTCACATGAGCAAACAAGGATAAAACGATGGTGCTGAAGATCAACAACAACAAGAAGCAACTTTATTGACCGCAAAAAAAATACATAAATACGCTCACACTAACTACATTGAGCAAAGGCTATTTGAAGCAGGCAGTGTGGGGACGCTACAAACTGTTACGTTTTATTTTATGTGGCAGAAACCAGGCCTTTGACAGGCCTTTGGAGTCCTGTGGTACATAATGTGTATGAATGCTACCTTGTCACCCATTTACCTTTTCACCGAATACCTACCTTATTGTCTTTTGTATAAGTATTAACAAAAACAAAAAACAAAATAATAAAGGACATTAAACCTACTCATACCTCTGGTACATCTTCATTCTTCTTTGACCTTTTCCTGATACCAAGATTATATCAAAAAAAAGTAAAATTAAAAAAATGTTGAAAGATCAGAGAAGTCATATCATGCTAACATATTTCACTTTTTCTATTCCTAGCTTGCCTCCTTCTTTTTTCAGTTTAGCAGTTCTTTGATTTGAGTTTATTTTTGCAGTAACTAACTTACTAACAGAGATAATGTTCATCTTTTTGCATAGATTAAAGAAGATTTCACATCCCACACCAGCCACAGCTAATGAGTAAAGCTTACTACAGAATGCTTTTTTTTTCAGTCATGTTCTTTCTAACACAACCTTTAGACCTAATGGTTTACAGTCACTTCGTTCCATAGTCAGATTGTTCCAAACTAGATTGTTCCATTTTATAGTCAGATTGTTTCACAGTTTCAGTGTAAAAGTCTATGTGAAGCACGCTTTTTTTGGCTTTTTGGGTTTAAAAGACTGAAACAGGTATACACACAAGTAGTGCCCTTGTTTCTGCTTGTGGCTTAAAGAATCATGAAAAGTTCTGACTTTTTTGTGAAATAATCTGACCATTTTAAAGCAGAACAATCTGGCTTGGAATGAAGTGACTGTTCTAAGTACCCGTATATAATACAGGGTCACCTTTTTAGGTGACTTTGACTGACAAGCTATTCAGTCGCTACTGACAAGCTATTCAGTCGCTACTGCACCAATATTGGACCTGTATAAAAGGTTTCACCAGGGCTTGAAATAATGGCTGGTTAACGGACAATTTCCGGGCTGATTGGGGAGGTGACCGATCAACCTTTCGTCTTGCAGGTCATGTTGACCAGTCTCATTTGATCGTATTAAAAATGAAATAAATTAAAATTTCCACGCCGTTCAGTTGTTATCAGTATGTAGCGAGTCCCTGTGTATTGCTGAACTTTGATCTGAAATTCTGGGCCAAATACAACTAGAACAGTTGTTTACAATTCGCGCATTGAAACAGACATTGGGGTTCACAAACTTCCAGTCACCAAAAATTAAAAATATTTTTACTTTTATTGGTTAATTTTCTCAATGGACACAAATTTTCTTCCCAGATAATGGGGAGTAACATGGATTACTGAAGGAGTTTTAGAATCAAAATTTCACACCATGATCGTACAACTGTACACCGAAAACATTATATATTTGGAGGTGCCGGGCAAATTTAATGTGTAAGTTAATTTACTTTTATTGTTGACGATGAGTGGTTTAAAGTGCTTTAAATTCTAAGCAATGACCTTTTTGGAAATGTATAACACCAGTTTTAGTTCATCGGCCCCTGTTTTAAGAGTTATTTATCTTAAGTTTGACCAGCCAGAAACGATATGTGATGGAGCCAAGATGAATTTGGCCGGGCATCATGTCCGGGGACTCTCCGGAAATTTTTGCGAGCCCTGTTCACAGTCATATTTTGCCATTTTGAAAGTGTGGGAACAAGCGGATCCACATCCAGTCGGTCACATTTTTCATATTAAATATATTTTTAAAAATAAAAACACCTTCCAAGTTAAAATCTGACAATTATGCCATCTGAATGACTTGGAAACCCAGGAAAGGGGACTTTAAGGAGTAAAAATCCAAATAATTTCTTGGGGGGGCCAGCCCCCGGACCCCGCTAAAAGCTCGCGCCTTTGGCGCTCGTTTAGGAAATCGGTCAGTATTTATCCTAGATCCGCGCCTGACATGATGTCACATAACATCATAAAAATCTGATCAGTATCTTTCTAAAACATCCATGGCTTGAAAGATATAGGTAGCTGGTAAAAGAATTACTTAACAAATTTGAGCAGTGTAAAAAAATAAAACCTTCAGTGGGAAGCTTACGAAATTTTTTTCCCTACATGCATTTCTCTCACGTTTGTGGAAAAAACTTTCATACAGACAAGCTAAGTGTATGAATGTTTTTTATCAGGGTTAGTTGACATCAAATTCCCATATAATTCTCCGCTATGTTTGCTCTACTTTCAAAGTGTCAGCCACTACCATGAACCCTTCTATTCTGTAATGCACGTTTGCTGATAAACAGCTAACCCTAGAGAGTGGGTACATATACCTGCCAACTTTTTCTGAGATGTAGGCGTGAGATTTTTATCCTGGGAGTGCTGGGATTTTTGAAAACGACGCAATCATTTCCGAAGACGTCCGAAGTCTGCCAAAGACGTCCGAAGTCTGCCGAAGGCGAAGTTATCGAGAAAACGCTTATCCACAAAATCAGAGATCGTGAGGTTACACATGGTTTTCGTTCGTTACATGGGTCTGAGTTTTTTGGAAATTGTGTCCAGCAAGACGACAACAACTCACATTTTCAATCAGGCGTGAGAAATTGGTCCGCAGGCGTGAGCGGGCGTGAGATCGAAGTTTTCAACCCGCAGGCGTGAGACTCACGCCTAAGGCGTGAGAGTTGGCAGGTATAGGTACACAGTGAGGTTGGAGTCTAACCTGACTGTTTAAAAGTGAATTTCACATAACAGAACCGCACGCATTAAGTTATTTTAGGATCTGCGGAAAATTTTTACTCCGCAAACTTTTTATCTACCGATTACAATAGCGCAAGGGCTTGTCAGCATAGAAAATTATAAACTTTTCAAAGGTTACCTCACTGATCTTGTCGCGGACGCCATCTTGAATTTAGCGCGCAAGAAGAAACGATGTCTTTGCGCATGTTTGTCAATTTCCGCTGAAAGGGACTAGGTCGGGCCTAGTTTCCGGGTCGTATGACATAGAAAAAGGAAGGAAGAGGGGAGAAAATTTGTAATGTTAAGCTCGTTTGATTATGTTTCTTGTGAATTTGTTGAGCTTAAAATGTGATGGAATATATTAACTTGATTCGGTGAGAGTTCTGATATATTTACACTGGAGGTTTGCGTCGATTATTTGGTTAAATAATGGCGTTTGTGGGTGGACATCTGAAACCCAAGGCTTATTGGTAAGCCATGCAATGGGTCAACAGCAAGTAAAAGCTTTTGCGGAACGAGGAAGGTCTGGCAAAAATAGCAAGTCGTTGATAAAGAATAAAGATGCTGAAAAATCCGAGTTACAGGCTTCTTCAGGTAAGCCAATGCCAAGCACTGAAATGCTAAACTCCACCTTTTTGAATCGGTTCAAGTTGATATCTTAGGGTTTAATGCAAACCACACAAACTCAGTGGCTTTTCTGCACGAGACTTTTAGTAGTTTGGTAGTGGTATGCGGTAAGATATTTTCTGTTTGCTTTTGAGATGGGTTGAAGCAGATCATTTTGGTCACATCAGTATATTTAAACAGAGGTTCATATCCTCTGAATTCATAGAAACAATCGGGTGAAGCTCTTTCAATAGCTAGCGAGATAAAACCTGGACGTCCGCCATTTTAATATCATCGTCATATATCATTGGCCAAAAAATATTCGCCCAGTGTTAACTCTTCCATTCGAAAGAGGATGAACTTAGAGAAATGTTTTATAAATCGTGATATGGTTATGCGAATTCGTAAAATTTCCTGTTCAAACTTAACAGAGCGCGCGTAATTAGTGGTAGCGTAATTGATGATTCCTTGAAGTTTGGTCAGCAAAGTTAACAACCAAACAAGCATGATCTAGGCTGATCAAAAAGCTAAAAGTCACACATTTTGCCGGTTTTGACTTATTACGTATTCTCCTTAGCGATTCCAGTATGTCTGGAACTAGTTGCTTAATCTTGAAGCTCTAAGTCAATGACCCTCTTGTCAAACATTATCTATGCTTTCATTAAACTTATGAGTCAATTGAACGTCATATTGTTGTTGTACTTGTATATTGTACATATCATATACAGGTTCGAATCAGAAATGTTTATTTTGACTGTCCAAGGTTTGTCAACACTAAAACATTCTTTTTAAAGTTAGGAAATCTTGGAGTAACATGTTGAAGGACTAAACACATTATCTTCAGATAATAATTATCTTTTAGTAATATTGTTATCCTCATGTTTCCATCTTGAAACCTTGATGTGTGTGTGTTGATGTATATGTAATTGTCTGGTGCAGTTTGGTTTTGGGATTTTCCCATGCCATTTCTTTGTGTCAGGTTGCTGTTAGTATTTCAGATCAGTTCTAGAGAATACCTTACAAAAATTCAAAACACATCATCAATACAATTAGTCCGTAGAACAGGAAAAAAACTCCAAATGTAGATACGTGATGCTGTTTTGGTACTTTTCATTGTTCAAAGTACCGGTATATGCAAATTCCTTGTCTGAACTATTTTATCTCTTGGAAACTAAATTCCATTAGATTTTTTTACTTCACGTTTTTTTTCACGGAATGTTATAATAGTTACCTACCATTCGTACATAGTTAGATGCTGGCAACTTATTTACTTTTTTGAAGTTAGAGGGAGATTCTTATTTGAAGGCCTGTGGGAAGAGGCTCAGAGCAACTATAGAATACAGGGCCAGGGCCACAGTGTAAGGTCTTACAGTCAAACCAGGTCAAGCGTTCCCGTCACTAACGAACTAATGAATTTATTCACGGAAAAATGATTTCGTTTGTTGATATTCCATTCTGTTTGAGTTCAATTTTCTGATTCCATAATGAATGTTGTCATTTTTTTGAAAAATTCCTTTTTGACCTCACAATTTTGTTTTTTCTTTTTTTTTTTTTCCTAAAGAGTTCAAACCCAAACCTGTTACAACGCCAGTTTGCTGCCTGCAAAAAGATATAGAAAAAAAAAAACTGGGTTTAAAGGGCTTGATTTATCATGGAAGGTGCTTTTGCGGTCTGTCTATTCTAGCTGTTATTTTGATTAAAGGCAATGAAACTCTATCAAATACTTGAACAAAACAACAAGAATAAAGAAATATATAAAAAATCAAATTTGATTATGAAAAACAATTTCCTTCATTTTATGAATGGAATTGAATCAACAAACGAAATAACCATTAATAATTTTTTTTATGGTGACTGTTTTTTGGAAGCACTAACCATAAAACTTAAATAATTAAATTTACTAAAAACTGATAGAACCAATATTTTTGGAAGTCAATTAATGGAATAGACATTTTAGCTTTTCAAAACAATGGCAAATACATGAACCATGGCATAGGCCCTTTAAACAGGAGTGTTTTGGTGGCTTACTAGTCATGATGAGTGTTGAAAGAATGACAAAGATTAGTGCTAAATTAGATAGTGAGCGAGTTGCATACACTGTATAAGTAACTATTTTATGGTCAAAATGGGGAAAACTTTGAACATCAGAAATACTTCTGGAATGTTATTGTGTTGCAAGAAAAAAGCCAATCAGGCGTAAGAAAACTAAACTGCAAACAGCAATGGTATTTAGTTTGTGATTTTGTGGCCAGTTCAGGTGTCCTGATCTTTGCTGTGATTGGTCATAACACAATAAGGTCGCACTGTAAAGAGTAAGTAAAGGTAAATATATATTCTCACACACCACTGGTAGCCATGCCAAGCCGACCGTAGTGGCTCAGTGGCTTATCAGTAGGGGTTAGCATCTTAAAGAATAAAAAATGTGCATGGATATGTTATAGCTAATTTTTATCTTTGTCAATTAATTTTTATTTTTCCATTATTTTTGGGTATGGTAATTTATGCTAATGAATTTGAAACAAAGGAGAAATTAACTGAAATAAAAAATTAACTGCAACATATACATTATTTAGTCGTTCGTTATCTTGGTGGCTCTTCAGTCAGGACTCCTAGGCTGCCGAGCTACCCCAATGAATATATCTACAGTAGAGAATTGGTGCCGTACTCTGTAGGTATGCCAGAGGCTCTTATTTGAGGACTGAGGAACATTAATTTATTAGTTGGGAGCACTTGCATGGATTTGACAGTTTTTAGAATGAAGTGGGACAGGGGTTTAATTCAAATGGGCCATCTACTTCATGCTGGGTACTAGTTTGAGCACTGTGATAAGTAATATGAAACGTAATAGAAATTAATTTGCTTTCACAAAAACATACTATTCATGAGTTTATGGTGTAGTCCTGAAAGTAGTATTTGGTTTAATTATCTTACTATGTTTGTGTTTGCATATTCCTTATTATAAAGACCTTTCAAGAAGGCCTTTGCCAGAAACTCCGTTAGAACAGCAAGCTGCAAATTGGGGTTCAAAGGAGGAGCTTTTAAGAGAGGACAACCAGGACAAATCATTATTTGTTGCCATTTATGACTTTCAAGCCAGTGGCAGCAATCAACTCAGTATTCGAATTGGAGAGGAGGTTGAGATTTGGCGCTACAACGACACAAATGAATGGTGTGAGGGACAAAAAAGGAATGGAAACATTGGATGGCTACCAGCCAATTATGTTAAACCAGTGAACAGCTTGGAAAAACACTCCTGGTATCATGGACAGATATCTCGTAATGCCGCCGAGTATCTCCTCAGTAGTGGAATTAATGGTAGTTTTCTTGTTCGTGAAAGTGAAAGTAGCCCAGGGCAGTTATCAATCTCATTGCGATTTGATTCGCGTGTGTATCATTACAGAATTAACAATGCTTTTGATGGACAAATGTATGTTTCAACGGAAAACAGATTTGCCTCAGTTGCAGAGCTAATTCACCATCATTCTGTACATGCAGACGGACTTGTAACAACTCTTCACTATCCAGCAGCAAAGACTGATAAACCAGCTGTTTATAGCTTTTCACCTGAGCCAGATGAGTGGGAAATACCCAGGACAGAAATTGCTATGAAGCATCGGCTTGGTGGCGGACAGTATGGAGAGGTTTATGAAGGAATGTGGAAGAAGTATAATAGGCCCATAGCTGTCAAGACGCTCAGGGTTAGTGTTGTTTAGTTTAGTCAATATATACACTTAAACCCAGTTACAGTGAGTACTTCCAGTGCAAATACAGAGGCTGATTTTGTTGAGTTCATTACAAATTACATGTTGAGTCCTGTCCATTGGGACACCTCTGTTTAGGGGACACTTTTATTCAGAGGAGACCTCCATGGGATCTATATTACCCACGCTTACAAGGCAGCTCTCATCCCAAAAGACCACATTTCTCATATCTTGTTTTGATACATTCACTGTGACCAGGGCCTGCGAGGGGATTCTTGGGATCCGGGATTTGAAAGACATACAGTGCAGGATTCGGGAAAACACAAAAATTCTAGACAGGATACAGGATTTGACCGCTACTTGGGAAGCATGTTCTGCCAAAATCTTGGCATGGGATGCGGTTAATTGGGAAAGAAAGCGGTGTGTGGGGTAGATACATTTGTATGACAGAAGTTTGGGATGCGGAATTGTCGTTAAAAAGGAGCGGGAATGTCAGATCAGGACCTCCTTCCAGACCCTGTGTGACCTTTACATTGACACTGATGTTGTTGTTGGTGTTATTGTTATTATTACAATGTGTAAGTTACATTATTTATTGTTGTTGGTCTTTTTGAGCATATTGCTGATGAGATCTCATGTTTCAGGAGGAGACGATGGAAGTAGATGAATTTTTAAAAGAAGCTTCAGTTATGAAGGAAATTAAACATCCTAGGCTTGTCCAATTGTTGGGTGTCTGCACGAGAGAACCACCAATTTACATCATTACTGAGTTTATGCCTCATGGGAATTTGTTGGACTATTTACGAAGTCCTGCCAGCAAGGATCTCAATGCCGTCACCCTGATGTACATGGCAACTCAAGTAGCTGATGCTATGTCCTATTTGGAGAGTATGAATTTTATTCACAGGTATTATGGTGGACTCTTTATGTGCATGAGTGTGTAAGCTACTCTTGTATTTAGAGGGAAGTAGACTAGAGGTGTCAATTAGGAAGCCAATGGGCCCCTTCTCCTGGCCAATAGGGGCCCTCAAGGAACTTGATGGAGGCAAAGTTATCTGTATAAATTATTAATTTTAACAAAAACTACACAGAATAAATAATAAGAGCATACACTCCAAATTGTTTGTGGTTAGTACTTAATCTTTGACCTTGTGAAAGTTTTTTTGTGATCTAAGATGGTGGTCACATTTTATGCCACCACACCATGTATTTTGTGTAACCACAGAATCAGTTACTCACTCAAAGTGATATGTGTATACACTGCTCTTTGTCACTTAATCACCCCAATGGAAAAAGGGTTTATTTTATCTTGATTGGGGAAGAACTAGAATGTCACTCCTTTTTGTAGAATCTCCAGATCCTTTTTCATGAGTGTCCAGATATTTCTTTATCAGGGGTTGGCAGGTCTACTATAATTGAATACATTGTCGTTTATTATTCGCTTTTACAGATATTAAAGTATAAATAAGCTACTCTCATCATCAGTAGTTGGATTTCCGTGCTGCTTAGCAGAATGAGTTTGCTTTTGAGGCTGTTTTCTTGTAGTTGTAGAAAGGAATCAGCTTTTACTTAAGTGTGACTGCCTGTCTCTTGACTTGATTAATCTTTTCACAGGGATCTTGCTGCAAGGAACTGTCTTGTAGGGGAAAACAACCTAGTGAAGGTCGCTGACTTTGGTCTGTCAAGACTTGTGACATATGACATCTACACTGCTCACGAGGGTGCAAAATTCCCCATTAAGTGGACTGCCCCTGAAGCACTGGCATTCAACACATTCTCAATTAAATCTGATGTCTGGGGTATGTTATGTCAACAGTTTTAGTGAAGTATAAATAATACCATGCTTAGAGAGGTGAAGTAAAGTAACTGCAACCTTACTGCTACTTTGAAAACAGAAGAATTTTTTATGCTTTTTGACCCAACCAGCTCTCATGTTACCCTAGCAGGATATTATTTGGAGACCCTGAAGGAGTGAAGGCTTCCAAAACAAAATCGAGGCTGTGCATTAAGGAAAATTGAAGGGAGTCCAATGCTCTGAACCTGTAAAATCTGGGGTGCCCAGCATATGATTTGTATGAAAAATCTGAGATTTTCTAGTCGCCCAAGACCAAATGTTAGGCACAGTCCTGAAAACTCTTATTATTTTAATTTACTGTGTTGGAACATACATGTAGATACATGTATGATGGTGATAACGGCACTGGTGATTCAGGGGAAGGGGTGGGTGAGGGAATTTTGGGCTTCTTTTATTTGTATGACACTGTTGAGAAGACTGCAAAGTCTCGGATCAATCTCGCAATAATTGCCAAATTAACACTAGAGTTTGCAGTCTTCTGCAGTGTTGGTGTTTTTATGAAGTCCATGTCACAAGACTGTAATCCTGCCAGGATCTGATCACCAAGGGGAAACCAGATAATCTGTCCGAATTTTTTTTAAATCCTGTACCTGGAGCCCAAAAGGATCTTGCAATTCCCATAGTTAAAAAAATGTGGGAGTTTGCAATCATTGACAATGCACACTTGCTGAAGTCTAGTTTTTCTGTCTTTTTCTACTTAATCATCTCTCTGTTGGGGAGGTTTGCATGTGAGTCACCTTTCCTTCATCAATCTGCTACAGAAAGTCAAAAAAGTTTCATTAAGTGGCATTTTACTTCAATTTTCTTTTGACCTGACAGCATTTGGAATTCTATTGTGGGAGCTTGCAACTTATGGGATGTCACCATATCCAGGAATTGACCTGTCACAAGTATATGAAATGTTGGAATCTGGCTATAGAATGCCTTGCCCTGATGGTTGCCCTCAGGAGGTCTATGACATGATGAAAAAATGTGAGTTCAATAGGGCCATTTATACAAGGAAAAATAAGACGCGTCTTACATAAGACGCGTGTTAAATAAGACGCGAACTGTACCATTTATACGAGCATGTCTTATCTAATAAGACGCGTCTTAGCTAAGCCGCGTCTTATTTTAGACGAAATGTGCTGTTTATACGGAAAGTTCGCGTCTTATGTAAGACGCGTCTTATTTTTCCTCGTGTAAATGGCCCTAATATTACCTTGATAATATCACACTAGCGAAATGTTTATATTGGCTTGGGCTTGCTTAACATCTATTTTAAGAATTTAACTAGCAACATCACAAAATAATAGTATTCATAGCGTACACAACGGATCCATAGCACTAGAAGGCTAATAAATCTTTAAATACAGTTAAACAAAATTTAAAAGTCTCTTTACTTTGTTTTAATAAAACACATAGGGCTTAAAAGAATTTAAGCATTTTCCGATGATAAAATGCTAATAATAGACTAGTACATTTTTTTACAAAACAAAGAAATTTTGTCAAGTAACTACTTTTTAAATTACCTACAAAATCAAAATTAACGTTAGATAAAATTAGAGATTACTCATCAATTATCCTTGGGATCGACAATCAGAAAGGATTGTTTTCTGTTGACCAGTTGTAGATCATGAGATAGGATTCATGATTATTATTGCAGTTTAAGATAATTAGTGGTGCACAGTTGTTTCAAGAAATTTATCGAAGTTCCAACAGTGGCAACACTTGACCAAATTGAGCAAAACACAAAAATAACCACTCAAACCAATAAAAGAGGGTATAGTTACCAGTTATGATCTAGACAGGCTTTTGACTTTGTTGCGATGTGTTTGTAGGTTGGAGTTGGGATCATGCAGATCGTCCAACGTTTTCAGAGATCCACAAGTGGCTGAACACAGTCTTTTCAACCAGTAGTGTTGACGAAGGTAATTAAAGGTCTTTCCAAAAGTAGTTCTACATTAATGGGTTTATCTTGCCATCTGTGCAGCATTGCTGCCGACCTCCTCTGATTTGGGGATGGCTTTTTGTGGAAGATTTTTCGTGAGCTCCAGGTGTATTTTTTCTTATGGAAATAGTGGAAATCAAAGTGGATTGCTGTAAAAACCACTTTTCTTTCAGTGAAGAAAACCAGCCAGGTTGTTGAGACTTTTAAAGCCACTGTCAGTAAATTACAGCCCCTCACTGTATGGAGGGTGTTACATTAGGTTTAATGATGATTCTTACTGGCTTCTCAAAATATTAGCTATCGTTTAAAAATAATAATAGTAATAGTTCTTTTTGAGTACAGTAGTCTGCCCAAGTTGTTTAAAAGTTGGAAAGAACCGATATCGGCCTTCAGTTCATGCCTGCCACAGGTTATGAAATGGTCAAGGGAAAGTCAGGGAATTTCACTTTAAGTCAGGGTAAATTTAAGTCTTGGAAAGAAGTCAGGGAAAAGTGAAATTTAAAGAGTGTATATCTATTTTTCCCTGTAGTTTTATTGTTTTCTAACATTTAAAATTCTTTTTTAATTTTCATGGACATAAATCATGTTTTACTGGTAATTATTGTTCATGAAATTGAACGACAAGCTGATGTTGGATTTTCAAGAGAATAAATCCTTTTTGCATGTTATGTTAAGGAACTATCAAGTCATGTACACTGCACATGATTTGCTGAAAGCATAAATAAGGTGGTGGAGAGGATACTGTGAGGGGAGGGTTGAGTCAGTCATCAGGACTAATTTGTGAAATTGTTAATTCAGTTGATCAGGGGAATTTTACATTTGTCAGGAAAAAGTCAGGGAATTTCAGAAAACTCTGGCTGTGGTAACCATGCAGTTGTTGAAAACGTGGATAATACTATCCACGAGATATATCTCTGTCTAATTGATAATGCAATTGCTTTCCCTAATACTTATTCACTGGGTAGGGATTTATACAGGTTTTGAACAGATAAATGGAACCATTTGGGCATGAAAAATTAAAATCAATTTGTTAAGTTATGCAGTGAGAGAACCAACGTAACATTGACTGCCGATGATTTACAATTTTTTCTCCGGATTGCTTTTCTTTGCAGAGGTAGAAAAGGCTCTTGGAAAGCGGAAAAAGGATAAAACTAAAAAGGCCAAGAAGAAAGGCGACACTGACGAACTTCCGTCATTTAAGGAAGGCGACTACATGAACAAGAAAGATGAAAACTCGAAATCAAAAGGCTCAGCCTTCAAGAAATTTGCAAACTCATTCAACCCTCCTGGGCCCCCACCAGAACCACCAGCTCGGCCAGCGGTGAAAGAACAAACTGTTAATGAAGAACCGGAATCTACCCATCGCCATTCGCTAACGGAATCACAAGGGGGCCCCGCCATGAGTAATGTGCTTAAGGAATTAGGAACAAGGTCTGGAACTCTTAGAAAGTCATCCGATGTAGCAAGAGGTAAAACACCCGAAAAGGAGGATCATCCTCCTAAATTTGATGCCAGTAGTTTACAGAAACGTCCTCCAGCACCTCTGCCAACAGATTACCAACATAAACAAGAAGAACAAAAAGAGCAACAGCAGCCGCAGGGTCAGCTGAGGCGTCCGCTTTTACCTCCAGGGCATGAAAAGGGGCCGAAGCTGGGTGCAGCCACGCCTCATCAAACCCCTAATAAACCCCTCCCTTTCCATCAGGGTCAAACTAAACCCCTGCCAGCCACACCTCGTCAAGCTGTACAAAAGTCTGTTTCTTCTCCACCGCCCGTCCCTGGTCATAATAAAAAGGTTTCAAGCCCTTTCAATGAAGATATGAAGCCCATAGAAGAGGATCAACAGGATGTTCAAAATTCTAAGAAACCCAAACCAACAGGGGTTGCTGCCAAGCCATGTCCTGCACGTGCCAAATCATCAGATAATCTACCTACTGACGGTGGCAAGCCAAGAAGTCCAGTTCCGCGCCCTCGAAACCGACCCCCACCACCTCCGCCCCCCGTTAAACTGAAGGATACTGAAAAGTCAACTTCCAATTCAAGTCTAGCTTCAATTGATGCCAGTGTATCACAGGTAGTGAACAATGATCATACTTCTTCCCCTAAACCACGCCCATTACCCCGCGTTAGACACAGAGGAGAGCAGCACCCTAGTAGTGTTGACCAACTGCATGGCACTCAAGAACACGAAAATGGAAAAGGGGTGGCCACTCCTAGAAAGTCAGAAAGACCAATGTCACCAACTGGAAATGGACCAAACATTTCTAGACAACCTTCCGTCAAGTCCAAACCAGTACTACCTCCTCCTTCAGTTCCAGGTGTTGCGAGAAAACCCAGCAATAGTAGCAGCAACGCTGTTCAGCAAAAAGCCGTCCCATCAGAGACTAATCTGTCCTCTCCTGGCCATAGACCATCTCCTGGGGGACCTAAACCAAAACCCCCGGCCAAACCAAATATCCCCAGGAGACCTAAAATCACCCCTCCCAGTTTTAAACCCGATCCTGGTCTGTCCCCCCAAGTGAATGAGATATTGCAGCTTTCTAATCAAGGACAATCAAAAGTTAAAGAGATACTTTCTTTAACTGATGCCCGAATAATGGATGATTCACAAAATAATTTACTTGACACTATAAGTGATCTTCAAAAAATCTCCCGAGAGGTGTTGGAGTCTTCTTCAAGCTTAACTGACTCATTGGGACCTCAAGCTAGGTTTAGAGTTCGTCGGACTGTAACAGATCTTGAGAGCAAGTATAGTGACATTGAGGGTGTGATGCAGACAGTTGGTCCTAATGTCAATGCAGTTGATATGGAAAGGATTGGCAAGGTTGTTCACAGCTTTTCCGGTGCTTTGGACAGCATTTGTAGCACTGTAAGAGCGACATCATCCTGACAGCTGTAACGATGTATTACTGTCCTGTCACGGTAAAATGATGTTCATCTTTGTGTAAATCTTTTGCCAGAATTTTCTCCTTCTGTGAGTTAAAGCATGTGGAGTTTTTAATTTTTATGTTCAACAGTGGATGCTTAGGCAAATTTAATGTTGCTTTTGGCTGGTTTTTTTCTTTTTTTTTCTGGGACGCTCACTAAATGCACTCAAAAATTCCTTAGCATACACCATACCTTTTCGTAAAAGTACTGGAGGATGATTTCCATTTATGAAAAGGTTTATTTTGTCTACTTGCAATAATTTGTGCAAATATTAAGAGAAACCTGAAAAGTACCACATAGTTCTTGAAATTGCCTGTAAGTATTGAGGTCAGTAACGCGAAAAATCTAGATTTTGTAGCCCTGCGAGAATCCATTCTGACTTCAAAATGAAGGTGACATACGCTGGTGCAGAGGTTTAAAACGTCTGGCGCCAAAGAATGATAGAAAATGGCAGCAAAATATAGGTTTTGTGACGAACGACCCTGTTTTGTCGCAACACTTCTTGTTCTTTTATCTTTTGTGTCGACCCGTTACTTAGACCAAGTAAAATGTCTGTATTTCGTCTGAGCTATGAATCCCAGTAACATGATATCCCAAAAGGAAAGTGTACATTTGAATTACTGAGATCCGCTAATATCTGCAAAAGTTATTAAAATTCTTATTTTTATCACAAGGACTATCACGTATTGAAATTGGACACATGCTCAGAATTACTCACGAGGGCTTGGAAATTCAGAGGGTTACAAGAGTGTGTATTATAAAATATGTTCGATTCGTGTCAATTTTTCTTGTCACTTGATTATCTCAATTTGTTAACACATTTTAAAGACCTTGCAGATAGATATTGGAGAATTTAAGAATTATCTTTTTCTCGATTATATGAAGAATAGAAGAAGTTTAGGGTATGAAATTCACTGCCAGGAAAAATATTCGCTACAAATAGTTCGAGAAAAATTACAGAAGTTATTGCCCTGGATTAACTGTAAATATGTACCAAGTGAATGCGAATTATACTTTTTGAAATACAACCGTTATGTAAAATGTGCTGTTATATTTTCTGCCTCCTATATTTTTTTAACACGAATTGGCCTTTTGCCTGCGTGCAGACGTCTCCTATTTCCTTTGTTGCACGTGCAACAAAGGAAATAGGAGACGTCTGCACGCAGGCAAATTGGCCTTCCGTTAATAGTCTGCTTGACTGTCGTTTTAGTGTCGTCACACAACGCTCCTCCCCACGTTGAGTTACGACACTTAAAACAGGCCTTCCGTCCACACAATACCTGTGAATCCGCTCATTCATCCGCGGATTATTCGGGTAAAAAAAGTATGCTGCCTTAAAAATACGTCAGAATTCGAGTAGACGGGGCCTAGACGGCTGTACACGTTTGCTGCGTATGAATCCACCCTGAAGTTTCCATAGTGCCGGATTTGGGTAGACTTGCCTACAAGTCGAGCTCAAATTTTTTCACGAGCGCGAGCGGAAGATTTTTCCAACTACCGGAACCGGAAATGAGAAGCAAAGGTAGCCTGAAATTCATCCGATTGCTTCGAGTCGTTTTCTCCTCTCGCGACTCGAAGTAATCGGATGAAATTCAGGCTAAAGCGAAGGACTTTAAGAAAGTCTACGATTTGGTACTCTGCGAGCAGAGGCCCTTCTATCTTCCTAGATAAGTATCTAGGAAGATCGAAGGGCCTCTGCTCGCAGGGTAAGGATTTGGGGGAAGTAGGGTTCAAAGCAGTAACCCTCCATTGGGGGATATTTTTGGAGCAACAAATTTGTGGAAATTGCAAGCACCCCTTATTAATAAGAGTCCGTTTATACCAACCTTTTTCCTCGAGCTAGCCTACGAAGCTTGCCGTTGTTTCGTAGTTCGTAAATTATTATTCGTAAAAAAGCAGGTTACCTTCCTAAAACATCTCAAACCGGCTACTACGCAGGCTATCAAGAGGGTTATCACTCACTCAAATACGAATAAATCCGCTGCGGTGTTTATTTTCGCACGCGCGCTTTACAATCTCTAAACAGAAAACAGAGGGTTGGACATCATAGAAGTCTAGACCGCTAAGCATGAGAAGGTAGTTAAGACAAGGTTGTCTTCTGTTACCCTTGTTGTTTCCTGGGGCCCGCTTCTCGAAAGTCCCGATAATTAACGGGCCCGGTAATGTATCGGTCAAATCGAAGCTTCAACATGCCCCCCCCGGGCATACCCCGGGCATTTGACACCTTTGCCGTCCCGGGGAGGAGGGAATTTGATTATCAGAGTCTTCCAGGGGGTGGGGAATTTGATCCCCATTCTTTAGGGGTGGGGAATTTGAATTGCGCTCTCGATTTCATGTAAAATCTTTGGCGTGGCGAGCTATGATGGGGGTCGCGGTATTAGAGGATTTTGGTGGAAAAGATTGTGCCTTTGTGGCCAATTGGTTACAAGGAAAGGGCTTAAACAAGCTTTGTGCCGTTTTTGAAGTATTTAAATCTTAAATTTTTTAATATTGGATTCAGGCTTTGAATGTATGAATGTATGTTATTGTTGTGTTTACAATGAAATACAATACCTATACCAGCGATTCAATGCAACAACATAAAATAAAATAAAATAAAAAGCTCAGGTCAACTACTTTGACCTACCGCAAGTATGTTAATTTATACAGTGAGCGATGATGCATGTCAGTGAAATGGTCATGATGTAGTAATCTCAATAGGTGGGATCTTTTTTATAGAACGCTCTGTATGTTGCATGATGAAGAAAAGCTGAGCATTCAGTGACCTTGTAGCAGCGATTTCCGCCGCTTTGCACGAGTTTTTTGTTCGTAGTAAATACGCTAACAGTGTCTCTCAGTTTTTGTTATATTTATAAAGATTTTGTTCGACAACTGAAGGCGTTTCGGCCGTCCTTCTGTCATTTTTGTGCCTGTGAAATGTCCCCGGGGTGGGGGGATTTGATCACCTGAATGGACCCTAGTGTGGGGCATTTGAACGGCATTTTGGCCCGGGTAGGGGGGAATTTGAACAATAATTTTCAAAAAAGTCAAATGCCCGGGGGGTTGCCCGGGGGGGGGGGGTATGTTGAAGCTTCGATTTGACCGATACATAAGCTGTCTCCGTTTACATTAAAGATCGAAGTTTCAATAGTTTGGCATCTAACATGATAAAACTATCAGTTAATTAAACAAAATGGAGTAGTCTGCTAGCCAGGACCTGCGCTCTTATTTTTTATATTTAGATTTGAATATTTGAATTCGGGCCCGAAAAGTTACCGGGACGTTCGAGAAACTAGCCCCTGGTCCCTCTAGATGGGATGACAGGGACAGCCTTTGCATGGTAGTCTGTGAAGCGCTGACGTATTTCCGACGACCCAAAATACATCTGGGCTTCGAAGGCTATTGCAAGGAGGCGTGGTATCCCTTAATGATCTGAGTTTCACGATCTAGCCTTGTTGTCACTCCAGCCCAAGACACGAGGAACAAGACACGGGCTAAGAGGAGCAGAGTATGAAAGTTGTTGTGAAGATCAGTTCCACAGAGGCAAAGCTAATGCGTTTGGCGCCAAACGACGCGATGGTGGAATGATTGCGGGAAGGTGGATTGAGGTGGCAGACAAGGTGAGGTAGGAAACTCAACAGGAAAGTCAGGCACTCATTGGGAAGCCGGGTGAGGCAGGATTTTGCGGTGCTGACTCATCGAGAGCTCGGACCAAGTTGAGAAACTTGGGTCAAATGTGAGGGCCGTGCTCTTGTATGGTGCATAAACTTGGAGATATGCCAGTTAGCTGAGACATAAGTTGCAGTATTCATCAACAGTTGCTAAAGGAGTATCCTGCGGATTTAGTGGCCTGTGGAAGCAGCAGAGGCACCCAACAACAAATCCCTCCTAAATACTTTGAAAACACTTTTTAGGCCTCCCAAAGTACCTTTAGATCTCTAGAAATGCATTCTTAACGGTATGTATCTTTTCGGTCATCCTGGGGTAACTTGGATCTTTTCAAAATTGAAAGGACTTCAGGGTTATTTTCCCGAAAATTTTAGATGCAATTTAATGTTTCACGAATTTTTTTTTATTCCTGGCTACATTACATTTTCTAATCCGAAAAGTTTAGGTTTTCTTTACCTACGAAATATAGCTTAACCTGGGGAGGTCAGAAAATCGTAGGGAATTCTTCATATAGTATCTAGCAATTTTTAGCCACTCTATTAAAAGCTATTTAAACGTTTAGGCAGTATCATTTTACTTCTTCGAGCAGATATTTTACAAAAAACAGTCATTGGGTGCCCCTGAAGCAGTCGATAGAGGATGCGATAAAAGGACAAACATAGCAATGGATTGACTACCAACTAAGGCATGATCAAACGGACATGTGGCCAAGACAGCCTTGAATGGAACTTACAGGGGAAGCGTTAGAGAGAGCCGGAGCCCCCGAAACACTTGAAGGCAAACGAGGATGTTGGAACTTTCGGAGAAAGGACTTACGTGGCGAAAGGCAATATTAAGTTAGTGCTCAAAATAGAGTCGGATGACGAGAATTAGCTGGGGAAGGACCTATGTTCCATCGGACTCTGAACGAAGAGGACTGGCGATGATGAGGATTCCTCCGCGCGTCGAATTGAAATGGGCCGATTCAGTCGACTCAGTCCTATAACTACAGCCAAACACGCATAACAAAGTAAAAAAAATGGCGGTGAATTAAGGTTACATCGTGCAAATTCATTTATACATAATGAAAACAAACAGCAATAGTAGTTTTTCATTCGTTTACATTTTCCAAACCGTTCTAAAAATTCTAGTTAGGTCGTTTCAGTGAAACATTTCGGAGGCAACGGAATGTCTGAAAAGATGATTCTGACAGTGTAATCCAGGTCAGACGGTCCCAAACGAGGATTCGTTTCCGATTCTTCAGACTCATCCCGGCTTTCGTTGCCGTTTTTCGATAAAAGGAACTGATTTGGGCAAATGGTTCACTCGATTCCCAATTTAAATTTAGCAGTCCTGGGTTTTGTTTATCATCTGCCCAAACCGTGAACAGACCAGTTTACTTATGTGAATAGAAGACATTTTACGTACAACATCAACTCCCTGCTAGCCTGCGTGCAGACGTCACCTCTCCTATTTCCTTTGCTCACGTCGGTAGGCAGGACTAAGCAGCGACAGTCATAGCTGATTCGTCCATATTAGTCTCATCAGCATGGAACTGCCTCTGGAGAAGAATCCTGTGTTTACGCCTCGCAAAGCCCAAGCATCTGTAAAGCACTCTTTAAGCACTAGTTTCACTCTACGGATACTGAGTAATAGCCGTTGGCCGCATGTACTGAAACGTGAACCCGAAAAACCCCGGAAGTACCTAAAATTAAGTAAAGGTTAGGGTTGCTGTTTGTCTTGTTCACGTCACCTCTCGCGTTCCCGCGTTCCTTTGCTGTGGCTAGCGTAAAATTGGGCTCATCAATAACCAGACTCTGAAGTGTAATAACTGATTTTGTCCAAGGATAAGGGTCGCAATCGGTAAAACTGCGATGAAACGGAGACTATTGAGTTTCATCTTACAACATGGCGAGGAGCGTAAAAAACAAACTAAAACACAGCTTACCACTCACATCCTATGCAGACTCCACGGCTTTGAACAAAATCGTAGTTAAAACTCCTGTAAGTATCTCCTCAAAACTCTAATAATTATTCATCCAAAAGTCGAAAACTACATGTGCTCAACAATCCTGAGTGGCCAGTTTCTCTAAAGTCATGGTAATTCAGGGGCGTAGCCAGGATTTTTCAAAGGAGGGGTCACATAGTTATGTTAAGCAGGGACACCATCCGGGGATCGCCGACTACAGTAATAACCCGCGTATAAGAACCTGGGTTTTAAGAACCTGTTAGGCTAAAATTTTCATTTTAAGCCCCCTCCACATAAGAACCTATTTAGGCTAAAATCTTAAGTTAGGTTCTTATCAGTGGGGTTGCTGTAAAAGTGTATAGGTAGAAACTCCTGAATTAAGATCATCATCTATTTAAAAGTAACTTGACATAATTTTTTTTTCTTTCAAGCTTAAGTACCATGTTGTATGTCTATTGTGTTTGCCATTCAAATAATTCCCCAAGTATTTGCAAGTAGTGTACTCTACTACAGTATCAAAGAAAGCTTTCTGACCATCTCCAACTCTGTGAAAATCACAAAATATTAAATGTAAAATATCAAAATATATCCCAATGAAATAAATAATTGCAAAATATTAAAACAACGAAAGCTCCCAATGGCCAATGCCTCAGCTTCTCAAGTCAATGTGAGGTCATTTAAAGTGATAGATCCTTTAGATACAGCACATCAATATTTGTTTTTGCTTGTGGCAAAAATGACACAGTGGACTGGGGAGTCATGGAGAAAGCTCTCCTCAGACAAGATGTTTGCTAAGAAACTGTTCATGAAGACTGGTTGTCTGATGACAGCTGATGGCTCGGATGATGATATGATCAAGCCTCAGGGGCTAGAGCTATACAGTTTTTAATTTATTTTTGCTTTTCATTTCTCGTCATTGCTTGAGTTTGTTATGAATTTGGTATCAACATGAGTTTCTTTGTTATGTTTTGTTAGGGACATACGCTGTACCTGCACTGAACTGCCTATAGGCATTGCTCTATGGTACAAATAAATGATTTATACTGTATTATGAGATGATATTTATAATATATATAGTATATTCAGATGAAATTCATATGAGAATATAAGAACCTATTTTAAGAACCTCGGTAGCCTAAATTTGCTTTAAGTACCATTTATATAAGAACCTATTTAGGCTCAATTGAAAAATTCAGGTTCTTATACGCGGGCTATTACTGTATATATGGTTTATACCGCCGCTCTCCCTCGTGTATCAGCGGGCTCAGTCGTATTATCGCGGCATGAAGGCCCATATTAACTAAAGACAAAAAAAAAAAATTTAAAAAAGTGGGCTTTTCAACAATGGCTTTTACGGCCAAGATGGCGTTTTCGCCACCTAAATATTGTAGGTTGTTTGCTCAAAAGAAGGCCTACCAAGGGGGGTCACGGGCACCCCAGGACCCCCCCTAGCTATGCCCCTGTAATTGACGCGCCCGGAAAGTCGTCCCCTTTATCTTTGCCGTGTTAGCAACGGTTTTTGAAAATAAAGTTTCGGTAGTGAAGTAATAATAAAACTATCACTCTTAAGACTGACCAGGAAGCTAGAACCCGTAGGTAATAATCTGAAGATCAGGCTTCGGGAACGCCTCAGAGAAACGGGCCCCAGGAAAGGCACGTTTTACTGACACTTGAACCACTTCCTTCTGTATTCCACTTATACAGTTGTCTCCACACGTTTTCACCTTAAATCACAACGAGGGGTTGGCAGTAGGAAGATTAACCAGTAACGACGGCGACGGCAACGAAAACGGCAAAAACGCAATAGGTTTGGATCGGCAAAACAACAACTTTATACGTGCATCACGCTTTTTTGTACATTTCTTTGCAGTCGCTGTAAGACTAGGACGTGAAATTGAATAATTTCACGTTTTGTAGAGGACGTAAACACAAGGCAACGTCTTTCTTTTTCTTAACTTCGCCGACGGTCCTTTGGAATTCAAATCCACCAAAATTTGCCAACATTTGACCATAGTTAATTGAGTGGAATGGTTATGAAACCCGTCGCTTTGATAGTCCTTTGCACAACGAATTCAACCAATAAAAACGTTGCATTAATTTATTCCAAAATTTGCCAGAAAACATTTGACGAAATTGAACGATTGATGTTTGGAATATGATTTGACGAATTGAACGATATGGAATAAGCGCGATGAAGTTTGAAGCAGCGCAAATATAAGATAGACCCAAGAATCTTATGATGGACTCAGAATCACGTTTGCGTCAAACGTCAATAGGGAACTTAAGCAACGACGACGCGGACGGCAACGAGAACGGCAAAAAAGCAATAGGTTTGATTAGCAAAAACAACAACTTTGCACGTGCATCACGCTTTTTTTGTACATTTCTTTGCCGTCGTTGCCCGACTACAACGTGAAAGTGCCTGAATTCACGATTTGTCGAGGACGGGAACACAAGACAACAACTTTCTTCTCTTTTTCTGAACTTTGATAGAGTTGTTTAGAATTCAACTCCAAAAACATTTGCCAACATTTGACGAAGTAAACGAGATGGAATAAGTGCGATAAAGTTTGAAGCGGTGTGAATTCACTTTTTAAGTGACGTTTTTGTAGCCGTCGCCGTCGTTGTTGGTTAAGCTCCCTAATTTGTTGCACGTGACAAAGTTTTCCCTTTACTCGTGGTTTATTGGATAGTGGCGGATATGTAGTTTCACGCCCGTTTCATAGAATAGAATTTGTTTGACAGTTTGGCTGCGCATTTCCTATTTCGAGAAGCTGACAACGTGTATCTGAAGTTTGCCGTAGACGCGATTCTAAATCTTTGGAATGACCAAGGGACACCACGAAATGGAAACAATTCCTCATGCAGTCCACCATCCACTGTCCAACGGCAGAGAAACACGTCACTCATGGTCACTTCGAATAGAAAACGCTTTGGAATTCTTCTCAGTACGTCAATTCCCCCTTTGTTTTATCCATATATTGCAAACCAAATATCTCAAGTGAGTTACATTTATTTTTATTTCCACTTCGGACTGACGCAAATAATACTGTCAGCTACTTCAGTTACAGGTGGACGTTCGTACTAAGTTAATTTAATACCAGTATTAACGATGAAGACTTTTAAATCCTTTGATCCCTTATATCAAGAAGCATATGCTACACACTTTTCTAAATACATTTTCCGTGAAACCAATCGACACAGAGAATTAAGAGTAAATGATTCCATGAGTTTTGAGTCAATACTTGGGATCTCTAGGATTTCCCGCGAGTAATTGCTTTGATAAATACATACGCGGTGGATAAAGTAACAAATCTTAACCTAAATAAATGCTAACCACTTCGAGACCATGATTAACCCTAATCACTAAAATCACTGTTTAACCCTAATCAATAAATTTTCAGCTCTTAACCCACACCTGACTCAAAACTTGACTCGTTGACTCATAAAACAAGTTCTCTCATCAAGACATTGACTTGGAAAGAATTTCAACTTCTTTCTCCAAGCTTATTTTTCGTTTCGGTTTAACAAAACAGTCTGAAAAGTTTGTTTCAAGGTCTCTTTCTAAACTAAACGTCCAACAACTACAAAAATACAAAATAGTTAACAAGAAACAAAAGCAAAATATACACAGAGCATGTGCTGGTAAAGTTGAAAGTTCACATGGACCAGAGGTACACTGGAGAACTTTTTGATCAACTTTTCCATGAGTTGCTTTTTTGGAGGCTGAACGTTCTAAAGCATTACTCACGAGAACATGCAAGAAATTAATGTTGAATTGTGGATGACTGGCTTTAAAGCCTGAGTGCTAAAAACAAAGATGAATGTTGCTCTTAGTAGGGACATCATGAAAACAAGCCAAGCGAAAATGAGTCTCGCATTTTTCGCATCAGTTTTCAAGATCTCCGCACATAAGTATTAGTTTTTGGAGCCTCGAACAGGCTAAGTGAGAAAGACCAGGGCCCAACCCAAGCATGGCATAAAGCACGAACAGTCCTTTGATAAAAAAATCTAAGAAAGTGCCACTATGTAGCTTTGTCAAGTCCAGGTTTTTTATCATCGTTTTATACACAGGCATGGCAAAGTTTGCATTTGCATTTCAAATACATTTTATCCTTGTTTCCGTTGCGTTGCATGCATACAATGCTTGCACTTACATAAAAACACACTGCTTAAAAAAGATGGTTTTAACAAAACATATCTATGATAAAAACATCATTTCTTTCCAATGTTAAATACTACCTTTGCACTTGTATGATTTTAGAACCCACTATTCTAAAACCACAGTTATCAGGTATTTTCAAAATTCCTTGTCTCTTAGACAAGTGTGATTGAAATAATTAATGACTTTGCACGGCCATGTAATGCTAAGCCTGCAAATTGAAGAGTATTATTTGGTGTCAAGGAGGCTCACATGCCTGTCAACATAGTTCTACACAAATAATACCTCTGTACATCAAAGGTGTGTTTATAAATCTACGGTAAATTTTCTATTAAGCCTTTGTGGGGAGAGCTTATTCAGTTAAGGCATGTTTAAGGGGGTGGATATAGTACAACTACAGTATGTGTAAAATTCAAGGACAAACTCTATACCAGGTTATCATTTGGCAAGATTGCCCTTTTGTTCCAGAGAGGGCTGCTTACGTAGCATTACCCAGATTGGAAAAATAAGATCTTTTCTTTATGGTTTATGGAAATCCAGAGCAATTTAAACCAGTTCAAATGTCAACAGGGGGGTTTAATAGACGATTTCATGATACCTGGGTGGTTAGACAGGTTTATAAACCAACAACAAACTGCCTTATGATGTCTGGAGCAGCAGAGTCAAACCCAGCCATGTCAAGCATTCCTCTGTCCTCAGGATCAGCAAGAGTGAAACCATTGGAGGTCATTGCACAAATGATGAGCTTAGCATCAATACCAGATTGATTTCTGTACAGCCTCAGTGCTTCGCTTGGGTGAATTGGCCCAGCCCAGGTTTCACAGTCAGTGTAAACAATGAAGACATCAACCTTAAGATTATTGTCTCTGGCGTAGATCATGGGTTGAGCACAGTCAGTTCCCCCCATGGGTACCTAGAGGTTGAAGAGTGGTGTAGTTAGTACCTGCATCACAATTTTCACCTTAGTTTAGTGAGACACAGGTTTGACTATTAGCTTTAGCAGTTCTCCAAGATAATCATTTTTCTTCAAATAAGAGAATGGAGAAGACATATATTTAAAGTGTATATGAGTCACATAAAACTTTTTTAAACAGATTTTGGTCCTTGGATAAGTTTAATAAACAATTCTGAACTTTAAAAAATGTCTCCCAAAAAAGTCTTGAATTTTGGCCATTTGAAACCTGCTTTTTCCCTGCAAACAAGTAAAGGATCGAAAAAAGGTTGACGACATCATGAGATGTCAGTTGATTTGCTCAGCCGTTGCTTCCGATTCTGATCACTGCTTTGTATTTTTTAGAATTAAGCAATGTATAATAATAATAATAATAATAATAATGAACTTTATTAAAGTCTCATGTCTTAGAGCACAGGCACAGTGCCTTACTAATTGGAGAGACTGTATCTGACTGTAACAGAAGTATAGAGAAGTAAATGAATATTCTTGAGATGATTGTGGAGTTTTCAACATCAAAAATCCTTCTTATTTGCTACCATCTTGTTAATTTATTGTACAAATTTGTTTCTTTTAAAGACGAAAAACGACTTTCAATTTTGGATACATATAATACACACACTAAGAATTGAAAACACTCAGTAATTATCACCCTTTTTTAAAGTGTATGTGACACAAATTTTTTTGTTGTTTTTAATTATTTCTGCCTTTGGAGTCAGCAGTCGCTCCCAATCCCACGATCTTCAAAAATTAAAATAGTGTCCTTGGTCAAAAGACCATGTTTCACAATGAATGGACAAAAAAATCTATGAGGCTGTTTTCAAAAAAAGAGAAAAGGATGTTTTGTAGCATTAAGGTCTCTGGAACTGGACGTACAACCCACGCTCTGTTGGTTTTCTTCTACAAATGAACAGGAAAGCATCATTGATTGATGGATGCTTGTGCTTCTGCAGCTATGCGTCTGGGGTTGCCAGCAGTGTCGTCAGTTCGAGCTTTATTTGCGAACTAATTAAGTCCATAAAATAAGTCTTTTCATGGAATACACAATTGTCTCTACCCTGTGGAAATTTCATATCTAAAACCCTCCTATGCCTAAGGAATTCCGAAAAGCCGCCTTCTCTACATTTAACAGACAAGCTAAAGAATTGGAATACATCGTGGTGAAAATTGAACAGAAAGAATGCAAATTCACTTTTTTAGGAACCTTTCCACCACTGTCACCATCCTCATGTCTTAAGGTCCCTAATAACTGAAAAAACAAAGTGTTTACAATTACCTGCTCAATAGTCCTTACGACTGTATCAAGTCTCTGAGTAGAGTTAATGTTGAGAGGTACCAGGTGATGAGAGAATCCCACAAAGTGATACTGTGGTTCAGTGTGTGCTGTAAGCATTGCCATAGCAGCAGAAGCAACCCTGGGGGTGATGGTTGTTCCATGACAGTTACCCCATGACATTGAGCCACTGACATCAATGGCCAAGAGGTATCTCTTATTGGTGGGCTCTACATTCTGCAAAGGTATGTACATACTCACTAACAAAATTGTAGTTAGATAATGGCATTACGACGATGCCAAAACATCAACTTTTTATGCTTTAATTTACATATATTATTGAAAAAGAAAGAGAAAAATGGGGGTGGAGGGGTTATTGTTACATTAACTATATATGTTATACATCAATGTCCACAAAATCGCACATAATAAAGCAAAAATTGCTTTAACCAATAATAATTGGTTTAACCAGGGTACAAACTTTTTCCCTTGTATGAAATAGCCTTCTACCCATTCAAGCTTTCAACTTTAACTCAAGAGGTGTGTTGCTAGTTGGTATGACTCTTGTTGCAAGTTATAAATTAGCCAAAAAATTCATAGTGAGCTTTGGAATTCAATACAATAACACATTGAATGCAAACCTTGAAAGCCAAGTAGAATGCTTCATCCAGTGCAGTCACAATGGCTTGGTTTGGTGTCCATGTGAGCTTGCCTTTCTCTCCCTGCCCTGCTTGATACTGTTTCAGAGCTAAGAGGATGTTAAATGGGTGGACACGTGCATCTTTAAGGCTCCTCTCATTTCTCAGCATGTCACAGACCTTGGTGGCACCCTCAGACAACGGAGCAAGTACTCCAATGTTGGTCATTTTGCCAAGATTTCTAATCATAGCAGTCATTGGCATCTTCTCTAACAGGGCCTTCCAAATCTATACCACAAAAGGAGAATTGTTAAATAATATCTGCTCATATGTTATAATAATACCAACTCAATTTTCTTTGTTTGTAAATGAAAATTTGAGCCCTGTAATGTGTAAGGGAAAGATTTCTTGACAGTTTGAAAATTTTAAAATTTAGAAGGATTTGTATGACAAACCACTCAACCACGATCTGGTGGCAAAAGATGTTTTCACCATACAAAAGTAAGACAGAATACAGTAGGAAATCGAGCAATTTTAATTTTCAGTGGACAAAACCCTTGCACCAGAATATTTTAAGCCACACGATATTCTTTTTTACATTTTTCAAGGGGCTATAGATATAATAAGTTGTCTGTAACAACACCAAAGACAATTTCATACGGGAGCCTGAGAAAATAAATTTCAAATTTCACAGGAACTGAGAAAACACACGTAAAATTGTCATGCGGAAGACTTCATTTTGTTAAATTTGAGGATTTTGAAGTTTGTTTTCACAGGCTCCAATAAGAACCTTTAGTTCGGAGTTATTTCATACAACGTATTACATTAATAGCCCTTGAACAGTGTGAAAAAGAATGCAATATGCTTGAAATTATTCAGGTACAAGGTTTTTTCCACTGAAAGTTACAATAATTACTCAATTTCCTAACGGATTTCACTTTAATAATTTCTTCTCATTTTCAGCAGCCATTACAGTAGGCACTGTTAAGATATGTGGCTGACAATTTACAGGTTAGATAATTTTTATGTGCTTTTTACATCCCCGCTGAAATCAAGTTGATCGCATAACCAGCTATTGCAAAAGGCCCATCATAATTGAATGAGGCTAAAATTTGGAGATGTTGGTGGCACATAACAAGGCCAAGTTGTTTAAATGTAGATTAGTGCAACTCCAGGTATGGTTACCATGACAACTTATATGAGCATACCGAATACTGTAAGAAAAATTGCCAATTCAGAAATACCATCTTGAAAATTGACAAAATAATGATACCAAATTTATGATCCATCACGCTTACTGAAAGTTGCATCCATAAACTGTAACGACTTTGCTAACATGTTGAGCAATCTCAGCCATTGCAAGAAATTAAAGATGACCTTGAATTACTGGTGCAAAGATCGAAAAGCCAAGTCATTGACGCAACAACGATCCCATTGTAGATTAAATGTACCAGAAATTGTGCAATAATTCACCATGCTTACTGTGTTTTACGTTGCATGTATATTAGACAGGAAAGCCCAAATGAATGGTGCTGCAATACTTTGAAACCTTCAAAACCACTTGGCATTAGTGACTGAGAGCTATGCCTCCTTTAAATTTTTTTGCTTGATTCAAGAAAATTTATTTCTGTAAAGAAAAAAGCCATATTAATTTACACTCAAGACATATGCTCTAGCCTTGGTGCAAATGGAGCAATAACCAACCTCTTGGGAGTTGAGATGGTTAGTGGGAATATGTTCCCGCACAAGATTGTGATCTTTTATTGCTTGAACTAGCCTCTCCTCACTCATTGTCTTGGCTTCTTCCACTGCTTTGAGAAACGTGTAGACAGATGTAACATCCTGGCCCACACCAGGCGTCGCTGCATCGGGCTGCACAGCATCAAAACCTTTTATCACGTACTTCACGATAAACTGTATGGCTGGGTCGTTTGGTTTAACGTGGCACAAACGAAACACGTCACGGTGCGACCATCCATTTCTTTGTTTGTATTTGGTCACAGCAACAGAGAGAGCCTTGGGTTTCTTGTTAGTATACCACTTTTGGATTGCCTTTCTATGTGCTCGACCCCAGCCAGTGGACTTTGGCTTGCTCAGAGTTTCACAGATCTCTACGAAGGAGAAAAGATGTGTAGGAATTCGCAGAACTTGTGACAAGGCTGCATACGCGGCGCGTTTCGTCTCCAAGTGACTTGATCGAGCACAAATAGCTAGGGACAAGATTATCGTGTCTTGCTTAGCTGTACGACCCTGGGTGCTGTATTCAACGATAATTTTTACCGCCTCGGGACCACGACCTTCGGCGATAATTCTCAGCAAGGCCTGAGCGTTCTCTTGTCCAAGTTTCTTCTCCTCGGCATAGTAAGTACCGCCTTCGCTTCCAAGCACAAGAAAACGCCTAAACCTCTCCAAGTCGTCCACTTTCCACACAAAGCCGCCTGCTTCGTTCTGTACCTGATTTGCTGCAATTGGTTCAGACTGTGGTGTACCTCCTGGTGAAGCAGGAACCATTTCAACATCTGGACGTTGGTTCGCCATGTTTTCTTGCCTTGACGCCAGTCGATCGCTGATGCAGAAAAACAAAAACGTCTAGCTCTAAACTGATGTCGTCGCTTTGGTTAATCAAATAAACACGGACCGAACTGAAGTATCTGCCTTCGTTTTCGGTCAAAAAACAGTTTTCGCTTTACAAGTTCTTTATGAAAGTTAGACCCATACAAAAGATGGCTGACCCAACGCGGAAAGCTTCCGGGATCTTTTGTTCAAATAAAACTCTTACCCAGACTTCCATAGCAGAACTTCAAGTGTCTGCACTCGGTTGTAGCATCAGTAGAAGTCCGAAAAAAAATTAAAATCACTTTATATTTACATGTTTCTTATCTTAAATCTGTTGTGATCTATAAGAAAAAAAAACAAAAAACGATTTGCCAGAGTGAGCGGCTGGTTACCCTTTAATATGTTACGCGAGGGTCCCGAGGTTACCCGAGGTAAAAATTATGCTTACGTAGGCACTTTTTGGTGTGCCGGCAACATTGTAACATTTTACTCATTTTACCGGTATTTGCTTTTCTATAAACTCATTTGATTAACATTCATAAAAAAGTAAATTTTTCCAGGTTAGACCTATTTCGAAATTCTTTTGTAAAATTCATACTTGGCTCCAAAAAAACTCATTTGGAGATACAAGGATAAATACTACATTTGGTTACTGACTAGAATCTTCTCCAGTGCTCCCCTTGACTGAAAACGTATAAAGGAGACCAATTGTTGTCGTCAGTATTTTACTGTTGTATTTACGTTTGTCGCTCTTCCCTACCGCAGTTTCAACCATCTTTGTGTCGTTTCTTGCCATTTCAACTGGCTTATGTTGCTGTTTAAGGCAATGTCCCTTGTCGGAGTTTAACCTCACACGGCCTCAATGAAAAAACTTGGACTGGCGACTTGACTTGATGGGAAAAGGTCTTGTAAACAAGAACACTGAAAAGGGATAGACCATATGTTATAGAAACGTAATAGAGGGAGTGGGTGAGGGTGGCCGGTGGTGAAATCTTTTTTTCCCTTGGATATCCTTATGAGGGAATGGAAGTATATTTTTTATTAATAACGTACTGCGCATTTTGTTTGCTTTTACACCCATGCCTTCCCTAATTGCCGTAAAACGTTTTCGGTCATTCGGTTTTAATCCCCGAGTTTGCGTAAAAACTTCCTTATCAATTACTGTAATTCATCATTTTTAAGGAGGCAAGCATGCCGAGCCCTCATATTTTGCAGTCAAAGATACGTCAACTTATCGCTCGTCAGTCAAGCTAGTTATTTGCGACATCAATATTGGTTGCAACATTCGACTTCTTAGCGAAACACACCCTTGACCAGTGGGGGAAATTTAAATACCGAGTGTCCGAAGGAGGGTTCTTTTTCGCTATTTTAATGATTTCGCGCTATCATATGAATGAAGAATACCGCACATCAGGGCTCCTGCGCACATACAGAGCGTGATTTCTACTGTTAGGTACATGTACTGCTTCATGATTGGCTGACTTCACTTTGGATTCCTCACCTGGCCCACAGACTGAAATCGACCATCGAAGCCCCCCACCCACGTCTCGTTTTGTTGTGTTTGAGGCAGTGGCGGATCAAAAAATTTTTTTCCACCCATCTGTTTCCTTGAAGGGCCTCAATTTGGTCTTAAAAAGGGGGGCGGGAGGCTTCGGACCCCTGCGGACACCCCTGGATCCGCGCAACACCAAGAAACACGTTTTGTTGTGTTTGAGGGTGGCGGATCCATGGTCTCAAAAAAAAAGTTTTCCCTGGAGACGTATCCATGGAAAGTTTTCAGACGCAGTTTTCACCCTGAGAAGCTCCCTAAACACAAGGTGGTGGCTTTTCTGAGGGCAAGAACCATCTACCCAAGGGTTAAATGGCTAATGGTACCTAGACAGCTTTGGTAAAGGTGGAACTGAGATCCAAATAAGGATCTTTAACCCATAGCTAAAATCAAATGGTTCGCCCAGTTCCCTTTGAGAATTTATCTTCAGAAAACATGGACTGTGATTTGAGGGGATGCACTTTTTCTACTCTTTTTAGTCTGTTCAGCTGATCTGGATACACAGTTTAGTGGGTCATTCTCCAACCCGGGGTCAAATTTTATGGTTTCTTGTTTATACACAAGATTTCCAGCCGGGTGGTTTGTGTAAACGGTAAGCAGTCCCTATCGATCTCTTGTGTTTGGATGTATTTCAGAACCTGCATTTCGCCTTTTAGCAGGTTCAGATGATTTTGTGGTTTATATGTGTTGTAGTTAATTCTTTATCTCAGGTAATTTTTGCTTTTCGTTTGTTTTTGGGTATGATAATGTATGCTAATGAAGTTGCAACAAAAGAAAATAAAAATTACCAGAGATAACAAAGACCATATTAAAAATTCAGCATTTCCACAGTTCACATCATCCTAATTGTTTAATCATAAATAATTAACTACGACATGTGCTTATGAAAACATGTTGTTCACTTAAAAAATGTAAAAAGACAGAAAGAAAAAGAAAAAAAGAAGTTGAAGCAAAGGTGCTCCTCGCTTCCACAGGCATTAAATTATTGTGTCTGCAAAATATTTTAATTATTATTAGCTTATTTAGGCACATCTCATGAACTTGAAACAAAGAACTGTTTAAATATTTCTGTGTGGCATTAGTATAAGAGTGAACAGTATAAATAACTCTACTGACTCAGTGGCTGTAAACAACACAGCACCTTTGTATGCTTGGTTGGTGCTGTCTGTGCCACAGAGGCTCCTGCTGGGTCCCCCCAATAAAAATAACAGAAGTAAAAGAATAGCAATCACATGGGGGACGATAGGAAGAAGAAAAAGGCTTTCTCTCTTTCCTCTTCCCATCGTGACCCCCACGCTTTCATTTTTCCCTTTCCCCAGCCTCTCTATGACACAAAGAGGCCTCTACGGAGGGGAAAGAGAATAGTTTTTGTGAAAACTATTAATATTATCAGACAACGTACATAATTCTGTAACAATGATCAACATCACTGACAGATTTTCTAACACTGTTGTCAACAAACCTGTTAAAATATTTTCAATATAATCTTATGAACTGAACAATGTTCCTCGAATAAGCAAAAGAGGAGTGCCTGTGAAAGGATGGCACTCAATTGGGAGGGGTGGGGCACTCCTTACTTCACTTTAACCTCATGTGGCAAAATAAACAAACATTCTACAAAATCTCTGCGAAGCTTTGTGTACAACTGACTTATTTAGTTAAATAGTGAGCTTCACCAACGACCACGACGGCTTCATCAATGAGAACGGTATAAAAGCAAAAGGTTTAGAGGGGCAAAACAACAACTTTCACTGTGCATCACGCTTTTTGTATATTTCTTACCATCACTGCACTACTACAACGAAAGGATGGCTATTTTCACATTTTGTGGAGGACGCGAACACAAGGCGACGACTTTCTTCTTCTTTTTCTGAACTCGTATACTGTCTTTTAGAATTCAACTCTAAGAGAGAATAAGCACAATAAAGTTTGAAGCAGCATGACTTCAACTCACTTCAGTGACGTTTTCATAGCTGTCGCCGTCATTGTTGCTTTTTCCTGAACTCGGCTGCTACTTCAAACACTAACTTTTTAACTCAGTGCGAATCAAAACACCCTCTTTATTCTTATAACCCTAGAACAAACTGCCTGATGACATCTGGAGCAGCAGAGTCAAACCCAGCCATGTCAAGCATTCCTCTGTCCTCAGGATCAGCCAGCGTGAAACCATTGGAAGTCATTGCACAAACAATGAGCTTAGCATTGATTCCAGAGTGTTTCCTGTACTGCTCCAATGCCTTACTAGGATGTATACGACCAGCCCAGGTTTCAGAGTCAGTGTAAACAATGAAGACATCAACTTTGAGGTTCTTTTTCTTGGCATAGATCATGGGTTGAGCACAGTCAGTTCCTCCCATGGGCACCTTAGAAGTAAAATGCCTTATTTTGTAAAAATGAGCAATAAATTAAATATTATGTAATTTAGAAAAAAAATTGAGAAGCCTCACTTTAAAAGGGCAAAAGATGGAGCTGACCCTGGCAACTAATTCAAGCTTTTCACCTCACCGCTGGGCAACCAATATGGGTAGAGTTTACGGCCAGGCATTCAATATTTACGACAGACTTTTGACTTTAAGTTTGTGAATCCGTGGGCAAACTCATTAAAATTATTGCTACCATTAGGTCCAATGACTGATTTGCTAACAGTGACAAGCTCGGGTCAGCAGGGTATTTTTAAGATAAGCAAATAAAAGTATTAAGCAATGTTGTACACTGGACAAAACTGTCCTGGATCACTGAGATTTTACCATACAGAAATGAAACAAGCCAAGTACATACAATAGGAACTGCATACAGTAGGAATTGCATTTCGGTGTATACAAACTTGGTAACGAAATCACAAAGTCACACGAAGTGTTGTTGTGTTAAGAATTTTGTGACGTGTTTGTGGATGTTTTGACATGAAATTGAGGGGAAAACAGAAGAAAAACTTTAGGACAGTCTACAACTTATTGAGCTACCGAAATACAGCACTTTCTTCAGACATTGTCTTAAAACTCATATTGGACTGGATCAGTCTTCCATCGATGCAGCCTGTTGCTCACACTTCACACCAGCCACAAAATGCTGAGCTGTGTGAAAGTGTAGTTGGCTAAGAACTTCAGAATTTGCTATTTCTGCGGGGCTCTTCTTCCAGGAGGTTACCATTTTCTTACGTTCTTTTGCACAACAGCTTAAAACAAATCTGTTGGATTCACCTCACGGCTCTTCGGTAGTATCGTTACAACTTGAATCTTTGACTCTTTAAATGTGCTGATGTACCAAAAGCATTATAGTGCTGCATGTCAATGAGTTGCTCCAAGTTGTCCCTACTGCAAGATATATTTGGAGGCGATATTCTTACCACAAAAACACTTCATTTTCAGTGAAAAACATGTGATTTGTTTTTCTTAGAAAGCACGTCACTGACTTTGCCTACCTTTGTGAGTTTGTTGTCAAGTTCGGATTAGTCCTTCTTAGGTGATCAACATGAAAATATTTTTCCATGTGTGTAATTTAACAAAGTTTAAAGGACAAAAACATCAAAAGTGTCTATCAACTTACTTGTTCAATGGTCCTTATGACTCTATCAAGTTTCTGAGCAGAGTTAATGTTCAGAGGCACCAGGTGATGAGAAAACCCCACAAAGTGATACTGTGGTTCAGTGCGTGCTGTAAGCATCGCCATAGCAGCAGAAGCAACCCTGGGGGTGATGGTTGTTCCATTACAATTACCACAAGACATTGAACCACTGACATCAATCGCCAAAAGATACCTCTTATTGGTGGGCTCCACAGCCTGTAAAAGTACAAGCATAAATGATGATAAAAAGATTGTCCTTGAGTTACTGCGTGAATTTGTACTGGAAACAAAGGGATGATTCCTGAGTACTCCCTCTCCCACAAAATACCATAAAAGGGTAAACACTCTCAGAAATTAGGTGGAAGCGATGACCACCAAGAAAACGTTGTTCAAGTAATGACCTTTGTGTGCAACCATAACACGCATTTCTTTTACCACTAAATAACACAAGTATGGGCAACAACATAATTTCCCACCCAATTTTGCCATTTTGCATTGTCAAGAACACCCTTTTTGCACCCTCCCCACCCCAAAAAATAAGATAAGTATTGTTTTCAATTTCTCTTGGGGCAAACAAAGTTCATTAATTTATGGGTCCTTTTTGCTTCCAAATCAGGCATTCTGAGAGGAAAAGACACTAACCTTACTCCCTAACTCAGCTAGCCATACAGGCCATAGCCCCAGGCTATCACTGTGCCTTGCTTGACATAAATAAAGGAACATAACTAAATAACGGTATCTATGACTGGAAGTACAAGTTCAGTTAAAAATTCCTCAATAATTATAAATACAACAAATTACAGAACACAAACCTTGAAAGCCAAGTAAAATGCCTTGTCAAGTGCAGTCACAATGTCTCGGTTGGGAATCCAAGTGAGTTTGCCCTTCTCTCCCTTACCTGCCTCATACTGTTTCAGAGCTACTAGGATTGAGAATGGATGGACACGTGCATCTTTAAGGTTCTTCTCGCTCTTTAACATCTCACAGACCCGAGCTGCTCCAGCTGATAAAGGTGCCAATACTCCAACATTGGTCATTTTACCAAGATTTCTTATCATAGCAGTCATAGGCATGTTTTCCAAAAGAGCCTCCCAAATCTGTGGTAGAATAACAAAACATGTTTAGGTATTATAGATTGTATAAGAAAAAATACACAGACTTGCCAACCACCAAGAGGCAAAAATCTTGAGATTCTGGACCTAGAGCTGGAAAAAGTGGTGAGAGGTGGGAAAAAGTTGCAAGGTGTCCCACATTTCTTGGTGGAAGGACTCCAAGCAGGGATTATGGGTTTAGAAGTCAAAGTATCATTTTAAAGTGGGAGCAGTAAACACCACAATCAATCTTCTTCATCGCTGCTGACATGCACATGTCTGTTGGCGGCCATTGTAAAATGAGAGATTTAGGTTTACTTGTGAGTGAGTGACAGCGGCAAGTCACGGCAGGGTTTGTGATAGGCTGAAGAGTGGAAACAACACACCAAATCAGCAATTTACTTATTAAATTATCAAACAAACGAGACCTCTAAGCATTTCTGTCAGATTGGGTTTGCTATCCAGCTGGGAAATGAACCCTACAGATGCTTCAAAGACTTTTTAAAGTGAGCATGATATAGGTGGTGACAAGGCGAGACTTACAACAAACTTGGCAAGTCTGACTACATAACATCATCATCATCTGTTTGGTTGCTCATATGCTGGATTATTTGTTTATTCATTCTCTCTCAGACTCGCTGTCTATAGATCTGTCAATCAGTTTGTCAGACAACAACAAGTCATTTAAGGACTTACAAACATCTCCTTAGACTCACCTTTCTGGAGCTGAGATAGTTGGTAGGAATGTGTTCCCGCACGAGCCCATGTTCTCTGATTGCTTGTACCAACTCAGTTTTGCTCATTGATTTGGCTTCTTCCACTGCTTTTAAAAAGTTGTACACTGAAAGGACATCTTGGCTGCCACCAGGTGTCGCTGCTGCATCAAAACCTTTAATCACGTACTTTACAATAAACTGTGTAGCGGGGTTAGTAGGTTTTACGTGACATAAACGGAACAAGTCACGATGCGACCATCCATTTCTCTGTTTGTACTTGGTCACGGCAACAGCTAGAACTCGCGGTTTCTTCTCTGTGTACCATCTCTGGATTGCTTTCTTGTGTGCTCGGCCCCAGCCGGTGGACTTTGGCTTGCTCAGCTTCTCGCAGAATTCAGTGAACGAGAAAAGATGTGTAGGAATTCGCAGAACTTGCGTGACAGCAGCATACGCTGCACGTTTCGTCTCCAAGTGACTTGAACGAGCGCACATAGCTAAGGCCAAAATGATCGGGTCTTGTTTGGCTGTACGACCATCGGTGCTGTATTCAACGATAATTTTTACCGCCTCCGGGCCACGACCTTCGGTGATGATTCTCAGCAAGGCCTGAGCGTTCTCTTGTCCAAGTTTCTGCTCCGTGGCATAGTAAGTACCGCCTTCGCACCCAAGCACAAGAAAACGCCTTAACCTCTCCATGTCGTTCACTTTCCACACAAAGCCGCCTGCGTCGTTCTTTACCTGGGTTGTTGCTGCCAGAAGATGGGACTGCGGTACTGTTTCCAACGCTGGAACCATTTCTACATCAATGGGTTGCTGGAAACTGTTTCGTGACATTTTCCAAGTCCCTTGGAATTAGTCTTAAAATTTCGCCTACTCTACACTCTGCTGAGTGGTCTGTGTGGTATAAGCGAACCGTTGCGATGAGATTTGATGCTTCTCCTTTCGCTTTCAGTCGAAATATGTTTACGAAAACGAAACCTTTCAGTTTTAAAAGCTAAACCCCCCAGCTCAACAAACAAAAAATATGGCTGACGATGCAAATATCCCAGGCTGTTTTCCATTTTGGACTTTACTGGTGGGTTTCTATTTTTCTTCCACTGTTTTAAGCCATACTGCCTCTAAAGGAAACATCGTCTCTAGCTCACTTTGAAAACTTCACCAGCACACTTCCATCACAAAAAAATTGAGTTTTTCAAAGGCGAACATCGGCCGACAGGCGACAGCAAAACTGCGATTAAGAGGAAGCAGTGTGGGGACTGGGCCTAATGTTGCGCCACCGAGTGAAACGGCTCCCCACGTTAATTACGGCGTTCGCATTGCGCTTCGCCTGGCCATTGCCACAACCTCGTCCCCAGGGTCTTCTCGCTTTCCAATATGGGGACGAGGCTGCTTGCGTAGCTGGCGGTTTTTTTGGTGTTCTTTTGTGGTTCGCAAAGTCAGAGTCAGAGCAGCGCCAATGCTGAGCCGAAGTCGAAATTGAACCCCGTTCTCGGTTCAGCTTTCGCGCGGTATCTCTTACTTTACGAACCGAAAACGCACACAAACACCCACACACACACACACACACACCACCAGCTACGCAGGCTAAGAGAATGCGGGCGGAAGATGCGTGCGAGAATTGGAGCCATTCTCACGGCAAAGGGCAAGAGGCATGCTAGTTTAAGGTACGCTTATTAATAAAGGCGCGTTGAAGTCATAACTCTTTTGTTTTTAACCCGATGGCTACAAAACTTTGCTAAGAACTTTAGATATCATTCAGCACACGATATCAAATAATCCGATTTTCCTGGTGTTTTTACGAAATTAGACGTTGAGTGGACCTTACTGTACAAAGAAAATCGCGTCTAGGAATACATTTTGTACTGAAATTTCGGGTATCGGTTTTTATTGACATGATAAGTATGCCATATAAATTTCAGAGTAATCGTTGAACCAGAAGTCCTCGACTAAGAAGTCCTTCAAAATTCGTAGTTTCGTAAGGTACCTAGTAGGAAGCTTAAGCAACGACTACGGCGACTTCAACGAGAACGGCAAAAAAGCAAAGGTTTAGATTGGCAAAACAACAGCTCTTTACGTGCGTCACGCTTTTTTGTGCATTTCCTTAAAGTCAATGCAGGACTACTCTCTCTCTATTATTATTATTTCTGGTTTATTTATTTATTTTTCGTGGGATGTCTGTAAAGTAGCTAATTAGCTAAGAACATTGACCACGTTAAATAAAGGGTATTGTATTGTATTGTATTGTACGACGTGAAAGTGCCTAATTCCCGTTTTGTGGAGGACTTAATAAACACAAGACAACGACTTCCTCTTTCTTTTCCTAAGCTTCGATACAAGGGTGGCGCAGTGGTGAGAGCACTCACCTCCCGCCAATGTGGCGCGGTTCGAATCCTGGAGTCGACGCCATATGTGGGTTGAGTCTGTTGTTGGTTCTCCCGCTTGCTCCGAGAGGTTTTTCTCCGGGTACAACGGTTTTCCCCTCTCCTTAAAAACCAACACTTTCAAATTCCAATTCGATCTGGAACGCACGGACACGTTTCAACGAGTTCTTATGAACTCCTTAGTGATCCGTGGGTAAACAAATTACAATTTACAATTTTTTTACAATTTACAATTTACAAATACAGTCTTTTAGAATTCAACTCAAGAGAAACTTGCCAATATTTGATGAATTGAACGAGATGGGATAAGCGCGATAAAGTTTGAAGTAGCGCGACTCCACCGTTTAAGTGGCGTTTTCGTAGCCGTCGCCGTCATTGCTTAAGCTCCCTAGTTTCGTAAGGCCATAGTATCGACGACGGCGAGGGAAGCGAAAACGTAATAACGTCACTTTTAAAACGAATTGGTGTTTTTCCAAACTTTGTCGCGTTTATTCCAATTCGCCGAAAATGTCAAATGTAGGCGAATTTCCCGGGAGTTGATTTCTTGGGGACCGCCAGCACTCAAGTTTAGGTAGAGAGAGAAAAATTCTTCGTCGCACGCGTCCTCCATAAAACGTGAAATTAGGCATTTTCACGTCGTAATCGTGCAGTGAGGGCAAAGAAATGTACCAAAAAGTGTGATGCACGTGCAAAGCTGTTGTTCTGGTTCACAAACCTACTGGTTTTTTGAGGTTCTCGTTGCCACCGCCGTCGTCGTTGCTAAGGCTCCCCAGTATCTTAGTATCTGCAGCATGAAACGCGCGCATGCGTGGAAGGTTATCATTCCAAACCACCGCGACCGAGGATCAATTGTTTTTTCTACGACAACGCTTGCTAATGCTGATTAGCATAGGTCAGCCATTTAAATGTAGTTAATTCATTAATAAGGCCACCTGCACGTTTCTCACATAAAATCCACCTGTCCTTTCAGCCTTTTTTCTTTATTATGCCGGTCTCAATGCCTTATCAGCGACCAACAGAAAGCAGGATTAAATAATGTTCATGGAAAAATAATTTTTGGTAGCCATGCTTAAATCCGTCACTAAGAAGCTGAAGCCCTTTATCGAAGCCAAACTTAACGAGGAGTACGTCTCGATAGCGAACGATGCAAATTTGTACTGTCTTGATTACATCGAGGAACGATTGAAACGCTCAAATATCGAGTCTGATCTTGAATTTATCCGTCCTCAAGCCGTGTCCGAAAAAATCACTTCCATCTCCGCAAAAATAATCGAAGTTGGCGAGCTACTAGAGACTTGCTACCCCCATCTGTACAACAACGTCTCTAAACAGCTCAAGGTGAAGCTCCGAAGCGAGGTGATCGTTGGTGATATCTTCCGCAACTTTGGCCGCGAACTTTTTCGAGAGGGAGTCACATGGGGAAGAATCATCGCCTTGTTTGCATTCGCTGCGGCTGTAAGTGCAGACTGTATACACCAAGGACGACCCGAGCTGGTTAAAACAGTGTTGAACTGTGTGCGGCTATATGTACTGGATCATTTGGCAGTTTGGATTAGAAGTCAGGGTGGCTGGGTAAGCTCTCAGTATATATTTGTGCAAAAGTTTGTGTAAATCTGAAATCCTAAACATCGAGTATAGCCCTTTTCAAGGAAACTATATTTAAGTTCTTCCCTATTGCGTGAACTAAAAAACAGGAGCAAAACGATATTTTTCGAAAAAACCTTAAGGAAAAAAATACAAATAAAGGGGTTATCTTTTCTATAGCAACAATGACTAAAGAGTTTTCTGCTATCAAAGCCCGCGTGGACACGATTCAAAGTTTACGAGTAAACATTCGTTATTTTTCGCTCGATATACTATCAATGAAAAAATAACACACAGCGAGCAAAAAATCCAAAATTTTTTTCACTGTTTCAATATTTATGACTAAATTACTTGATTTCTGCCCTTCCGAGCATTAAGGTAATATCAGTAGTTTTTTAATTTTTGAACACAACTCTGGACGAAGTTCATTTTTAGAGAGAAATAAAACCTGAATTCTTAACCGAAATGCAAACTATAATCAGCCTTTCTTCTTTATAGCAGCCAGTAGAGTAATGAGAGAATAGAAACAAAGTGACAACGAAAACAAAAGAACTATTGAAACATTTGCATATATCATTAATCCTGCTTTGCTGACTAAAAGGAAAATGATGATGAGTATGCTCTCTTATTTCAACATCAAATATAAACACCGGACACAATCGAAAGAAAAGAAAGAAAACTTAACGTATTCAAACGAGCAGAACTCGTTTTACTTCTAGCAAATTTTAACAATGTTATTTCCGAAGATCGTCGAAACCCCACACGGGCAGTTATGATAATTTCCCTTGACTTTCAGGATATTGTGAAAGGCCCTTTTTTTTCATGTAAGGCTGGGTTTCGCTAGCGACGAGTCGAAATCAGACTTCATAGGCTTGACGGGATCGGAATCGGAGTACCACGGATCAGAACGTTTTTAATGCTTTACTTCTCCGCTTATGACAATGTTTTATAAATCAATAAATAAAGTGACGTTCGAAGTTTCAGAATTATCATTCTCACTGATTGACTCCATGCGGTTGTAAATATATTGTCATGCAGTGAGCTAGGAAGTAAAGAAATGTACCAAAAACTATCAATGATGCATGCAAGTTATTGATGTCACTCAGAACGAGAGTCTTTGTTACCGTTCATGTGACAAGGGTGTACAACAATTTCGAACTTGTTTCCAATCTGTTTAGTCACAAAAATAGAGGCTAAGCAAAACGGGAAGCGAGACGTGACATGACGAAACCAAATCTCGTATCCAGAGTCCTCAGGCTCTTTGGACAGTGGGAATTCGCCAGGGGTAGTCGTGAAATTGGACAAAACCGAGAACGCTGCTTGATTTGCGAATACATACAACATCAATGATAGAAATGTGATGGGGAATTTTAAGTCTGGTGAAAACATGAGAAAGAAGTTTATTCAGTCAGCGACACGGACAGCTCAGAAGGACAAATCTTCTTCCGAGCCGCCTGTGTCACTGGTCGCTGCAGATTGAATAAACATCTTTCTGATATACAACCGAAGGAAAGTCTGTGTTATCAAAATGCAATTTTCCACTTATTACTAAGCTCTTAAGGAAATAAAAAATACTTAACTTCTGTTCTTTTTCTTTAACAGATTGATTTGACGGAAAAGTTTAAGTGCATAGAGAAGCGATATACAATGACATTCTTTATTCGGTCGTTTAGCCAAAGTTCGTCTTGGTTAGTTAACACAATGAAGGATAAACTATTATCAGTACTTGATAAAATAGGTGAATATATTGGTCTTATAAACAGTGGCTAGCTAACACATTGTAGGCTGTTCACAGTCCCTATACTTCCGGATAAGATCGTCCAGATCCATTAACAGGCCGCAGCTTAGTTACAAATGCACCGAGTGTAAGTTGGGGAGGAGAGGCAAATCTAAAAATAGCGCCTCTTTCCCCTGACATCTGTACACACCATCGCCTGCCGCCCTGCCTTATTTGAAACCAAGATGGTCGCTTGCATTGCAATGATGAATTTACCTTTGGCCATCCTTGGTGCTGACCAAACTGATTGCAGCCTCTGGGCAAGAGTTTGGGCTGCCTGTTGTAGTAAACCGTCGATCTTACGGAAGAAAAAGGGACTCAAAACTTCTGGAAATAGTCGAAATAGTCTAAACACATTACATCACATGTACAAAACTTCATTTATCATTTGTAATATATTTTTGGCTGGATTTTTGAAAACGTTACTGTCCGAAGTCCTTGTCGCTCAGCAAAATCTCCAGAGTAGCAAATATAAAAACTAAGAGTTCAAACTTTTGCTTTTTTTCTCTTTTACTCTCCTAGCTTTTCCTTCTCCTTCCGTGTTGTGATTTTTGGGCTTATCGGATGTAAGAAACTTGAAGTTTTTGTCTTTTTCAGTCAAATGCCTTCAATTTTCGCTAGTTACGTTTTCAACTATCCAGCTAGATTTAAATCACATTAACATCTTTACACGTCCCTGACAAAATTATAGCTAAAAGGAAAATATATATACATTGCACTCGAGTACGTGCAAAAAATGTACAAAAATAAAGACTACCAAGCGCGGATCTATGATAAATGGTGACCGATTTCTGAAAACGAGCGCTGAAGGAGCTGCTTCTACGAGAGTGCTAGCGGCAAGCTCTAAAGGGAGGATTTAATCTCCATTCAGGGAGCAAGTTCTGGGTCATTTGGACAAGACTGGAGAAACTTATTAAAACCATTTTCAAGACTTTACCTTAGACATTTACTTAAATGAAAGAAAATATATTTCTTACGAAAACCCTGACCGGCGTCTGTTTGGAAAATGGCATGGACCCGCGCCTGATAAAATAATTAAGTATGCACAGTTGTTTAGACGAACACCTCTTTCTTAGACTGCTCCAAATACTGTCCATAGAAAGTTATCAAAAGAGATAGATATGTGACTCAAAAAATAAAGAAAAATAACGATTTTACTTTCATTCAGGCACACAAAATATATTCCATAGCTTAAAATAATTCTTTCATTTGTAATTTTTTAAAAATAAATTTATATTTAACAATTCAATGTTTGTTCATTCATATACAATTACTGACACCATTATTCTCATACACGTAGATCATGTTTCCACAATTAATGTTCACCACATCTTTTGACCTATCTCAATATTCAGTTGAATACCAGTTCCAAAGAAAGCGAGTTCTCAAAGTCGCTTTTAATTTACTAACTATTTAATATCATTATATAAAACTTTCTTAACTCTCACGTTAAGCACTGTTTTATGGAACCCACCCGCAATAAAACGATTACTAAGTTCGGTTCCTCTGCTTGTCTATAAACTCTGAACAGCTAGGTACTAATGAACCGTAAGCAGTCCACCAAATGAAACACAGAGTAAAAACCACATCTGATACGAATCGCAGGATTTCACGCACATCCGAAGGTGGATCGTAAAGGTTGGCACCGAATTTTCTAGCCCAACGAAAATTGAAACCAGGACTCCTGTATCAGATCGAAGTCGATCGAGCGAGCGACTCCTCCATCATTTATCTATAATTCAGTGCTACTAAAGCTGCTTTGATGCTGCAATATTTTATGTTTATAGTTAAATTTAACTCATTTCTTATGAGTTCTTGTTTCTCACTATCAATGAGTGTTTTTTTACCTATTAAAAACACGGATGAATTTTTTCGTCGATTTTCTCGCCTACAGTTAGGTTGATCCAACGACCGTTGGATAAATGCAGAGACGTTATTTTTTTCAGCCGTTCAAAAAACTCTTCGAGTTTCACCAAGTTTAAAACAGTCACTCACATTAGACTAAATCGGGGGATATTTATATTAAGGGTCACGTGAAAACCGTCAAGACATCTCAGTTACAATACCGCGAGCACCAAGTGACTTTTCTTAATATGCAGTGATTTACATAATGATTTGAAGAACAAGGTCTGGTTTCCTCAATTCGCCTACCTAGGCAGGCGGACTAAACAAATATTACATCATAAACGTTTCTGGCAAATTGCCTACCTACCCCTCTCCCAAGCCAACATTAACACTTACTTTTAACTTGGGGCAAAATGTTGGCTTACGGGAGGGGTAGGTGGGCCCAAATATTTGCCCCATGTTAGGTGATCGAGATTCCAGAATCCGGGAAATTTTTGCCTGTGGAATCCAGGGTTGGGGGCTTTCCATTCAACAAAAATTCCGGTTTGAAATTTCGGCAATTTTACGTGCCTAATGGAGCGGTACATTCCGGTTGCACAGACCTGACCCAAGCCACCGCGCGTTTGGTTATTGTTCTTGTAAGCAGGATACAACAGGGTGGTACTGGGGAAAACAATTTTGTCAAATGGAAAGGAACATTTCAGTCCGACCAGCCGAAATGACCAGACCGGTCAAAGACGATCTCCTTCAAAGCTAGTCTGGAATATTCCTGTCGGACCAAACCGAAATGGTCCGTTCCCTTTGATATACCAACGGAAATTTCCGGAATTTTGGGCTGAATGCAAAGCGCCCCGGAATTCAACCCTAGGAATCCGAAATCCCGCTTAAGAATGGAAACCAGAATCCAAGTTCCGCTGACAAAGAGTCGGAGGAATCCAAAGCGTGGAATTCAGAATCCAAGACTGTCTCGGATTACTTTACATACGGCGACAAATATGAATTGACTGCGTACAACTTGCAAAGAAATATGAAACAAAAATTTACCATTCCGTTTCAGTTTTTCAATTTTTTAAAATCTACATACCGCTGAGATTTAATTTACAAGAATTAGGCGTGGCTGTTGGTTTTCGGGATCTATATAAGGGTTCTATCCGGTTTCATTCAGTGGCGGCATCGGGGAAGCGAATTCATGATTAAGGCCTACCATTGGAGGAGCTTGTCAACGTGCAGCTATGTTCAAAATGATAAAGGAACTGTTACCATGACGATGTCAAACGTACACAGGCGTGTTTTCCCGTCTCGGAATTGGTCCAGGGGTCTCAGTGAACCGATGTTTGATTGAAAAAGGTAGCCATTCATCTGTCTCCTGAAAAAAAAAAGAGGTTCAAGATGAATGAGCAACTACTTTACTTCATTAATCATCTTCATGAAGTCATGACAACACAAGACACTCGTGTATATTGTTAACCCACCTTTTCACCAGAGCAAATCACGTCAAATAGACCATGACACGGGGATTTACGTCCATGACGACTCGCATGTCATGGCAGGCGGAGTGCCATATGGTTTGTTTTACGTCCCCTTCAAATTAATGTATAAAGATGAAGGAAACAAGGCCAACAGTTTAACATTATTGCCCACTGATGACCCGATTATCTGGACAAACACAAGGTTTTCATGACCGCTGGCATGATCTTCTGGTGGTTCCGTGAGCGGCCCGTTTTTACTCTCGACCTCTCGCTCAACTGACCGGCGCTCTTCTAAATGAGGTGCAAACCCGGCGGGTGCTTTAGCTTTAGCGTTAATAGCAACTGCCATGTTGCTATTAACGTCTTAGATCGAGAAAGCATTTCGTTTTCAAATTTATTTGAAACAATATAGACGGAGAACAACACCTGACAGTCGAAAACGCAATTGCCACTAACCTCTTCTCTCTGCCGTTGCCACAGAGAAAGTGCCCCTTCTTCGCTAAACGAGCCTCCGCAACTGAGAACCAGCGGATCTTCCTCTCTGTATGATTAGAACAAAAGTCAGCTAATATGACTCCGAGGCTTTCTGATCATTTTTCTGTATTTGGTTTGGTTTTCTTTGTGCTCAAGCCTCTTCTGGAAATCGCGAGACAATGGAGTGATTAAAAATTTTTTTTGTAGATTTTGGCCCTAAAGCGTTGGAGTCATGTTAGAATTTTAATATAACGAACGTGGGCTACCAAGTGATAATGATTAACTCCTATTACTGAAGTAATTGAGTTTATGACAGCGTTAGGCGAACAAGAGACAAAAGGGCCATTTATACGAGGAAAAATAAGACGCGTCTTACATAGGCCGCGTCTTAAATAAGACGCGAACCTTCCGTATAAATGGCACATTTCGTCTAAAATAAGACGCGGCTTAGCTAAGACGCGTCTTATTTAAGAACAGCCCATAAGACCTGTTCTTAGATAAGACGCGTCTTAACTAAGACGAGAAAAACTTCGTATAAATGACCTTCGCGTCTTACATAAGACGCAAACGCATAGTACGCATGCATTAATTTTTGGCGCGCCGCGTTGCTGTTCTCGTCTTAGATAAGACATGCTCGTATAAATGGTACAGTTCGCGTCTTATGTAAGACGCGTCTTATGTAAGACGCGTCTTTTTTTTCCTCGTATAAATGGTCCTAATGAAGTCCAATTGAAAGGAATCCCTGACGCGACTTAAGAAATTTAAAGGCATCGCCTTGAGTCATGGCAATTTGAAAATAATTTTGAAAGAGGACGTCTGTGTGACGACAACCACGAGTTACCTTTGCCATGAACATTAACAGTAAAAAGGTAACAACTTTCTCCTAAAGCAACCGGGGGCAAATTTAGTTAACCACGAGCAGAAGCTTATAACCTGCTTCTGCCACGAGCGATCAGTTGTCTAACCTTTTGACATTGGGCCGGTGAATGGCATATAAGGCTGAGTTTTAATAGTTGCAATTATGAACTTCAAATTCGAATAAGCGCCATCTTGAAAGGTTTTCAGACTAAGTACTGTATTTACCTGAAAGAACGCGATCCTCGAATAAGTGCCACTTAAGCGTACATGCAGCTGTACTTCCCCCAGTGGGGAAAACGGAAGGGACGTTCTCTTCGCTGGGGAGGGAGGTGTGGGGGTACGACTACACAAGCTAATAAGTGCCGCCCCTAACAAGCGCTACACCTAGCGCAACATTCTTCTAGCTCCCTCATAGCAACGCTACGATGCTTACAAAATGTTTGACAAAGAGGATATTAAAATGCTCATGCAGCAGATATATTGATATTGCTGTTAATGTAATTTATTTGGATCTAAAAAGGGACATAGACCTTTGAAACTAACTTAACTACGTTTTTCCTTAACTACTGTTTTCTTATTTGAACAAAAAAATGGAAAACATTCATTACATATTATTGTGTTAGGAAAATTTACCGAAGCACCGGACCGACAAATCCAAAGAACTTGATACGCGCTGCGGTGCTCTTTCTAATAAATACGGTAAGTGCCGCGTCGCTTTGACAAACAACACTTATCGCTGTTCTAACACCCACCTGACTAACAGCAGACACCGAATAGCTTCTTCATTGATTCTGTAATGCACTCTCAGTCGCAGTGAAAACCTGTAATCACTATGATACAGATTTTCTTTCCCAATTTGTTTCTCAGGATGTTTTTTGCTCATAGCATTGGTTGAGTTCTCAGTGGACACTTCTTGACTGCTCAAACTCGTTGAGGAAAGTTCATAATTTTCACTTGACTCTGTTTTTACATTATGGTCTTGCTCAGTACCAGTCGCACTGGTTTCTTCTGATGTTTTGTCTTCGTTTTCCGACGCAGTAGTACCTTCAGGTTGTGACGAAATTTCGTCGGTGCATGACGTCGAAATTGATAATACTGCAGAAATTGTTTCCAGTTGTGTAGAACTCTCATCTCGCTTTTTATCTTATCCAATAAAAATGAAAGCTGAATAAGCAACTCAAATTAAACTAATTTAACGTATCCACCCTTGTAAGCGATGTATCTTGTATTCGAGACTAATAATTGACTTGTATTGATACGGCAATCAGTGCATGGTATCTGTTAGCTTAGCTTAATAGACAGTTTTCTTGTTAGGGATCAGAGTCGTGGAGTAAGTGTATCTGTTTCCTTATATTGTATGTATCTAAATAATAAAAAGCCTGGTATCAGGTAAAAAAAGAACAACAAACTTATGTTAAACATTATTTGTTTAAGGAGTTACATAAAACACTCGATTCACGGTGTCCCACCACGATATGAAACCCTCCTAAATTTAGATAATTCAATAAAGGAAATAATTCAAGCACCTTCGTTTTCGTTGAGTACCACATACGCTTCGTCTTCATAAGTGTTGTTTTTGATGACGTCAAATATCACGACATGCCCGTTACCGAGCCCTACCCACAATTCCTCACCAACTGCCATGACTGTGGTAACACGGGATTCCTTGAATGCGATGACCTGGCACACAAAATATAACATGTTATCTCCACGGGTCAAGAGATCACCGTTGCTATAGGTAAAGGGTAAAGGCGCACACAAGCCAAAGGCCCACACGGCCGGAGCTTATTTCCGGTTTCCGCAGCATGAAGCAAGCGTAGGAGTATTGCTACTCCCCCCTGGACGGGATGCTGGTCCATCGCAGGGCTACCCCCCAGCAGTACGTCTCCGGTACCCATTTATACACCTGGGTGAAGAGAGACAAAGTGGAATTAAGTTCCTTGTCTAAGGAAAAAACGCGACGGGCGAGGCTTGAACCCCAGACCTCCAGATCCTGAGTTCGAGGTGTTAACCGCTCGGCCACACACGCCTCCAACACCGTTGCTATGGCAACATAAAAAAATCGCACCTTTGCAGCAAAAAAATATTTGTGCTCTCTGGTTGCTCTCTGGAGCTTGCACTCACTCACGAAAAATTTTTCCAACACTCGAAGAGAAATTTCGTATCTCCATGTGGCTAGGTAGTATCCTCTATTTATGAACTCAGTTTATAAAGCCAAATCTCCCCCTATTGACGTAAGGCCACAGCTTTTTAAAAAACTAACCCTTCCATTCATGTCTTGTTTACTTACCCCTGTATCAGAACTAGTATCGAGCCTTGCAACGTTGTCAACTTTAAGGAGAATGTCAAAAGTCACTTGATCCAGAAGCAGAACGCAGGATGACCTGAGGAAAAAAAATGTAGGCAAAGTCCGGCGCAACGTTAAAGCGACCACTTCCCCTAAAAGACCATGTCTCCAAAATATGAATATAAAATATGAATATGGGGTACTTTTTAACAGAGTGCTCGTTATAGAGTTTAAGACAATAAAAACGTAAATCAAGGAAAATAGTGCGAAAAGGTGAGAAAAACGGCTTAAATTGGATCAGGTTTAGAGGTAAATGAATTCCGAGTTACCATAATCTGAAGAGGGAGGAGGCGAGTGACATTTCAGTCAGACTAGAGTTACCAATAAACCGGTAAAAAGAGGTTGATTGTGAGGCTTGACAACCTTTAAGCCTGACTGTAGTCGTTTTTTTTCGTCCCCAGAACGTCTGCATTATCAAGAGTATTCAAACAATATGAATAAGTTAATCCATAACGCGAGGCTTCTTACCCTCGTACAGTGCACCAGACGCCATGTTTACCGTGAGTCAGCTTAGAGACCTGGTGTCGACGAGAGTCGGACACAACCAGCGAACCAAGCTCGACAAGAAAACTGAGGAAAAGAAAACATGAAATTATAAACTAACGAAGAAACATAAACTAAAGCACAAAAGAAAATGATAGATTTAACAGAAAAACTAATGACCAACGATGCAAAATATTGGGATGACCAGTACTTATTGTTGTTGTTGTTATTATTATTATCATCATTGTTATTATTATCATTTTTAACATAATAACTATTATTAATGAAAATTTCAAAGAAAGATGCCATTATCAAGTTGCTACGAGCATGCGCCCCGACAGGAATTGAACCCATGACCTTCTCGACCGCGGGCAAACGACTGAGAAACATTTGGAAAAAGTGGGAAAAGAATGCCAATCTAAGGAAGGTATTTTCTTCACACTTAGAGTTTGTTACTTAACTATATGTTAATGATTAAAAACTTGGACTTGTCAGTATTATTCGTTAAAAGATAACTTTGTTCAGGCGAGAAGCTTTATCGATGAAAGAAAATGTAATTTCTGACGGTTGAGTGACTAGGAACGAATTAGTCAGAAATTACTATTCTGATGGCACGATTGAGAGGTTTTAGTATTCTCAGGGGAGAGTTTTGAGTATTTAATGTTTTAGCGGGGAATATTAATTATTCTAGCTCAGTCAGTCTTTCTGTTTGCTGTTGTCAATTTAGTTAAATTTTTTCTATGGAGTTATGCGTTTGTTTGTACCTCTTCCCCGAGGTTCCGTGCCATTGCATTAGATGGGGAATACGTTTCCACATATTTTTTGGCCACATCTAAAGAGTGGTTTTTTAGTGGTTTTTCGTATCTGGCGTGGTACACTTAATTTTTTCAAGCTTTTCAAGTTAGACTTGCTAGCATATTCTATGTTGTAATAGTATATGTTACGACACATTGTTGTTGTCGGATGACTGACTGACCATTCCTCAATAAACTATTTCACATTGAATGTTTCGTTATAGTGTAGTCAGAATCCCTACTTTTTTGGCGAAAAAATGAAAACATGTTTACATTTGTTACACACCCTTGCGGGTGTTGCCATTTTCCCATTTCAAAAGAAATGAAATTTCATCGGATAATGATAACAATAATAAAAGATCATCTGAAAGACGTTTGTCCTAGGAGGATGACCTTTCAGGAACTAATTGAGCGTTCTTGCTAAATGAACAAAGAGAAAAATAACAGCTAGCTAAGGTCACATCCGCCAACTGAGTTCATACAAGCCACAACTTCTGGCATACCGCCCAGGAACCGCCCATTGAGATAAAATAAATGACTGAAAATAAATTTTTTAAAAAAGTGATTAAATTATCCTTCGTAATAAAACCGTTCAATTATCAGGTATCTTCCGGGTTATTTAACGTCAAATTCAAATTAAATTTGAGTGGAGTTTTCGTGAAGGAGGTTTTTAATTAAACCGCATGAAATTTCCTTATAGTCATCGATATTAGTTACTGAGACCGTAAGAAGTGTCTAAACTAGTAATTTTTCGGGAGAAAGAGCTAATTCTATAGAGCACTTATATCACAAAATAGAAAACCTACCATCACATTATCGTAAGTTGTGGAAGTATTCAAGCTTGTTCGCGGGACTAATGGTAGTTATGAAACGCTCGCATTCGGCTGCGTTTGACAAGTGTACTCCAGAGTACCCACTTTTTCTCGCACAATCAGATACCAGATTTTTTTCACCTGCAATTGCCTTCAAACTTTGAACACTAAACTTTCTTGGCTGTGTCTTCAGCAGAGCTTTAGAAAGTATTATTAATTAGCTGTGTGGCAGCGTTGTGTAGCGTTTTTAAAATCATTTCAGTGTACACATAATCGGCAATACCAAAAATATGTACTGCCACCTTTGAATGATAAATACGAGCTGGTCAATTCATCTTGTGCAAGAATTATTATGTCTACTCGAGAAAATCACGACAAAAAAGGATGGCTATCCTAGGGTTTTTTCATGTGGTGCTTTTTAAGACGCTGTGTAGGGTGCCTCAACTACTTTGGCGTTTATAACCTAAAACTATACGACGTATCATTCATATGGAAAAATCATAATAAACGTATCCTTCAAATACAAACACAGGAAGCAGACAAAACCGCCGCCTTAATAAAACAAATGACAGTCTCCTTTTTGTTCTCATTTCTGTCAAATATAGTTCTTACTTTTGCGTCTTTAAGAAAAATTTTATGGTTTGACTCATCCATGTTAACCTTTTGGAGCAGTTCTCTCGCAAGGTGTCTTCTAGTTTTTACAAAAAGAAATTTGTCATGTTTTTCTTCAATACCGTTTTTATCGCTCGAGGTACTGAAAAGGTTACATTATCAATTCCATAACATGTAACTGTGGTAAAGTGTGGGCAGGTTTTGCTTTCACTCGGAGGAGATTCAAAAGCTTCAGGCTGCCACATTATTTGTAAACAAAATCTGACAGTAATCCATTAAAAAAACAAGATCCATTAATTCACCGAGTAGGCGAGCAAATACTAATGCACCCCAAAACTTTGTTTTCTAAATATGTGTAATTCAATTAAGTCAGTTTTATTCGCAATAATTGACTTAAATTTTAAAAAAAGAAGCATGACGAAAGTTCCGTATTCACAGTATGAAAACACAACAGATTTTCGTAATTGGCTAAATTTTTCGAAGACAGACAGTATTTAAAAATTCACGGTAAAAACAGACTACATTACGACAGCAACTGAGCTTAATACAATACACATTAGAAGAACAGAAGGAGACACCCTTTAAGTCTTTTTTGTATATCTACAAAGTATTTTTTGGTGTGAACCTATGAAAACATCGGATTTCCTTTCTTCCCATAAAAAAACCCGCTTGATTAGTGTGTTTTTGTATTTGGGAAACAAACATTTTAATCTGTTACTAAGATCACTTATTTTGCATAAATTGGTAATAATTCATAATTAAAGGGAGGTATGTAAATACTTTAAAGCACACAAGGGTTTTATACTGACAATTTATGGTTAGATGGTACATTCAGATAGAAAGAGAACATCGTTTCCGAGCAGGTAAGTAGGTTCTAATATGTGTATTAAGAGAAAGAGACATTGTACATATAAGCTTGATCTATTCATCACGAATCTGAAAAGAGAAAATATTTCAAGAGGGGCTATGTCGTGGCGAATTCCTCTTTGTTGGGGGTTAAAAATAGGTTGAAGTTAACACTAAGCTTTCTTAGTCACCTTTCCTGATACTGGGGATTCTATAAGAGATATATCAAGTGAATTTATCAAAGTGAAAACTAAGCACGATCATTTTTTGTAACTTTCAAGCATCAACCGTCACAAATCAAATTTGATGAACTGTCATCGTCCTTTTCCCTGTAACCTTGCGGAAAATACTTATCTTGTCCTGCTACGTGAAAACCTTATTACGCATTTTTTGACATCGGTACATCTAGTGCCATTTAGTAGCACGACACAGGAATAAAGAGCGTGAAATTTTGATACCCCAACAACAATCTTCTCTTAAATTTTTATCTATTCTCTTCAGGGGCTCTGCCTGAATAAAATGGTCTTAATAGAACTCGAACGACGTAACCCTAGCATGTCACGTACAGCCCATATCTGTCAGTAGAGACCTTAAGACTGGGGATCACTACGACATTCTTGCTACAATATGGTAGAGTGACGACGGCTATCGCGTTTTCCCGCCAAAATGGGGACTTTACGATCCGACGACGTGACGGCAACGAGAACGTCCAAAACAACAATAGATTTAGTAGGCAAAACAACAACTTTGCACGTGCATCTCACTTTTTTGTACATTTCTTTGTCGTTTTTTCACGACTACGACGAAAAATTGCCTAATTTTACTTTTTCTGGAGGACGTGAACAGACCACGACGAAATTTTATCCCAGTCTTTCTAAACTTGAATATGGTTCTTAGAAATTCAACTCCGGGAGGGTTCGCCTACATTTGACGAACTAAGTGAGTTGAAATAATCGCGATAAAGACCGAAAGAACGCAAATTCAGTTTTGAAGCGACGTTTTCGCTGCCTTCGCGTCGTCCTATCGTAAAGTCCCTAATGACGCCGATTCACACGCTCGCACTACTTGTCTCTAGTAGCTAATACATCAATATACTTTGCAATTACCAAAAGGAAGGAAACAGCGTCTGATAACGTGCCGTTTGCCTTGATGTTGTGTAACAAAATTCTAACACTGTATTTACATTATTGTCAGCTGTTATCGCTTGTTTTTGTAACGTTTTTGTTTGTTGTGGATAGTAACTAAGGAACAAAAGAATTATTACATGTTCAACGACAAAAACAGAAAAACAAAATAAACTGGGTGAAAACATCCCGCTAAAACCTGCCAGTGAAGACTAAAATTGACTTAATTAACAGGTTGAAAACACTGGTCAGTATTTATCCCTTTCAAATCTTCTTTTGTGTCCCACGGTAATCCCTGCCGTTTACAAATTGAAATCATTTTTTTGTAACTGAGAATGGAAGAAGGTTATGGAAAATATGTTTTGCGTCAAAAAAGCATCATGATTAATAGCATGTTGTGTACTTTCAAAGACCACACAGCCACTTTGGACAGCATCTCACCCAACTAAAAATTCTGAGTCAATTAATGCACAGAAACCGATTTGGCAATTGGATCGAAAAAAATATGTTTAACAAAGCATCGCTACAGCTGTGAACATCACAAAGCCCGGCTTTCATCATCGCCTTTTTAGAAAAGGAGGCCGCATTCTGGCACCCATCGAACAGGTATTGACAAGCACGAAAACATATCCGAAAAACCTGTAGAGAGTTTTCACATGACGTCACGTCGGCCATATTGGTGTCCCAAAACAATGAAACGACGGCATCGAGGCCACTCCTCAGGGGCACCCAGCGACGGAATGTTTCCAAATACGCCAGAAGTGTCTCAAATAGTTTTCTCCGTGCTTTAGAAGACTGTTTGGTTAATTTGGAGTTGCCCTAAAAACTATTTATCTGTTCGGATGTCCTAGGGGAACTTTGGTTATCACGAAAGTCTTAGGTGGCTTTTTCGTCTCACCCGAAAGTGTTAGATACCCTCGCTTATCTGTCCGGTCGAAAGTTTGAGGACATGAAGTAGCCTTGCTTTCATTAGAAAATTATAGGGGACGTTTTGTCTTTATACCAAAAATGTTAGGAGACCTTTTCAAACAATAATCCCATTATCTGGGTGTTAAAATGTGAATAACACAACCTCCGAAAATCATAATTAAGCTATTAGGAAACCTCCGAATATTTTAGACGAATGGAACGGTTATCCCGAAATGTTTAGCTTTTCTCAAGGTCAAGAAATTTCTAGGCAGTATTTTCTCCTTCGAACAGTTATTTTACAGAAAAAATCGCTGGGTGCCTCTGACTCCTGTAAAAGTTGAACTTTTCATATTTCCTTATGTTAATCACCGCACTTTGCTTTTTTGTTTGTTCCAATATATTTGCATAGATGCTGGTCACGTGAGTGAAAAGGCTCTATTGCAGCTCCCTTGCCTAAAGCGTGCAACAAGTTCACTGACACAGGTCATTGGTTTGGTTCCCGCCAACGGTTGTCTCATACTTTAATACATCAATTTTCTATGTTTCTCAAAAGTAATATGGAGGTTAAGCCATCTCCTGACCGCAAAATGATAGTACTTTTAACGTTTGATAACTTGTTTCCGTCACGACATTCTCGCTACAACCCGTAGTGGAATGACGACGGAGACAACGTTTTCCCGCCAAAATGACGCTGGTTCACATGCGCGCAATACTCAGTATTGTGAAAATTGCGTCCTCGTCTTAGAATCTAAAGGTCTCTAGTATCGTCTACTTACTGATGTAGCCTTGTAAGGACTTACTTTCCATCGAGAATAACCACATTATTGGCGCAGCCACACCACACGTTCTCATTCACAAGGGTTATACACGTGACCGGAGCACCACCGACACGGACATGAGAGCCTTCCGACGGTGCCTCTTGTCTGCTGGCATTCTGGGAAGAAAATGATATTAGAGGGGCCTAGATGAGGAGTTGTAATTTCAAATTTAAGTGTTTTATAAGTACTTTTATCCGTCATCTCAACGTCTTGTTGAGGGAAAGGAAATGTAAACCCCTTAGCGATTGATTATGAACGCTGATTAATAAATCTAAAGTGAGGTCCAGCGAGTCTGAGAACAGGAACGTTTTTCAGTAGCCTCACACGCAGCCATGTTAAGGAAGACCGGCGTGAAAGACTGAACTCACTGACCAATAGACCTTTTTACCGATACGGCGGCCATATTGAATTTAGTAGATTTAAGGAGTATTATGGGATGCCCTGGGGGTACTCTCTCAGATATTCACGCGCGTTTTTCGGGCAAAAAGAGAACTTCAATGTATATTTCTCGGCAAAAAGGCGATCATTATTACATCCAAACACGGCACAACGATCTTTTTTCCCATTACAATCTTTTTCTAGGAAACTTAAAGAAAAGCGCGCGTAAATACTGATGCGAGTATATCGGATCGTACTGATGCCCCCTGGGCATCCTGAATATTCCTTAAATCTAATTAACTCAATATTACTCCCGTATCGATAAAAAAGGCTATTAATTCTAAATTATGATACAGGCAAATCTTCTTAATGCGGATACCGCATAAAGGGACATAAAGGGAACGAGCTGGCCGGGCCAACACCCTACATTGCAAAGCAGGCGGTATTATAGAAGAAATAAATGAAGGATGGTGTCTTTGACACCAAACGAACTGCCCAAAATACAGAAAGCAATTATAAAATCGATAACTCGATTGCGATTACCTGGAGAACAGCAACAGACCCATCCGCTAAAGCAGCAAACACTTTTCCTTCCGGCATATGAGCGATGTCCACCACAGACTCATTAAGCTGCACGCACCACACTTCCGCACTGTTTTTAAACAAAAGAGGAAATCAACATAGAGAAAGGCCCTATCTCAGACAAGAAAAGATTACCTAGACTTATTCACCGGTCGAATCGATCTTTCTTCCATTAAGTCCTTCACTACTTGTTTGAAACTGTTGGTTTAAAATTCGTGTCGAAAAGGTGATTGTTTCTAGAAGAAACCATATGAGGTTCGAGGAAAGCCCTTTACCAACGGTTGTAACAATTGTTACCAAGTATGCGGCATCGTACCACCCTGTTACAAGTAATCATCCAGCTGATTTTTGCCATTTCCTAAAGGTTCTTTTACTTGGAGAAATTTAAGATGGTTAGATAATCGCACAACCTTTGGTCTTCACGACATTTTGTTTTTACATATTATGTGAGCCGAATACCTGTACCATGGCTCGGTAAGCAATTAAACTTCCCTCAGAGGGGTACAAATCTGTATTCTGTCAGAAAAGCGAACAAACGAATTAACAAAACAGAGCTTTCTCTGTTGTGTGTTGGAGTCGCCATCTTGGAAGGGTACAAAGGTATAAGTCCAGCTTCCTGCCTTTCCTTAGTCCAAAAAATGAGAAATAGCAACGTAAGGTCACCTGAGTTCAAGAAGGAACGCGTGTATGTACCACGATACAGTTCCTACCAAAATGGTGCCATCGTCTAGGATGTCGGCACACAAAACACGTGACTTCAGCTGTCGATAAAACAAAACCATGGTCAAACGATTTGTGGAACTTCACGTCCGTGGGAAGGAAACAATTTTGCCTGTTAAGTCAGTAGAGAAGCGAAGGAACACATGATAAAAGCCTGATTAAGTAAGCGTTTAAAAATGTAGAAGATGGCGGAGGTTCGGGTGAGTCGAGCATCCAGATTACATGTCAGTATGAGTACCTCTCACCAATCGGCCGCAGTTTCTCAAGGCGTTACTACCTCATTAACAAATGCTGACATAAGCCAGCAACGAAATTTTAAGAGCAAACCTCCAAGATTACCTTTCAATAGTTGAACTAGTGTTTGCGCACTCTCGTGTCAAATTCTCTTTTTTCTGTTGAAGGTGCTAATCAGGCCAACATACGTTCCCGTCTTGGGGGCGCCTTAAAGGGAGGGTTCCTTATTTTCAGAGCGAAATATTACGCTTTTTTTCCAGCTTGTATAGAAGTTATAAGCCTTTTTCAGTTAAACAGTTTTCTACATTTTCTACAAATGTAGAAGTAAGCATGCCCGAGCTCGAAATTGTGTGTCTCCAAGTATACCGCTAAGGGAATAAATGTCCTGTGGGAAGTATAGATCTTATAGATCCTGGAGTTGGGGACACATCTAGAAAGAGCCCATTTCTCTGCGGAACAAGCCTAAAACTGCTGCAAGTTTCTTAGCTTATGCGCTGTCGGGGGCCCTTGCCAGTATTTTTTAAAAGGGAATCTAATGGGCCCTAGTCTCCCTCGCAGCCGTTTTTTGGATGTCACGCACGGAGCGTTGCGTGACATCCAAAAAAGGCTGCGAGGGAGACTAAATGGGCCCTTACATCCACGTCAAGTGTCCTCATTTCCTTCTTGTTGATGTCAAGTTGATAAACTTTAGTGGTGTATCTACTACCACAGAACAAACACACAGGGCTTGACAGATCTAAAAGAAACAGGCAGAGGAAATTAGTTCAGATAGTATTTTTATTTACCACTTAAGATGTCAAGCAAATTTCTACAGCCAGTAAAGGACTACCACTAGTACTAATGTAAGATAAAAGTGTTTAAAAGGACGGCAGAGAACGAAAATAGATTCAATAATGAAAAATGCCGCAACAACGCCACAGCTGGAAGCGCGGGACGTCATGTAAACAATATCAAGCGCGGGAACACATCTAACGAGTGCGATGCGCGGGAAAATTATGTAAAGAGTGCCTAGGGTGGGAAAACACGCAGGGGTGCTGGTGTATAGAGCGGGAAAGGATACCGTCAAGTCATCGGGAGAAATTGTCGGCCATTGTGGCGGTTATATCGATAGAAATATCTATTTCATTTGTGTGTGATAAAGCTGTGGTAATCATTTTTCCATATCTTTGTTAATGGCTAGATAGTTAATGCTCAAAATTGGTAGGTATTGGCCCTAAAAAGATCCAATCGAGCCACCTTAAATTTCACCGAAAAAAAGAGCAAAATTTGTTAGGCAATATATTCCTGTGACCATAGCGAATAAGCTCCAAGAATAGCCGGAAAAAAAATATATTGCTATGAGGGGTCTGTTACCTTACATAAAGCAACTAACCCAATATTAACTACGAAAAAAATGTATTGAAGCCGGTCCATATCATGACAGATGACCGCGGTTAATCATTTTAGTATTTGCCTTTATTGCCTTGATAACCACCATCGAAGAAAACACAAGAAGGTTAATTTGTTTTCGACAGATGTTTCCTACGAGGGCTATAATTTTCGCTATTTTCGTAACTCGTTCAAAAGTGTCCCTTTTTGTTTGAAAACGGAGATCTTTTTCTCCGGCTAGGCCTACCGTCCGCAGGTATCCGGTGAAAACAGACCAAAACGGTCAATGAAAACGCATCTTTTCAAAACGATCTCCAGAGTGGAGATTTTGGAAAACGTCTTTTTGCTGTAAAATATCCGGATGCGTGTGGACAGGGTCTAAAACTATCAACAAGAACCTAAAACCAGGAGTTCTTTAAAAGGTAAAGTCATATTTCCTGAATATCAGCTTCAGGCCACTTGGAAACCAAAAAGATGGTACACTTTCATTGCTTAATGACAAAAAATTATTCAGAATCATCCTCCCAATATCTCGCTAATTTGGGAGGCACCTCGCAGCTGTAACAAGGCCTTTACGGAATTGGTTGGGAAAACAACAAACGAATAAAGTTAACAGCGGAAACCAGCCTAAAAACAAAAGAGCTGCGACATATAGGGGTCCACTGAGATTTGCACCAGTTTTAAAGAGTTGCGAGGTTACTGTAATTTGGCGCATATATCTTTCAAGCGGATTTTAAAGGCGGTTTACAGAGTCCTCCCTCTTGGTTTTAGATAGTCCGATTCGTTGTTCAAAGCGATGAAAGCACCTTTACCTCAGGTAGAGCTTGATTATAACAAAAACACTGATGAATCCGAATATAAAGCTAAAAATCCATGCGAAAACCCGAGGCTGGGACGCTCGCCGAATTACTAAACATAAACATTTCTCTGTTTTCCCTGAATTTTGAGATAACAATACATATTCAGCAAACGTCCCCAACCTTCTCAAACAGTGGGACAGATGTCTCATTCTGGAGAACTTCTAGAATGGGCATTGTGTTCAAAGAAGGTGAATTGAAAGCCACACCACGATCATTTACACAAGCTTGTTAAGTGTTTGTTGTCGCTATTGTTTGGTCTTGAATAACGCAGAGAACTAGAAAACAACGCCAGGCTGCTGGCATTCCCGGCACAGTTAAGACAACTCCTTGGCTACAAACAAGAAGCGTTTATGAAAGATTAAATCTATAAACTCGAAGCAACCTTTAAAGGTAAACTCATACGCTGTTTTCTACTGCTTTATAGATAGTCTTCATCAAGAAAACGAAAAGAAAAGTCGCATCAGAACAAGGACGTTTTCCTACTCACGGTAAGTAAAACAGCCCAATTAAATAGTCTTTGGCATATTCGTGCGGCTGATTGTAATGCTGAATAGGACTGTTGTTGACACCGTTTCGAAAACCTTTACTGCAGAAGTGGTGTTCACAGTCAAAGTTAATCGTAAATTGTCACTGATTTTAATACCTGAGCTTCAACTTCGCTATAAGAGTCACTTTTACTCTGCCGTTGACTGACAAACGCAAAAGCTCAAAGGTCAGCTTAGAAGTAGTTTAACTTCTGTGTTTTATTTTTGCCCAGAATCCTCTCTTACGTTTGTTTTAAATTACAATAGACCTTTGTCACGCGGCAGTCATTAAAAGCTTTGTTCATGCAAGGCTAGCCTCGTGCATAAACGAAGCTTTTTAAATCTACTGAGACAAAATGACCGCCGCGTAACAAAGGTCTATTTACCTGAAAAAACTATATCGATTATCTCAAGAGACAGCAGACATGCCCCTACCTTGACTGGTTGCTAGCGCGCATTCCAGTATTTCGTGTTGATCCGGTTTGTCAAGTTTTTCCTGATTGGGAATCTCCACAGTAAACGAACTCACGCGGGAACGCTACGTAAGGAAACAAGGTCAAAATTAATTGCTAGACGAAAGGATAGCTCTGTCTTTCTACTTTTGGCCACACTGAAAAGCAAAATTTACAGCTGAAGATTCCTTTAAATTAATCATGCGCTCATTCTTAACATAATCCTTTAGAGGCGGCACCAAAATTCGCCAAAGGATGTGAATTGGTTAGACAATTACTTGGTCGCCTGGAAAAAAGCAGCTGAAAAAGGAGCAGCTGTTTTGTCAGATTATGGAGAAAAAATGGAATACCCAACCATTTTCAAAGCGGTCTATGTGCAAATTCGTCTTTTGACTTAGTGGGTTTAGAAGAGAGGGGTTTGAGGGCACGGTCAAATTATCTTGTTTGGTAGCCTAGAGATTGCAGATACAGAAGTTAGACCACTTTGAATCAATTCATCTTATTTGTGAAATATTCTGTTTTCTAAAATTTGCTCTTTGTTCACAATGAATTCAAATGTAAAGAATAATTGATATTTAAGAGGGTTTTCAGAGACAGTTTATTACGTTCTGGGAGTAATTAGAAACCTCTAGCTGTTATTGGTCTGTTATATAACTAAAGTGTCAGGCTATTTCATAATATAAAGCTGTTTGGGTACAAATTGATATGACTTATTTTAGACGCTGGTTATCGTATGGTTCCCGTTTTTCCTCATTAATTGTCACTCAACTTAAAAGCGATTCAGTTTATTAGTATATGAATGAGAAAAAATTATACGCTTTTCATTTCTCCGTAATAAAAAGGCTTCCGAAAATTTAGAATTAATCTTCTCAAACTCATTAATAATTCATAAAGAAAATACAAAGAAAATTAATGTTTAATGAGTATTTGGAAATCGGAAAAACTGCTCAGTATTTGCATCCTTAATTTCTCCTCCAAAAATGATTTTGTTTGAGAAGAAATATCAAACATTCGACACAGTGTTTCATCACCAGATGAAACACCTCGAAGTTCGTCAAAAATACTCCGCTGCGCGTCGTATTTTCAACTCTCTTCTCGGTGTTTCATCTGGTGATGAAACACTGCGTCTCATGTTTGATATATTACCTGAACAATGACTCGTTGATCTTGACAGTACAGTTGCGAAAACTCAGATTTTTAATTTCTAAAACTTGAAAATCGCCATTGTTTAAAATGGCCTCGTCGATAAATTGAAAGTAATTAATTTTGACAATAAATACTACAAGACCACCCAAGCAAACAATTTCTTGGCATACTAAAATTAGTAGCACCCAAGACGTTTCACTGAGTCGTTTCAGATCAATACACTCCATGGTACGTATCTAAAGGCGGTTTTTTGTCGACACAATTTCCTTCCTATTGATAAATTTAGGGGCAGTTCCAGTTCATTCCACTTTTAGAAGTTACCCTGACTTTTTCATCTCACATAATCAATCTCACACAAACAAAGCCGCAACACTATAACTCTGAAACAAAGCTAATCTTATCTCAACATGGGTCCTTCTAGCCTAAGAAGCAGCTCTTGAGTGCTTGTTTGTCAAATATTGATTGTGAAGAAAGGTAAAAAGGCTAACATTTTAGGTTGACGAAACCGTTATGCTGGAAAAACCATAACTAATCTTGAAGAGTAGCACTAGTTTCACTGAAATGTGAATAGCTTGCGAATACAGCTGCCTCTCGTCACTACTGAAATAGATCCACGGCAGTTTTTGCAGACCAACAAATGCATTCGCGGTAAAACTGTAGTCGGTAAGTTCTGCTCACATTCTCAGCTCACAGGGCGCCAGATCGAACAACCTCAAGACATTTTCCCTAAATTGTCAAAAACAAGTTTAACATACCATAAGTTCGTCCAGCGTGTATGTCTTTTCGTCTCGTCTTGATTTGAAATTCATCATATGGTTTGCTTGCTTTTCATCCAACATCGCTGTTGTGGGAAAGGCTTTCAACTCGTCGTACGAAGACTGAGAAGGAAATCAAACAGAAATACGTTCGGTTATGAAAACCAGAAAACTCGCGAGTTAAAGCTATTTCACTTACCGTGAACCCAACGTCAGTCCCATAGCAAGTATTTTGCCTTTTAAGACGCAAGATCAAAGCCGTTGGGGCATACGCACCCCCACCCTCCAACCAGAAAAATTTTAAAATCTAGAGGCCATAAAACGCTATTTTCATCATTTTTCGAAAGGTATTTCGTCAGAAAAAATGCGTCGTTCAACAAGGGATTATTATCTCAACTAAAGGGGTTCCAATAATGATGATCATGACGATAATAATAATATTAATAACGATAACATCAACAACAAAGATTGGACTAATTCTGGACGAGGGAAGTGCCTCTTGTTAGCTATTGCTTTGAACGCACAAAGTCCCCGTTAACATGGAACGGGAAGGGGGGGGGAAGGTTTACCCTAGCCTTAAATACCTAGGGAGAACACTGAAAATCATTTAATTAACAAACTGACCTTAATGAGCTGATCTTTGTCATAAGTGACTCTTGTCGCCCTCTTCATGTACTGCATAATATCCAGTGGGCACGATAACTGCAGCAATGCGGGTTGTTGAACTTTTAGTAAACCCACTGCGACGCGAAAAAGTGCCTGGTTAAAAAGAACACGGGAGGGGTGAGAAAGAAGAAGTGTGTGCCAAACATGGAACAAAGCAGGTTTTTGAAAAGCAACCTCCGACGCGAAAAACATAGAGGTTTCATTAAATCTCCTGTACAAGAAATATATTAAACTAAAATAAAAAAAACGGTTGAATGAAATAAAATAAAATAACCTCACTTACCTCCCTTCCCTCAAAGACAAAACAATCCCAAATCCGCAGAGCAGTCTAAAGATACATTTATGTTATTAGAAAGTTATAAGATAGATCAACTCTAGTTTTATCTGCATTAAAAACTGCATTACTAACCACTTACATGGAAAAACTGGAAATTCTGGGTGGAAAATCAAACGGTTCGTGCCATTTTGTTTGGTAAGCTTCAGAAAACATTCTTCGACTCCTTTTAATCTCTCCAGCTAATCTCGATATACTTTATAGCAGATCCTTCTTCCAGAACTTCAAATTTAATAGTTAAATACTTAAGCAAAAGATTTTCAACCAGATGGTTTGTGTAAAAGATAAGCACCCCTTTACTCCGCGCATACCTACGCTATATAAACGGATCCAGGCTACAATAATGTCCGAGTAACAGAGGTATCCACTGAACAAAAGTGTGTCTGCTCATATATGGAGTCCGTTTCAATGCAAGAGGTGGTCGGTAAGGACAATCTAATCATTTTGATTAGTATTGTAAATGACAAAGTGACAGGTTCGTGCCAAACAAATAAGTATCCTGAACGTTATACTTAAAAATACCAGCACCAGAGATGAACTTTGAAAAACAGTTAGGCTAAGCAGTTTTAAAAACCCCAATTGCAAAACCGTTTAAATCTTCTTCCTTGTTATTAGCCACCGCCTCTTTAAACCTTTCTTCCATCCAACAAGTTGATGATTGGACGCTCTTAAAAATAACTGAGAAAATTATCCAAAGAAGTGTTTTTTAACAAAAGAAAAAGAAACCCGGGTTAAGCGCTGATCGGCCTTCGAACAACTGCGCCCTGTAGAACATCTATTGCGCCAGTAAAACAAAAAGTTCTTTTTACACGCCCGAAGCACTCTGGCCAGTGTCTCCTCAAATAACCAGCACTCGAGACGAACCATACGATATCACGCTTTTCACTAGCCTTCAAAACCTTTTCATTATGATACACAGTTTAAATCCAGGTTTCGCTGTACGCAACCCTTACGTTCAAAACATGCCATAATCATGCAAGAACCATCCACCCTTTCCCCTCCACTGCTATCTGTACGCCTAGCAAACATATCGAACGCACTTTCCTAAGCTCCGATTACTACTAGTTTAGCTGTTATTTGTGACTTGATTAATTAGGTTGCCCGTTTCCATCACAAAAACTGAATTTGACCTGATTTCGCGACAAAGCCTTTGTAATACTTTTACAGGTTTTACTGCAATTCTTACACAACTACCAAGAGATGCGGAGAAAAAGAGAAATTTCTCTTTTCGATCCGCTTTCGTTTTTTGTTAGTTAGTGGGTGCAATGAATACCCTGCGCGCAGTGGTTTGCTTTTCAATTGAGCATGCGCGTCACGTACGCCTACTTCAAAACGTCAAATGACATCACTTCTTGTTTCGCAGGAATATTACGGACTTTAAGATCCAACGACTAGGAAAATGACTAGTTTCGCGTTTTATGGAGAACGTAAACAAGCAACGACGAAATATTATTTCTCTTGTTAAGGTTTGCCTACATTTGACAACGTAATTGGGTAAGAATAATCGCTATAAAGACTGGAAGAGGGAAAAGCTCAAATTCACGGCCGTCCATAGCGCTGAACGGCAGCTCTATCAAAGAAGCAAACGGTCGCTCGTAGCGGTTTCTCTCCCTTCGTAGCGTGGCGCCCGGCCGGGAGAAACCACTGTTCGCAGGGTGTACGATGGAAGACTGCTGGTTTCTGACCAGTCAGAGCATCCGTCATTTTATACGGAAATAAGAATAAAATTAATCCCTTGGATCCCCGGGCAATTTAACTCTAATATAATTTAATGAACACTGTTAATTGAACGTTTCATTTCACCTCTAACCTCAAAGGGCACAGCATCAATAAAGATTGTAACGAACCAGTTGAACGTAACCGTGGTGATGTCCACTGCATAGTACTTGAGGTGTTCGTGCAAAACTGGTAACAATTCGCGAACAAGATCATTCAACACAGACTGGAACGAAACAGTAAGTTATCTTACTTTATGATTCCACAGTTAAAAATTTAAAAACATTAAACACTTAATGAATTGTCCTAAACGGAAGCAGTTAACTTCCTTTAACGTGATTCTCAAAATATTCTGGATTCTTCAGGGACTAGTGTTTAAGGGATTTGATATTTGGGCCACAGAGAAAAACTTCTACTTGTATAATTTCATTTCACGCTACTCTCTGACGTTATAGATTTTGCGATACCGCCCGCTTAGAGACTTGGCAGGAAGCAGTTTTACTCAGTGTTTGATGTCATGTTACCTCAAAGCAACCAATAAGTGTGCGTGCTGTTGATGAAATAATAAACAATTATTGGATGAGGTTGAGCATGATATCATGAATTATCAAAACCGCGGTCTATGTTATCTGCCGAAGCCGAAGGCTGAGGCAGATAATACAGACACGAGGTTTTGATAATTCATGATATCATGCAAAACCGAATTCAATAATTGTTTTATTATACATTTTTTAAAAAGAAAAAGAAGCGAAGCGTTCAGCCATTCTGTTTCTGAGGAGAACACTCCAAGAGGCTTGGTAACCAGGCAGACGTTGAATTTGACATGATAAATGCAATATCTGCAGCAGATATTGCATTTATCATGTCAAGTTCACAAGCTATTGTGAATTGATTGAATGCTCTCGACCAATCAGATTTTTCATAGTGAGTCTGATGTATAATAATTCCAGTTATATAATACAAATTCACAACAGTACAAGTTGTTAGAGTGATTTTACTTGACCCGTGAAACAGATAAATAACAACTAGTGTAAAATAGCTACAAGGTTCTACAAGCAAACAAACGAAGACAATGGAATTTTCACATATAAGTACATAGTATTCTTCTACCTATTTCAAGGGTAAAAAAAGTAAAAAGTAAAAGTAAAATCACTCTAGAACTTTCTGGGGTCTCTTTCCGATCTGAGCTAAAAAACAAAAACAGCATTAGAATTAACATGCCTACTTATGAAGCAAAAACTGAAGGAAATTTTTTTCCGAATTGCCTCTGCCACTGAGTGAAAAAAAAAAAAAAAATCTTGAAAATTAACGCGAAGAAAATGCGATCTCCTTGAAATGCCAACAGCTGCAGTAATAAGCTTTTTACGACTTGTCAGTATAAGGCAAAAGTAAATGAAAACTGCAAGAGAGTGATACCAGAAAATAATTCTGTCTTACTTGATCAGCTAAGGCTCCGCTCAAAGAACGATCGAAATAATCCTTAAGATAAACTTCAGAGACGGCAACCAACGACCTGTAAACCAAACAAAAATTCGCGGTGATTTTGTGAGTTGCTTGAAGAACAAAAAAAGGAGGAATGAATTTAAAGAAGGATTACCAGAATGCATCTTCTTCATCCATAAACAAGAGACACATGGCTACGATAAAATTCATACCCTGAAAACGAAAAAAAAATTATTAGATGGCCAAAAAGAGAACTTTGCCTTGCGGGACCAACGTGGGCAATTCCGAGCGGGCATGATGGGCCAAGAGGTTTCCTCGCACCTTAGGGGTTACAGTTAACGACCAGTGTAAAGGAGGTCATTGGTTCGTTGTCAAAACTAATTATTAATTAAGTCATTTAACTTCTGGAGAATGATTTATCTGGGGTCTTTTGACCCCCTGATACGGATTACCTCATACCCAAGCGAACCTAGTGTACGTTTTAAATTCAGGACGCAAGCATTTTGGGACCCGCAGGATATCACCCCAATTACAAATGGCAGACATAACGACACGCATGTCTGATTCAGGATACATTAATGTTTTGAAAATATGAATACGTTAATAATATGAAGGAAATAAAAAAAGATAAGAAACAAAGTTTCGTGGCTCAAGGATATTTCCAGCGCTAAAATGTTTCAAGTCATATTTTTTCCAAACCAAAGATTCCGGGGAGGCATTCAGGAAGTTGTTTGCTAATGTTTGACAAAAATAGCGCAATGATGAAACATTTGTTCGGTTGCCACGCGAAATAATTGTACTTGCTTGAATACATATTGCTTTTGTGAATAATATTAGCAGACAGCAATTAATGTCACAATAGGGGAACATAGATAAATAGCCATGTCTTTATACCTGTAAGTAGTTTATGTCGGGTCGATGAACGCAAAACGCACGGAGAATTCTTGACAGCTTTTTGACCTGGAAAAGTTAGCATAAAAGGTACAAGATCTTAAAGAAGTTTGAAATTGTAAACCAACTGATCTACAACTGATCTACGCAATTGATTTGCTTGCTTTCTATTGATTGTCAGTGAGGTAAGTTCTCTGGTGAGTTATTTTACTCGAAATGGGGTAGTGTATCGGTCTGTTAATGTGGGTCACCAATGGTTTAGAACACTTCAAGAAAAACAATTATAATCAGTATAATAAGCACACAAAAACAGAGAATCGAAGATCCGGAGAATGTGTTCCACTATTCTCTCCTCAACTACGATTGGTTTACGACTTTGCTCGCGTCGATAATCGAGAATGTAAGGTAAAGGGTGTATTAAAAGAAGTAAAAGTGTCAACAACCGACTCAAAGCACTATCAGGGTACCTTTTAAAGATCTTAGATCACTTGAATTTACAAGCTATGAAAATTTGTTTAGATTTATCGGTATATAATTTTCGGGAAATCTTTGAAAACGGAAATTTAAATGAAATAGCCCAATTAATAGGCTGATACTTCAATACTCATCAGTCTCAAAACGACTGGCTTGCTGCAAAGCAAAATCCTAAAACAGAAGAGCTATCCAGAATGATCATAAACAAATTATGATACCACTGTTACCCAAAACAAGGCACCGAAAAATAAACATATCTTATTGTGTGGGCAACAACGTCTTGAGAAATTGACTTGAATTCTGTTTGTTGCTTGCTCACTTTTATCATTTAAAAATTAACTAAAATATTTTCAACGACAGTTGACACTATCTTGAGTCCGGCGTTTCATTTCGTCAAAATTAACTGAAAAAACGCAAATAGACAAAGAAATAAAGAAAACGCTATCTTTAAACACAAATGGAAATAATATGCGGTGTACGTGTAAATCAAGACTTTCTCTCATAAAGAAGAACTGGGAAAAAATGGGAAAATAGAGGCAAAACATTTACGTAACACTAAACAGAAATTAGCAAAACAATTCAGTTTTGATAAGATAAATTCATACCAGCATCGGAAAATACATTCAAACCATCCTCTGCTAACATCGACAGAGAGACATGCTAAAACTTTATGTCATGAAAATTTAATAGTTTAGATTACGCTTCACGCATAGAAATCTTCTCTTATCACGTAATTCTCTCAACTCCGTGCTGACGAATAAAGTTCAATTCTGACCTTCACTCTGCTGGAGATCTTATAATTGTCGCTTGAAAGCTCATTTGAGCACTTTGAAAGATTTTCAACAAAAAGCTTTAATTTTAGTCGGATTCAGAATGCTTTTCTTATATAGTGTGTGGGGTGTTCAAGAAAATCGCTCGCTAAGCGTGAAGGTACTGTACAGTACCGCAAATGATCCCCAACCGCAAATGATCCCGAGACCGCAAATGATCCCCAAAATGGACCGCAAATGATCCTCGACCACAAATGATCCCCAAAGTCGACCGCAAATGATCCCGAAAGAAAAATGGGAATGACTTGGACTCAAGTTAGCGGATCATCATGTCGATTTTATTATTATTACAATAAGTCAGGTTAAAAGCTAAATTTTACTTCTCAAATAAATATATGAATAAAAACTAAATGAAAAAAATCATTCAAGAGTAAAAACGAAGTCGGTAGGCAACACACGACTTTTACCTCATCCTAAAATGCTGCTTGTTCCAATGACTTTTCTCCGGCTCTGGCGGGTAGATTATACCTCTGAGGAAAACGTTTTGACTGAGCAAATATGATTTTTGCCGCTTGTTTCATACCGAGAGGTCATGACACGCATTTTCTGCGGTTATTGTTGTTTCTGGTCGGCATGATTTGCCCTTTGATGCAAGAGCATTTCCTTTGACCTCTTTTGAAATGCAGTGCTCTTCATCGCCGCTAAATAAGGGTTTTAGGTTGTTTAATTTTCTCCTAAGTGCCTCCTGGATCCAAATAATCATAAGCGATTTTGTTTTAGTCCGTGAATGTGACGGTTTCTTACGATGTTTTGTCACGCGATAACTACTGCTTACCTGGCTTTGCGTTTCTCATGATCATTACCAGGTTTAGATTCCTGGTAACTGTCTTCAGCAAAGCACAACAAATGAATATACATAAAAACGCTAATATAACTATTCACAACACGTTCATGAGATGTAAGAAAGTTGCATGCCATTTCGAAATAAACCGCAACCTGAAAACATTGATAAATTCGGGGACATTTTGACTTGTGTTTATGTTAAATCATGTCTTGTTTCGTAACGGGCACCTAAGTTAGGAACAAATGTCTTGCGGTTTATCACGTAAAATTAACACTTCAGAAAAAATAAAAATGAAATATTCTGGCTGATTAATTTCATGCTTTCAAAAAGATCAGTAAAGTCAATAAAGCTCTTGTTAGGTGGAGGGTGCCCGGCTTTGTATTCCTCAGTAGAAAAGTTGAGCTTCTAGGCGTTAAAATAATTTTTCTGCGTAACGTCCTGCCTGTCTTAAATTTTTCAAAAGACGAAACCAGTTCTTGAAAGAAAATTGAAGCAATCGACAAAGGAAGAAGTATACGGTTAATACCACACCTTTTCAGATTTATTCCATTTTTTTTTTCGCCTTGTATAAACTGACCTGAGATGTAGCGTCCTCCTTCCCTTTTTCTTTAAAAGGCGAGAGAAAAAGGTTTCTTTTTTATAATCAGTCCTTTTTTGTAATCAGTCCCATAAAATCCATTCCATTCCTCAAGTTTTCACGGGATCATTTGCGGTCGACTTTAGGGATCACTTGCGGTCGAGGATCATTTGCGGTCCATTTTGGGGATCATTTGCGGTCTCGGGATCATTTGCGGTCGGGGATCATTTGCGGTACTGTACAGTACCAACAGTCTCATTGTCAGTTTCACATCCTCATCTTTTAACTTCTTTTAATTATTTTTCAACTAAACTCTTACTAACACGCCTAACTCCTGACTCACTAACAAGCCAAATCTCTTACTAAAACGCCTAACTTCTGACTCACTAACGAGCCAAATGGCAGCAGTTTTAAAGCCAAACCTGCTAATGTTTGGGTCAGCTCACCGCGAGAACAAAAACAAGGTAAAGGCGATGTGGGTAATTTTTTGGTATAACTAAAAGTACTCGGCTGCGTTCGGCAAGGAGCTGTAAACCAATATAAAACTAAAACGCTGGTTTTTTCCGAAAATTGACGTTGCGTGCACCTGAAATATCTCCGTCAATCAGGGGCACCCAACGTCAATTTTCGGAAAATATCTGTTCGGAAGACGATTTAAGATCTAGAATTTTCGGAACATTTGTTGTAAAATTTCTTGCTTGCCTGCCTCTCCTAGGATTTTCGAACATCTACAAAACCATATAATTGCCCATTTTTAACGGATTTTTTATCCTAAAAAGATCACCTAGAAATTTCGGGAGCCTTTTATCTGGCTGAAATTTTCGAAAAGGTAAGTTTTGATCCCTATAATTTTCGGATCACTTGACTTTCAGCTAGCCTAGGAAATCCGAAGAGATGAAAAATATTTAGGGGATAAAAATAAGCCTATATCTACCTTATAAATACTAAAATACGTTTACCAATGCTATGTTTAAGTGGTTTTGAACTATATTCTCGTTGGGTGTCCCCGGTCAATGTGATTCCACTCACGTATAATGAAATGCTAACGATTCTTTAATAGAGAATTAAGTTAACTTTTTCATTACAAGCAATGGTCGAGCAACTTAAATTTGCGATGTCACTGTCACGTGCGATTCAGAGCACTCAGCTTGAAATTTTTAAAACGTAGAAACGTCTTATTCGTGATTTACCGGCAAATAAACGCACTTGATGGCCGTAAATTAAACTCGAAATTCTGCAGCCATTTACGCCTCGAACGGTAAATATATAAAATAATGCTTCAGCTATAAGGAAAGGAGTCCTACGCGCTCGGTCCTTGTAACCGTCGCGTTTGCCCTTAACAATTTTCCATTTTTTTAAGCTTAAAAGCAGTAAAAAAAATCCAGCAGACAAATGCCGCGGCTACAAACAAATGCGGCGAATAATCCACCTTAAGACGGCCGAGGAAGGAAGGCATTATTCCCTTTCATGCACCTTATCATTGTTTTAGAACCAGTAGGTCATGAATGCAGTCACCTGCTCCTGTTTCAATAATGACCTGCTCTTCCGTTTAATAAGAAAGAATAATAACCTGTTCAAAACAATGGAAACTTGTTTTTCTTTCTTTTTTGCCTTTCATCACCAATTTCAATTAAATTCTGCCTAATATAACACATATAATAAAAAATTGGTAAGCAATAAAAACAAAGATAAAATCGCACGAAGTTGGGGAGTAGTCATGACGCCTGTACAGGTTTAATATAATTAGACAGCACGGTAAGCAATAGTTCGCTAACATTAACATGAATAATTATGAAACATCACGTACATAGTTTGGCTCGAAGTGAGTAGAGTTAATTATCTCATGAACATCATTTCGTGCACTAAAAAATATGCACTTACTCCTTCCCCATGAGGGAAAAATTGCTTGTCACTGTGTTTTGGAATAATGCAACGATTTTTACCACAGCACTTGCTAAAACCCAGCGGTTCTTATGCTTTTCCGCGCGCTGGCTCAGTCAATTACAAGCCAACCCTCTCTCCCCGCGTTAATTTTTTCATCTGAAAGCCGCAAATAACCCACGATACCTATAAAACCCCGCAATCTGGCTTCAAAAATGTAAACAAATGTCCTCGGAGACAAAGGAATAAATATTCTTGTTACTTGACATCACCTTATCTTTGCTAAATATGCCTAATATTTTTATTATTAATACCCGAAGTTTTGAGCTCTTTAGCGATCAAAGTGATCGTTACGTCTAGTCTACAGTTCCACCAAAAGGCTGGTCTCCATAGTGACCACTAGGAGCGCTACGACCGCTTTCGAAATCGTTTCTAACGCTGAAATTTTTTCAGAAATCAAAGCGATCGTATGGGAAACAGCCTTGACATTAAAACCTACCCCATCTGATTCCGGAGACCGAAACCTTTCATTATTCGGCATGGTGCGAAGTAGATCACACTTGATCTGGTTATCCGTCACATTGAGAGGGTTTTCAGCAAGACCCTTATAGAAGCAACAGAAAAAGATTTTTAGTAATACATGTCTAAGAATATAGGTTAAAAGGGCTTTACAAGTATCTAGAAATATAGGTCAGATTCGTGACCTCGTAGCCCGCGAGTGCAGACTTATTTCCGGTCGTCGTTTCTTTCCACCCGAATCTCACAGTAAATTAGTAACTGTTGCAAATGCGCCCAATTACACCAAAGAGTTTTGAGGTCCGACATTTCTGTACTGTGCCAAGGACACCCACTTTAATGTTATTGGAAGTTGATGGCTGAAGGCTGCAGTTCTTTGGACTTAAACTCAAAAGAGCCATTTATACGAGGGAAATTAAGGCGGGTCTAACGTAAGACGCATCCTTAAAAAGACGCAAACTGTCGAGTATAAAAGGAATATTTCGTCTAAAGTAAGACGCCACTTAGTTAAGACGCTTCTTTATCTATGAACAGGTGTTAGGGGCTGTTTTTAGATAAGACGCGTAAAGTAAAGTTAAGTTGTACATCTGTCCTCTTTCAGCACAAAAAGTGACATCACAGGCGATGCAAGGGTCGCATCGATTGAAAAAAAAAAACAGCATACCTTGCGCCTCTCCACTTGAAGAAGTAGTTTTTGGTAATAATCTCTACCCTGAAATAACGCAAAGAATTGAATTCAAATAAATGCCTACTCTTCATGCACACCCAAACCATGTTGAAACCGACCTAATACAGCGCATGATGGTGAATAAAAGAAAGTAAAAACATGAATAATTATTCACTTTAAAAATTTCTCCTCTTCTTTTAGGCTTATAAATGCTCTGGCTCGTTTTTTTTATAACAAGCTTGCTTTGACCAAACTGGAAAACGTTTACTGTTAATTTACGATTGACGTCAACTTTAAAATCGACTGAAAAGGAGACGCACAGACGTCAAGCTAAAAAGCGGCGCTCGGAGGAGGGTGATCCACACATGCCAATTTGTATTTAATAATTCTTCATATCATACTAAGCCACCATCCAATAATTGCTTAATATTAACCATGCACCAGTAATTGCAATTGTCGGATAATACAGACAAATCACAGTAACCACATCGTCAAGATTTTCATGGATATAATTCCAGATCTAAGTTTAACATACGTAAAACTGATGCTAAGCGCAAATGGGACCATTGGACATCAATTAATTTTGCTAATAATGATTGGAATGATTTGAATCATGATACACGAGAAGATGGGAATATTGCAACCTTTAAGAAGCTTATAAAAGGGAAGGGGGCTAGCTTATAGTAACTTATATTTAGTAGTTTTAGCATCACTTTGGCCTGTTAATAATATATTCTCGAATTGCATTGTGGGATTGAAGGAGGATATTTAGTTTTTAGTACTTTATAGTTGTTTATTTACTTTTTTTAAAATTCATATTTATTTATTTATTTATTTCGTTTTATCAGGAACCTAAAACACTTAAGTGAAGTAGGCTTCTAAATAAAGTTTGATTTATTATTTATTATAATTAACTCTCTTGTTACCTTTTCCCTTCTGAAATGCTCCACCTTTTGCATCATGGCACTGAAATAAGAAGCATTATCGGGGTCAACTACGCTTTGCCATTATGGTATTACACAAGGCCAATTCTATCCTAGCTCGTGTCCGTGCCAAAAAAGCATGCATAAGTTATACACTCAAAACTAATACTTTGCTAGAGAGGTAAGCGAACTATGAAGTTATGAACATAAACGTCACGGAAGAATGAATATATGAAGATCATATGTTAACACTGTGGGATGCAGAATTAAATGTGGAGGAGATCATTGCAGCTATGGACGCAACTGTGGCAGCTGCGAAAAGGAAGCCTGAAAAAAAATTCAGGTGCTGATCATTCACTCAGTATTAACCGACTAAATGACCAGCTCCCAGTTATCTTGTTAGCTCCTTTGGTAGAGTACTGAACCCTATCGCAGAGGTCAAAGGTTCGAATCCCGAACAAGCCTGGATTTTTTCAGGAGTTGTTTTCCCAACTGCAAAAGTTGTCCATATCATTGATGAATGTTATAAACACGGAAACACTCCTATTTCAGTTTCACCTTTTCCACACTTCTCTTCTGCATGGTCTTGGTATCCCCTCCCTCAAAAGCGCTTTCATCTCTTGCTGTCCGAAAAAATAAATTAATAAAATCAAAAGATAATAAAAAGTTAGTCGATTACCCGCAGCTCTCACACTGTACCTGAATGTGCATCAACAACATCATAAAAGAACATCTCAGTCAAACGATCTTTTTAAGTCAAAAATACCGTTTGTCCATATTTTTTAATTTTCCGCTGACTCGTTTGCGGGACTCTTGCAGTACCCGTACTCCTATTTCGCGCCAATATCGACCGACAAAAAAGTGACCACAAAAACAATAACAATGATAATTCGCTATTTTCGAATACCCTATAGTACACTCTGTGTGCCCACCAAATTTTGCATAAACCATTGTTTCTGGGACGACAACATCTCTCCATGAGTATTTGAAAACAATAACTTAAGCAAAATTTCGGCGAGGAAGAGGCAAATAGTCAATATGGGGGATTTGAAAATCAATGACATTGATCAAGTCAGATCATAATAGGACTATTATAATAATACAATTTCTAAAAAAAGATTCCTTATTGATACAACAGGTATAAAGTTTACTTCTATACAGACACCTGCAGCTTTCTTTTGTACCTACCTAGATCACAGAATTCTTTAGGGCCGGTTTACATGGAGGCGGGGAACCCCAGGTAGGTGAGGTGTCTCACTTAGGTGGGGTAACCCGCCTGTCCGTATGATCTCTCATTTTAATTTGATCACGTTTATATGATAAGTGTGATGACCATATAAACGATTATATGTACAGGCGGGTTACCCCACCTAAGCGGGTTACCTCACCAACCTGGGGTCCCCCACCTCCATGTAAACAGGCCGTTAGAGGTAGGGGTCAAACGACTGGCGTTAAATAATAGAAATCAATGTCGCGGAAAGGATTCACTAAATTAATAACGCGGAAACTAATATTCATACAAAACGTTTTCCATCGAACTGCCAGTTTCTTTAAGGAAGGCTGCCTACATCAATGCCTTCAACAGTCATCTAACAAAACTAAAACCCATCTCTTTAAAGAAGCGTGCCTTTAAAAGTGGTTTTACCTTATTTCATGTAAATATATATATTTAATTGAAATTTTAGAATTTTCGCGATGATATGTAGTTAGCTATTCTTATAGAATTGATTAAAAATTAATTCTGTTCATTTAGTAGCATGATTTGCATAGCGTTATGGGCTGTTAGCGAAGTAACGCTCCATAGATAATCTTACTATCATTTATTCAATTAACGCCAACTTTAAAAATTAAGCCAACCAAACACCCAAGTGGGATGAAACTAGAAACAAATATTAGTTGTAACAAAGAAATGCTCGGAAAAAATCCGCGCCGCAAGCGGAAATCGAACCCACGACCTTAAAACTTTGATAATTTTTCATGTTAATTTTGTGAAGGGTTAAGCTTTCTTAATATGGTTTATTTCATTTGCATTAACTGATGCACAGGCGTATTCAATAAACGTCACTTGCCTCTTTGAAGAATACGTTTTTCGAGTCCTGTTGCTTGGCTTTGATGTACTCCGACCAGAGACGAGCATGACCATCTCTGTTCTAAAAACAAACCAAAAAAAGTACACGGGTAAGGGTGTCTTGCCTTTACTTTCTATAATATCATTTTTTAATTTTTTTTTTGTTACTTTCTTTCAAGCGGGTCCTTACAGAGAAAACCATCAAGCACCATCACGATCTTTTAACGACGTCTTTTAAATTTTTAACTCGGGATTAAACTCAACATATTCATAGAAACCTTCGAATTCGGTTCAAGTCGATTATCCATCTTTAAAATAAGAATACAACGTGAAAAATAAGTTATATTAGTACTGTTCTCTCACGATCTTAGGTTGGCCTTATAATCAACTATTCCTGGATAGAAAGAGTGTTACCTGGAAAAAACTTGAATAATGCTGCTTCAACTCGCGGCAAAGAAAGTGAAACAGCTCGCTTTCACTTTCTCTGGATCCAATGATAAAGCCATAGCTGTCTTTGAAAATAAAAGAGGCTGAGCTGCAAAAAAAAAAAATTATATAAAAAAAAAAATTATTAACGCTACGCATTAATAGCCTGCGATCAAGGCTTTTTTTTAGATCTACTGTTGGGTTCGATGTATGCCAGGCTTGCCAGGCGGGTTTTTTACTTTCGGACATGCGCATACGACGCTGTCTTTGAGGGCCACCGAGGTAACCCTTCAGTTTTTAACGGTTTCTTTGGAATTTGTTGTTTGTTTTATCCCTTTTTTATCTCGTCTATGGCTGTTCTATGGGAGGTAAATTTCAGAGCTCGGAACGAAAGACGCAGAATCTATGTTACCCTTGGTACTGGACCTTTTTAATGTTGAAGTACGTGCTTTCTTGAGTACTGGCATTACAACTGGGAGATTTGTGAGGTAACTCTAACTTTTGAGTTTGTGGACGAAATCCTATGATGTGACCATTCAAATGAAAGCCCTCTACCTGTACTTTCACATGATGCTATTTGTTTGTCAAAATTTTGGAAAATGAAATTTAGAAATTTGGTCGAAATTTGCCTTTGGCCACATTTGGCAGTGAAAGGGTTAACTCGCTCGGAGAATAGCCTAAAAATTATAATGCTATAATAAAATACAGACAGAGCTTTACGTCTAGTTTTATAGACTTCTCCTACTAAGGCCAATTATTCACGTTGCAATCGAAATGTTCTTTGAGCAGAGACGCTAAATAGTGTGGACGTTAATGTACTCGTTGCCTACTGATGCAAAATATCTACTTGAAATTAAGTTAGCCTTCCCCGGCTGAAGGAAAGGAAAGTATTCGACAGTAACCCACATCGCTTTTATCATCCTATCAGACCACTCCTAGAACTCATTCCATTAGAACTAATTAATTCAGACAGGGACGGTATGCATAAGGCCCGCGAAGGAGTCAATATCTAAAGGCAAAACACTTGAACCCTATCGGACGAACAGACGAGATGAAATTTAATCTATTGACATATATTTTTATGTAACCTCGGTATACAAGTTTTTGTCTATTGTATTCCTCTACCGATCACATTTTATTATTTTTATTTCTGTATTATTTAATATACTGTAACCGTTTGTCCTATTATCACTTAGCTTTTCCAGCCCCTGGTGAAGACTAGTTTTGTCTAGTCGAAATATTGGGCAAATAAATTTGCACACCTTAGCATTCCGATCAGCCTTGCCTTCAATTTTAAGTGCTATTTTATATTGCTGATCCTCATCTACGACAAGATCCGGCTTTCCGTCGTCGCTGTTTGTCCAAGTGGTCCTTGCAAGAATTATTCATTAAGAATGACATGCTGTCTCGCTAACGCTCACCAGCAGTTAATCAAGTGTCTCCCACAACAACAACAAAAAACCGTATCATAGAGAAGGGGTGTATTATCGTTCACTAAATAGATGAGTCAGTGGTTAACGTTAATATTGGTCTTTATTCAAAATTCCTGGAAGGTCGTTCTTAATTATCGCTTGTCCAATGATTACCACGAAAAAATTCGAACAGCAAAACTTTATCAATGACCATTCTTTCAAAAGGTTCAGTTTACCGGCTAAAAGGGATCCCTGACGATGACTCAAACATCATCAATAGTGAAGAACACCATTCGATAAATTGTGAATGTTTCGCGTTTATTACACTTTGAACATGTCAGGTTAAAAATCTGTAAAAATTAACACAGTACCAGAGCCATCAATGCAGAAAAAAAAAGAAATATATAAACTTTAGCTAGCTGAGTTTCTTTCGCAGCTTTTGCCTGACAAATATATTGAACAAACTCAGACAGACTTAATTTCATTGGTTTACTATTATAACAAGCGTTCATTAACACGCATGCGTGAAAAATGGTTACGTAACGATCTCAGAATCACCAGTTGTACTGCAGCGGTACGGTAAATATTAAAGTATTATTTCTAGATAAAAAGTTGCTCGAATTCACATCCTATGGGCAGACTAACAATGACTTCTTACTGTCAATTTTGCTCATTACATTCCTTGAAAAAATTGTTTAATAACTATTTTGAGCTTTTTTTCGACCGCAATTATATAGGAAACGGATGTTGGGAAATATTTACCAAGACAAAGGTGTCAATAAATAGCAGGTGAGAATATTCAACAATATCATTTCCGAATAACTTATCTTGCGTAAAAGCCAACAGTGTTAATGTGCCAACTGGCGTAAGAACGTTCATTACAATAAGTCTGCCCAAGCCTTTATGGCAAAGCGATTACTGGCAATTTCGTTGCTCTTACATGTAAAACGAAACTGGCACGATTGATCAAGTAGTTTGTAAACATCCTTTTTTACCCAGTCTTTTTTCAACACATTGCGAATGAAAGTCAACAAACTGGCACCTTTGAGCAGATTGAACAAAACGAAAACTTTTCAAGTTTACTCGCGCGCAATCGCGTGAGACAAACACTTTAAAACCCTGGACTTTGGTGGGAAAAAAGACATTTTAAACTTCTGTAAAAAATGGTAAATTAAGCCAAGTTTATGACAAAACCTTTCTTGCCATTTCCGAAATTAGCAAGAAACCAATAAACTCAGTCGATTTTTGTTTGCTTAGACCATTTGCTTAAAAGGAAAATTCCTTACTTTGTATGTCGTGAAATTCGCTACTATTTCTTTCTGCTGTAAACAAAGATACTAGATAATACGTGACTCTTTTTGCCAAGCAAACAGCAGACCTTGTATCCAAGGGTAATTGCACGTTCGTGGCATTAAGGTGGGTTATTTATGCGACAGTGAAATCATCAATATCACGATCTATTCTATAAGTCTTAGGCAGGTGGCTGAAAGCTATTCAAAAATCAATTACACAGAAAAAACTCTGACTCAAGAGAGTGCATCGTTGCTCCAGTATGCTGCCGGATGTAGGCTGAGGTTAGTAAAGCTCGAAAAACCGCGTTTTCTAAGAAGGTTATGACGAAAACCTTCCCTAAAGAACACAGGAAAATTTCAGGTTCTGTGCGTCTTTGGAATATTATCTGCTTCGTAGAGTGCAAGTAAATAGACTTCACAAGTCCATTTAAAAGTCTATGTAAAACCACAGCGCACTACACGCTTAAGGGTACATGATTCTTTATAACAGTTTAGAATCTAAGGTTAGTAGGCGGAGAGCAAATTACATGAAAATTATTTAAAGGTGAGTTACGGATTCACAAAGAGAACTTACAATAGGAAATTCTACTTTCAGCGTTCCACACAAGTCAAGCAGGTAAGAATGAATAAAGTAGAAATTGGGTTGTGTTTTACTCTGACTGTGAAGATGAACGAAATTACCGCCAATACGCTTGCCTCCTATTGGTCTTAGAGATAGAAACAGCACTAACAACAATATGAAAGAAACAAACTCCTCAATTTAGTTTGCATTTTATTTTTTCAAAGAAAGCTTTTAAACTGATAAACTAGCCATGTCGGTGCCATAAATGAAGTAGAGCTTACTGCGTTGCATTTAAATATTCAAAGAGATTCGGTTCGAATTTTTTAAAGGTTAAAGGTAACATCAGCGCACAGAACTACTCTTACGTTCTGCACAAAAGAACACACTATAGGATTTTTTTTTTTTTACAATAGACTAGCATCAATGCCACCCTCTACAGTGTAATCAGGGACAGCACCACAGGAAAAAGCTGGTCAATAGCTTTCATTTAATGATTTATTCACAGATTCAAAAGGTAGTTTCATCTCATACAGCTAGAGCATTTCAGGGTTTATTCGACGGGAGAAAAAACTATGAACCGCATTATTTTGACGAATGAGACAGGGACTGAATGAATTTTGGATTGTGAGGGGAAAAGACCAAGTTGTGTTCAGTTCACTTGATGATATAAAGCGGTCGCTTGTTTTAAAGGCCGGAGAGGTTTAAGGTATGAACATTGAGAATTTTGTCTTGGCGAATGAAATGCAACTTTGCGAATTCGCGTTTTCAAGACAAGGGCTCTAACAAAAAAACATCAGTAATCTCCATATTAATAATACCGTAAAAAGACGACAAAAACAACGGGTCATGTACGAAGGTTTAAACCACGACTGACGGTTATTCATGCACACGTATGCTCTGGCAGGCGTTTTACAAGAGCAAATTAAAAATATATGTGTTTTACTTATCGAATAATAAAATGCTGCTTAAGATAACACAGAAGTCGGTAAGGTCGTTAACAGAAATTACCCTTTTGTTTATTTGACAAGGAAATTTCATATAGGATAAAAACACGCAAACTTCGACAGCTGGTCCAAAATCGGTACTGCAGTTTCAAAATGTTTGTTCCACTTTTCCAACTTAAATCACTTTAATCTAAAAGCGGACTATTTCAAAACGAACGACGAACGAAAAGATATAATCATCTACGCAAAAACAAAACAACGGTAGCAAGAGTCAGCTGAAAAACAGAATCACACGAAAAAAAACACTACTCAAACGTTTCAAAAGCGCTTCTATCGGAATGGACACACTTCGCGGTCCTTTCCAACACTCCACAGTCACAGTAAGAAACCACAACAAATCGTTTCAATAACTTAATCCAAGGAGCTGTGTAACGGAATTTATCAAACTTCAGATAGCGGGTACTGCCACCAAATTTAGTGAAACATAAAAATAACGACTCAAAACTTTTTAAAAAGGTATAAATACCACAAAATATAAAGGAAGGCACGAGCTTGAAGAAAATTGAACGGACTGGAACTTAACGAACTGAACTTTTTGTTCCAACACTTTATCTAAGTTCATTTTTGTTGTTAGTAACGCTTGATATAAAGCTCCGCTTGGGAGACATTTGTTTCACATGAAGCCATGAGTTTGCTACCTGCAAGAAGTTTCATCACTAATGATGAAGGCAATATTAAAGAAATGAACTAATAAGCAGACGTGACACAGCCCGCCCCTTTTAAGCTTCGCCGCCCCGAAAGTCTTAAGAGTTGTAGTGAACTTGTTCATTGACTGAGAAGAGTGCGACTTCGGCGTAAGAACAACCTGGGGAAAACTAACTCTGCAACTCGCTTGGCTACCGGGAAAGGAACTCGTCACTATTCCAAGGCACTAGGATCTGCTACAACTGGAAACAGGACAGGACTCAAACTCGGTCATCAACAGTTTAATCTTCAGCTCGTGAGCGTAAATCATACAGTCAAGTAAATCCGCAATGTAAATCGAAAAACAGGAGTAACAGTGCTCTATTTATACTAACCGATCAACTTATTACAACATCACAAAACAAATGGAAAGAACGCTGAATAAAATCAGCTGCACACCGAAAACAAATCTGGATAAATTCAACTTTAAAATCCATATGTTAAACTAAATAACTGAAAATTAAATGTCAGTCAAGCAAGTGAATTTAGTAAAATGAAGCTTTCCGGGGTGTCTTGTTTGAATTTTGATAAATTTTGTGACGCAGCCCCTTAAAGGTTTCTTATGTTGACGCTCATAATAATACTTATTATAAATCAGACTCACTATGAAAAATCTGATTGGTCGAAAGCATTCAATCAATTCACAATAGCTTGTGAACTTGACATGATAAATGCAATATCTGCTGCAGATATTCCATTTATCATGTCAAGTTCAACGTCTGCCTGGTTACCAAGCCCCTTGGAGTGTTCTCCTCAGAAACAGAATGGCTGTCTTGGCGAATGAAATGCAACTTTGCGAATTCGCGTTTTCAAGACAAGGGCTCTAACAAAAAAACATCAGCAATCTCCATATTAGTAATACCGTAAAAAGACGACAAAAACAACAGGTCATAGTACGAAGGTTTAAACCACGACTGACGGTTATTCATGCACACGTATGCTCTGGCAGGCGTTTTACAAGAGCAAATTAAAAATATATGTGTTTTACTTATCGAATAATAAAAAGCGGCTTAAGATAACACAGAAGTCGGTAAGGTCGTTAACAGAAATTACCCTTTTGTTTATTTGACAAGGAAATTTAATATAGGATAAAAACACGCAAACTTCAACAGCTGGTCCAAAATCGGTACTGCAGTTCCAAAATGTTTGTTCCACTTTTCCAACTTAAATCACTTTAATCTAAAAGCGGGCTATTTCAAAACGAACGACGAACGAAAAGATATAATCATCTACGCAAAAACAAAACAACGGTAGCAAGAGTCAGCTGAAAAACAGAATCACACGAAAAAAAACACTACTCAAACGTTTCAAAAGCGCCTCTATCGGAATGGACACACTTCGCGGTCCTTTCCAACACTCCACAGTCACAGTAAGAAACCACAACAAATCGTTTCAATAACTTAATCCAAGGAGCTGTGTCACGGAATTTATCAAACTTCACACAATGGGTACTGACACCAAATTTAGTGAAACAAAAATAACGACTCAAAATATTTTAAAAAGGTATAAATACCACAAAATATAAAGGTAGGCACGAACTTGAAGAAAATTGAACGGACTGGAATTGTGGTTTTTGAAAACCTTTTGTTCCAACACTTTACCTAAGTTCATTTTTGGTGTTAGTAAAGCTTGATATAAAGCTCCGCTTGGGAGACATTTGTTTCACATGAAGCCATGAGTTTGCTACTTGCACGAAGTTTCATCACTAATGATGAAGGCAATATTAAAGAAATGAACTAATAAGCAGACGTGACACAGCCCGCCTCTCTTAAGCTTCGCCGCCCCGAAAGTCTTCAGAGTTGTAGCAAACTTGTCTATTGACTGAGAAGAGTGCTGAAGAATCTGAACTCAATAACTATTGAGCTATTACCGCAACTAAAAGGCATAGGCTCTCTCTCGCTTAGGTGTCAGAAATTTGAGAACTTTAACTACTGTAATACAGTAAAATGTGAGTGGAACCAACAGCCTGAAATTTGCTATTTAGAAACCCATTTTCATAAGAACCAATTTCGCTTGAAATTTGGGTCTGTTAGGGTTAAGTCTCATTCGGTAGGTTAATAGCGCCGGTACAACATCCTTCGTGTTTCATTAGAAGCTTCTATTGTCAAAACGTTTTGAATATCAAGCTCATAGTTTAAGCCAATATTCATACACCTGTAATGGTACCTAATTTTCGTAGAGTGCAGACATCAGACTTATGAATATAAATTTGCATGTATTTTTATCACCTAATTAAGAAACGTATTAAAGAGATCCTAATGCTTTTATCTGTATTCTACTTTAGCCACGTTCTTATTACGCAGACTTTTAAAGTATTTTTTTTAATCTCAATTTTCATGCTATGTTACCTGACATGACACCCTCTAAAAAGTCACGTTTCATTACATAATTATACGACATGCTAAGTGCCTTGGAGAATTGTGGCCCTGTGAATTTCACTAAATTACACTGAATTTCACGCAGTGTACCGCTGCTGCATGGTCGGGCTCTTTAACACAAATCAGCTCAGAAAAAAGCATTCACAGACAACCGACCTACCTAGTTAGAAATCTGTTTATTGTTTAAAACTTCATGACGTCTTAGTCCAAATTGAAAAACTATTAACGAGATCTTAACGCTTTCATTCAAAAAGCCCGGCTGGTTGGGTTCTTTTATAACAACACTAAACAGCTCCATAAAGCATTCACAGACAACCGACCTTCCTAATTAGCAATCTGTTTAAGATTAGCAGCTACTGTTAGTTCGTGATGTCTTTGTTATGAATTTGCCCCCTATCGTTAAGTTTGATTCACGTTTACGCTCGGGCATTTTTTCTCTTAAGATATAAACCACAAGATGTATCCTCTCTGAGTATTGTTTTGACAATGGTAATGGTTGTTGTTGTTGTTGTTGTTAGTTTTCAGGAATCTCAAGAAAAATATCGCTGTAATCAACCTGGTTTAACAGAATTATGACAGAAGTGAAACGAACTTACGTTCACCTCACGACAGTGTTTTTAATTCTTATTTTCTGCCGATGGGGAAGACTGGCTGAAAGCAATGATGTTTCTTCTTCGATAGAAAAACAGAAAAGAAGAATCGGCGACGTGAAATTAAGTTCCTCTAAACCTGAGGCATCAATTACAGAGCTTGAGAAAGAACTGTTTCCTCTTAGCAAAATCAGCCGAAATGAATTAGCCCAGGAAACTTCACAACCTGTAATGAGAGCGAAGGTCGCAAAGAAGAAAGTTATCTTAAGTGGCGAAGAAATGAATACAAGTGTAGATATCGAGTGTGCAGGCACTAAACAAGTTAGTGTCAACGATAAAGCTGTTTTGCACAATACGAAAAGCCATGAAAATACTGATTATTATTTCAAAGAAAAACGCCTCGATAGGCAGAAAAGAGATTCGCAGTCCACTGGAACATCATCGGCAACTCCCGAAGGATCACCCGAGGGTTCATCCGCTGAACCCCAAACAGAACCAACGGCAGCTCCCGAACAGTCTTGGCCAGAACCAGAACCCGACTGGGATGAAGCATACACCAAGTGGCAAGACGCCTGGCCAATGCACACCTACGGCTTTGGTGCGGTTTTTACAGTGATTACAATGATTCCTCCATTCGAGTTACTCAGAATACACCTTGATAAGGCCAGGATTTCACCCTTGAAATCGACAGTGCTTGTCATTATTTTCATATTCAGTCTAACTCGGGCCATTACGCTGTTTGTAGACCCGTATGGCTCCACCAACCGCTTCCCTCTCGTCGTTACTCAACTGTTATTTTCTCTGGGGCACCCGTGCATCATTTCTGCTCTGAGCCTCCTTCTTCTTGTTTTGATCGACACGACGAAGATGAACATTGCTCCACCTCGATTTCAGCGAGTCCAGTTCATTATCCCCGTGGTAATATTCCACGTAATCTTAGTAATTGTCACAGACTTTGTGGTGGTTTACTTCCTGGAAGCCAAAGTTCTTCTGCTTATGTGTCAAATTTATTTTCTTCTGCTTGGCAGCCTACTGGCGATTGGCTACGTAAGTGTGGGATGCAAGATTCACAAGAATATCAGAGCCAATGTAAACACCAAAATCACAGGTGACAACAGCATGAGGCGCCTGCTGTATCTGATAATAGCGTGTGCGGTTGCATCCGCTTTGATAAGCATTCTGACAATTTACGCTGCAGCAGGGGTTTTTGGGGTGTATTCCGATGTAGAGCATGTAGAGGCCTGGCCATGGTGGATATTCCAGACATTAAATAGGCTTCTAGAAACCACCATTTGCATCGTGGTATTACTAATGAACACAAAGACCACTAAGCGAAAGATTCTGCCTTCATTTGTAACCGTAAGTGTGTTTAACTCGCGGAGAAAGACAAACGAGAACAAAATAGCTCCACCCGAAATCTATGACTGCCAATCAATACAATCCGTCGAATAATCTATCTTGAAGTTACATTCGCACGTAAAAAACATATAAATACTAGAGCACGAAGAAGGAGGAGGATTTTATGACGGATGGAACAATTTTTGTTTCAGAACAACGACAACGAAACCAAGCACTAAAGCAGTCCTGCGTAAAAACTACCTCCAAAGTTGCATAAATATTTATCAATTACTTATAACGCACAAATTCGCATAGTATATGATCAAACATTTACAGCATTCCAGTTAAGGTAACCATTACCATCATCATCATCACATCACCATCATGAAAGAATTATCATCACGTCGAGGTTTCCCCACTGGCGTCCACAATCAACCATTTTTATTAAGTGACGTATCCGACGCCACGTGATAGATCCGAATTGGATGGACCGGAATAACCTAGGAACTAGCTAAATGCAGACACAGATAGGCTGTACTGTGAACTTGTGCGAGTATAAGCTCTTTGCACCCACATCAACTGATTCAATACTAGAAGCACTTTAGAAGAAATCAAAGAACACAATGTCTTAGGTTACTGTATGTTGTTATAAAATTTCAAGAAATGCGACGGCATATTCGTCGAGAAACTTGAGCCTTTCCAGACTTCGAAAGCAAATGAAGGAACTTACACAATGAAATTGAAAGGAAGCTTTATGTCGGAGCACTGAAGTTTGCACTTTTTTAAAGCTAGTGCCATAGTCCTATTTGATTCATACTTTTCTCACAAACCTCAACTTGAGCCTTAAGCAACCCGGTGAAGGGAGGGATAGGGAATGGACCGGTCGACCATAAATACACATCTTATTTGAAGTTTCCTACAAGCAATACAAGAAAGCCCCACTCTCCCCCTGCCGTGTTTTGCTAGAAATTTATGGTTTTAACATCTCTTCAGGATACAATTTCACACAATCTTATTACAAAGATACTAAACTTACCCGTCGAAATCCGGTAGACTGGGATTGTAAAGTCGAGCTTCACTTAACAGCTTGTAAATTCGGTCTTTATACTGCAAAAAAAGTAACTACTGAGTAAATAAAAAAAGAACACTGTTAAAAACAAAATTATTGGTTTTCTTTACTAGTGAGCCTACAGTCCTTTAATCTGTCAATAGTGAACTTACGTAACAGGACGGGAAAGTCGACAGCAAACCTTGTGTGGCAAGCGTGACAATAATTGTGTTCGAAAAAACCTTCCCCCAAACTTCACATTCCTTTAAACAGATCTTTTTGTAGAAGAAAAAAAACATCAATGTTAAGTGAATTCCCGAAAAAACAGGCAAGTAATGGTCCCGTCACGTTTGTCACACTCAAGCCTTTTGCTGTCCTCTTCTTTCTGCCGTTCTGTTGCGAAAACTCACTGATAAGCAGCTGCTGTTTAGGGAAATGAGTGTGCACTCCTCTCTTCTCGCCTAAAAGGGGAAGAACTTTCGGATCCGAGACAGCCCACAGTATAGTGCAGGCGGATAGGGAAGGGAGCGGGGACTCGAACGGAGACGACGGGGACGAGGGAAAGAGCCATATGCCCACCTTCTCACCCTATTGATTACACTTTCTACTCTTCCCAATCATCCTTTGGGAGCGCTTGAATAATATGGCTTTTGCACGCTAGATAGAAAAGAGCGAAGGAAATAGAACTTTCACAGCTCACTACACATCCGCTCTTTGCAAAGTCACACGCCCATCCTGTGATACAGAGGAAGGATAAACTAAATTCGTAGCCCCCGTCTTCCCCCGTAAAAAACGAAATGACAATAGAATCCCGATTTCTCGGACCCCCCCCGTTTTTCGAAACTCCCGATGATCTGAGCCTATCGCTTTCCCAGGCAGTCAAACAATCTTACCATCCCCCCTTCCCCCACCACCATATCTTTACAAGTCTCCCAATAATTTGACCACAATTCCTTTTCTGGTTCGAAAAAGTATCAGCCTGCCCTCGTTTCGCTATCTTCTGCAAATGCAGTTTTCGGCATCCCCGAATTCGTATAAGCCGGCTTCAAACCAAAGTAGGAATGGTAAGGAGGAATCAACGTTTTTAACGTTAGCGGTGCCGCCGAATGTAACACTAAATTGTAAAGCAGATGAAAAAAGTCTAGTGTGTTTGTAGTCATGCCCGAGGATCGAGGTATATTTTAAATCAGAGTTAGATCATTTGCGGAACACCACAGCAGCCAAAGACGATTTGTCTTGTGACCTCTCATCCTCGAGAAACAGATCTGTTGACAATTTGCTGTCACGCCAACAAAACCAAAAAAATACCATTTTTCAAGACTTTCACCTCAGTAGCTGACAGCAAGTTGGAGCTGTTTTATTTTGTTCCTTATTTTCTTACCCTGATATCCTCTATTAGTTGCCAATCTGCAAGGTCATCGTCTAAAGCAACAGAAAAAAAAACAGGGAGAATTAAACGTATAAAACAGATTTCAGAAAGAAAAAAACATATAAAAGTCCAAGCAGCTCTTTCCACTTTTAAGTGGAAAATTTACAATGAGCATTATGGCAATATCTACATTGGTGTGAGGTTATTTTTGCGCGAAGTAAATGAGGGAGCCTCACAATAGCGATGGGAGCTAAGTTTGTTCTTGGTTCTCTCCTTTGCTCGTACACAAGAAGAATGTACATAGGGTATATATTTTAATATTTCATATTCTTGAATCTCTAAATAGTAAAATTTAATAATTATAATATTTATCATTGGGATGAACATAGAAATTTTTCGGGTTTATAGACAGTTGTTTAAAAACCACCAGACTTTTTAATATAGTTATACTAAATTTGTACTTAATTTTCAATTTGAGAAGAGTTTAATAAAGTATTATTATTTAATTTATTATTATTATTATTATTATTATTATTATCATTAGATAAAGATAGGGCTTTAATAAAGCATTAATTTACGTCAAGGAACTAACTTTAACCAAGTGTCAATGTGCGTACAGAACTTAATACTAATTAACGAACTAACTGTTTTTACGTCTCCTACTGGAGACGGGACCGCCATTTTTACGTGCTCATCCGAACTACGCAAAGGTTTAGCCTTTTATACAACAAATGGCAGCAGTACCATCGGTTTAAGGCCGTGAGTATTTGCCCGGTTACAGCGATTGGGCCTACGCCTGCTCTGCACTCCACCTCTCTATTAGCTAAGCTAACCCTAAAGCGATTTTATGTTGCCGTTGTTTTCGCCAACTACAACACAAACGTAACGAGCATCTACCCTGTTATTTGCTTGCGATTTAGGTTACTCACCTTTTAAAGGAATCTTGATACTTGCTTGGATCAAACTTATAACTTCACATTTAAGTTTGCAAACTTCGATCTCCAACTCCTTTGTTCTGACAAAGAGAATGAGACGATTGAGGACGTTTAACTTTAAGGACTAGAATTCAAATCGTTCCCCGAGAAATGAGTTTTAGAGAACACAGAATATAAAACTTAGAAAGAGTTTACAGATCAGGAGGAATGTTACAGGTAAAAAGTAATCTCGAAAACCTGTTACTTTGGGTAGCGAGCGTGTGCATATATCGACACAGTGGGTACCCTATGTATGAGAGAGGTTAACTTTTCCCTAACTTTATAACGCGCCAGAATATTCAAGCTATTTTGCACCATTTGAAGCCAGATTTGCAAAATAAAGTTATAGCGGACATAAAAACGTACCCTCTTGTGGGCCAATTTTCGCCTCTATTATATCAATGTTGAAATCACTAGTGATCCGTGCAATCTGATTGGCTCACAGCAGTGTGATTTATTCACGAATCGTTTTTTTTTTTGCTCTAAATCACATCATTCATGTTTTAAATCGCATCATTTTAGCTCTATATTACATCATTTCTATTCTAAATACAAAATGAGATATGAAAGCCTTTTTATTCTCACTTTTCAACAAACTGGTTACCAGATCAATAAAGTATTGGTACTTGCTGAATTCTGCGATTTCAAACTGGCTGCAATGAAGTGGTAAGTGAACGTTTGGTCTGAAATCCTACTTGTGTTTTCAAATCAAATTCGGTTTTAAATCACGCGTATAATTTCAGTCCAAATTGCACTCCACTCTGTTCAATTACCATTAATTATATTAGGTAAAAGGATCGAAATGATAAGGCATGGCGTATAAAAAACCCTTTATGCTTGGCCGACAGATGACGCCTACGTATTCCCAATGTAAAAACCGCCTTTTACACAAGTTATCTACAACATTCGGAAAGTGTCCACGCGCTCTTTTTAATCCTCTTGTCTTAACATATGTAGAGCCAAAAAACTAGCGAAATCAGTCTGTTTGCCGACTGTACTTACATTTTCTGCTGTTGTAAAGAGAGCAACTCTTCGTCCGTTATTGGATCGGTTTGGACCTCAACGGATTCTGTTTTTACTGTTTCTTTCTTTGCTTCTTCTTCTTCTTTATCCTTTATTATAAGATCTTTGTTGGTTGGAGTCTCTATCAGTCTCTTTTCATAACTATCAGTAGACGCACTGTCCAACACGCAATCCTCCGCCTGCTAAACAGGACGACAAAGAGAGACAGTCAAATTAAGGTGGATTCTGGTAAAACCATTCGTGTATTTCTGCCCTTTTTCTTTCAAATCTATGCAAGATTTCATTCAATCAAACAATGGCTCCATAGGGTCGTAGTCATTGCTTAAATAAATGTGTGAGAATTTTTGGATGTTCTTGTGTTTTTGTGTGTTTTTTTTTTTTTGCATTTCATAATGATTAAAAATTGACGGTGGGGGATGTTCAAAATTATGGAAACTTGAAATATATTGAATTCGCGGGTTAATTGTTGAAAATTAAAATATGAGGGGAATAATTAGCAGACAAATACCAGATAGTCCACCACCAAAACAAGGTGCTCCCGATAACTCGAACCCTCGTTAACTCGAACCTCGCGCTAACTCGAACCAAAATCGATTTCCCCTGAATTTCCGTCATACATTTATTGTAATTTTACCCTCGGTACCTCGAACCCTCGATGTATAACTCGAACCTTTCGCGAACTCGAAGTAAGTAGTTTTTG